AATACATTAATTTTATCAAATTAATCTAGTAAAATAATCGTTTATTGACCGTACGTTAAGAACCATTCCTTATTTTAAAGACTTATTAAATTCTAACATCTTTATTCATACTTTAGTTATTTTAATTAATTAATCGTAATTTTGCATTTAATAAAATCTTATTAAACGCAATATCGTCGAGTGTTAGTTAAGAACTTCAGGTTTGGCGTTTATAAAAAAACGCTGTTTTTCTCAAAGCAGAAACCGGGCACATTTTTGTCGCTCATTTGAACTTTTTGTGGATAAATATCATTAACGTCATCTGAGTGACCTTTTGGGTTACATCACGCCTAAGCTTTATTGCTCCCTAATGTCAGGCTTTATTAGCCGGGTAAAAGGCCAACATTGTGTTCGTAACCCAGAAAGCTATAGGTCCTAAAATTGCCTAATTTTTTGCATTAAAAAAGGTCTTGTCATATAAAATGTAGATTTTTATGTGAGAATACGTTACTCGTATAATTACGTTGAAGAGCTCAAGATCCCAGGCTTTCCAAAATAAATAGACATAAAGATACAATAAAAAAACTGTCTTTAAAAGTCTTGAACATTCTTATTTTTTAACTTATAATTAAATGTATTTTACGCGTATACGCGTTTCCAGATATTGTACGCTTTAAACCTATAATCATTTTGAAAATGTACCTACACTTAAAAACGTAGTAATCGTGGAATTTGTTGTTGATTTAAATAAAATACTTCTAACTGTTTAAAACGCGAAATATATTAACTTATTTTTAATATGTTTTAACTCCAGCTCGTCGTCGATTTGAATAAAACACTTCTAACTGTTTAAAACGCGAAATGTATTAACTTATTTTGTAATAAATTTAACTCCAGCTCGTCGTTCATATTATAGTATAGTTGTCTATGAGTTCAAACTTTCGCATTTACAACTTTAGATAAGATTAGTTATAGACAATATCGCTACAATGTATTATGTAGCGTACTTTCGCTGAATGAAGTTATTATTATTGGTAATTACAGGTTCTCCATTCACTTTTATAATAGTGAATGAACGGAGTAATTTTGAAAGATCACGTAACATGAAAAGTCGGGAATGCATTATTTGGAGTAAAGTCCAAAGTCAAACAAGGAAGCAAGTTACCGAAAAAAGTTGGTTATACTCAGGAATAAAGTTCTTTACACTCAGACGTACAGAGCCCTAGGTATTATATAAAATGTCCGAATTGATGTGCATAAAAATAGGCAAAGAATTACATATTGAAAGCTTATCTGAAATATTTGTATACTAGCTATGCCCGCGTGGAATAGGTATTTTTCCCATCATATTATTTATTTATGCAAACAACCTACTTAGTTTTATAAATTCTATCAGTTACCCACGACGCCGTCCGCATCCCGTCGTTCTTAATTGTTCCTTTTGCCAAGGCACACTAAACTTAAAATGAAATGAACGTAAATAAAGTTGAATTATTAATTTCTTCTCGCTAAAAATACTCCCATCCCTGATTAAATTTGATTGCAGATTAAAAAGTAAAGCAAACACCCTTACCGCGTGTTCTGTTTGCGTCTAATTAAAAAATATTTCCGGGTCACAGCACAAAAAGATCTCGAGTAGATTTCGTTCCCACGGACGCAAAGTGCCTTTTTAACTATATTACATAAGTTATGCAATATTATGCGTAGTATTACAAAATTCGTACTTCCTCTTGTACAATAAAAACAAAGCTTCAATGAGTACGTGAACTTGAAAAAAACTTGTTGTATCAGATCAATCTTAATAATAATTACGAACACGTTACTACATCGATGTCTTAATTTATCAATATGTGAAATGCCGTTTCCCCTCGGAGGCATGAGTTTCATAAACAGGCAAATAGTTGATAAGACTTCCTGTGCTCTAGAAAATTTATTGCTTCACCGGGATTCGAATCCAGGAACTCTCGTGCTTAACGCAAAGGTAGTATAATAGTTTGTTGTATTCCCCTTTCCTACTTTTGGAATGGAACTATTTATTTATTCAAGTTTAGTTAAGTATTGCCCTGTATTATGTGCCCTGTTCGACCGAATCTACTTGACTTAATTTATAGTAATAAATAAAGCTGAAGAGTTTATTTGTTTGTATGAACGCCATAATTTCAGGATCTAATGGTCGAATTACAAAATTCCTTTTGTGTTGATTAAAACAAAGTAAAAACGGTAAAATATTTATCTTCGTAGGCTTCCGTTGCGTACGCTACGAAAACGGTACAAGATACCCAAAAATATGTATTAAAGAATTCCTCTTTAAAAGATCTAAAAAATGTCCACGACACCATATGTCTATCTCTTAAGATTAACTTGCAACAACGACGGGACGCGAGCGACGTCATGGGTCGTGGGCCATGTTCATGCTCAAAATAACTACTCTACGCGAACCAAGTCGCTGACACAGCTAGTCAAACATATATTAAGTACTGCGGCTTGCCTGTAGTTTAAGCGGGCAGAAGACAATTAAATAAAACACTTTTAACGGTATGAAACGCGATCGCGGTCACGTAAAGACCAAGCGTATAATTTTAAGTGCCGATTACTAAAAATTATAAAACAACACATTTTGGTTTACCACAGAATGTGAAATGTCACTTAAATATTGATTACTACATAATATCTAGATTATTTCATAATATTATTTAAGATTATACGAGTAGCGTACCTACTTAATTTTATATTAAAATATCTGAGTCGAAAACAGTTTAAGTTAAGCGATGAGTAATATTTGCACGACATTACCTTCGCTTCTATTTTCCTTGATTTATAGTGTTTATTTAACATTGCCTCAATTATGCTGTGGTTTCATATGCTTATATAGGCCACATAAACCAATAGGAAATAATTTCAATAACATTATTCCAATTATAGTGTTAGTTGATAGAATAATCAATCAAAATATATACTACTATACTCTATACGACTTAACCAACTTGAGTAACGATAGCTTAGTAAAAACAACAGTACGCTGCGGTCGTAGATTCCAGTCTTGCCCGTACTATCGCTTTTGGCAATCTAAAGACACCTACTGCATGTGTCATCATCGTGAAAAATAATATTTCTCTTAAAACTGTAACGAAACATCGGGCCGTAGTTAAAACAATTTGTAAGAAGTTTAACTAATAATTCGCGGTTTAGACCGTTCAAATGTTTTATTTAAATGGTTATTTTCTCTTTATACTGCAGTTTTAATCTTCGGTAGAAGCAAAACGGTTTTTAACTCCCATTTATAATAAAATATGTTATAACAGACTCTCGAACGTAATTATAAAATAGACAAACAGTAATTTCACACGAGTGAGTGAAAGGGGCTAAGTATTTGTATGTTGACGACGCAAGGTAGTTGCGTGACGTAATCTATTTAATACAGCGAAGATTACGTTTTAATTCTATTTTGTACTTAAAGATCAATGACAGACTTCTACAGAATGTTCTCTTTGAATATGCACAGCTGAATAATCAAAATTATTGCTTTAGTTTAATGTAATTTAGGTTTTAATATACCAAATCATGATTTAAGTAGAAGTAACTAACAGCTCAGAAATTCAATTACCCGACGAAAATTATATACTATGCTACTATGAAATTTTTACTATACAACCTTTTTTAATTATATTTATAGAGTATTTTTCTAACCATAAAAAAAAACACAACAAATAAGGCCGCTTTCAAACCATAGTGTAGTAGTGATAGTGATCTTTTATAGAGTAAAGTTGCAGCCACAGATAACACGATAAGGAAACATCGATCAAATTAGCGTGAAATTAAGGTTTTTACTACGTGAATTTCATGTCGTTTATTACGTCATCGTTTATTATATAATCTAAGGTGTAAATGAATATATTGTGAAAAAATCACGATTTCATATAAGAAAATATATATTTGTTTACCAAAAAATACTTAGTTAGAAAAAATACACCACAGACATCTGTAGCATTGAAGATATCACCGCAATCAGCCCTGCATTGCGGTCTGATACAGGCTAGAAGTGCACTCAATAAAATATAACCGTTAAGAACTGAAATCAATCTTCAAATTTTGAACCATTTTTTTTTAATTTGTTAAATAACATAAGTATTCTGTTTGAATTATTTATTTAATTATAATTAAAACAGAATACGAAATTTAAAAGATGTTTCTTCGCTGTCTTTACTCATACCCTTTTTGTTAATATGTAAGGAACAAATAAATCGAAAATGAATTAATAAAACGGGTTGCAAAAGTATCGAAATTCCGCCCAGCCGCCTTCCATATATGGAAAAGCTGTTTTTCATCCGGATTCCAGAAATATCGAAGCAAAAAACGTATTTTAAGTTCTATTTGAATATTCGTTTCACCTGCTATTACGCATTAGTAAATATGCCAGATGTTATGAAGCATTTGGCATTTTAACTTAAATAGTTGATTATTTATGAAGTCACAGATCATAATAGGAGATATAAATTAACAAATTCTATAATATTTCACCCGCCGCGTCATCGATTTTTCAATCTATACTGATATTATAAAATTAAAAAAATTTTAAACGAGCTAATTTCAAGAACTAGTGGTTTGATTTGAATAACAATCGTGTTTGACCATTTACAAGGAAGGCTTTAGACTATAAAACTTCAGGCTGCGACAAATAGGAACAAAGCATTTTTACATTAAGAAAAATGTAAAAAAAAAAACGTGAAAATTATTCATCTTTGAGGGCTTCCGTTGTGTTTACTGCGAAAACTGTTCAAGATGTCAAAAAATATGTATGATAGAATGATTACCCTTTAAGTGATCTAAAAAAATGTACGCCACAATATGTGTAGATGAATTCGATATAATCTAAAAATATGAGAAGGTTGTTTGCTAAAATCTAATATGACGCCCAAAATAACTATTCCATGCAGCCGAAGTTGCAGGTACAGCTAGTCCAAATAAAATCTCTTATTCTTTATGTATAATTGGCGAAAATATAACTCTACGTATGTACTTACACTTTCAATAAGTTGCTGCTTCTCTTGCAGTTGCAGCTCTTGGTGGCGTAGCGTCGCCCTCTGTTTCTCGGCAGTACTGCTCAGTCGGGATAGCACCTCTTGGTCGTGCTCACGCGCAGGCGACGGTGGCGCACTTGTACCTATTAACATGTTTATAATACTCCGTAGTTACTTTCACTACAAATACAAGTCTTAAAGTTCCACGAGCAAATGTTTTTGTAAAATAGGTACTAATTGTTTAATGAATATATAACATTAGAATAAGTAAAATAAAAGTTTCAAACGGAAGTAACAGACAATTCGTTGAGAATCTAGAACCTTTAGTTAGGCCTATAACGATATTTAAATAAAACACTTTAACTTAACTTAAACTTATTTGAAATATGATTTTTAACCGCTGCCCGACGTTTCGGATACTTTAAACCGTTAAAGTGTTTTATTTAAATGTGTACTACTTGCGTAAACTATAGACTATTTATAACGATATATTATATGATTATGTCAACTACGTTTCCATCGTACCATATGTTGTTGGTGTTGTTTATAAAACAGAGACAGAGATACTGACAAAAATACTTATGGCTATTTCATATTTTGTTATTTGTACAAAACTTCAACAACAGATAATAATCATTAGAAACAGCTTGCTACAACCATATCGTTAGCGCTAGAAAGCTGCCAAGAACACGATTTTCAAGTTAACCTATCGCCTGCATAGTACTTCTTTTTTTAATGGGAAACTTAGGTTAATTTAGTGGAATCCCAATACCCCAATACGGAGAATGGGGTATGCGCATGTTACTGTTTGAATGTTCTATTTATAGCTTTGTGTCCTTCTATGGCCTGCCAAACCAAAATTAAATATTTTCTGGCCTGGATAGTTTATCCAACAAACCCAGAAGAAGCCAAATATATTAAAATCACATTGCCATAGCGGAGCATGATTATCTGATGCTGCATAAGGAATCAGATCTATGAATCAGAAATATGCATGAAAGCAAACTCATTTAAGGTAATACTGATAAGCATGTAGTTGCCTACAACAACCTCATTTGTTATCAACAAAAAGTGGGGAAAGAGAACAAAAGATAATGCTGCAACACAACTCTACAGAGCAAGTAAATTATACATACATGAATTTGTAAAATTAATACATTTAAATATTCACTACTTAAAAAGAACTATAATTAAAATTTTGTCTATTTTATTGTTCTCTATTGGATCAGTACTCTGTATTAGTTACGTTTGATACGTGGTTATGTAAGTTATTCTTAATTTAAATTAACATGTGATGCCATAGCAAATCATTACTTAACATACAAAACCCCATTATTTTTTTTGTGACCAATAATTGGAAACTAATATCTTTCACATGATGGCATTATACATATTTAAATTTAATAAAAAATTACGGGCAGGACTTAACCAGCATCAAAAGCAATTGTACTACCATGTTTTTAATTTAAACATACAACAAGTTGATCAGTCTTCTGTGTCCAATGGAAGACGTTTCCTTAAAAGCTGAACCTGGAACCTCTCATAATTAACTCAATGCTTTGCCGGCACAGCTGATAAAGTTCACAGGTGGTAATTAAAATAATATTCATAAGTAAGAGTTATTAGTTAACCTATTGGAACATTAAATGAGATTTTCAGTCAGTTAGTTGGTTAAGCCAATGCCATACAACAAACAGTACTTAAAAGTACAGGAGTGCATGATTAACATAGCGAAAAAATTGAAAATAATAAAAAACTACATACATCGAAACTCACCGTCCCCAGGCGAGTTGACAGTTCTCCTCAGTCTCTTGTTTTCTTCTTGTAGTCTTCCCACTGCTGTAACCAACTCGGCTGATTCTGTTCGCCATTGTTCTTCAATTGCTTCTATTTCCTGAGAACATGTTTCATGAACGTTACAGATTGCTGCAATGTAATTGATTAAGTATTATAGAGAAGTAATGAATAAATATGTAAGAGCCTGAATGTCTGTATAGTTTTCAATCTCTTTTAAATACTTTTCAAATAGCATAATGTTTTTAAGTCAAATAACATGTGAAAATTACAAATATTCAACATGGTTATTTACTTATTTAAAGTATCTTGATTGTGGTGTTATAAATTATATTTATTTTAACTCCTAGTAATCAATAGTTTGCAATGCATTTGCTACAAGTCATTCTGATATTACATATTAAGCAAAGATAAAGATAAAATTAAAATAAGAAAATTATGGACCTACGTAATTATAATATATAAACAAAAATAAACACTTCTCCTTTTTTATAAAGGATTGTTTATCTATTTACCTTATATGTTTCTCTAGTGAAAATAAGAGGTGATTTAATAAATTACAACATAACATGGAGGTTTTAGTTTATGTAACTTATAGGACTACAATGAATTTGAAAAATAATACTGATTATTGGGTTTGGTACATAGTTAGCTAATAAATATCAGAAACACCTGAAATATAAGATAAATAAAGAATTGTATCTTAAATAGAAATTAATACAACCTTATCAAATAATTAGACTCAACATACATAATCTTACCTAATAGACCAATCTTGTAAATTATAGCTTTGCTTAGCTATGCATATAAATCTCTAAAATCAAATTACAGTTGTTGTGATTTTTAAATATTGAACTGAAAATTATATGCAATAATATCTCTATTCTTTTGAGGTTATTATTTCAAATGTAAAGCTTTATTATTTTAAATAAACAACTCCTATAAACATGAATAGGTATTACTAGTTAAGAATCAAATGATATGTATTCAAATTTAATCAACACACAATGTAATAAGGTTTACATGAAAAACTAGCAAAACACAATACAACAGCTTAATTGTGTGCATAACATGTAAACATATATTTTATTACCTAATTTAATTATTACATGCCTCAGTACATTCGGACGAATGTCGCGCAATAGGCAGCTGTAGGATTTGCAAAATGGTGAGTGCAAATGGTCAATACACTGCAGGATGTTGAAACTACGAGCACTATTTCGTGTTGAAGTACGCATTTATTCAAACGCCAAATAACAATGACCTTTAGCGCTTACCTTTTCGAATCTTTGCCTGTATTCTGCCTTCTCAATCTTATCGTTCTCTAACTGGGATATCTTCGCTGTCAATTCATGAAACGCTTGGTTCTCCTTCTCATTGCGAACTGCCAAGTTCTCGAGCAGTTCTAGAGCATTAATCACCTTCGGTAGCAGTGCAGTCACAGCCTCAGGGCCGTACTTCTCGATAATTATTTCACATTCCTTTCCAATGTCCGAAGCTAAATCGTACACATCAACGACGGTCACATCGTCATCGTAATCCGGCATTTTGGGGGAGAAACGCCTGCGGTACGGCATTAATAAAACCAATTATTCACTCTGCACACAAAATAAACGCTCCTTTCTTACAACAAACTGTCTTCCTTTCGCAAGTGCGCCATCATTACTGAAAAAAGAAATATTGTGACATTGCGAATTGTCACTTTACCTGAACTGTCACTGTCAACTGTCAGCCACATAGTGACAGTTGTAATTCTGATTTCAATTACTTTTTTTCTAGTATCTTGAAAGCAATGAGATGAAATAGCGAAAGTAACAATTAGCATATGATAAGAAAATGAGTTAGTTTTGTAATTGATGATTAGATTGAATATATATTATGTTAAATGTATGATAACATTGTTCGTATAATCATTTTGTTTATTTTTAGTGTGGTAATCTGCTAATCTATGCGTAAGAACGCGCCTATGGAAATGAAATAGGCGGCAGAATTTAAGACATTAAATGTATACATTCTTAATGTAATTTCAAGACGATTTGTAATAAAAAAAATGTTTTTTGCTTAAATCAATTTGTAGTACATATTTATATTGTATTATTTCAAATATACATATGTACTACATTATATATGTATAGCATTATTTCAAATTTAAAAAAGGTTATTGTAACTTATCTTTTTAAAAGAAACATAACTTTTTCCAAGTCAATTATTTCGTTTGTTTAATACTATACCTGTAATATTATGTAGAATTAAGTTTTACATAAAAGCTATTAATGTAGTAAATCCAATGTAGCCAAAAAATGATAAATAAGTCCTAGGTGTACGAGTCTAATACGTTAGAGTTAGTGATGATACATACTAAACGTGTAATCTTTCTTCTATGTCTTTAAAAGAGCGTTGTTATAATATCGATTGTTTTGTATTCGCCACGCGCGAAGCAACAGTTGGGTGCTATCAACAGGCGGGAGAAGCCGGCGCGAGCGGGCCTTCCCGGGAAATCATTTTTCTTTCACACGATGAACTTTCAAAGTAAAGCTAACAAGTATGTGTGTCCCAACGATCGACAACTTTCTTTGCGGGCTAAGTAAGTTTTTATATTAATTTTTTATTCACTTTTCAATCAGCTGTTATTTTTAAAGCGCTCAGCTGAAACTTTTTGTATTTTTTTTTAAATAATGACGTTAAAAACTATGAACTATAAAGGCTTTCCAAAAAATTGGGCATTTCTGATAATTTGTTTAATAAGTACCTATTTTCAATATTTTAATTATTAAGGGACAATATGTTGTCTTCAATTTGCATCTTAACGGTACGATATGGTGATGCTTTAGTATGTCTTTTACATAAATAATATAGCTTTTGTGTTTATAAATATCACTTACATTTGTTGTTTTGATTTGAATTTTTATAACAAATTTCCATGAAAATTTTTGCACAATGTTATTGTGAGTTGATTTAGTGATTTATAATTTAAGTATAAAGTAACATGTTTCTATTTATATTACGTATTTAAATAAGTAATTAGTAGAATTGATAAGTATACTTTTAATATTATTTCGTCAATAGAACGTATAGACTTACTATTATTTATAACTCGTTTTATCTCTCTAAACATATTACCGGATATGAAATGATACATCCGCTAATGTCCTGTAGCCTGTCGTTGGGAAAGAAGTTCATGTAAATTTGATTTTCTAAAAATAAACCAAGGGCGCCATTGTCAATATACATATGTACGGGACCTTGCACAGGCACTACTATCGTGTAACATCCGCTTCCTATTTGTTTTGTTTTAAATTAACTAATTGTTTGCTGCCTGCTTGTAGGACTTTTCTGAAATAAAACTTTTTATAATATATATATATATATATGACACAAAACATATATATATATATATATATATGTTTTGTGTCAGTTCTTTTCTTGCTACGTTATAAATTTGAGTGGATGTAGTCTTTTGTCTTTTTGATAATTACTTTTTTTTTTAAATGATAGACAGGATTTTGCTTGATGATAAGTGAAATACCCCAGCTATAACATCTAGACAAGATACTTGGATATTCAGAAATCCACAGACTAAATTTAAATCGCGGAATTTTGATATTCCTACCGCCCATTTATTATTCCACTTTCCAGACAATAGAATTCATTAATTTTTGATGAATTAATTAGAAAAATAACCCGGTGGGGATCGAACCCACGCTCGGATTGATGGAGACAGCCCTATGTCTCTATACTCATGTGTTCCGATTCTCGCGTCATTAATGACTCCGGGTTTAAAGTAATCGCCTGGATAACACCAATATATTCTGTCAACAGCGATAATCCCCCCCACGAACCCTCCACTATCGTTAGCTTATCATCGTTACATTGTAATTTTATCGACCGACATGATAGCTTTGAACCGCCCCATAGCATTATAGTATAGCTAAATGCACTAGCACTACGGTAAACACTAAAGGTTTTTTGAACCCCGGGTACATTGAGTTTTGGTTGGGCAGGGCACAGAAATCTGACTAACTAATGGCCTGTCTTTTTGTCTGTCCCTTACACGGGAAAACGGGGTTTTACAATAGATACATAATATAGGTGCAATAAAATATAAAAGTATTAAAGTTTTCAAATATAGCATAACGTTGAAATAAGAAAATAGAATTAAAGGAGAAATATGCATGATTTTATAATCGACATATTTTTATTTTACTTTAACGATTTATATTCTTTTTTATCTCTGAATGATGATGATGGAGACGTATCTCAATCTAATTTTGTTAGTGATTGACTTGCTTTGGATAAAAAGCATTCTTTCCTAGATAGTCTCATCGCATAGTAGTTTTATATAACTTTTACGTGTAACTAAAAAGTCAGTTTTATGCCGCAGATATAAATATTCTTTTGTAATATAATTAATTCATTAAAATATAAGATTAAACGTGAGACTCGTAAGTGAAATCTCTTGACTATTAATTGAATCTTGATAATGTGTACTTAAGACAAGACTAAAAGATGTTTCAATTATGTAGATGTAACAAGCTATTCAAACTCAAACAATACTTGAATAAGTTCAAAAGTTTGAACTTTGGTTTTAATATTGTTTTACTTGTTAGTAAGCGGTAATTAAAATATCTTCTCTTTTTACCTTTTTATAAGATTGACCCGCTGACAACTTTTTGTGTTTACAATCATTATTTATTATGGTTAGGAATCTACGAGGTTCCTAGAATGCATGTACTTACATCATTTTTAACGGTTAATAGTAAAAATATTTGTATTATAATCATTCTAATCAACAACACAAATATGTAGATATTATTAAAATGGCATAGTCGACTTTAGCGATAACTTATAGTTACAAAATCCACTCTGAAATCTATAACATTAAACGCCGGTCCAAGGTTGGAATTCGTGGAATAAAATATTTTTTGTCACATGGCAAAGATCAATTTCCTAATACGAGGTATAACATTCGAAAGCATAACTCGTCTTTTTACATCTAGTACAGCAGTCCTTTTCATGATTGTATTACGACAATCCCGTCAGAGTTCTCGGGCAGAGGTAGAGTTAAGTGAGCAAAGGGTTGCCAAATTATATATAATTAAGCATGGAATCCATTTAGCTAAGAGCATTTTTAGTTAATTTTAATGGACAAAGAGTTCTGGATTTAATAAAGTTATTTTTTTCTGATGATTATAGATTATAGAATAAATGATTATAGAATGAAAGTTCATTGCTTCCTTAAGTAACTTTTAACGCTTTAACAATTGACAAAATACTTGAATTTGCGAAAAATACATTTTTTTCATTATAGAGGAAAACACATATTATGTAAAGGAAGACTTACAAGGATAGAGTTCACTGGATGGAAGCATTTCGCGTCTCAATAAAACACTCTGTCGACCTATTTTTGCTTTAAATATTCTAAAATCATAGTCTGTTATAAAATCCCTGCATCCCGAAAAATTAAATTTCACGGCTTCATCTATGGACGGTGATCCGTAATCCGGACGGAACTTCAGATTTACTACCGCCCGTTCAATCCAAAATCCAGATATCCAGACGAAATCCAACACTTGTTTGATAAACTTTAATTTGTTTAGAAACATGTTGGACTGGTAGAGAACGAACCCACGACCTGTTTACTATTAGATATACATTATTACCATTACAATATAACCAACCTATTATTCCTTCCTTCCTTAGCCGTTTTCTGAAATTGAAATAAATCATTGTCTTTTACTATACTTGTAGAAAAATCTGATATTCAAGAAATACCCCTAGACATCTTGTGACAAGGTCCACGATAAGTCTGCATTGTATGTGTAATGTGATATGAAATATGTCATGTTATTGATATCGTATTTATAAGCTCATACATGGATCGTGCTAACATTTTTATGTGAATCATTCTCGATTGATAATACACAATTTAGAATTCCTATGGTAATTGAATATGGCAACCTTTTTGGGCCTTTTTTGACAAAGATTGAGGTAATCATAAGCTCAAGTTGTTACTGACTTTTTTATAAATACAGATACATATATGGGCGTTGATACAATACGGATATTGAAATATGTCTGATGAAACATATTTAATATTAATATTTAATTCAACTTAGATGTGTATTGATAAGTTAAAAATCTATTCATATTGAAAAATATTTACTACACAATCTATTGTTCCCACGATCATTTGTCAAATGAAGTATATAGACAATAATATTAATCGTATAAGAGATATTGGCGCATTTTTTAAATTATTTAAATAAAACAGAAACACTAAAAAAATAATATTTTTCCCGGATACTTCCATATTTCCCTCTGTTACATCGCTCCTATTAGTCACAGCGCGATGTTTTATTACCTAAAGACTTCCTCGATAAATGCTCTAACACAAAAATAATAATTTAGTGTTAGTTGAGATCAGCGCGTTTAAACAAACGAACTCTTCAGCTTTATAATATCAGTATAGATTATTATAAACTGTAGTTTCTAGTACTTACATGTAGATTTGGAGGTCAATGTTTATATCCATAAAATATGACCCAGGCTTCGTACGGGCTGGAGCGCTGCCCGCAGCGAACCCCCGCTGACTTCAGCGGAGCGTGAGGCCATCGCTGATGTTGTCAAGCGTGCTGAAAAGGTGGAGGAGACTGAAGCACGACGGATCGGCCGACTGGTCGCCCGACTTGAAGGTACTTAAAATAAAACTGAAAAAACCGTGTCGCTCGCGTTAGCTCGGCTACAAACTGGATCAAAGAAATCCGTCAGTTATAACTATTTTCAACGGAATCAAGTTAGTGAATTTTATGTTGGTTATGTACTATAATATATTTTTTATGCATTTTAAAAATATCTAATACTTTAAAAATCGTGTCTTTTAAAGTCTTGATAGTTGCGGTAATTGAATCCGCAGTTCGACCAAAAAATAATCTGTTAATAAAGAAAGATCCAAAATTTAATGTAGCTTAGAAAAACATATATTATAACTACTGCTTACTTTTAAGTGCTGTCTGTGGTTTACATGAATAGTACACATTTAAATAAAACACTTTTAACGGTTTAAAATGCGAAATATATTAGATGAACTTTACATTAGGAAATACCCCCACCCCTACCCCATGCAGTCCTATGGTGACTACGGCTGCAGCAAATCATCCAAAATGTCGGGCCGTAGTTAAAATAACTTGTAATTAAGCTTGAATAATATATTTCCCGTTTTACCCGTTACAATTGTGTTATTTAAATACTACTACTTTTTATTTTCTTATTGACTCTACTATTTCAAGTAATGTTATCAGGAATGCGCCGTTCGGCTCAAGGCCCGACGCCAAGGAGCTGTGTCCTGTGCGGAGAAACTTCCAGGCTATTGGCCCCTCTACGGGTTTGCTTCATGTGCAGGAACTCAGCTTGTCCAAAATGTATCATTGAGACACCGCCACACAAGCAAGTATTTAATATTTTTAAAATCTAATTGTCAAAGGCAGCCTTAGGAGGTAATGAAAGTCTGTATATCTATACAAATATATAAAGCTGAAGAGTTTGTTTGTTTGAACGTTGTATGCTCAGCAACTTTTGTGTTAGTTAGAACATTTATCGAGGAAGGTTATAGGCTATAAAACATCGCACTGTCACTAATAGGAACGAAGAAATAGAGAGAAATGTAGAAAAACGGAGAAAAACATTAATCTCTGTGGGTTTCCGAAGTCAGTTGCGTCAAGTATTCAAGATACCCAAAAAATATACATATATGAAAAAATGATTCCTCTAATAACTATACTATGCTGAAGTCGCTGACACAGCTAGTTAACAGACATTTTTACACATTACAGTAGAAAATATCTTGATTAATATTACATCAGCTCATTAAAATTTGTTAATGACGAGCGGGTCACGGAAACCCATGTGGTGCAGTGGTCGTACGCTCGAGTCCCGCTAGTATCATCTATTTTCAATACACGATTTTATTACTAATGTATTTGTCCCATAGATCGCATTTATATGCTCGAGAACAGTATATGTGTAACCTCTGTGCTGAAACTCGAGAGATGTGGAAGAAGTCTGGAGCCTGGTTCTTCAAATCGCTACCCAAATATGTCTTACCAGAAAGAAAGACGAAGTATAATGATACGGAATTTTCTAGATCTCTACAGGTTAGTTATTTTTATATACATTCTTATTTCTTAACTCTCTAACAATCTCAGTTCTTTAAAATTACTCAGTGCAAGTGCCAATAGTTTGAAAAATATGTAGCTCAATTGGTACGCAACGCTTTGATGCCGTTCGAATCTTGCCGTGTCTTAAGTTCGTTTCAATTTATAATCGATTTTTAATTGATATAGTAATTGGCTTCTTAAATACTGTCTATAGTTTACGCGAGTAGTACACATTTAAATAAAACACTTTAACAGTTTAAAACGCGATATATTAGTTAAACTTATTTGGAAATGATTTTTAACTTCGGCCCGACGTTTCGGATGCTTTGCAGCAGCCGTGGCCTTGAAACCCAAAATAAATTCTTAGTCTGGATTAAATAAAAAACTGACATTATTTTTATTGGTGATTACACTATGATTACATGCCCCTAAATAATAAAATCCATATAAAAGTAATAGTTATACTCGTAAATATTATTTAGCTATTAGGATGTCAGAAGTACCCAAGTACATAGATATATTATACTACCTACTGCTAATGAACTCAAATATCAGGGGTAACGAACCGGGAAAATCTCACAGCAATTACGAAGGGAATTATTTCCATCCACCCAAATACTCAATTGCTTTTAGGATAATGTAATATCGCGTTTCATTTGTTCCTACAAGACGGAGGATCAAAGTCATTCCACTTGGTGTGTTATTTAGAAGATATGATTAAAATGAAAAACCTAGGAGACAATTTTAAGATCTTTATACCAAAAACTGTTCGTCTATCAAAGAAATGAAACGTCATTAAGCTGAAACAAATGAAAAGTATTCGTGTAAATTATAAATATATGATACGAGTGGGACTGACAGTCAGGATCACAGTATTTCGTACTATTTGATAAATTTAAAATCCAATTTTAATTTTGAAAATAAAACCCGTTCAGAGTGTTTTATTTAAATTTGTACTACTCGCCTAAACAATAGACAATTTTAAATGTATAATAATAACACTTGGATACATACAACTAAACTCACATAGATAGTGATTTTGTGTTGAATGCTTTTATAGATATGTAAATAATTGATCAATAACATTTTACAATTTATATTAGTTTTGTATTGCACCTTTGAGAACTTCGGCCGTGGGAACAGATTGAAAAACAGCTGTTCGATTCCCTTCGTGCATTCAATTGAGTTAGGATCCCGAGATGCCACAAAACCGACGTTATCGGGTAGGACGGTACTTCAATTGGTTAGAGCAACAACACGGAACGCTGTAGATGCCATTTTAAATCCTGCCTGCAAAATTTATTTAATCTAAAATCGCTAAATTATTTCTTTTATTTTTCTATAGGAAGCGGGTAACAGCAGCAACGAGGGGAAATCAGATTCTGAGCCAAGCTCGCCTTTAAGCCTCCACCCACCGATGTTCTCAAGACAGCCGAGCAGTACGGATAGCAGGCGATCTGTCAGTATATCGCAAGTAAGTGTCTTTCCGGATCCGGCAAACGTTGTTTTGTTGTTTGCAAAAATTATATTGTTATTTTTATACAAGCAAATAATCGGTAATAATGTATTGATTTTTTCATTTTTAAATTCCTTAATTTAATATTGACCTATATTCAAATCATTTAATTGACATTTAAAAAAAATGACTCAAATGTAAATAACAATAAAAACACTAGGAACTATTAGGCAGATTAGGAAATAGATTACTTTTTTTTTTTGATTTACTTTAACTGCATTAATTTAAACCACATTTAACAGCCCTCTTGCGAATTAATTATAAAAGATATACATACAAAGGGAACATTCCTTAATATTATTTTATTTGTTGAACCGGTTTCGCACACACAACGGAAGCCTTTGAGGGCGTCTCAACTAATAATTTCTTTTTTCACATTTACATCGTTTCGTCGCTCCTATTGGCAACAAGATGTTACAGCCTTCATTAATAGATGGTCTATCTAACACAAAAACAATTACAACCAGTTACTGAGATAAGCGCGTTGAAACAAACAAACTCTTTAGTTTTTTACTATTAGTGTGGGTAGTAATATTCCCTAAGGATATTCCGATTGTCCAAAGTAAAACGCGAAGAATATTAATATACTTCTAAACTTGAAATTATTTTGAACTAGAGCACGACGTTTAGAAATATTATTTTTAACCGTTAAAAGTGGATTTATTGAGTATTCAATTCGTAGAATAAATTGAAATGAAAAAGGCTACACCGACAAAAATATATCTTTAACTGACTAATAAAACGAATTGACGAGTGAATAAAACTTATTTGATTGAGATATCAAATGGTTCCGTCTGTACGGTGTCAGATAGTAAATCAGATCGTCCTTATGTAAATGCCAGTGGAAATAACTCTGAAGCTTTAGGTCAAGGCTTCGTCTATTTGTAGGCGTATCTGCTGTCTCTTTCAATTTCAGCTGTAAAAGGCAATTTACATTCAAAAGAACGATCAAGAAACATTGTATACGTCAGTTTAATTACGAAACCTTTCACTTGATTCCAGTGTCTGCCAATGGCAATGTATGGCTAATAATCCACAGGCCGAGGGTTCGATTTTCACCGGAACCAATATTTTTCTAATCAATTTATAGTGCTTCTGAAATATGTTGGACTTCATCTGGCAATCTGGATTGTAAATGGGTGGTAGGAATATCGACATTTCCGTCCTGGTCACAAACCACCATCCACAGATACAAACCGTAAAGAATAATCGCGTTTCGGTTCCAGTCTGTGTCTTTTTGACTATCCAAAGAAAAATAGGCCAACAGCGCATTTGTCAAGATGTCTATAGCTGGAGTATTTCGCCTTCTAACAAGTAAATATCACGATTGTCTGTCATTAAAACAATCAAACAACGTTTAAAAACATTTATAAATGTCACAAATAACATTTACAATTTGCGATAGGGGAAAGTTTAGCAACGGCGAAAATGGATTTCGATTACAACTTACGAATTTATCGTTTTATCTATCGTTGACCCCATTTTCCGAGCATCTATTTTCTAATTCAAATGGATTTTACCTTTGGCTATATTCATATTTATTTTGGAAACATCAGTCTTGTAATGTGGAATTTTATTATTATTATTTTCTTTCGGGGACACCTGTGGTAGGACGGGTGATCAGTCCACGTTATCAGCTGACCATTTCACCCATTTCCCCATTTCCTCCTTGTAGAGGTTTTGGGTCATCCAACTCTCCCCGTGTCCCCTTCAAACCTTCCGGTTTGCTTGCAGAATCTTATTATTTTTTCCATCTGTAATTCTTTAATCTCATCTTCTGTAACTTCGTCCGAACCCATATGTGTTTGTCTCAGTCTCGAGTATGCAGAGCATTCAGTGAGCAGATGGATGCTTGTTTCCTCACTTTCTGTGGAATGAACATTTTTATCTTTTCGCAGATTATAAAATTTCATAGAGAACTTTTTAATAGCCACGTATATGTTCAATGACGCGAACTCAACTATTTTTAAATCAGAATAAATTTAGTATGAAACATGCATCAGTGGTGGAATGATCAAATGCTTTAGTGTCATATATCGTGGGGCAAAGGATAAAAGTCATCAACTTGAGTTATTAGTGAAAAAAGTTTTCAGTTTTGCATGAGCAATGCTCCAAATCACGCATACATAAATATTTATATAAAAATAAAACATTAATATGAGAAACTAAACATTACATGTTGCCGGGCTCATTAGTGAAATAAGATCAATGGCTACTAATCAACGGGTCGTGGATTCGATTCGCATCGGGTCCAACATTTTTCTTTCCAATTTATATTTTTCTGAAACTTTCAAAGTAAATGGGTGGTAGGAATATCGAAATTCGTCGTCGTCTCACGAACTTCCGTCCACAGATAAAAAGCCTAGTTCTATCGCGAATATATAAAGCCAAAATAGGTATTGCTTGTCTGGCTCGTCTACCATGAAAGAAAATATTGCTTTTATCAAAGCTTCAATTTTCAAAAGGCAATATCTTTAGGCAAAACAAAATAAAGCTTTACGGTAAACTAAGAGCAATGTTCAATATTGAAGGCTGAAGCCAGAAAAGTAATTAAACTTTATCACTGATGTAGGGCGCTATAAAAATTGACTCTAATAAAGCTTGTAGCTGTTAATTTAATTGCTACTGGGAAGAGTCAAACAGTAATAGTGGTTTTAACGTATTCGTATGTGCGTCAGTATAGTGTCATTGTGTACTCACTGAAATGATTTAATATAGCACCAGTGACTATTTACGTCTTTGTTCTTTGTAAGAGAAAGAAAGAGACCGTCCGCATCCCATCGTTTTTGCAAGTTAATCTTAAAAGATAGACAAATACCGTCGCGGACATTATTTAGATCATTTAAGGAGTAATCATTCTTTTATTCATATTTTTATGGGTTTCTTGACCCGTTTACTGAACTAGCTTTCTGGAAAATTACCCGGTTTTTTCCACACTTCCCACTGTATATCGCTTCTATTGCTCTCATCGTATCTCAGCCTTCCTCAATAAATACTCTTACCAAAACAAACAAACAAATCAATTCGAACCAGTAATTTCTGAGATTAACACGTTCAAACAAACAAACTCTTCAGCTTTATATATTAGTATAAATGAGTATAGTAAAGGGAAAAACTGAATCCCAAGGAGGTTTAAGTTACCACTTAGTGTTCTATAAATAAATGGCACAGAGTGAAGAAATACGTAATTTTATTACGAGTTGACGTCACGTATCACCCTTCATCCGCACAGGCCACCCTCAATTAAGCGAAGATAAATCAATAAAACTTCCTCTCAAGTAGTTTATTGTTCGCTCCAAATTGTATCATTTATTGAGACACGGTTTCATAACGATATTCGTGTCTGTAGTTTAGGCTGCCTCCCCGTGACCACGGCTGCTGCAAAGCACCCGTAAAAGACGAGTCATAGTTAAAATAAATTTCAATTGAGTTTAACTAATATATATCGCGTTTTAAACCCTAAAAGTTGTTTTTCTAACGATATTTGTTTTATACAATTTATAATGGCACTAAATTAAAAATTGATTATAACTTAAAAAATATCGACACGGGTCTTACGTTCCGAGCTGTTGCTCTAACCACGGTAGGTCAATTGGTTTGTACTATTCTTTAATAAATTCTTAACTACAAAGCGTAAATAAAAATAAAATGTACACTTGCCTTAATGCCCGATTTAAATTGAAAAACTATTTTTGTATCTATAAATATTTTTGACTTAGTCTGGAAATCTGGATATTAAAGTGTCGGTAGTAATATCGAAATTCTGTACTCCTCTTTAAAAAAATAGATGAAGGGAAATATGTACTTATTTATCTCTTAATTACCACCAAAATAAAACAGTACATAAACGACTTTACTTTACTGACTAAGCGCTGCCTGATTTCTATTAAAATCCATTTTGTATAAGTCTATCACTTTTGGAATTAGAGAACCGTTTTTTGTTTACATTGGGAGATTACTTCGGAACCCTTCTATCTATCCCTTGACTTCTATCTTATTCTATCTATAGACTTAGGCGTCTGTTTTGAACTACAAAAAGGGTTTAATCTTTTATATTGTTATACCTACATTTGTGACATATTTATATGTCTGTTTTTCTTTTATTTATAACGAAAGAAATATTGTAATACTGACATTTTTTGTTAAATATTAACGTTCGGTTGAAATAATCTATTTTCTTGATTAATGTAGTCTTCACTTGACGATAAAACAATTATACTTTGTGATTATATACTTTGGAACTTTCATTTAATATATAAATGACTAAAAATATTTATAATTATTATTATTCTAACTACTTATTATAAAATATTTTCAACTGTTGGGTGTGAATTCTGAGAATATAATATTATCGTTTACATTTTTTAACGCTTTTGTCGATGTAAACCGCAAAATATATTGGTTCGGATCAAACGGTAACATCTAACAGTATTCAAAAGTTCGTGCTATAGTAAAAAATAAGATACTGAAACATTTCTTCTCTTAAATCGTTAAGAATGTTTTATTTAATTACATATATACAATTACCATGATACTCGTTCTTGTGTCATACTATTTTTAAAATTTATGTCCAAACTGAAATAACTACGTACTCTTTCACTTTTGTGCGGAGGCCGGAAAATCTAGAACTTCAAAATGAAACTCTGAAAATTTGCAAGCTATTTGAAACTTTTAGATAGAAGTGCTTTGAAACTGCAATGCTTAGTGGAAAAGTTCGTCACAGGTCGTATTTTAATGCGAAAATGTTTACTAGGAGTTTTAAATTTTTATATTACTTATATAATGTACTCAGGTACTCATATAGTTAGTATGTATAATTACAGGCAAGAAATCGTTCAGATATTTTGCCCTGACCCGCCCAAATCTATTGTGTTGAAAACTTTAATCTTTTTCTATATGAATAAATAAATAAATTATAAATTGAAAAATGTTCGACTCGAGCAGACTCGGCATCCACAGCGTTCCGTGCTGTTAACAAATTGAGTCCGAGTGAGTTTTAATTTATCTATTATGTTTCCAGGGATCCAAACCCTCCCCAAGGACCTCTCGCGATTAACACAATGATTTACAAGTCGTTGAGATTATATTTGAAAAGGACTATAGTAATTCTGTATTCAATTAATTGCATGGTTATTGACCACAGAGGCTTTTAAGAAATCTTCAAATTAGTGTTACGTTACAGTAACTTATAAAAAACATGTTGTTAACAATGTTTGTAGTGTGTACTTACCTTTCTTTCTATCCCTCTCTAATAAATGTCTTTTCAGGACGCGCATTGTGATGGTGAAACTGAAAACCTTACGCACGGCGTCAGCGGGTTGAGTCTCCATAGAACAGATAGCTTCAGCCAACGGTCGTTTGGTCTGAAACGCACAGGGAGTAAAGGCAGCGCCTACAGTCTGCGGAGTACAAGAAAGGATCCACCAAAACCGACACAGGTTGAAAGACCACCAGTAATCCCAGATGCGGGTTTCGGAACTTTGGAGATTAGGCTCGCTTATGAAAATGGGACGTCGTCTCTTGCGGTCTGTGTTTTGAGAGCCAGAGGTCTGATTGGCATGGATATGACTGGGCTGTCTGACCCGTTTTGTAGATTAGAAGTGTTACCTACAGGTGAGTAGATTTATATAAAGGACGGTAAGGGAAAGATTTAATATTACAAACATCAATGAATGTTAGTTATATCAGTATCTAGTTACTTATTCGTTCACATTCAGTAGAGGCAGAGTATCTCAGTAAATTTACAATAGCACAGTGACCGAAAATTGTTCATAGAATTCTTACACAAATAAATGTATTTTCGCCGAGGTTAATTGCACATTATTATTTTCCTCCTTATTAAAAATCATGTTTTTTGTTACTACGCCATCTTGCCTCTAGCAGACTCATTTGTATTTCCATAAAGGTTTGTATTAATAATGGATCGTTTGATTGTAGAGGGAACGTATTCAAATAGATTAAGGACGAAGACTGTGCACAAAACTAAGAATCCAGAATTTAATGAAACCCTTCACTTCTTCGGTATCACGGAATCCGATCTTAATACCAAATCATTGGAGATTGTTGTTTTCGATGATGACAGGTATACATTATATTTTAGTTGCATTTTATATATTTTAAAAGAAAACCTGTAAAAACCTTTACTAGTTATTAGTATATTTCAAATTAAAGCACTCGTACTTTTAATATTATTATTGGTCTCTTATAAGTACACTCTTGTAGACACGGTAACTCAATTGGTTAGAACAACAACACGGAACGCTGTGGATGCCGGTAAAGGCCTGCCCGTGACGTAATTTTTTTATTTTTTTTTTTAATTTAAACTCTTATAGTTATGTAACCTCAACATTCTACTATACTAATCCTTCCTTTTTAACTACTCTTTTACTATTTAAGCCATCTCTCTAGAACTCTCTCCCTATTGATAGCGATAAGGCCGTCTTATATTTATTAATATTTATAAAATACTGTCTATAGTTTACGCGAGTAGTACACATTTAAATAAAACACTTTAACGGTTTAAAACGCGATATATTAGTTAAACTTATTTGAAAATGATTTTTAAATTCGGCCCGACGTTTCGGATGCTTTGCAGCAGCCGTGGTCACGGGGAGACTAATATATCGCGTTTGAAACCGTTAAAGTGTTTTATTTTAATATTTATAAGTTTTTTTAATAAAACAATTTCTCTCCTCTCCTAGATACGGTTGCGATGAAATGGGTTCCGCAACGGTAGCGCTGCGTGAATGTTCCAAATCTCCAGCGCAGCTGCGTTTAGCATTAGCAGGACCTTCTGGTACAGAACCGAGTGGTCCAAGGCTTCTATTGGCTCTGTGCTATAACACCAAGAGAAGAGCGCTGGCTGTTACCGTTTGTAGAGCCGCTGAGTTACCACCGCAAGATAGTAACGGGTACTCCGACCCGTTTGTCAAGATGTAAGTCCAGAACTTTTATATAAAGAAAAATAATGGTTTTTGATTGTAAAGCTTTATACATAGCTAGTTGACCGGGCCAAAGTTCTTTTGCTATATGACCATAATATTACAACATAATTTGATTTAAAAAAAAAAACCGTTCTTGTGTTGTCTTTAAAGATGAATAAATTAAAAAGATCTTTTATAAATATGTTTGCGTATCCTAAATAGTTTTCGCAGCGTACGCAACGAAAATCCATCAAAATTAGTAATTTTCCTCGTTCTTTTCATTTTTCCATCTGTTTCTTCGCTCCTATGAGTGGCAGCGTGACGTGAACCCAAAATCTAATTATTACATCTTCTTAATTAATAATAACATTAAAAAGATCATTAAACCCCGACAATTTTCTTCAGACATCTGGATCCAGACCCGTACCACAAGAAGCACAAAACTTCAATTAAATGGCGTAACTTGAATCCAATTTGGAATGAAGGATTCTTCTTTGAAACGCGCCTGACGGAGTTGTCGCGACAGAATTTAACATTAACTGTTTGGGATAAGGATTATGGCAAACCGAACGACTTCCTCGGATCTTTGGTGTTGGGTTCCAGCAGTAAGGGCAGAAGATTGAAGCACTGGATGGATTGCATCAAGTTTCCTGATCATCGTCATGAACAATGGCACTCTTTGACAGATACACAGCATATTTAAATAAACATTATGTAATTGCGGGACATCCATCACTGGAACTAGAAAATGTTTGACCTTCTTCCTTTACAACTGATTACATATTTTGTTAAACTAGCTAGCTAGCTAACTCGTAGCGTTTTTAATGGCAGACGACTGACTAGTTAAAACTCACTTGATGAAATGTTCATTGTTGGCTTTGGGCATACTGAAACTGAAACGCGTTTGAACTTCACGGCCTTGTGGTGGTTTGTCAACCGGACTGAAATTAAATATTTCTACCACCCATTAAATATTAAACTTTTGCAGATGTGTCAAATTATAAATTTAATGTGTTAGATACAGAAATCGGTACCACGACCCGTTAATTATTAACGATACATCGCCATTAAAGCAAAAAGCCCGTCAAGTTATTAGATACTTCCGCTTCTAAAGACCCCTACCATCGCCTTGCTTATGATATGATGTGTATAGGAGATTTACCATATTTAAAAAACTATATAGATACATAGTTCTATATTTTTATAATAATTCTTAGTACTTCGTATAAACATTAATAACGTCATATATGTGCCAAATTAAATTTTTACATTTATATTAGCTTTTACATAAATCACCCCTATTTTTGGGATCGTTACATCTTGAACAAATAATGTCTTCAACCTTTACTTTTATTAAATTTTAGCCCAATTTGTGTTTCTTTTTTAAAACAATAAAAATACAATTACATTGTTTTATATTTAATATTAATAACATATGACCCAGGAAACTATGTATTAATTATTTGTTACATAACAATTTAATTATCAATAATATCATATATATTTAGACAGCCATAATTGTGAATATATGGTTTGAAATGGTAAGAATTGAGATCTACAGTGAAAAGGATGTATTTTTAAATAATTATAAAATATACCTACTTACTACTACTTAAATAAAATATAATACTATTTTAATCATGGAGAGCGCAATTATTCGTATTATTGTATTCCTCGTGTTTCTAAAACTAGAAGTTAATATTATATGAACGAACCCAAAGGGAAGCTTAAACTAATACGCGAATTATGACTTTTGGCAACACTGGCTGTCAAAACTACAGAGTATACAAGCCATAGGTTACTTAAAAGTTGAGCCTAACTTAAGTTTGTACTACTCTATTCTCAGTACTTTGCAATAGTTTCAACTTTCAAGTTTATGTGAAAACCTGATAATGAACGATAAAATGAAAACTCGTTGATAATGTTACTGAAAAGAATGATAATTAACTGAGTAGTGAATAAAAAAATGTACTAAAGATCTATTAAAAATGGCATTCTTATGTCCCGTACGAATTCGCCGTGGAAAAAAGAAAAAATGTAAGTTAAAACTTTAACGCGACGAACTTTCTGTGGAAAAACTGCAAATGTCAATGACCTCAAACTTTCCTTAGTTTTGTATCATAATTAATAAACTTAAGTAATAGGTATTTCTTCTCTAAATTGAACCTTTTGGCCAAATGATTACTAAACATGCGTTAAGCTAACTTACTTAAAACCTGTTATAATATTCCTTAAAAAACTTATTTTAAGTTGGACTAAAGTTATAATTCTCATGCATAAATTTCATTTCAAATTTCAAAAGTGTGTTTCAAAAATTTACTTAATTAATTGTGGGCAACAATTATAATTTTGTAGCAAGCAGTGGAGATTCAGAGAAAGATCTCTCCAGGCCTGGTTCCGGGTTAAGTCCCGGTATGGGTAGAATTACGGGCTCAGCGAGTATAGAAACATTAGTGAGAGTTGGCATTGAAAAAGAACATGGGCTTAGTCCAGACTCAAAAATGGTGGTCCTTCATGATTTTGCTCCGTGTGTTGATGATGAACTTGAGGTAATGTGAATATTAAGTATAAAAACGGAAATTAACACTTCTCTTATAATTTACTAGTTATTGACATAATTGTGCTTAAAGAGGACTTGCTAGTTGTTTTATATAAACCACATCCATTTTATTAGGCAAAAAATAGGTATTTGTCCCTTGCTAATCTTTGAGTTGTTTGAAGTTAATTAAATATTTCACGCTCATGAAGACACATCAATAACAATTTATATTGCAGGTAAAAAGAGGCCAAATCGTTAATGTATTGTATCGAGAGAATGATTGGGTATATGTAATAGTTGCTGAGTCTCGAAGAGAAGGTTTTATTCCACACTCTTATTGTGCACCTTGTGAACATCATGACTTAAAGAAGAAGCTTCCCAGGAGTCGGTCACCAACTGACTTGGCAAACAGGGATGTTTCACAGTAAGACCTTTGCATTATAAACATCCTTGCCTTCAAACAGACTTTAGTTTAAACCTTATTATTTAATTACTAGTATTCGAGTATCCTTATTTTATCAGGTTATTTTTGACTTTTCCTATATTTTTGTTGAGTTTTGTTTAAAAACATAAATTTAATTTAATCAATTGAATTGTACTACTGATAAAAGGATTATAAATAAATTTAAAAGGGATGCAAAACAAATATGCTTCCAAAGAATTTTGTTCTTGTTTCTCACAACTAAGCTTTAAATCTCGATACTACTATTAAGTTAATTTATTATTTTTAAATACATTAATTACCATTTTTAGATTATCCCTATCAGATGGAGCAACAAATGACGGCCACTCTGAATTAGGCAGCGAAGGAGATGCCTGTCCATTCTCTAAGGATCCCTCGGGGAGATATGTTGTGCTCTATACTTTTACTGCAAGGGATGAAAATGATGTTGATGTCGAGAGGGGTGAATTTGTCACAGGTTTGCTTATTCATTTATGTGCTGATTACCGGATTCTTAAATAGCCTATAATTTATAGTGTCCACTGCTGGACATAGGCTCTCCCCAAAAACTTCCCATACAACCTAGGTATATAATAAAGTAGGGGCGAAGACTTTTACTAGGCTAAAGTGTAAGTAAGTAAATTGTAGTGGCTAAAGTATCTCCGAATATCCAAAGACTACTATCTACTTTGCCTTCCATCAAGTGAAAACCGTGCTTGTCCATCCTCCTCTAGTATAAAGAGAATTTGAATTTGTTATCACTTTCCTTATGTTAATATAGTACATACAAAAAAAATCAAAACATCAATGTACCATTGCATAGTCAAATCTCACATGAAATTTTAAATATTCATAGTAGGTATAATATGATTTTTTTGTTATCCATGTTTTTTCGCTATTTTCAGTTTTGAATAGAGAAGACCCAGACTGGTATTGGATTGTTCGAAGTGATGGACAAGAGGGATTCATTCCATCTGGTTTTGTGTATCCTGCAGTTGTACAAGGTAATATTGTGACTAGATAAAAGTTTCCATTTAGTAATTGCATACATAAGAACATATATACAAATAATAATTATATAATTTGATATTGATAGTAAGATTTTTTTAATAATAAATATTTTTAAAACCATCTTAAGCTTACTTAATTAGGCAGCGAAGCTAAAAGCAAAAAGGAGTGTAAAAGGCTTACACTCCTTTTTGTTAAGCTTCTTGTATTGAACCCTTAATATAATTAGTAACCCTAATAATGAATTTCATTTTAGCTGCACAACATGAACCTACAGCGACCCATGTAACACAAGTCAAGGCAAACAACAGTATGACGAATAGCTCAAGTCACAATAACACAACTCAGCAGGATAACGATGGTCGATATCATGGCACAGAACTAGTTATGCTCTATGATTATAAGGTATATCTCTATAACATACAGAATTACTATCAAACATTATACAACTTTCATATTGTACGCTTTTATTTGATACCATTCATTGATTCTAAGCAAAAATGCCAAATGTTACATTTTTTGCCCCGGAGCCCCTCTTGAGATGTTTAATTTTATTGTATACTTGCTGTGCCCCGTCACTTTGTCCTGGTGAAAAAGTTGTTTTGGGCACCATATTATTTATTTATGCAAGCAAATTCCCCAGCTTAAAAAAACTATTGCACACAACTTCGTGCGCGTTCCGTCGTTGAAGTTTTTATATCATTTAAAGAATAGGTATCCTTTCATACATATTTTTTGAGCTATTTCGCAGCGCACACCAGGGCAGTCCTCAAAGATATTCCCCGTTTTTAGTGTTTCTTGGCTCCTTTTGGTCGCAGTCTGTTATATTATAGCCTAAAGCCGAGGAATAATTGGGTTAACCAACACAAAAATAATTTTTCAATTCTAACCAGCAGTTCTTGAGCTTAGCGCGTTCGAACAAACAAACACTCAGCTTTATAATATAGATTATGAAAGTATAAGTTTAACATAATAAAAATTGATTTCTTCCTTTTATATATTGCTTTAATAATTATTCCAGGCTCAAGCTCCAGATGACTTATCAGTGAAACGCGGTGAATGGGTCTACGCAGACCTCACTCAGCAAACGGTGGAGGGGTGGCTATGGGCCCACGCACCCAAATCCCGGAGATCCGGTTTCATCCCCACTGCATATGCGCGTGCGCCGCATACTACGTCACTTTAACTAAAAACTCGACGGATCCTTGTTCAACAATATTGTCATTTTTAACTTAGCTAAGATTTTTCTGTGTATTATACTCTTATTTAATAAGAAAAACAAATATCTTGCCACTAAATTTATTGACTACTTTTTGAATCTCATTGTAGATATATTTTTTTTATTATAGTTGTACTGCTTATATTTTAGCTGATCAAGGCCATATTCTAATTTAAATTGTATATTTTTAAATATAGTTATAACTTAAAGGTTGTTAAAATTTGCATTTAGGTGTTGTCCGTCCAAATTGTAACTGCGCTTCCCATTTTCTATTAGTTTTTAATAAATATATTTTTAAAATCACCTGTTTTTTTATTTATTATATTATATTTATTTTTCTTCTTTAAGGTAAAATACAGAAGAAAACTTATATCCTTTTAAAATGCATTTTTTTTTTGTTGTGCTAATCTGTTTGTTCTGGTACTTCTGGTCCGAATATTAAGAAAAATCATAAATAAAACACAAGTTTTAATCTACAGTAAATTTAAAACCACAACCAATCTAATCCAATAAGATATTTTTCTTCTTTTGTTTAGCTTGTTGCTTTTGTTTGTCTCTTAATTTCCATTCCTGTAACTGCTGTTCAACCTTCGCAATATCTTGTTCGTTGACAGTTATTGGTAATTGTAGTTCAATTTGTTCGCTCCTTATAAATTTGAGGGTGTTCAATTTCTCTTGAAGGAAAGGTCCCTGCTGACTCTCTAATAGGTTTCTATAATCTGAAAGTTTCTTATTACGGATATCGTCACAGTGCATTTCAGTCAGTTTCCTAAGAGATTCCTTTCGCGTAAGTTTGTGATATGTCCTAAAACATAAAATGAGACATTATGTATGTAAATTGTAACAAATAAGTTACGGTTTTTTTTACACACTATATACTTAAAAAGGCAAATGTCGATTATTGTCCCCCAATAGAAAATAATAACTTAGAAAATATTGTTAGGAAAAAGAAATCAAAATTTATTGTGTGTAAAATCACATTTTGCAAGTTATTGTCGCATTGGTGATCAAAGTTACTATTACTGTGTAGTATATTCATACTACACAGTATGAATAGAGTAGAATAATAACTCACTCGGGATGTCCTTTGTATTCAATATTTAATTTCTCCAGCAGCCATTCAAACTTCTTGTAATCATACTGTCTTAAGAATTTCAGAAGCTTCTTTCTTCTGTCTATTAATTCTTGAACTAATTTCTGCAAATGAAAAATTATAACAAACCAACTTAGATTTAGAGCTGTTTAGTCGTCAAATAGGATTTTTAAACATTAAACATACCTTTGTGTTGACATTTTTGGGATGTAACTCCATTGTTTCCTGGAGACATCTTATATGCCCAGTTATTCTAGCAACTGCAAATTATAACTTCATTATATTATTGTTATTGACTTGGTCATTTAAAAATTGTTGCAATTATAGTAATATGAAAGTATATTAAGAAGATGACGCATCAAACATGCTTTTTTCAAGTGTTACATAATAAGGAATGTATTATAAATAATGATGAATGAAGATACTTGAACAGAAGGATTTGACTAGATATATTGCGATACATACTTCTCGTTTCAGATGTATTTTCATCATATTTGTGCCGTCTTACTCTGTCTATTAAGTCTTTTTGGACCAGAGTTCTGTACTCTTTTCTTCCTAGGTGTGCCACAGAGAAGATTTTTTTCACAGCTTCTGGAGCACTATAAACAATCAATCAAATTCAAATTTTGTTTTAACCAAGTTCGATGTAACACTATTATTGCACAGAGCCTCTACTTTATTTTTCTACTAAATAAGTTGCTTAAACTTAAGATTCCACCTAGTTTCAGCATTAATAGTTGCATATTCAATTTATGATAAACATAACCTAACTTTTTAAATTATTAGGGTGGATATATTACTTACTCTTTAATTTCGTCACTAAGACTAAAATCTAGGGCAGTAAACTTAACCGTATCTTTAGGAAGACCTTCTAAATCTCCCGATCTTTCTGGTTTATAAGCTGGCACATAATCTGGCCGGACCCACTTTATGTCTACTTGTTGTTTAATGCCACGATTTTGGATAACGAGTGAAGTGAAGCGCCTTAACATTATGAAGAAATATTTACGATAAAATGGTACGCTTTAATTGAATATTATTGTTTTCATAATATTTAAGACAGCTTTAAGCAAATAGATATTTTAACTTTTTTACTCAGATACATGACAATTGACTACGTTAACAGAGTAGAACAACTTTGAGAAGAATCACAGACTACCTCTAATCTGATATATATAAATTATGTATAGCTTTTTTTATATGTAAAAATATCTGGCTTGACACAAACTAAGATTTAAATATTACTTATTTTAGCGTTTATTTTTATTTCTGATCGGGGTGAGAAAGAAAATCATGAAAGTTATAACCACTCTTTTATTGCTTTTGCGATGATACAGCCACAAACTTACAATACTTAGCCGATTTTGTACTAAACGTACCACTCACATTAAGAATAACTAACTCATCACTCAAAAACTCTTTTGCTTCTGATTTCTAATAACATAGTAACATTCAATAAAAAATAAACAATCCATAATATGCAATACACCATGCAAAAATAACATTTAGGAAGCAAATTAAATTTGCACTTAAAAATTAACTCATTGACAGGCTACATAAAAATAACTTAGAATTTTCCGTTATCGGAGAGTTGTAACACTTCCATTGATTTTCATAATATGAGAAATTCACAATTTTAAATAATAATTATTAGAAAAAGATTTTGGTAATTTATTAAAATGTCATTGTATAAAATCAATGCAAGTGTCAAAGCTAGCACACATCTTAAAACTAGTCGCCTATCCGTTTATGATCACAATGAAACATGCACTCAAGTTAATGTATATGCTTTAAATACGCATAGAATGCGGCACAGCTTACCTTGGAAATTTTTCCTTAATAAACCAATCACTAAAACGAGTTAATATATTGTTTTCTCTTTTCCACCAACCACTACAAAGAACAAGGACACACAATAGTTAGGGTCCTCGTCAGTAGGCGTCAAATAAACTAAGGGCGCAATCAAGAAGCGCCATCTGTTCTGCCAATAACGTTCTATTGTCTTCTCCACTATTAACTCGTTTTAGAGAATTTATTACATCAATATCGTGAATATAGAAAAAATGTGAATAGTATTGCAATATGACAATGAAACTATATTGTGATTCTTACAATAAATTAATTAGAATATTTTAAACTTGACATTAACGTTTATAAGTAAAGTATTATTTACGATTATATGTTATAGCAATAAAATGTTTCATGGAATGTAGAAACATGTTAATATTTATATAAACTAATTATACCTATGTGAACACTGTTATTTATTTATTTTAGACATATTTTGCGAAGATAACTAAGTTATTATTTAATTTTTACAAATAAATAAGTGCTTATAAGAAGGAATGCTAAAACAAAGAAAGGTTAAGAATAATTACTTGTTTATAATTTAGACATTGAAAAGGTTTAGCTAGATAAAATGTAACGTGTAAATCTTGCGCTAAGGCAAACTGTAACTACAGGTGGTGTAATGTTTACTTAATACTTTTTTTTTTTATCATAACATCAAAATTGTGTATGAATATGGGGCATATTATTGTGACCAATATTAATCCAATATTTTTGGCACTGTACTTTTGTGTTTTAGCAACTTTTAATTTTTATAACAATAACACACGAAATAATAATTAACGACAGTTCCGAAAAACAAAGAAATCGTTAATAGCCTTAATCGTAAATAATTAACTACTAATTGTATAATTTAAATACAACTTAATCCTAAATAAACTAGAATAGTTTTGACTGTTACATTTGTAATGGTAACACATCATATTTACTTAAGATACAGTAGTCATACTCAATAATGTCTTTTACGATAATTATAAAATAAAATATTATACCAAGAGTGTGATACAACACAATTAAGTTTACCATTTGGTTTAGTTTCTTATTCATTGTTGACTACATATTGCTTATAAATTATAATAAAATAATTAATGAGCTGTGGAATATAGTTTGCTTAATTACTTAATTGGTGAAGAAACTTCGAACAAGGAATATAACTTATAACGCTCTTAAGATACGGTGCTATTTAGAACTACACACTTGAGGCTAATGAAAATTAATTCATTAATTTGTCACTATGCTTTTAAACAGAAAATTATCGTACATAATATATTTCTATACGGTAAATAAATATCCTACCGCATTGTGCGTTTTTTTAAGTTTTTTAAAGGGATATTTTTTTAGAGTATGCCTTTGAAAGTCTGTTTCTCGAAAAAATGTACTAAGCTAGAGATTAACTTTTCCAGAAGGACAAACAAAGCAAGCCTTACAAAGCTTATATGAACATTATAAGTACGATTATTTTTACGACATAACTAACGTTTCATATCCGATCCCTTTCACATTGGACGTAAAATTTATCCTATTAATCTTCACAATTGTTGGAAAAATATTTTCTATTCACCTCTAATGCAACTTAACTATTCATAAATTCGAATCTACTAACACTACTGCGGTTAATAACCGGGCAAGATATAATCTGTCGTGCATCAGCTGCTTTTAAACTACAGCCCACACCATTGCACAAAAAATACTCTTTTTCGCATTTCGGTAAATAATGGAAATCAAAACGATAGTGGTAATTTAAAACTGTTAAATTACCACTATCGTTTTGATAAGCGTGTTCAAAATACGGGGTAAATAATAATAATATAAATGAGGTGTAGCTCCACATAAGCCTTAGCCAAAACAACCATAGACTGAAGCCGAATCGAAAATTAAACATATTCACAAACGGTCATATAATCAATCTAGCATTATAAAATAACCGTTAATTTTTTTGACTTATCAACAACGTTTATACGATTGCGTAATAAAAAAAGGTAACTCCATAGATAGTTAATTGCGATAAATGTATAAATCGAATACTATATAGACATACATTTTGGACAGCTTAAAAGTGTAATCAAAATAATTTTGACATTTTAGAGAAACAGAACAAAAAAAAAGTTACCTTAAATGATGAAAAAAATAATAATTTAAATCCCCAAATTGAGTTATTAGACAGTTTAACTATTCTGTTACCCTTCTTATGCCATTGTAAGCATGTCCATATTATAAATAGCTAATAGTCTATACTTGCTTTAGTCTATGGTGTTAGCATTCATCATAGATAATAACGCACCACAGCGTATGTGCTACGCGAATACTACCGAGGTCGACGAGGTTTATCTGTTCTTCGCCGGGCTGAAAGAAATAATTAGTTTTTTAGGTATGTTCTTCAAATGGAGGTTAAAAGGCACCACTTCTGGTAACTTTTTAATTGCATAAACCGAAAGTCTACTTTAAATTACAAATCGGAACCAATACTAAATATTGTATTTTTTTGTACTAAAACTTTGATAAAACGGTAAGATACGACGTCTGTCAGTGTACTTCTGTGCAGTATGTTAAGCATCTTAGAATATTTGAAAACATGAATATTTTTCACATGTTATTGCACATGAAGGCACTATATAATTTAAAGATCGAAAATAAATTGAAAAAAATTCTCGACTCGGGCAGGACTCCGTGCTGTTGCCGTGGAAAGCTGACGATGTCGGTTCAAGTCCTGCCCGAATCGAGAATTTTTTCAATTTATTTTCGATCTTTAAATCATCTTAGAATACTTAACATACACTTTACACATTTAAATACATCCAAATTGTTTTTGCTCAGACTAGTAAATATAGATACAATAAAACCACTGTACTCAAGAGTTTTAGATTAAAGAAAAAGATAAAAATTGAGAAAAAGCAAAAATGTATATTTTTATTATAAACCCACCATGACCGACCGCCTCGGCCGGCGCTTTCGACCCCTAATCCTTCTTCTTCCCCTTTTTCTTGCCCGAGCGTTTGCTGTAGTTCTGCGCGAGCGCATTCACTATCGACACCACAAAGTACAGGACCATTGCCAGCACAAACTTCTCTAAGAGACTCGACAGAACGGAGCCCTGATTGTCTGTTGGGGGCGCGTTTTTGTGCAGTTTCGCTTTCTGGTTGCGCAGAAATTCCAGTAGAGGCGCCTCTAGTTTCGGTCCGATGTATGGGACTCTTTCAACCCATTGAAGGACTTGTCTATAAAAAAAATTGTGCTAAGTAACAATCAACATGTAGTTTTGGGTTAGACTATCGAATCCAACATGTTGGGCTTCGGGTGGAAAATCTGGATATTACATTAATCGTATGAAATCTTTATTCTTTTCCGGTCACAAACCATCTACCATAGACGAAAATAGAGAGATACAAGTAAACTTCATGCCTGTTTACCCCCCTCGTTCATTAAATAAGAAGAGCAATAGAGAAATTGCGTTCTAGGCTATCACATACTACAGCTACGGTGTATTAAAAATAACGTAAATGATTTCGACTTACCCAACAAGTGTTTCATTAAAAGCGATTATAACAAACATCTTCTGTATATGCATCTTGATAACAGCTTTTCCGAGTAACGTCGCGCCGAAGAATGTCCAAAAAGGCACGAGGAAGTGGCCGCAAGTGAGACCGGCTAAGTCGAAAAGAGGATTTGGAATCGACGCACACGCAAGGATTCCAGCAAAACCGACTCTTTGCACCAAGTTTTGGATCATTACCTTTGCCCTGGAAAAAGAAAATACAGTTCATAAAACAATATTGCTTGAATTTTCTTGGTAATATTGTATACAATTTGTTTAAAGACTGAAACTTATTAAATGCACAGAAACACATGACAATTACATTTTTCAGTCTTCCTTTAATATATATTTTTAAATGAACAATATACAGTAACTGACCATATAGTGCTATCGCAAGTCACAATAAAAAAATATTTCCATCAATTACGATTTTAGAGCAACTCGAAAACCCATTTTAAAATAGTCTGAATTTTATGCGAGTCTTTTGACGGTTTAAAATGCGGAATATGTTTGATAGCTTATTGATTTTAAAAAAATTATTGGATTACAGCCTTGTACATACCTGCCAGTCTTTGAATCGTCGTTAGCTGTGAGTTCTGCGACCCCACCGCCCGAGAGACGCGCGGCTCGAGCCATGAAATATGGGGGGAGTTCTCCCAACGCTGTACCCATTCCCCACATCATTGACTCGATGCGGACTTTGGCCATGATATTCCATATCGACACCGTATTCTGCGGGTCGATTTCGGCAGGACATATAATGCTGAAAAGAAATCGTGTATCATTTTTTAATCTTTGCTATTTCGAATATATAATTATTATCGTATTTTGCAGTAACCTTATTTAATAATTTCATAAACATTTTATCGACGTATAGAACGTCCCAATATCAGAAGGCAATTGCAAAAAAACAATTGAAAGAAAGAAAAAAGTTTCATGAATAAAAATGCCATACTCGTTAGGATATGGCGGTGAAGGAAAGTTCAGTCCGCCGCACTCATAGGCCGCTAGTGTAACGCGTGCTATATGCGGGCCGAGGTACAGGAGAAACGTATGTAGCCCCGTCCCGAGGCCCACCGAGCTGCACACGCCCAAAATCACCCACCATCCCCACCACGCCAGTGTCAAGACTACCTCCTGTAAAATAAATAAAATCCATTTTATATTGATTACATGGGCGGAAATTGAACCGGCATTATTTCGATTCCTTGCATTTAAAATAAATGTTTACTTTATATAGAACCATGATATTATGTAATAACATATGAAAATAATAAAGTTTTTAATAGTTTTAGAATAAAATATAAATGTGTTTATTCAAAACACAACTAACAAACATAATATAGCGAGAAGTTAATACAAATTTAAATAATTTTAAATAAATACACCAATATTTAATTGGGTGCTTCTGAAAAGGATGACACTTAGCTAAGTAACATTCAAACACTGATTCTGTGGCCCCGGAGGCCGAGCTAACACAAGCGCGAGTTTTTTTTTCATATTTATTTATTTATACAATTAACACATTCTTGTGATTAAAAACCTTTGAAGTAGAACTGATAAATCCATCCTGAGTAACTAAAATATTTATAGGCTACAGGTTCGATTGTAAAAAGTGTTAAGCTTGATCAGGTTGTGTAATATGAATGAATTAAAAATTATAAAATACCTGCACGAAGCGTTGGTGAGGTCCGTTAATATAATATGAAGCGGAAACGCCGCTGACTAGAACAATTATCGATACAGCTAATGCCTTGTACGCTAGCATTCTGAAAAAAAAAAAGAATCTATATTATCTTATTTAATACCGCATCTGTGTTTCAAGGGGAAAACCTTAATAGTTTCGGTCGAGCACGAGTGTCTGATCTGATGAGAAAAGACAGAAGCATGTGGTTCATTTACTGATTCCAGTCACAGAACATCTAAACAAGATGGGCTATAGCCTAGTTTGCTTTAAAAATCTTTTTAACTATACATATTATTAAACGGTAAGAGATAAAGTTTTTAACGAATCAAATTTTCATCATCCTCTTTTAAAACTTTTTTTTTTGAATTCTATAAGATACTATACCTCCTTAAAACATTTTTTTAAATTTATATCTCACAATGCTTTAGTGAAACTTGTTAAGTAAGTCTATAGATACATTTAGATTTTGTTAGAATTCTGTAGTATATACTATAGTTTTGCTAGTCTATAAGAAATACATTTTTTACCAACCAATAAAATATTATACTTTAACATTTACCTTCGCAATCCCGTTGAGCACAATATAAGAAGCTCTCGGAAGAAGTATTCGAGCGTTGTGAATGGTCTCCTCCATAGCACGAGACTCTCGGTGTCCATTGGTGCTGTTTTAATCCTGAAACAATTACAAACAAAATATTGTTTTAATCATCATAATTAGCTTTATTAATTAATATTTCTTTAGTTTTCTTTTGGTAATATTGTAACATCATTTGAAAGTAACTTAATCATTTCAATCAATTCATGCAATTTTTATAAAAACATTTTATTCTTTTTCTTTATTTCAAATAAAATATTTTCGAACTCTCAGGACAAACACTAGATGCGAGCTACTTGAGCTATAAATGAGATATGTAATGTTGCTGGTTATATTAAGATCTAAATGTTATTTGAGATTAAAACAGAATATCGGCATTGTGCCTACCTACTTACAGGTACTACAACAAAAGCTAAGTGGTGTTCTTCCCTTCTACATCTATTATTATTTGTTATTGTATTTTTTGTATGTGTGGATTAAATGATTTGATTTGAAACAGATTTAAAGTAAATAAAAAGTCGTTACGATGTGCCCACGATTTTTAAAAGCTTCCCATAATTTCTCTTGGCCTTGAAACTCTACTTTCCCATAGAAAATAAATTTATAAGTGACAAAGTTATGTTTTTTTTTATGTTTGCAATCGCAAACATAAAAAAAAAAAAACATATTAATCGAGTCGAATTGAGAATCATCTAGAAAGAAATAAAACGCTTCGACTTTATATATAGTTAATAACAAGACTACAGTTAGCATAATCGTGTATGTACTATAAATGGATAACAACGTATTCCAAAACTGGATTACAAATTCATAAGATTACAAACAAACACAACTGTTTCTAACAACTGGCCATACAAAATTTTCGCGAACATTGTTCGTCGAGCGGGAGCCAATTAAGAACGCGTTCCCAATTTGGTCTAGCGAACAAAATGGATGTCGTTGTATGAATGTTGAAGTCTCAGTAGTTATATGTTATTTCCCTAGGGATTAGTATGTACTTGGAGATTACGTATTGTCTGTGGTTAAAGGGAAATTCGTTACAAAGCGACAGCACAGGTCTCTTCTCGTGTTTTTAGACCCACAATACTGTTCCAGAGCAGGTTAGTGGGCTTTAACTATCACCACAAAATTATTGGTCACAAGTGGTTGTGATTCATCGAGGGAAACCTAATTTTAATCGCCCGGTTATAATTTTTTTTTATTTCTAACAACCTGAAGTGACATTTTGTTAGTCCAGGCTTCGACCTAAATCAACGAGGTAGTTAAAGCGACTGGTAAAATTTTTATACGTTTAAAACTTAGTTAATTGTCCCCCCGACTTCTCACATCAAATACGAACTATCTGTAATTCGAGTTTTAAACCGTTAAGTGTTTTATTAATTATTGTACGATTATAGTATAGTCGACCTACATTCACTGTAGGTCGACGTGTAGTAATTAAGGGGAATTAAACTTAACTGGATGCCCAAACAGTCTTAGATATTAGTATTGTTTTGTTCTAAGAAAGAACCAAATTCAGAACAGACACTATTGTATGCACTTTATGAGTTAACATTAGTTTAGCCAAACACATAAAATACTATAATCACTAAACGCCCGACAGCTTTTCAAACATATGCTAGTCGTTTCTTAAATTTACAACAGAAAAATGTTTTTATATAATCCACCACGTAAAAATTACGTCTACATTTTAAAAACGTAACTTTAAATCTATATTCCGTCCCTGTACTTGTTTTTAGCTTAATCATTTTTGTTTTCATTTATTGTGTGAGAAGACGCACGCCGAAAAATTGCGAAATTATTTCATTTTTCAAATACGGTAATTAAATTTTAATCAAGATTGTTATTAAATAAAGAGCATTTTTAATGTTCACAAACATATCCGTTTGAACACGTGTTATTTGCACTGGATGGCATCATTTTCAATGTTAATTGATTTTGAATTTAACTATGTACCCATTTCCGTACATGCAAATTCTCAGAACCAATATGTTTTCAAAAGCACTATCGACTTCTGGCCTGAAATTGTGATTTTTAAATGTCTTCCATTTTATAACTTACTTTGTCTCCTTAGGGTGCGTATGGTGCAGCCCGTTGCGCGGGCGCTGCAACTGTTCTGTGTCAGTTTGCACTGCAGCCGCCAGCTTGTAATACCCTAAGCGGGCGAGCTGTAAAACCAAAATATCCAGTCATCAGCGTACATATAAATTTCAAAGAAGAAAGTCCTTTAACATTGAATCCATTTTAAAAACTTGGCTTTGTAAAAGTTCTCTAGTATAATTGTTATAAATAAGTTTAGATAGAAATATAAAACGATGCCACAAACGGGAGTCGAACCCAGCAGCTTGAATTGATATAACAATCGAGCTATTGTGTCACGTCTCCAAATATTGAATTTCTCAATCTGGGTGTTTTGTTAAATTTTTCGTCCCCTGTATGATATTATGTATGTTTTGTTTTTTTCTTATGTCGTATTCCGTTAGTAACAGCTATCTTATCATGTCTCTTAATCAAACTTAATTTGTAAAAGATAAAAATATTAGTTAAAAGGTTTTTAATAAGGTCGTGGCATAAGCAAATGAAATATTGATAACTTGTGATAAGGTAATTATCAAAACAACGTTTACAACGCATATCGTTAGATATAGATTTACAAATACTACGATATAATTGAACTCCATGCAAATGGGCGATTACTTACGACACCTCAATTGTAAAATTGGATATTGCTACCTGTGTACGAACAAAACTTCGAGTTCATGCACTACAAAGAAATAATAACGAGTGACATGGACAAGCTCAAACTTTGTGCTTTAAAAATACATCGTAAATCGACAAGTCGGACCTTTGGTTATGGTAAAGGGTACAGTATTTCTGTAGTTTACGGTTTAAAACGTGAAATATATTAGTCAACGTGTACTTATAGATTAGGAACATCCCGCCGTGACTACGGCTGCTGCATCTGATACGTCGGGCCATAATTAGAATAAACAACAAATAAGTTGACTAATATATTTTGCATTTTAAACAGTTTAATGCGTTTTATTTAAGTTGGTTATTATTTTAGAATACTTGAGTTTTTATTTACAACCAAACACGTTGTAATTGACCGATAATATTTGTTACTTGTTTAATTTTTAAAGTGCAAAATAACAAACAATCAAATTTAAAATGTCTTATTTACTGGATGTTAATTGATCAAAGCCTGCTCGATATATATACTTAAATATTTAATTTAATTAGATTTAAATGAACTGTCGTATTGACACTACATATGTATAACAAAAGACCTTACTGCATAATACACTTTATATACTTTGCTGTTCAAGTTAAATAAAAAATATTTTTTTTTAAATTAATCTACATAAATGTTGAGAAAAATACAACACACACACAGGCGTTTTACCTTCTCAATTCAAGCCCATATATAAAAATATATACAAAACTCACATCACATTTACACTAGCACTAGTTAGATTCAAAGAAATCTAATGTTATCAGTTTATAATTGGCTACGTGAGCTCAAATCCGCTGATCAAACGATTCTGTGGACTGGTCTGCGACTCGCGACACCACAAGAATACAAATTGACAATTCACTTTCCAAATTACACCATCTAATACACTATCACTCTCTCGTCGCACTCTCATTTAGGTATGTACGTCTATTTTTGAGCGTACTGTACTTGCTACTATTATAAGTAAAAACTATTTTTACTCTGTGGTAAGAAAGATTATTCTTATGTTTATTTAATATTTAATTGTAAAGCCTTGTCAAATTCAACTTCAATTATGAAATAAATATTTTTATGACAGACGACAGACAGTCCAACATGAGTTTGATGATAGCTGAAATACCACAGCCATTTAAAATCCTAACAAGATGACATTTTTTGGTTTTGGATGTTTGGAAACACAGACTGAAACCGAATCGCCATTAAACTTCCCGGCTTGGACGATGGTTCGCGACCCGGATGGAATTTCGACATTCCTACCAGCCATTTAATATCCAGATTTCCAGACGAAATCCAGCATGTTTTAGAAAAATTATAAATTAATTAGAAAAACGTTGGCCCCGGTGGGGATCGAACCCAGGACCCACTGAATTATATTAGCTAGTGTAATTGCTACTATTACACTAGCATAAAAATTCGACTCGACAGGCTTTTTTTTAGACTGAAGATTTTAAGGAGGACACTGAACTCAATTTGCGTTTAAAATAATCTTACTTTATTTTGAGCCAGTCTAAAACAAAGACAGTATAATTTCGAAGCAATTAACATACTACGAACAGCTGATAGCCGTGGCAGTAATCCAACGACAACGTACGTATTAATACTTATAAAAGTACGAAGTACTCGTGATAATGAAAAGTAATCAACCAATCATTAATATACAATATGATTACATGCACTCAATTGACCTACTTAAAAGTCAGGCGTAGAAGGAAAGTATTATCAGCAAGATACTTATCTAAACGTTTCTCAAGAGTTCAGAAAAATCACGGTTTGAATATTACAAGGTATCTTGCAGTATACGTCATATGCTTTGTTTTAATCACAAAGTGAATCATTTTTACTATTAATAACTCGAACGTTGATTCGCATGTATATTGTACATACAAATAACGAAATTTATTTTATATACAGCTTACAATGAGTCCGTGTTAATAAAAACTATTTTTTAGTACATAGACAATTTTTTAAGAACTTTTTAAATATTCAATCAATGCATTAATAGATAAATGATTTTAATCAACAATCACAATATCATTTTAATTCTTAAAACAGTATAAACAAACTCAGACACGTACTTTAGAATTTAGATGCGCGAGTAAATCCCCGGGCCAACGTATGAACGAAGTGGCGTGATCGACGCGTGCGCACCTTATCGTCAGCGTATTGGTGCGATGCGGCAGTGACCCCGTAAATTGTAATACAAAGGGGAGAGCAACCGGTGACGTATTAAGATTCGCTTCCGTAGCTTAATGATTAGGGACATTGTTTCAGTTGTCTGGGTTTCGATGACAGGAAGTTAGGGAAGGTAAAGAGGGACACACAAGTTCGTTAAAATCATAATTGCGAAATCGGTTGACTGAATTTCTTCTCTAATTTATAATGAAGATTTGTCTTCGTTTAGTTTCTTCTAGTCTAGTCGTCAAAAATTGCTTACAATTGACGATTCTTTACGGCGAACAGACGCATTACACTGCTATATAAATAATTATATTCGTATTATATAAGAGAGACAATTACGTAGTTTCAAAGTACAAATTATAACTGCACGCTTCAGAGCTACAGTATTTTGTTAACGCGTCAACTTTCACCTTCAGAATCACTTTCCTTTTAGGCAGTGAAATAAACATTACACAATATCGCCTTTTATTGCGACGATACTCGTTACTGCTAAGTAAGTAGTTACTTAGAATTGTGATTTAAAAGAATAGACAATTAGTTTAATACGTGAACGTTCTTTTAAGGGATGTGGGTCATTTTCTTTTTTCCTATTATAACCGAGGATGGTACTAAATTGACAATATCAGACTAAACAAAAACATGGCTTATCGCTTATATGTAGTAAGAATCATTATATACCCTATCTTAAATATTAATTTTAATTCAATTCAGTCCGCGTACAATAGTTATTTCGGGCATCGAGTTTGTTTTCGCAAACTTCCGGTTCAACTCTATAAATTTAAGCTATTACCCACGACTTAGTCCGCGTCCCGTCGTTCGTGTAAGTTAATCTTAAAAGATAGACATTTACTGTCGCGGACTATTTTTTTAGATCATTAAATAAGAACCATTTTTACATTTTTTTTGGGCATTTTGAACCGTTTTCGCAGCGTACGCAACGGAAACCCACAAGCATAAATCATTCTCCCCGTTTCTATACACATTTCCCGCTGTTTCTTCGCTGCTATTAGTCACAGCGCGATGTTTTACAGCCTTTCTCTAAACCTTCCTCGGTAAATGTAAATGCTCTAACCAACACAAACATATTTTTTCTATTCGAACCAGTAGTTCCTGAGATTAGCGCGTTCAAACAAACAAACGAACTTTTCAGCTCTATATATTGATATAGATGATACTCAAGAATTCGAGTCCAGGACTTTTAACCGCAAGTAAAGTTAAGTCTACGTAGTAAACAACTGTTTATAACTACTATTTCAAACCATAAAACTCACTTGAAACAGAACAGCAAAGCAGCGATGTAGGAATGAAAGCAATTTAATTAATTCCACATCTAATTAACTATAAGCAGACTTCGGTTAAAAAGGTGACGAAACTGACGCGCGAGTTATTAGACCGCATCACTAATACGATGTAAAATAGTGATCGGAGTGAGATCAAAGCAAACCAAAAAAACAGGCAAGTGCGAGCCTGATCGAGTCCGAAGGGGTTCCGTACGATTGGATAAGTACAAAAATGTCATATTCTTTTTTATGCAAATTTCAACGCCAAGCCTTGTGAACAGTTCACAGTGAAATCTTATAATAGGGATTTTTTATTGCTTTTGGCTACAGAACCCTAAAAACACAACTCACAAAGATTGTCTTACATCTAACCCGATTTAAAAAAACATATATTTTTAAATTAATTAAGAAAGTTAAATTTTCATAGGAGAAATATTACCATATTTCTCAGTAGCAAACCAATACAATACGCTATCAGTCGCCGGCTCAAGTCATATCTGTGTTCTTCAAGAGGCTATTAAAATCATAACTTACATAACTCTTTTATATGTAAATATTCTATAAGCAACTGGTCGGACTTATGCCGTACCCAACGAAGCATTTAATTAAGTTTTCCCGACGCTCAACCCCCATGGCCTCATAGCCCCAATCCAATCATAAAATGTTTAATTAAATTTATTTGTTATTTATTCAATAACAAAACTAAAAAGGAATACGAATTTATTGTGATAGGTGTAGAATTTTTAAATTACTTTTAAGTGGGATCAAATTGGTATGTGATAGGTAGGACGTTTTCTCTGTAGACCATAGAAAAGTCACATATCTATCTCCTTTTCCCTCATCGAAATCAAAGGTTTATAGTTTTCGAAACAGATAGTTCATGAAACCTCAGGATTCCAACCGAGAACCAAATACGCTATCACAATTACTCCAAAACCCATCTAACCACTACACTAAAGAGAAGATCCAGATAAAATTTGTTTACTCACTAGCTCATCTATATAAAGCTGAAGAGTTCGTTTGTTTGTTTGAACGCGCTAATCTCAGGCAGTACGGGTTCGAATTGAAAAATTATTTTTGTATTGGTTAGAGAATTTATCGAGGAATATAAAACATTGCTATGTGACTAATAGGAGCGAAGATACATCGAGATATGTGAACAAAACGGGGGAAATTCTTCATCTCTGTAGGTTTCAGATGCGTACGCTTCGAAAACGGTTCAAGATACCTTAAAATTGTGTATTAAGGAATGATTTCCCTTCAAATGATCTAAAAAAGTCCGCGACGCCTTATATCTATCTTTTAAGATTAACTTGCAAGAACGACCCGAACGACAGGACGCGTACGACGGGATACGAATATCGTGGGCTACAACTATCTACACTAATATTATAAAGAGGAATTTTTGTGTGGAACGGATAAACTCAAAAAGTACTGGACCGATTTTAATCATTCTTTTTTCATTAGAAAGCAAATACATTATCACTGAGTAAAATAGACTATACTTACTACAAGATTAAGACAGAAATCTTTATAAATTTCTATTAAAAGCAATGGGAGGTGTAAAAAATTACCCATAACATGCCTTTCATCGCATACCATTCCACTATTCCACGCGGACGAAGTCGCGGGCACAGCTAGTGAATATATATATGGCTCAACAAATTCAACAAGAAAACTCTTAATACAATTTGATTCGCAATTAAATATACATATTTCAAGCGGGCTAAAATTAACATGTCGCGTTTGTAAAAAAGTAAGGACACAAAACATTGACCTGATCAACAACGTGGCTGTGCCAAGTTACTGATTCACAAAGCGTTTTATGCAATTGTATAGGTAACGTGAATTATGAAAGAGACAATTGATGGTTCTACTTTAATAAAATAGACGATGATGATGATGTCGAGCAGGACCTTAGGAAGGCCAGAAAACCACCCACTTTGGAAGTCTATGCTTGAACAGACTAAGGGGCTGCATCATAGATAGATGCATAATGGAGAGAATCTTTGAAGTTTTATAATTTGCTACTACTTCACTCTCCCTCTACGAAGAATCAGACAACAATCAAAATTGTAACAGTAAATACCCTAACAGAGGATAGCTAAATGAAATTAGAAAAATCACTAGAAAAGATACTTGGAGGAGGCCTATGTCTGAAGACACACCAACATTACAGATATTTTATACATTTTTAACAATGTAAACATTCGGTAAATAAAGGCTATTATTATTACCTTATTAAGAGAATACTAAATATATGACTTGCAGTCTGTATAACAAAGTCTAGAGCAGAACCAAGCTAGTGAATTAGGCACTGGATTGCTTTTTAAACTGCTTTTAACATGCCGATGAGGTGTAAGACTCAGTAGCTCAATTGGTACAGCAACAGCACGGAACGCTGACGATGCCGGTTCAAGTCCTGCCCGAGTCGAAAATATTTTCAATTTATTTTCGATTTTAAAAATAGTGTTCTCCTATTTGGGGCATGGGGGAGACATAATTTGTGCATGTGTTTCACTAATCAATTCAATTTACATGGTAGTTGAGCTGACTTCTAACTACTGCCCAAACAAAACCGTTGTTACCCTGGGATTCCAATCAAGGACCTATTAATATATATCTTTTCAGATCAATGTTGTATAGGTTTTGCTTTTTAAAGTTATGAGATAAGAGTATACATCGGACCACAATTAATCAGAAGTTCTTGTTCTTCTGGCTAGAAATGAAGATAATTACTCTGTTCAAGATGTTAATGAAGTTTCAACATAATCACTAAATTGCCTACCAACATGCATAAAATCAACTAGCAGAATTACCTGTGAATTTCTAATAAACAAATTATAAATATAGGTAGATTGTTAAATCTTTAACGCATTCTTACATTAAGCAGAAGAGGAGAGTATTATTATTATTTTTAAGGAGTAAAACATATTTTGGTAATTGGAACAAGAGGGGATTAGATAGCTAGGTAACGAACTGATCTTACAAAGTAAAGACTAGCAGTTATAATTAAAGAAAAAGTGATTCTTATGAGGTGTGAAAAAATAAAATAAAAAACAGTTATTAATAATATGAACAGTGTCAAATTTTAATTTTAATGTACATGTTTAATATTTACTCTACTTATGGGCACACATAGCCATTTCATGCTATTCTTTTTGGACACATTAAATTAAGAATATGAATACATGAAATAAATTCAACATTGTTATTATAGTTATCAAGAAATTAATTTTCTTTGACATAGAGACATTCCTCTCTGAATCTCAAAAGCGGTGTATGCCCTTTCTATCTCTACTCAAAAACTAACTGCTTTACTTATAAACACACTACATACAGTGCAGCTGAACTGCACTGTCACTTTACTTGCTGAATAGTTTGTAGTTAACATGTTTATAAGTAACACGCTGTGATTAGCAATAACTTGCATAAAGCAAAACAAAATGTCTGGCAAATCCAAAAGTCACACATCAACATACAACTAGTAATGTACCAGCTCATTTTTGTTGCCCGATGTCCGTTGGCCACGTTTCCTGCATTCCGCTCTCAATTGCTCTTTACTCATTGAAGCCAGCGCTTCTGGGCTGAGGGTCTGGCGTACCTTTCCATTTTCGGAGACAGAGTTTTGGCGCGGAATGGTCAGAGATGCAGCTTGATTACGAGCACGTCGTGTGCTGGCTAGTTTTGTCATTATTCCTTTGAATGTTCCACGTATTTAGGCTATTTTATCATCTTCATTATGTCGTTTACTACACTCCTAATGTGGGATTCAATTATCGCAGCAAAATCATTTTATGACAAACAAGATATCACCATTCTTAGTCTTTGAACCACGAAAAAGAGTTCGATTATTTAAAAAACACAGACCGCAACCAAACAAATAGTTATTGGTACCTCGTTAGAATATCGATTTTCGACTTAATTCAGCGAAGTGTCTCGTTTAGGTATTTAGATAGTAAACTAGGAGAACATAAATGTCAGTGATAAATCAGCAAGTACTATAAAAAGCCGCTGACAGCCCCAATTAAATAAGCACCAATAAATTAGTAATTTCATTCGTAACAGTCAGCATATATTGATGCAATTTCTAACCTATCAAAATAAAAATAATAACAAAAATGTACTCACATTAACCAAATAAATGCAGAAATTTAGAGGACTTTTTAATTTATAGCTTTTTCTTATGATTACAGAATTTTTACTACATACGGAATCTAAATAAACTATTTTCACACACAAAACACTATATTTCCACCGATATTCGTCGAACAACTGAAAAAAAAATGATAATGATACCATCATCAAATCCTTGATGTCACAAATTCTACTGAAATTTAAAATAATTTTACTTCTCTTGTAAAACCCTATAAGTAATAATTTTTGTATATTAATCATCAATATTATATCAATTGATAAATCTAATGTTTCTTTAAATGAATCCACTCTTTATCCTTTATATAAGTACTAGTTGTAAATTTTCATAACATTAATTTCGCCTGACTTTTGCGAAATTTCTTATTGTAGCAATATACGATTTAACACTGACGTGTATTATTGTGGCAGTCACAGATTAGGGCGTTGATGACATTTCATGTAAATTTGGTAAATTATCTATGGTTATTTCTACAGACAATAATTAGTTTTGTTGTGAAACTGAAAAATTTAAAAATTTTATTAAAATATTTGAGTTATAAATGCCGAGGTTACTATTACTACTATTTTTTTATGCTATTATTTTTTTCAAGTATAACAAGTTTATTTTTGTCGAGATCATTAATAAACGCGCACACATACTAAACTTTACATTGATTTTAAAGCATAATATTGTCCAGTTCTGTAAAAAAATAATTATACGAAAAGAACAAGTAATTTTTTTAACGACCAAAAATCTTGGTATTTCCATTAGGAAACCCTTTATTTAAGGACCCTCATTAGAGGGTCCTTAAATAAAGAATCTATTTTACTACAATTTAAGCCGATCTATAATATTAAATGAAATATTGGCCCTAAGTAGTTATCTTAAGAGTTATACCACGTTGTTATTTAAGTTTAATTTAATTACAATGAAAAAGGTTGCAATACAGGTATAACCTACCTAAATTAATAGTTATTAGGTCAAACTTTCCCACTATTTATTTCACAATAAGATAAAAATTCAGTCGATCGCTTAGCATTAAACCGCATGCGCTGTTGTACTTATATCACTATCTGGAAATTCTGGGACTTTAGTTCCCTTGGCATCCCGTCTTGGATAGATGTGCACGAGAAATAACAAGAAACCACCCATATCTTATATATCCATACCAACAGGTAAGTGTTAATATTTAAAGATAAATAAACACTTAAATGTTGTATGCTTCGTCGTCCATACATATTGAAATCTTGAATATTAGTGCAATTTAAACTGAACCACCTACATAACAAAAGAGTACTCTTACTAAGTAATAAAAGGGACATCATGAGCACGTTAAGAAATTTCGATTATACTTTTTCGTTAAATAATATTTGCAAATCTTTGTACTGCAATGTTTTTGACTTTGTAAAACGTAATATGTGAATTAAAAATCGATTATAAATTAAAAAAAATATATAGTCGACTTTTAATTCATATAGTGCGATCATGTGCAATAACATGTGAAAAATGTTAAAGTTTTCACACACATATGAATAATAAATATATATATTATAATAACAGTACCTCGCTTTGTTTGTTGTCGCTTACAAAGCAATACGTTATTACGTATTGTGAGTGCAATTTGCTCGGCATTAATTGCCTATAAAATTAATTAAAATTTCAGGAAGAGCTTATTTTTTTTAAACAATTATAAAGAGTAGAATATAAGAATAAGGAAACCCGATTATACACAATATTATTTTCAATAATGTTGAACCATATTATATTCATTAATTAAATTATATCTGATTGCTTTCAAAGAAACATTGGGCGGGCGGAGAAGCGCCTGCTGTGAATCGTTAAGCAAGAGTGCAAACATATTCTCCGCAGTGAACAACTTCTTCGCTGATTCGCCTTTGGTGAATCAGCTCAAAGGCATTATGGTAAACAATGTTTTTACTAATACGAGAAAAATGCAAACCTAGCCTTACTTTGAACGTGAAATCGTTTTTATTCGATTTTTATGATACAAGGATAGGGCAAACTTGATGCTGAAAACCCTTGTCATAAAACATCGTGACAAGATGAGCTATCGACCTATTTATATTTTGGATTTAGATATTTGGAAATCCTCAGACTGAGCTTATACTTCACGGCATTTGTATTTGACGTGACACGGACGTTATTTCCATATTCCTACCGCCCATTTAATATTTATTCAGTTTTCCAAACGTAATCCAACATGTTTCAGATTTTTTTTTACATTATAAACATGATGAACCAACCACCCATTGCTCATTAGCTTATTAGCAATAGACTGAAATCCGACGATTAGCTACATTCCTTTAAAAAAAACGGCTTCCTTACCTACTCAATAAGTCACATGCTTAAAGGATTCCTATGTTTTACAATATTTTGTTATTATTAGACTCGCCAGACTAGCAATACTGAACCAGGTCCTCCAGATGAAAACCGAGGCCCTCCTCTTGTCAATCTGGCTATAAGTCCTTCAAACAGGTGAGTTTAATATTGTTATTGCTACTATATAGGTATATAGTAGCATTTTTTGGTTTAACTCTAGTAATATATATGTATGTTCTGTTTGGTGTACCTAAGTGTGAAATAAATAAATAATATACATTTGGAATAATAATAAATACCAACTTAAATATCTGGCAAAACTCTTCTAAATTTACTATGAGACAAAAAGTACCGTTTTAATAGCAATAGATTTAAATCTTCTTATGAAATTATTATGTCCCTCAGCATGGTTTAAGGGGCTCTTTCCTTTAAAGAAAGCCCACAACGTTGTTCTATGGCTATTTTAAAGATATCAATATATGAGACCACTAAATGCAGAGCAGCCTAACTTCAATTTTATGACTTGACTAATCTCTATTTTCATAGTCTAAAAATGTTATCTACAAGAGCACAGTGACCGAAAATTGTTAACATAATTCCAGAGTCATTTAAGACCAAATTTTAAAAATACATTTCTGTAGAGAAAGATTCCTTAGTTTACTCTGTATAGGTTAAACTTACAAATTTCTACAGCCATCTATCTGAACGGTCGATCACGCCGCCTTCTCAACGTCAAGTGAGTTTTTTGAAGCCAGCTGCTAACACCGCACTTGATCGAAAAGCCTCTATCATAGATGAGACTACTGGGATCACTCGAACGCAAATGAAAGGTACGCCATGTTTCTCGTGAAAAAAAAACTGCAGGTAGTTAGACTAATGTCCAAGTATGAACTTTACATCTTACCTTCTTATTTTATTTTCCGCTTATAACTTGCACCCGCATCTATACTAGCTGTGCCTGCGACATTATTCGCGAAAAATAGTTGTTACGACGTGTCGCTCTTCCAAATTAACCTTAAAAGATTAAACACATATTGTCTCGGACATATTTTAGATTGTTTGAAGAGGAATCATTTTATTTGAGTATGGTTTTTTGGTAGGTATCTTGAACCCTTTAATAATTACCATATTATATTTTTATCAGAATTCCGCGAGGCCTTTCGATTATTCGACAAGGATGGAGATGGAACAATAACCAAGGAAGAATTGGGTCGTGTCATGAGGAGTTTGGGTCAATTCGCTAGAGTAGAAGAGTTGCAGGACATGCTCCAAGAGGTGGATAGTGATGGTAGGTAGAAGTTCACATTTCTCCCATCGTTTATTCGTCGCTTAGTCGACGATCTACATCTTCAGCAGATGCCATTCAGTAGTGATGGCGAAACGTTGAGAACCGTTTCGTAATACTGTTAGGTTGAAACCCCAAGCGTAATGTAAATGTTGGGAAGTAATAAAATTTAAAACATCTTCGTAACTGTGGGAAATTACCATATTTTTTTTAAGACATTTATTTACGCAAGAACTCTCTAAACATATATTGTACATGCGAGTAGCTAGGTACGTATTCAGAATTATAATTGGTTACAAAATATAGTTCTCTGCTTTATTTTGAATACAAACATTTTTAATAATACACTACCAAACAATTGATTTTGAACTAGTTGCAAATTTGTATTTTAAGATGTAGATAAATAGATAATAGATACTTAATTACATATAGTTGGAGCAACATTCAGGCAAATTTCAGTTTGCTAGACCCAGAGTGGCCTAATAACAAAAAAACATGGACAATAAGAAGGGAAAATACTCAATTAACTTAGGCGAAAATGAATTTATACCATTATTTGTGTATGGTTTGTTTTCCAACCACTGTGCTCTTGTAGATTAACATTTTTAGACTATAAAAATACAAATAGGTCAAGTCATGATGTTTGCAGTTAGGCTACCCTGGCTGTAGCGGCCTAATATTGCAAATAATGTTTTTATGGATATATGTCTTACCTGGGTGGTTTTAAGTAAATATTTGTGATTTAGGTGATGGCAACGTAAGCTTCGAGGAGTTTGTGAACATTCTATCGAAATCCATGTCTGGCAGTGGAGGGAATACCAGCTCAGCGGAGCAAGAGGAGCGCGAGCTAAGAGACGCTTTTCGAGTCTTTGACAAGCATAATAGGGGTTATATCTGCGCTTCTGACTTGAGGGCCGTACTGCAATGTCTTGGAGAAGACTTATCGGAGGAGGAGAGTTAGTATCTACTATTTATCAAAGAAGTCGTATACGTACATACCTATATTGCATTTTAAACCGTAAACATACTTGTCGATATAAGTATGTTTATAGGTAGGTAATAAAATATAATACTTTAAGTTTAAAAAAATACAACAAATTTAAATTCTTTCCAGTTGAAGATATGATAAAGGAAGTGGACTCAGATGGCGATGGTCGTATTGACTTCTTAGGTAAGTGCGTAACTGTGGGGTTTACCATATCTAGAATTAATTCTTTGAGCAATCGAGGAGTTAACATCTCCTGATGATGACGTCCGTACGTGATGGCGAAACGTCGAGAACCTCTACGCTCACGTCGGCCGAACAGCCCGAAAGACAAATGCTGAACGATGGCCGTGAAAGCCTTACACAATTTATGTGGGGGTTACGATTCTTTTTTTCTTAATTCGTAATAAATATAATAAAAGACAACAACAAACAACGTACAGTTACAAAGTAGGCTATATCTATTGGAATAAGCACCGACCTTAAGAATCGATAAAAGAACAGAAAATTTTCCATTTGCCAAAAAGTCGATGCCAAGAAGCACCAAGTCAAGTCAAGAACAAAGTAAAGAAGGCAAACTTACACCTGTTCTTACAAGCTTTCTAAATAGCGTTTATGGTAGTTGATAAATGGTGTTTTACAGAATTCGTAAGAGCCTTGGGTGAACCGGAAGACGCGTGTGACGATGACGAAGACGAAGACATTCTTGATGGAAACGACTTTATCTCCCAAAGATCGGTTCTAGCGTCGTAATTTTTAGCATTTAAACATTTTAAAATCCATTTAAATTTTTGATAAATCTCTTATCATAATAATGAACCAAATAATTTAATAGTCATGACCAAACAGACACACATACATATTATTTACATCTAATCGTGTTTTAGTATAAAGTACAAAAAAAGTAATCATCCCGACAAACTTTGTGGCTAATAAAGCCTGTCTGTAGTAACGGGAGTAGTAGAAATTTAAATAAAACACTTTTAACGGTTTAAAATATATCAGTTAACTCATTTACAAATTATCTTAAGTACGACCCGACATCATTTTTACTAATAAGTTTCATTTATTAAACCGTTAAAAGTGTTTTATTCCGACATGAGACCTATTTATATTGATCTAACAATACAATTCTATTTTCTAAATACACACTCTAATAGAAATTGTCTTTGCAAAATTTTTGTAGTTTTTAAAACTTAATTTTGTGACGTACTCAAGTAATTCAATTATATGCTTCCTCAGTTCTTCGCTATTTAGATGTAAGACATTTTCTATATAAATATTACTGATTACCTTCATACTATTCATCGTATTTAATTCATATAAGAATAGTTGTGAAACGGTTGTGACTTTTGCAACTATTTTTCAAATCTATTTTCAATAGTCTACGGTTTAATGCAAACATAACACTTACAATATATATACTCTAAAGATCCTAGGCATTCCAATAAAGAAAAAATATATTACCAAATATGGCTAATTATAAACTTGAAGCTTCTAAAACGATGATAGAAAACTTCTACTTCTATCTTCAACTTCTATTTAAAATTATAACAACGAATGCATGTTTAAATTTAAGAGAAATTATATCTTTTACTATATATAAAATATTACCTCTCTTACTTAACTTGTGCTTATACATATCTTTTAAAATTATATTTTATGTAAATAAATCATCGACCAAAATGGATCTATTTTTATTCATGTATTAACATCTACATGGAATACTAAAAGATAATTTTATTGGCTCTACTTTTCGATGCATCATCTAAGTAAAACAAATTAAACTACATATAAGTAATCAAATCTTTAATTGCTTATTACATATTTACACTTACATGTAGCTGATTACATTTTGAGGTATATAGGTATGTAATGCTAGGCGAATGATAGCAAGATGTTTCCCTAACATGTTAAAAATGGCAGTGATCTAATGTTTATTTTGATAAGAGAAAGAAAGTCACATTGAACTTAATATCTAACAACTAGTAGAAGGAATATGTATAACTTTACTTCCATTCCTGAAAGACTTGGAAATTTTTAATTGTTTCTCTAATCATAAGTCTCTTATTGGTTCAGTATTCCTGTTGACATTTTAACATTATTAAAAAGAATTCAAATGTTTCTGCGACTCATTTAAGTATCATACATAAAAGAAAATCTGTAAGTCTAGGAAAATGAAGATGAGAAAATGTAAAATGCCTTTTTAAAAGCAATTGCAAAAAACCTTATAAGCTAACTGTCAATTATACTAAGCTAGTTTAGCTTAGTTTGTATAACTAAACTAATTAACCGTATTTGACACTTTAGTCTATACAAAACGCTAAGATTCCTTACTCCTGAAATATGTTTTCAGATGTAGGATCATAACTGCTTTTTAAGTAGTTATTCATGTTTTTAAAGGAATAGGGCCTTTGAACCATTACAAGAGTAGGAGAAGGAACAAATAACAAAAGTAACCATTTCTGACTTATTTTTAAACAAATTTTGTGTGATTTTTGGTTTTGCCCGTTAAGTTAGTTATACTGTAGCGCTACAATCGACTAGTCTTTACTAAACAACACACGTTCTTTACTTCCCAGTAAGAATTTAGATAGTTCTCAAAGGAGAATCTGAATTTTGCCTAAACTTACTAATTTAATTAATAACCAAACCAAAAACATATAGGACCTTATTTACCGGCTGGTGATGTATTTAGGTTCCATGTGACCAGTGTCGCTCAATGAGCGCAACACTACGTTGCCATTTGGTAGGATTGAGAGCCACGTTATTGAGGCGTGGTTCAAAGATATCCTGAGCCATCCCTCTGGCGGGAACTGGAGGGCTCTGGAAGATGCATTTAAATTTAATTAGTAATAATTTTTGGAGTCATTCACTAACATGATCACATGATTATGGGGTAGAAATACAAGTGTATATCTCACTCTTCTCTTTTAACCTTATAAAAATTGAATTAAAAAGTTCTTAACATTTACTTGCATTGAAAATTTACGGATAAATAATTTCGCTTAAGGAAGCGAATGTATTCATTGTTCTAAATGAACTTCGATTTTTTTTATCGGTATAATTTTTATATTCCTATTTATTTAGACTTTTTATTTTTATTACGGCGTTTTTAAGACAGTTGTCAAACTGTCAAATTTGGTTACTTACTTGCATACAAAGAATCGTATTACATTTGCGTGGCACACAAGTAGAGTGTAAGTATCTTGAGTTTGTTCCGGGGATGCCCTGTGGAAGTACCGTCTAAACGCTGCCTCAATCCGGGCACTATCCTGGAAGAACTGCTACACATGCGAAACCATACTGCATTACTATACTGCCCAGTGTTGCTTTATAGAATAAAATCAGTAAAAAAGTATTTTTGGAGTGAGACTGATAGCTAATGTGTTTTAAGGTTTTAGTCGATCTTTTGGGATTTGGAATTTCCTTTTTTATATTAAACATATTTCAATATTAACATTTTGAGAAATATAAACAATAATCGATTTATAGAGCAAAAATGCCATGCAGATGCATCAGACAGTTCAATGTTATTATAATTAAGGGATGGTTATATAGATTGAATAAGACAAATGACTATAATAGACTATATAAATGTTAGACTATATTATGATGTATTACACATAACATTTCCTAGGAAATAATGATTAATTACATTTTTTTATGACTATAATGCAAAACTGGTCAGTTGCAAATACAGTATGTTATAACATTAATAAACAATACAAACACAACATAAGTAAGGTATGAAAATAACACACACACATGATGGTTACTATGAAAAAGTAGTTCATAATATAGATAAAAATAATTGAGTTACAAAGTTTATGTCACAATAGTCCCGCCCAAATGTGACACTACTATTGCAGAATTATTTAATGTTAGATTTATATACTTTGAATTCTTTACATATAGTCAAGTTTATGCAATAACCTAATATACAAAGTGCAATAATCTAATTTTAGTGTGGGAATTCTACTGTGACAACTTTAAGTATTACTTACTTTAGGTTCTGGTCTCCAATGCCCCACAGGTGGTTCGGGCGGAATGGGCGCACCCTCTTCTAATAACTGACAATCTTTTACTTCTATGTCACTAGGTAAGTGCTTGGCGATAATCTTTGCTGTTTCCTGTGCTCTTGCCATAGTAGACCGTACAAGTAAGTCCCATTTTATATTAAGTTCTGCTAGTCTCTTTCCTGTTAAATCAGCTTGCTGTCTACCTAAATGTTAATAAAAAATTTGGTACAGTTACCTATATAGATAAATGATTTTTGATTTTGGCTTTAAACAAACATGATTCTTCCTTCCTCCTTCAGTCCTTTATTTTTAATTTCTGGATTCCCAATAACCATAGTTTCTGTTAATACAACAATTATTACACTTCACAATATGAGGCTTGCTAAATATTGGTGGTATTATAGTGAACCTTAGGCTTATGACATCCACCACCCTACATACAATTACTCAGTGGTTTAAAGTGACTAAGCCCCAAACAAAGTCTAAAGTCTTACTTACCTAATTCTGTTAAAATTCTTTCCTTATCTGTTTCGCCATTAACATTGTACTGGCCATGTCTAATTAAAAATAAATGCCTGACTGCTTTGCTTTTAGCCTTTTCAATTTGTTCATTAAATCTGTTTTCGTCTTCCGGTTTGTCAACTTTGGCCGGTTTGACTATTGATTCTGGTTCTCGGCTGAAACATTTAGAAGTTAGGCCATTAATATACAAACTTCAACAAATTTAAAAATCTCAATGACTATGACTGCTTAAATGCACCACAGTCCAATAATTTTAATTATTATATTTATATAGTATTCTAACTAGGTATGTACATAATTTTTGTAAAGTAGGTCATTGGACACCCGCTAATTCTAGGACACTAGGAAATGTACAATTTCAGACACGTGCAATGTAGAACAAGAAATTATTTCTATTAAACGTTATGTGAAAATGGTACTTACTGGTCCCAATTCTTCTCCCATTTAACACTTGGATTATAGTTGGTCGTCCAGGAGTTTTGGACATCAAATTTTTTATCACTTTTACCGATATGATAATAAGCAAGACCACCGCCAACAGCCCCTAAACTTATTAAAGCAATTTTGTGGAACCTTGATATAGTGGCCATTGCGAATGAATTATTCTATCTAGAAAACCTCATTTACAATTTGTAAATAATTTAAAACTATTTCCGATTTCGACTATACGTTAGAAATACAAGGTTCATTGACATCACCGCGAATAGTTAAGTCAATTGTCAACCATCCATCAATATGATTGCGAATATTTGACATTGACATTTTGTAAAACAAAATATAGAAATTTATAGTACAAAGTTAGGTATGTACTATATTATTCATAACTGGGTAGTCTATGAATTTTGTAATAAGTAGTTTATATGTGTTTCTTCGTTAAGGGCATAATTATTAAACAAAAAAATACATTTTATTTTTAATAACCAGCAATGGGGTTAGTCTGTACATAAACGTAGAACAAAGATATTATTACATTACTTTAACAATATCTTAAATATTATGTTGTCGATTCTTTTCTAGGTGTAAGAATAACTGGATACCCGTTCAAAGAGAAAACTGAAATTCTTATGGCTAATCTTAGATCCTTGTATGAACTCAGCGACGTCAAGCTGTATTCTTGAATAACTTTTACCGCAATAGTCTTGATTAATTTTGTCCCAAAATACCTTCCTGTAAGAATTTTAATTTGATCAAGCAAATAAACGTTAAGCATACAGTATTTTATTATTAAAAATTTACCTAAACAATCCATTGGGCCCAAACTAAATGGTATGTAGCAGCATGGATGTCGTAAGCGCGAGTTTTCTGGGCTAAATCTTTCTGGATCAAAGTCATTCGGGTTAACCCAGAACCGTTTGTCTCGTTGGATATGGTATATTGGTATTACTAGTGATGAGCCTTTTGGTAATGTGCACGTGCCTTAAAAATTGAAAAGAAAATATTTATTTACAAAAATTGAATTTGTATGTGATTCCTTAAGTTTTCCTAGATAATAATTACATATATTTTTTTGCATCCGTCTAATAAGGAACAAACCTTAACCTTATGTGTGTGAAATCCCGTTTCCCCATCGTGGGGCATGGGGCGAACACGATTCTGTGTCCGTTGCATTGATCCGTTTTTAACAGGCAAGTTATAAACGATCAGAATTCTGTGCCCTGACCGACCGACACATTTTTGTTTCCCTGGGACTCGAACCCAGAACCTCTCGCGCGTAATTCAATACTAGGCGTTAAACCATTTGGATACAGAGGCAGTACTTAACCTTATAGATACTAAATATACTAAAACAAATAAAATATTTTTTGTAATAACAATAACTGTCTCATAATCTGAATTCGAACAAAAAAATATAACTATAATTCTATGTTTAACTGACTTAAAAGCCCTAAGTTTAATACGATATTCATAGTTGTTTTGAGTACTAATAGATTTGTGGAATTGCCGAGTTAAATACAGGGTGTTTACTTATTTCAATATCCTCTCGAACAGTTCTTTGAATCATTGCACCAATAGGAAACAGCCTGACAACTTCTTTATAAACCATGTCTAAATACGGCATCTGTTTGAAATCGTTCTCTGTTACTGCTCTTGTCTCATCGCCGATAACCTTATTGATTTCGGAATACAGTTTTTCCTGCAATTAATAAATAATGGAATGTTCCGTAAATTATTGCTTACAAAAACGTATATATATAATTTCCTATTTGTTCATCACACACAGCCTGGATCATTCATAGACAAATTGATCTTTTTTATGAGTCCTTAAATACCTATTACAAGCCTAGGTACTAGCTTAGAATAAACTACGATCTGCCGGTGAGCCACACAGAATGGAAGATTGAGATATAGTATGGTTTGACTATACAAAGAAGGTTCATCCCACACAAAACAAGCTTTATCCCATATATATAAAGTCTAATTTTCTGTGCTAATTTAAAGACAAAGGTAATATGATAGTTTGATTGAATAATTTATGTTTGAAAACTTGCTGTTGCTCTACCAAATGAGCTACCGAGTCAACAGGTAAGTAGGTAGAGCAGCTCGGAACGCTGACGATGCCGGTTCAAGTCCTGCCCGAGTCGAAAAATCTTTTTAATTTATTTTCGATTTTTAAATTATATAGTGCCTTCATGTGCATGTACCTAAGAAATAATAAAGTTTTCAAACTTAAATTATACATTTATAGTTATCCACCTACCTGATATTGTGGATGGTACGCCAGCATCAAGAGTAAATACGAACATATTTTTCCAGACGCTTCTTGACTCTAGATATACATAAAATTAACACAAAATAAAGCTTGCGAAAAATTATTAACGCTATTATTCTTTTATGTTATTTTGGACGTGGTGACTTTACATAAATTAAAATCTATTTGGATAAAAAAAAATAAAGATACGGACGGGATATGAACCGGCATCTACACCGATCCGTGTTGATACTCGAACCAATAGAGCTACAATCTCACACGTAGTCGTCGTCCCAATACGTAAGCCTTAAAGTAGAAATCACATTGACGGTTTGACGATGATGGTTCAAGCCCCGCCCGTGTCATCATTTTTTTAAATCTAAACAGATTTTTAAATTACTAATTTCTTACTCACGGCAGTAAAGAGAGTCATTATTTCGTTTATCAATTCCACTGTGCTTAGCTCTTCCGATAATATAAATCGATCGATTATACTTAAGTCTGTAGTTTTCTCTTCCTTCGAATGTAATAAACGCTTGTCAATATTCATGGCTGCCAATCTAGATCTTCTAGCATCTATGACATACTGGCCAAAGTCAGATATTATCTTGATAAAACGTCTTTGTGTTCTATAGGACTCTGTTAGCCAGAAAACGGGGTCAATTTGTAGGTACCATTTCGTCATTCTCTCGAATATGATTTTGTACATACTGTAAAATTATTATATCATATAGTATTTTTTAACCATTTGGCTACAGAGGCGGTCTGTAGCCAAATGTATATATGTATAATGTAATAGTTAAACGTATTGCTTGGCATTGCGTTAAGTGCGAGTGGTCCTGGGTTCGAATCTCAGGGAAACATACAATTGTTTCGGTCAGGTATTGCACAGGGGTCTGATCAACTACTTGCCCGTTAAAAGAACGGATCAGTGAAACGGACACAGAAATGTGTTCGCCCCATGCCCCACGCGGGGAAAACGGGCAAACTCTATTGTAAACTTTTTAAGAATTTAAAGAAAGAAAAATTTAATTCAAAAATAAAATATATTGAAAGTTGGGTAAATAAAGGCTTCTCTACCTGAGTGTTGAGTCAGGAAATAACGAATCATATAATTCCGGGATGAAACCAAATATAGTTTTAGGTTTAACTCACCTTGGGCTTACGTCAATAATTTCTTGAAGATGCGGTATGACGACCGATTCGTCTTTGCTCAATCCCATTATAGTCTCTAAAAATAATATAATAATAGGGTAAGAAAGAATAACAAAAACGGCGCTCCTAAAGTCTTAAAATAAGTAGTATTAGAGTCGATTTCATTAAAAAGTAATGACATTATTTTAATCCGGCCAACTGTGAGGTTGATGTCTTGTGTTCATGTGAATGGTAATTGCGATTAGACATTGATATTGGTATTTTTTTTTACATTATTGTGCATATTAATAAACTTTAGTGTTACATAAACTATATTTTCTTCATCGCAAATTTTTGTAACGGGCTCGTTGGTTAATTGGCTAATCGATAGGTCGTAGATACGATTCCCATCGGGATATTACTAAAATAATTTGATAATTCTCCTGCAACATGTTAGACGTTATCTTATAAAATGTGATAGTTCTGTTAGTGTAAATCTACGTTTTAGTCCGTGGATTTTTGGATATTTAAAGGTCAAACGATAGACAACAAAGACTTGTTAAGATGGAATATACGAAAAGATATGGGTGTTATACCTTACATCGAGTGAACTAAAACATGGAGTCCGTCCTGCCCTGGTGTAAAAAATAGTCATAAACCAAATTGGTAAGCATAGAATAGTCCCTAACAGTTATATAAGACAATGAGATACATTACGGCATACAGCAAACGTAGTACATTGAATAATATATTTGTAAATGTTTATTTCCTTTCCGTCAGGCACTTTCTTAAGCTGTTTTATTAAAATATTGCTTTCTTCATTGAATATCGACGTGTAGTCTTCGACAGCCCGTTTTGTATAGTTTGGAATGGCAATTTTGCGGTGTCTCCGCCAGACATTTCCTGTAATATATATGTAAATTTACTAAAAACTCTTTTGGTCACAAAGGAGTTGGGCAACTTTAATTTCTTGGCATTGCAAGCCAGTTGTGGCAGCCAGCGAGACATGATATCTTATCAGGTAATAGCGGTGTCTGCGATTTTGTCCGTGTGGAATAGTTATTTTCGGCATCGAAATTTGTCTTTGCAAACCTCGTGTTCAGCTCTATAAATCTAAGCTGTTATCCACGACGTTGTCCGCCGCCCATCGTTCTTGCAAGATAATCTTAAAGGATAGATAAAACAACAAACAAACTCTTTGTATATTAGTATATATTTAGTAAATAATCTCAAAGGGATACTTCAAAGGCGTATGAAATAAACATCAGGGGGTAAAAATATATTGTAGTGAAAACCAGTTTTGTCCTACGGGCGAACATATTTCTATGTCCGTTTCACTGATCGATTATAATTACATATAAGTTATTTCGGTTTGGCAGGGCATAGAAAGCTGAACAGGCTCCTAAACAATGCCAATGCTCCTAAACATTTTATCGCTTCCTAGGCTTTCTAATATTTAAGGAAGACAAATTATGGTAGGAGTATTCTTATTGTTTATCTACTATGGGTCTGCAACACATTAATTGTTGTTATATATATGAGTTAGTTACCTGAACCACTAAGAATGCCTCCTCCCAAAATGTCCGCCATGTATTTATACTGCGGACCTTTTTTACTAGTTTTTGGACTCGTAAGTAAAGTCTGAATTTAAAATATATATATTTAAGTTTTCCTTCTATCTAGACCAGTCTAGTTAGTGTTGATCATTATTTTTTCATAATTTTAATCATAATTTTCACATCATATATAAATTGTATACCTATGCTAATTGAGTTATCATATACACTTTTAATTTTTTTTTATTTATACCAAACTGTGCTTAAAAGAACAAAAATACAAACAAACGCCGGTTGTCGAGGATTCGATTGCCATTCGCGCCATTTTTGATTTTTTTACATCTTTCTTAAACAATCAAGTGCTAGTTAAAAAAAATTAAAGCTTATTATTTTTCTTATATAATTTTCCGTATATATAATACCTTTATATCTTCGGGGTTACTGACAATTATATTTAGATCTGGTCCCAACCAAAACTTTAATGTGCCAGCGTAATCTTGTAATATTTTTTCTATTATCGAGATCATTTCTGGAAAGAGAAAAATGAATAAATAAAAAATGGATTAGTGGCTAATTTTTATTTATTTTTTAACTTAAAATTAAACTTCTAAGCTTAAGCTATGCTTACGTGCTTTCAAAAATAACTTTTAATGCAATCTTAAATTGCATTAAGATGCGGATTCTACACCAAATGACATTTTGAGATGTTGGTATTCGTATCTAAATATAATTAAATTAATTAAAAGCTTTGTTTAATATAAGAAAAATAACATATTTTAAGTTTAATTTAGAGTTATTTATAAATACGTAGAACTTAAATTCAAGTTAAAGTATAACATAAGTACGAGCAATTCCTATTCATTATTTTATTTTTAACTTCAATGCGATATTTCACAAGCCGTTTATATTATAATACAGGAATTACTATATTTCACATTTAAAGTATTTAATTCAATGTTTATTTGTGTAGACTACACAAAAGTTCATACTTATTTAGATCATGTCAAACAACTGTTTTATTAAGATAATTGATTTTGACGTCAATGGAAAGGACTTTTTTGAGATATTTAATAGAATCGTAATAATAAGCGCTCGGAGGTATCTATTACTGTCTTATTATATGTAAAAATGTTAAAGTGTCTTAAATGTCTAAATAATTTAACTGACGTAAAAAAATATGCCTTACATTAACGCAAAGCGCGTTGATGTCTTTTGGTAGTAAAGAAAGTACTTAGTTGTGCATTTTTTTCTATCATAATATATTGCGCGGAGGCCGAAGAGCTGTGTGTAGTTAAAATATATTTTCCTCTGTTATGGTTTATTGGAAATATAATTAATATTTTATTTTTCCGGGTTAAAGGTTTTGTATTTGCATAAGTGTCTACAATTATATCAAAGACATAATTTTGTAGTAGGGCACGGTTGCTCAAGCTGTACCTAATTACCTCGAATGATAATTATAAATATCGATTTGTTATTATTATATAAATATTATAAGTGTTATCCTATACATATTACTATATAACAAATTACTATATCTACTATATCATTTTAAATTAACAATATGTTTCCTTGTCTGATAGATATTGTTTTTAGTACCTACGAATTATTAATAACTGTACGTGTTGTATATATGGCCATATAAAAAAAATTAATTTTCAAAGTAATTTATAACTTTTTATATTATTTGCTTTCTATTTTGTTTTATTTAGATTTGCACGGTTATGTTATGTGTATAAATTAAGATGGAAGGGTCTACCTTCTATCTTTAGGCTTTATAGTCACTCCTTACCACACAGGAGATACTAAAACTGTCTGTATGCTTCAACACCAGTCTTTTAGATGGTGAAGAATAAGCAGAGTACTTTTCTATTTGACAAGTATTTCTTTTATCTCTCAACGTAAAAAAATATGTTTCATTCTCTTTAAAATTTCAAACATTATTTAGATTCGTCAAAAATTTTTTATCTTTCTGTCTGTCGTGATTCTACAGAGTGTTCCAAAGAGTGACGTGACCGAGAAGAACACCCACGAAACTTAGTCCGGCTTTTTTAAACGTCTTATAAACTAACTAGCTGTGCCAGCGACTTCGTACGCTAAGAATATTCATTTTGGGCATCCAAATTCATTTTTGCAAACTCCTACTTCTTTATAAACTTAAACTGTTACACACGACGTCGGTCGCGTCCCTTCCCGTTGTTCGTGCAAGTTAATCTTAAAAGATAGACATATAGCGTGGTTTTTTTTTAGATCCTTTAAAGAGGAACCAATCTCTCGTACATATTTTTTGGGTATCTTGAACCGTTTTTGCCGCCGCGGAAACCCATAATAATGAATAATTATCCCAAAAAATTTCACATTTCCTGCTGTAGCTTCGCGCGTATTAGTCACAGGGCAATGTTTTATAGCCTATAGGTTTCCTCGGTAAATATTTTAACCGACACAAAGAGAATTTTTGTGACGAACAAACAAACAAACTCTTCAGATTTAAATATTAGAATAGATACGTACTATACGTCATTTAGCGTAATACCATAATTAAATATTTTATTATTATTATTTATAATATCAATTTCCATATTTTTAAAGCTTTTTTTCTTAAGATAATTAAAAATGTGTCTCATTTTTACGAAATAAAAAATAATTTATACGAAATTTAAAATCGTTACATCAAAGTTTGAATGTGTTAACTATTGCCATAAAAATTACAAGTAATTATTACAATTAAACAAAAACGACTAGCCGCCGACTTGTACTTGAAAAGGAATTTGTAAAATGGTATTTACCAAGATCGTATCGTACACATAACTAATGAACTAAGTCATCGTTTAAGCAAAGTAAATGGTAAAACAAACTACTTAATATTGATAAGTTCTTAATTCTAAGAGCATCTATCGATCACAGGAAATAGAAAACTGTGATGCACAATAATTTAATAGGTTAGTGTTTCGACATCGGATTTAATAATTATTATTGATATTCCAAAATTAAATAAACTTATTCTTATAACTATTCGATAAAGATTCTGAGGAATAAGAAGAACTCGTAATCAGTACCTTAAAAAATGAGGCGATTTTAAACTTAAATAAGTTTTAAATTTATGAAAAGAATAGATCTATAAACCATTTATGTACTTATAATATACATACCTACAATTAGTTTTTAAAGCTTGGCTTATGAGGTAATTTATGAATTTATCCCATAGTCCACAAAAAACCCTAACAGGGTCGCCCCCGATGCATCTTCTGTGCTTAATTACTGATAAAAATTAAGATTTTTACCTTCCGGTTTGGCCATGAACATAAGGGCATTCCCAAAGAGCGGTACCACAGGTGGGCCTGGAATTTTGCTTGCCATACTTATAAGTTTTCTATTCTTAAAGCGCCAGTGGCACCAGATCCCTACTGCCATTGCAATGGATAGGAAACATAATTTAGCATAACTAAAGTCGAGATACATTTCTGGAAATAATGTACAAGATGACTATTAATGACTTCCACTGGGGACCTCGGGGTTATGTACTAATCGCTATCTCACAGTTTTGTTTATATTAGAGGGGGAGATACCCCAGCCATATAACATCTAAACAAGATACGCTGTTCATCTACTTTGGCTTTGGATATTGAGAAATCCACAGATTGAAACCCAAACGAGATTGGTGGCTCTTGTCCTAAATGGAATTTCGATATTCCTATCACCCATATAAATGGGTGATAGGAATGATAATAATATCCAGATTGCTAAACGAATTCTATCAGAAAATCATAAATTGGTTAATACAATACTGTCTATAGTTTACGCGAGTAGTTCACATTTAAATAAATCACTTTAACGGTTTAAAACGCGATATATTAGTTAAACTAATTTGAAAATGATATTTCAAATTAGTTTAACTAATATATATAATTCGAAACGTCGGGCCGAAGTTAAATATCATTTTCAAATTAGTTTAACTAATATATCGCGTTTTAAACCGTTAAAGTGATTTATTTAAATGGTTAGTACAGTGAGGGCCGGGTGGGGATCGGGACTCGTAGATTATACATTGCTACTATTATACCAAGGCGCCTGTGAAAACTGTCTGACAGTTAACTAACAACAACATAATAACTACTTCTACTTGATCTATAATAAAACTATATTAATAAATAGTAGTCTAAAATATATCAATTAAATTTAAAAATATGATTTAATGGTAAAAATGAAGGGACACTATTTTATTCAGCTATAATACTTTACTGCAGTCTACAACAAATTTAACTTTGTATTCCATTACATAAAAGTTAGGTCAATAAAAACTTACCTCTTTTGTTTTTAAATAAATAATAGACAAGTTACAACACTACTTTCCTTATAAAGTTATTGTGTTTGACTGCGACTAGCATATGGAGTGTGTGATTAACTTGTAGGATGTCGTACGCCAAGTTAACATAACACGGCAACCTATAATAGAATAGTATAATAGTCTTTTAATTGTCTCTCTATTATTTAATAATAATTTTACAAAAGACAAGCACGGGTCTTTTAACGTTGGCCACCTCTGTAGCGAACGTGTTGCCTAACATCGCGTTAAGTAGGAGAATTCCTGGGTTCGAATCCCGGAAAAACATTACATTGTTTCGGCCTGGCAGAAAGTAGAAGCTGCATCAACTACTTTTGTAAATAATACCGATCAGTTTGGATAAAGGAGTATTCTCTATTTATTACTACTGGTTATTCAGAATAGTTCATGCTTATTAGTATTGTGTGTAGTTTACGCGAGGAATACAAACGCTAGACCCGAACAGCGGCGTACCGAACAAAACGACACGGTGAGTCAGTTCTGTAATGACTCAACTATTTTTCCCAAATACCAACTACGAGGACATAGATGGCGCTAGCAGCGTAGAAAAATTAACATTAAAAACACCCTCGATCTTCAGTCCCCCTATATTCATAGCTGCTTGGGCGGTAGTTAAAATAAATTGTAAAAAAGTTAACAAATACATTTTGTACTTAAATGCATTTTGGGCTAAAAAGTGTTTTATGTAAATATTGTTTTATTGTTTGTTTCTTAGCGTCCTAGTCCCCCTTCTCCCTCGTTATGGGATGCCCTTACATTAACAACAGTTGAATTATTTTATCATATTTACAATATATTGATATTCAAATCCGAAGTTGTATGACTCAAATGTTTCTGAGTGTGTGCATGATTTGAATGACAGAGACATACATTAATGTAAATTGAAGTGTACGTAAATCGCTTTAATGTTAGATTTTGGTTTTATGATTAAACAACCTCATAGTCGTTTAATTTTGATACGTTAACATTGAATAACAAAATAACAGACAACATTCGTAATTCTAAAGTTCTATTTTTTAGATAAAAATCCATTCACGTAATTCTGTTTATAAGTCACGCAAGGGGGCAATCCTCATCTCGGTGACATTAGATCACCGCCCACATAAGTCATTGATAGTCAACGTCTTTTGCGTCTAGTTCTGTTCAAAAGGTGGTTTGGTGAAAATCGACGAACGCACCTAAAATCTGGCAATTGAACCAAACTAAGGTTAAGAATAGTAAATACAAAATACACCGATGCACATCTTATGACAAGGTTTTTTGGAACGCGCTTATTTCAGGAAGTACTGGTTCGAATTGTTTTGTGTTGGTTGGAGCATTTATCGAGGAAGGTAGGTAGGCTATATATTTTTTTCAATTCGAACGTGTAGTTCCTGAGATATGCGCGTGCAAACAAATAAACAAACTCTTCGCCTCATTTATTAGTATAGATTATAATTTCATATCTAATAATATTTCAAGTGCCTGCGTCTTTTTTGTGTAATGTCTACTATTTGTTGAGAATTGCCCCCCAGATCTAGATAGCAACCTAAATGTCGCAATACTAAGATGTCAGTAAACAACGTTTTTCCTCTAAGTTTTATATTTGTAAACATTTTGACCTTACATTCGTGACTATTTTAGTATTCGGCCTGTTTAGGAGGTCAATTGTAGTATATGTCAAAAGTAGGTGCAATAAAATATTTCCTTATATAAAGTTTAAAAGTATGCAGTTCACAGTCTAAGCACGTTTTAGTATTTGAAAATACAAATGTTTATTTTAGGCAAGTTAAAATAGTGTACTAATGTAAGTTTGTAGCTTACGCAATTGTGTAACACACAATAAATTTTCATTTATTTACTACCTGCGTCAGCGACTTTGTCCGCGTGGAATAGTTATATTGGGCATCCAAATTTGTTATTTGTAAACCTGTTCTTCATCTTTATAAATTTAGGCTGTCACGATATCGGTCCCGTCTAGTATAAATTAAAAATTAGACATGCATACTTAAAATAAAAACACTTTGTAAATACATTAAAAATATATTTTTACATCCTGGCTGCGTGCTATTGCTTTTACCAATTGGTAAATCGATACAACATGTCAAAATAATAAATGTTTAAGCGCTTTTCAACTGTTTAAAACATGCCCTCCACTCTTATGCTGCCAATGATCCAAAACGTCAAGTCGTAGTTAAAAATAAATGAACTAACATTCTCCATGTTTTATGTCATTTTTGCAGTCGCAGCAATTAAAACGACCAATTAACTGAGGAATGATCTGATCATTTTAGAAATCTAGCTAAACCTTTTCAATACAAAATATATGCCTATGTTTGTATGTTGTTTGGACCTTGAATTTACAGATGGAAAAGCCCAAGGAAGTAATTACGGGAATTCCATAGCAGTATGTAAGGTTATGTTACGTTTAGGCTTTTCTCCCACGATCCACAAAGCCTAACATTAAAACCGAATTTTCTGTATATATTAATCGATATGTATATAAACTGTCCATAGTGTACGCGAGTAGTACCCATACATTTAAAGAAAACAACAGTTTAAACACAAAATATATTACTTAAACTTATTTCAAAATTATTTACCTACGGCCCGACGTTTCGGATTCTTTGCAGCACCCGTGGCCACGGGGAGACTAAAGATGGAGAGTTTCTCTAATGTCAAAGTAAAAACTGCTACGCTAGCGCATCTGTTGCAGCAGCCGCAGTTGGTATTTGGCATATTTAGTACACCAGTTTTAAACCGTTAAAGTGTTTCATTTAAATCTGTGCTACTCGCTTAAACTACTTAATTAAATATTGCGTGTGACTAAAGTTGCAAAATAAAACCAACTTACTACATAAAAATTATATTTATTTGAGCAAAACAAGACTTCTGTTTCTAGGACGCACAGATAGATTGTAACCCTGAATTATTTCCACAGATATGGCCACGTTCAGATCTAGATCTTCGAGTTTTCCTGTCGCTGTTAATTCCACTTGTCTTAACACCTTGACAACCAGGGTCTTGATCAAAGCTGTTGCGTAGACTCTGCCTGTAACGTACCGGAAAATGTTATATAATTCATCTGTAGTCAATCTGGTAAATCTATAATAATACTATAAAGTTGAAGACGCTATTCTCAGTAACTACTGGTTCGAATTGAAAAATAATATTTGTGTTAGATAGACCATTTACCGAGGAAGGCTATATAACATTACTCTGTACCCAAATAAGAGCGAACAAATAAAACAAAATTATTCACATCTTGAACCGTTTTCGCAAGGCACGTAATGGAGGCCATTACGTGCCTTGCGAAAACGGTTCAAGAACCCAAAAAATATGTAAAAGGAATGATTTTTCTTCAAATTATTAAAAAAAATCCCGGATTTAAAAAGTATGTCTATCTTTTAAGATTATCACGCAAAACGGAGTCGTGGGCTCGGCATTAAATAAAATACTTAACGGCTCAAAACACGAATTATTTGAGTCAATCATTTGTTTACGAAGTTTCGACAAAGTGCCGAATAAGAAGCACCAGGATTATAATTTACCTAAACAATCCATTAATCCTAAACTGAATGGTATGAAGGCGTTCTGATCCCTCTTGTTATCTGGTGAGAACCGTTCTGGTTTGATTTTGAGAGGCTCGTCCCAATATCTTGGATCCCTGTGCACTTCGTGTATCGGTATTACGACCACAGAGCCTGCTGGCAGTGTTATTTTGCCTGAAATTATATAAGTCTTCATTTATTTTTGACTTATGACGTCCATCAGCGTCAATATACAATTAAAGATAAAAAGTAATAATTGTAAATGGCAACAACTTATAAGAATGAAACGAAACGTTACTGAAACTGTCACACCATGCTATAGTGAACATGGTATAGTTGGTGGTAATCTATTTAAATGTGTACTCGCGTAAACTACAGTACTTAACTTCTCGTTCGTGAAAATATAGGATTTCACTTATAATAGAACAGCTAAAATTTATAATAAGGGACTACAACTTCGCCATAATTCTCATACTAAGACTCTTATACTAAGGTATGGAAATAATATATATACCTCACACACTTTATATAATATGTTTTTGTACAATTAAAATATATTTTTATATACTCCTCGTAAATCTAGTCACGTACCTACCTATAGCATAAATACTTTACAGTCTCAATATTTGAAAACAGCTTTTAATATAGTAACCGGCATCGTCAGCGTTCCGTGCTGTTGCTCTAAACTCTAGCACTCCGTAGCTCAATTTTTAATTCTCATTATTTTTTAAGTCGCTGTCCACAGATTAATAATTTAATACATTATTAACTCGTTAATTAATTACTGTCTATAGTTTACGCGAGTAGTACACATTTAAATAAAACACTTTAACGGTTTAAAACGCGATATATTAGTGAAACTGCTGCAAAGCATCCGAATCGTTGGGCCGAAGTTAAAAATCATTTTCAAATAAGTTTAACTAATATATCGCGTTTTAAACCGTTAAAGTGTTTTATTTAAACATTATTAACTCACCATTATTAATAGTGATGTCCTCTTCAACAGTCCTTTGTATGAGCGGGGCGATAGATAAGTACCTCAAGACTTCTTTGTACACCAAATCCAAATTTGTCAACTTCTTAAAATGTTCTTCGGTAACATACTGCTCGCTCCCAACGACTTCCATTATTTCGTTATACACTCTATCCTTGAAATATATTTATTTATTAAAATACATATTCTAATTTTTACAGGGTAATAATGCGATAGAAAGTTACAGTAACATTTTACAAAGTCATAACATACATGAAATGATTGTTATAAATACTCCGTTGTGTACCGGTTAAATGTTCTTAAGATATGTCGTTGCCATAGTTACCATTCTTGTTACATTATAATTAGTCAAAAGATGAGAATACAGTTCTTTAATAAAAGCCATATATATTGTATTTCTTGAACTTCATAATAACAATGATGTTTTTGAAACAAGTTACACACTATAAACACAAATATTTTTACTTAATACAAACTATTGTAATACACGGAATAAAAATTTATTCAGATTCACGAAAAATCTCAGAGCTATTCGGTGGAAAGTAGACTACAAAAAAAAACTAAAAAAGGGTTTAAGAACAATTATATAATTTAAATAAATGGTGGCGCACGCAAATAAATCTATAAAAAGATGTTAAAGTTGTGCAAAAGATAAGGTTTTTAATTTCTTTTTCTTTACCTGCCACTCTGGCAAATGAGCTAAAAATAGTAGAACACCAGAGGCTATCTTCGCTGATGCTTCTTGGCTCTGAAAAAGTTAAAAAAATAATTAAAATATTTTCAAATACCTCGGATAAAACCAACTATTAAGTTCTTTATAAATTAAATAAAACATTTTAACGGCCGTTTCCGTGCCTTTTTTATAGTTTAAAGCCTACCTCAATAAATACTCTAACCAACTCGAAAATAATCTTCAGATTTATATAATAGATTATAATTGTGATACAATTTGGAGGTAAAATTTGTATAGTACACGTCTAACAGCAGGTTAAAAGAAACATACTAATTTACCAACTTCAAGGTTTAAAGAAATATGAAATTGTCACAATTAAGAATATTTAATTACTTACAGTAGTAAATAAAGCGAATGTTTCGAATTTTAACTCGGTCTCTGACAAACCGTTTACAATAAATCGGTCGACAACCCCCATGACGTCATTTTCCACTCCCTTAGATATTTTCTTCCGTCGTATTTCAATAATATCGGAAATCATTTCATTCACAATGTTCAAGTAATACTTTTGTCTCCTATAATGACCGCTTAGCCAGTAGACAAACGGTATTTGCAACCACCAGCGAGTCATTTTTGAAAACATGAGGCCGTATATGCTGAAATATTGTGAAATTTAAATTTCGAAGGCTGAAGGGTAAAGCTTAGAAATAATCATTTTAAACCAAAAATGTTTAACTTTGCACTCTTACATGTTTAAATGGAACACTTTTAACGGTGCAAAACGCAAAATGTGTTTGTTAAACTTATTTACAAATTATTTTAACTACGGCCCATTTTATTTTACTTTGACACTAGTCACACACACTGTAGTCGTATAACGTCGGATTGTAGTCAAAATAATTTGTAAATAAGTTTAACTAATACACTTCGCGTTTTAAACCGTTATAAGTGTTTTATTTAAATGTGTACTGTGTGCCTAAATTACAGACATAACATTATTTCTTTCGTCTAACATGATGAAAATTAGACTTACTTTTGCGTCTCCCGTGCAACGTGATTCAGATGGCGAATCTTCAAAATGTCGTCTGCCGATAAATCCATAAGCGTTCCTTTACAAAAAAATACAGATTTTTATTTTATAATTAATTATGCTCGAATGAAATTATAACTTAAGTATACTCACTACAAACAGAACGCGTCGTACATTGCAATACATCGAAATATACATCAAACATTTTCTCATCTTTTACATTTAAAATTTTCCCCAATATTTCTGTCTCCTCGTTGAAAACATCCTCAAATTTTTCTATCGATTTTTTACTGTAAGCAGGATTAGCAATTTTTCTATAGATGCGCCATTTTGGCCCTGAAATATTAGAAGTGTAGTTTGATAAACGAAATAATCGGATACATAATAATAAAAATTTGACGGGCTCGTTGGTCGAATGGCAACAACAATATAAACAACGAGTCGTAGGGCCGATCCCCATCGGGTCCAACATATTTCTAATCAACTTATAATTTTATTGAAAAATGTTGGAAATCCGGATATTAAATGGGAGGTAGGAATATCGCTATTCCGCCCGGGCTATGACAGAATAAAAATCTGTAAAGTTTCGTGTTTCGGTTTTTAGTCTGTGGATCTTCGAATATCCGAAGCCAAAATAGGCCGACAGCATATCTTGTGAGATGTATATGCTGGGGGTTTTCACCTTCTATAGTCAATCTCAAGCTTGTCTGTCCTCCTCTATAATAAAAATTACAATTTGTTTTTAACCCTCTAAGGTTAGCCATCAAAAACATCGTGAGTCCTGAATCTTTAATTTTATTCTACAACTACTATATGTTTATCTTTATTTCGACTTCACACTTCCAACATCCTATAACGTATAATAATAATGATTGTGACAGTAACCTCCAGTTAAGATGCCCTTGCCAATAAAAGGTGTCATGAAGTCATAAGCTGGACCTTTTTGGTTTACCTTATTGCTCGTGAGGAGTTGCTGTAACGCAAAAAGCTTAATTAAATATTAGTACTTGCTTGCGTATAGCGTGAAACCTGTTAAAGTAGTATAGTTTACGCGAGTAGAAAACATTTAAATAAAACACTTTTAACGGTTTAAGACCTAAAATATACTTGTTAACATATTTAAAATTTATAACTACGCCTGCACGATTCGGATGCTTTGCAGCAATGGTCATGGACAGCACTGAAGATGGAAGATGTCCCCAGACATTAAGGACACTCGCTATTTTAAACGATTAAAAGTATTTCATTTAAAACTTATCATTTTTTTACAAATAAGTAGAAACTAAACTACTTTCTTATAAATAAATTTATTTAGATTACATTTTTTGTATACGTTAAAAAAGTTTTTTTTATATTTATGTTATACCCGTATGTCATTTGGATCCTTAACACTAATAATGAGTTCGGGGCCAAGCCAGAATTTTGTGTAGTCGCCATATTGTTCAATCAGGGCTGCGATTTTCTTTAATTGCTCTGAAATTAAAATTAAGATAAAAAAAACCACTTAAGTAACCGTCTTAAATAATGCTAATTAACAAGAATGTGATTTCAGACTTTTCTAGTTTTTATTTTAGCATTAGCGACAGTCTTGGACGTCAGACACATTTTTGTGTTTCAATAATAGGTTTTACTTTTAAAAAGTAAATTAACCTTTCGTGTCCAGTTGGGCTATCATTTACTAATTCAAAACTAAGCCATATAAGATTAAATTAAACTTTTGTCATTAAGAATCCAAAATTTTGTTAAGGATAAAAGAAAATTAATAAAGCTAACGTTTTTAAATGAACTTAATAGATCAGAATTTATAATTTTGGAGGCTTATATAAGATCCAGCCACTTAGAATGAGGGGAGGAGGGCCCTCCCCTCATTCTGAGTGAGACCCTAACTCACCTAGCTTCGCTACTATTCACAGGTACTTACTAAGTTCGTACTTAGGTCTAAATCTGATTACCTTCAGGCTTGATCATAAATGTAAGGGCGTTGCCTAATATCGGTAAAGCTGGCGGTCCAGGCACCTGGTCAGCTAATAACAGCATATGCCTGTGAGTCCAACGCCAATATAGCCAATACATAACCGCAGGCACCAATGCAAGAATACAGACGGTTAGTAGTGTCATGTTTCTGAAATAACGGGAGGAATTAAATGAAGCCTTTTTTTCTATTCGGAAATTGAATCCTTTACCGAATCCACTATCCAAATATCTATTATAAGTTTAACTTGTAAGAACCACGGAAAGGGACGTGACTGACAGCGTAAGTTTAAAAAAACAAATTTATAAAAAATAAATATTCTTAGCGGACAAAGCCGCTGACGCAGCTGTTATATGTATGAACCTGAAGAGTTTGTTTGAACGCGCTAATCTCAGGAACTACTGGTTCGAATTAAAAAATGATTTTTGTGTTGCTTAGATCATTTATTAAGGAAGGCTATAGGCTATAACACATCGCGATATGACTAATAGGAGCGAAGAAACAGCGGGTAATGTGGAAAAAGTGTGAAAAAAAATATGCATGAATATATGAATGATCTAAAAAAAAGTTGGCGACGCTATAGGTCTATCTTTTAAGATAAACCTGCAAGAACGACGGGAAGGGACGCGACCGTCGTCGTGGGTCAAATTTAAAAATATGAAGAGTAGTTTTGCAACAACAAATTTTGATCATCAGAATGGCTTATTTTTATTCGAACTTAGCACGTTCAATCATACAAACAGACAAACACTTCAGCTTTATATATTGAATGACATATTTCTCCAAGTGGATGTTATGTCATACCAATATAATTATTTTTAAGTATAGTATAATTGCGTACATAGAAACTGCTTCATAAATGACTAATTACGCACCATATATAAGCAAGTTTGTGCTTTACACATATAAAACAGATTTTTAAAATTCCAAAGACATAGTACAAACAACTAGTTTTCCTCAAAATACATACATATGGCAAATTTAGGTCGTTGAACCATAGCAATGTAGTCAATGGGTCGTGAGTTGAATCCTCAACGGGTCCAACATGTTTGTAATCAATTTATAATTCTACCAAAACTAAGTGGACTTCATCTGGACATCTGAATATCAAAAGGATGGTAAGAATATCGAAATTCCGTCCGGGTAACGAACCGTCTACAGTTGAAAAAGCCTTTCAATTATAAACGCGTTTTTATTTTAGTCTGTGAATTTCGGGACGTCCAAAGGCATCTTCTTCAGATGTTATATGTCTAGGTCACCTTCCATCAAGTGGACCTCATGCTCAGCTGTCCTCCACTATCATTAAAACATATTCGTTGATATAAGACAAAACGGAATTGACAAGTTGTTTATCGAACACAGTTTAAATTACAAGTTCTATTTGTGTCGCAAAAGTAATTGTTTTATCAATTAAATAAATACTCACCGTGCTTAACTTCGTTTTAACATATGTGAAAATATTTACAAAACCAACTGTGAGTAATTAGTCTAAAAAATAATAATATAATTTAAAACAATTAAAATGTCGACAACCGCCACATTAAATTTAATTATTTAGATCGTCACTAGATAACTGCATTTCCAATTTTCACTAAGTAATAAATAACGCCTTCATATATAGTACATATAACATTTTTAACACTCACATAAATAAGGATAAAATTATATTATAAAACTCAAATCTAGAAATGTAGAGTTCAAGACACCGATGTAGTCTTAGAAGTAACTACTGTGTTAGATTATTATTAAGAAACTGAACCGAGTGTACTTATTACACTCCTTGCCCACTTCTATCGCCTTGAATGCCGTTCGTGTAGCTTTAGACGTTGTTTAGTCTCTAAATATTATGCGACAGGCATTTTTAAATATAGTCTGTAGTTTACGCTAGTAGTATATAAAATAAAAACTTTTAAAGGTTTAAAACGTGAAATATTAATAGTTACGTGATCATGGGTGTTGCAAAGCATTCTAAACGTCAGGTCATAGTTAAAATAATATGTATATATGTATATAAATAAGTTTACTAATATATTTAGCGTTTTAAACCGTTAATATTCAAGTGAATAAACACGCTCAATATGTAGTACCTTCATATAAGTTAGGTGAAAAGTTATGAATTTTCCGTAGTTTCTTGTATGTGTTTAATATAAAAACTTCCTACCCCAGATTATTTTAAAAGCCCTGTAAAACCTGCGAGTAGCTAAGAGTACATTTTTAGGAGTTAAGATTCATTCCATCCAACTATTATGCTGTATTTAATTGGAGAAAAAGAATCTTATAATAAGTTAAATAACACACTTTAACGGTTTAAAACGCGATATATTAATTAAAATCATTGTGAGATCATGAGATCATCATCATGAGATTCAAATAAGTTTAACTTATATATCGTGTTTCAAGCTGTTAAAGTGTTTTATTTAAATGTGTACTACTCGCATGATAGTATCTTATAATATTGTAGTTTTTAGAAAGAAAATACTATTTTCAACATACAAACAATAAAAAACAAAAATAAACAATATAATCAACATACGAATGCTGCAAAATGCTGTTTGTTTGTTCTTGCTACGCGACCTTAGCTAGCAAACAATTTGTCGTTTTTTAGCAAAGAGTTAGTTAAAAGTTCGGTTACTTAGGCTTAGAAGCTCTAAAAATACAGAAAACAAAACAATGGGAATTAGTAGTTTACTCGAGTTGTACACATAAAAATAAATCTCTTAAAACTGGTTTAAACGCGATCGCTATTAGTTAATAAATATTTCAAGGGTCTGTGAAAACTTGTATTTTCGTCAAGATCTCTTTCTAAAACACTGTCATGCTGTTTTTCTGTTTTTAAACATCCGCTTCAGTGAAGCCTCGTTTTAAATAAGTTACACACAACTTAACAGTAATTATGCGCCTGCGTCATCTGTAATTTTTTAATTGATATAGTAATTTTCCATTGCGGTTTCCGTTTTTAAAATTCTAGTAAGAATTCCAATAATTTAAACAGGTTTTTTTTTATGTTTCATTGTTAAATGTGGCAAAACAAAAAAAATGGATGTATTTTAGATAGTTTTAATTTCTTGCAAGTTTATCTTAAAAGATAGACACATACTGCCAGCTTTTTTTAGATCATTTAAAGAGGAAGCATTATTTCTGGCATATTTCTTGGGTATCTTGAACCTTTTTCGCAGCGTACGCAACGCTTCCCGTTGTTTCTGCGCTCGTGTTAGTCACATTTCGATGTTTTACAGCCTATTAAAACCTTCCTCGATAAAATATGTTCTCTAACCTTTACTTTTCACCTTTTTCAATTCGAACCAGTAGTTTTCGAGATTAGCGCGTTAAAACAAACAAACTCTTCAGCTTTATATATTAGTATAGATTGACTTGTTTTTTTTTCTTCTGGTTTGCAGCAGCTGTGTCTCGTGGGAATTCTTTATTAATCTTTATTTATGAAAATCCAGTAAGTTTACGTTATTGTCTTGACGTCTAACGAAATTTAAACAGACCTATGTGAACTCTTATGACCGGTCTCAATATTCAACTAACATTTAACTAGAAGTGACAATCGTAACTGAGAGTTAAAATTCCTGAAGTTTTGCTTTTCAATATTCACAGATAGATTGACATTTCAACAATTGGCTGCAACTGACTGTCGAGAGGGATAACTTCTTATCATTGATTTACTTCATACAAAACAGAACTTAAACGTTTCAATAACACTTTGACTGATAACTATTGTTTACAATGGCGACAAACTGTTACTGATTGTTAGCGTTAACCTTCCCTATTCTTGTATCGATTTACATGAACACATTTATTTGACTGTACTCCGCAGTATTCCCGGAAAACTCGAAAGACAATGCAAACGTTCATGCCTTAAAATTAATATTTAATTCTCGCCGAATAAACGAAGAATAAAAAGAATAATTCTAAAATAGGGAAATATCTCTTAACCCTTTCGAGAGGACACTTGCGCCCAGCACTGGGACATATATATATTTTGAAACGCTAAATAAATACATCGGGTGACAATTAAAGACTCCGAATTTGGAATCAAATGTTTTATTTTCAACGACGATTAATACCTAGGACGAACTGACACATTATAACCTTCTGTTACTTCCACCGATATAGCTGCGTGAAGATCTAAGTCCTCAATTCTTCCTTTAGCGCTCAATTCCACTTGTCTGAGCACTTTGACAACTAAGGTCTTTATCAAGGCGATTCCGAAGACTCTGCCTGCGACAAGAACAATCGTTTTAAAACGCACAGGCCTGATAACAGTTCCAAGCCGTAAATAGTAAACCTTCAGGTTTTATTTATGAAACACTAATCTGGCAAGTGACGTGTAGGGAAACGGTAGCTCAATGGGTAGAACGACAGCACGGAATGCAGTGCACGCCGGTTCAAGTCGTGCCCGTGTCGTATTTTTTATTTATATAGGGCAATTATGTGCCTAATATTAGTCTTCAAACACTAAACAAAATTAAATTTGACTTAATTCTGACGGGCCAGTTACTCTAATCCATAATCAGCATGTCGTGGGTTGGATCCCCATCTGCTCCAATAAGTATCTAAATTTTAATTTGTCTGAAACATAACTTCGACTTCAGTCTTCAGTCAGTTCACTTCTCACCAAGTGAAGAAGGACAGTATTATTTAAACATTATCTACATCACAGGAAACATAATATAGTGGAGTATAATGGATGAACGTAATTGAGACGACGCGGACGCCACCAAGATTTCTAAATCAGGCATAGTAATAAAAACAATGTACCCAAACAATCCATTGCTCCTAAGCTAAAAGGCAGAAAGGCCTTATGTTCTATTTTGTTGTCAGGTGAGAATCTCTCTGGTTTGATTTTGTTTGGTTCGTCCCAATATCTCGGATCTCTATGAACCTCATGTATCGGTAATAGAATCACAGCACCGGCTGGTATGGTTATTTCACCTGAAATCATTTTAGTTAATCTAGAAACGTCGATCGAACATATGAAACATATGGACACCTTTAAATAAAACACTATAACGGTTTAAAACGCGATTTATATTAGTTCCACTTGGATTTTAACTAGGGTCCAACGTTTCGGATGCTTTTGTGCATCATTCACGTTTATCTTAGATATACATATATTGCGTTTTAAACCGTTAAATTGTTTTATTTAAATGTGTACTACTTGCGTAAACTATAGACAGTATTTCTCAAATAGATTTATAATTTGCCTTAACGCGACAGTATACAGCTCGACAGAACCAACCATTTTTAATAGTAACGTCCTCTTGAACCCTTCTTTGAATAAATGGCCCAATCGAAAAGTATCTTATCGTCTCCTTAAAAACCATGTCCAGGTATGGCATTTTCTTGAAGTGTTCTCTAGTAAGACACTCGTCGCTATCTCCTATGACTTGCATGATTTCTTTATACACTTTATCCTTTAAAAAAAACAAATATTTACCGACTACAGCAGTAAAAAAATATATATTTGGCACTGGGAATTCTCTTAGAAATCATTCTAAATTTTATAAAGCTTAAAGGTTTGACCGTTTGAACGCGCTAATCTCAGGAAGTGCTGGTTTAAATTGAAAAAATATTTTTTGTGTTGTTTTAGGCTATACCAATAGAAGCGAAAAACAGTGGGGAAAATGGAACAAACGGGAAGATTATGAATCTTTGAGAGTTTCCTTTGCGTGCGCTTCCGAAACGGTTCAAGATACCTAAAACATATAAACGAATGATTCCTCATTCAGAGATTAAGTTGCAAGAACGATGGGACGCGAACGAGGGTAGCAGCTATCATTTATTAAGATGAGATCGCCAAAACAAATTTTGACGCCCAAAATATTTGACTACGCGGAAGAAACCGCTGGCACAGCTAGTTCCAGATAAACTATCTCGTCCAACAGGGTTCTGGTTATGTGGTATGCAAGTGTTACCACTAAACTATTAATGCAGGAAATTTTCTTACCTGCCACTCCGGTAAATGTGCCAAAATTAAAAGAACACTCGATGCTATCTTTGCTGACGGCTCTTGACCCTGAAATACATTATAAAACTTTGAAATGAAACACTTTAACCGTTTAAAACGCGATACAAGTTATTAAAACTTACTTCACTTTTTGGAAATTAATTGTCACGGGGAGACAAAGGAGAAATGCTGTAAAGCAACCTAAACGTCGTTGTTACAATAATTACCACATAAGTTAAATTAAAAAATATCGCTATTTAAACCGTTAATGTGTTTTATTTAAATTACTGTAAGATAGCACGAAGGGCGTAGTACGAATGGGATAAACTGACAAGAATCTCGTCGCCTCTCCTTTCTTACCAAGTTTAATTTCACTTAAAATATTACATAATTTTACTTCTTCGCGCGAGTTCCAACTCCAAGTACTATAATTTGATAAATATTTATTAAGATATGATTTTTTAACTGTGTTACGTTTTTTTTTTATTTCATTTATACAACAACAATAATATAACTCACACACACATACAAAAACACACCCTCATCCTTATTAAATATTATAGGATACGGCTTCAATTCAATTCTTGTTTTATTAACTAAATAGATACTAAGTTATGAATATATATAATTCGCAGAATCTTGTCACTTGGATAGTTAAAAAACAAATGTACTGTTAGCACCAAGAATTTCTTTAAATAAATATATTTTTGAAACCAAAAGCATACTTACACTACTAAATAACGTGAACACTTGGAATTTTATCTCGTCCGCAGAATATCCGTTAACAAGAAATCTATCAATAACGCCCATTACTTCAGTTTCAATTGTTTCATCGGCGTCATTCAACGCTTGACGTCGTCTTTCTATAATATCCGACACCATTTCGTCTATAATCCTCAAGTAGTATTTTTCCTTCTTATAATATCCACTTAGACGGAAAATTAGAGATATTTGAAGCCACCACAGACTTATCTTGGAAAATATCAGTGAGTAGATGCTGAAATATTTTAAATATCGTTGATCAGTACGCATTGTATTCTAGTACAGAAAATTGGCTTGTGAGTTTGATAGAAATTAATCTGGTAATAAAAAACGACGCAAAAATTATACATCGCAAAAGATTTAAATAAAACACTTTAACGGTTTCAAACGCGATATATTAGTTAAACTTATTTGAAAATGATTTTTAACTTCGGCCCGACGTTTCGGATGCTTTACAGCAGCAGTCTCCCCGTGACCACAGCTGCTGCAAAGCATCCGAAACGTCGGGTTTTAAACCGTTAAAGTGTTTAATTTAAATTCTTAGCAACTGTATAAAAAATGTGAACGAATACGAAACTTTGGTAGTACTTAATATTCCGAATGTAAGAAATGTTTTTGCGATTAAGGTTTTCTTATTAAACGAAATGAAAAAAAAGCTTAAATCATATTAATTTAGATTCAAAGTAATATAATCGTAGAGCCAAATTGCGAATTAACGCGAGCTTTGTTTGTGTATCATTGTTGTGACTTGTTGTTTCCTTGCAGGTTCTGACTGATTAAGAGGATCAAGGCACACCTTTGTAACCTCTCTCTTGAGAAGATCATGACCATTTAGGCTGAAAATGATCTCAACTTACCCTTGAGTATGTCGGACAACTTCTTTCAGGCATCTTATTTCCGATATCTCGTCTTCTGATATAGTCATAAGTGTTCCTTGAAACATAAAAAAACATTTGTTTAAACCGTCTAAAGTCGAATTGGTATATGGTCTTTCGTTTTACCATTAAAGTAATTTTGAATGTCGAATCCGATGTTCCTAACTAACACTACGCTTTAAAATTGATTCCAAATTGACAAAAATACGACACGGGCAGGTCCGGAACGGGCATCCACAGCGTTCCGTGCTGGTTCTAACCAATTGAGCTAACGTGTTCTACACGTCATCGTCGAATTTTTTCAACATTGATACATGCATCTCTCACGCAATGCCTTAATTTTCTTTAGAAAAAATTGTGAACATCTGCTAGTACCTTTTTGGGCAAGAGTCCCAGCTATTCTATCTCATAAAGAACTGAAGAAGATAGTATCTTAAAAATCGAAAATAAATTGAAAAAAATTTCGACTCGGGCAGGACTTGAACCGGAATCGTTAGCGTTCCGTGCTGTTGCTCTACCAATTGAGCTACCGAGTCATTTTTCAATTTATTTTCGATTTTTAAATTGTATAGTGCCTTCATGTGCAATAACATGTATAAAAAGAGAGTACTTACTACAAACCGCCTTTGTTGTACATTGCACCGCGTCTTGGTATACGTCAAACGGTTTTGTGTCTTTTTGTGTCAAAAGAGTCGCGAATCTCTCTGTCTCTTCGTTAAAAATTACTTTATACGCGTCCACAGATTTCTTAGTGTACGACGGATTGAGAATTTTCCTAAACGCGCGGAAGTTTGGCCCTGTAATGGAAAATCGGAATTAGTGCAGATTAATTGCTTTTTTGAAAAGAACAGAAAAAAGACGCGCTATAACTGAGCCCTTTGTGAGACTTAATATTTTCTCCTAAATTAGTAAATTGGCAAATTCTACTTGCGTGCGTTTAAGTGATCGTTTGTTTTTGCAGGTTCAAGACCCAGCCAAAACTATGTTCCCCAATTTCTAACCTAAGATCTGAAGTAATCTAAATCAGATTGAAGGAGCCATAGAGGTGATTGAGTCAAACATTTAAATTTGAACGCTCATAAAGTAAACGTAAATATATTAATGGACAGAAAAAATGTGGTACATTTTTGTGTCTAGTCCTGTGTGTGTTTACCCTATTGACCGCCCCTAATTTTTTTAATACTAGGAAAGAAATATTAGGGTTCATTTGATAGAAGATGAAATATCGCAGCGTTATAAAATCTATCGGCTTTAGAAGTTCAGAAAAGATTGACGTTCTTCAATAAATAATAAAAAATATACCGCTGAGTAAAATTTACCTCCAATTAAAATACCTCTCCCCATAAATGGTACCATAAATTCGTATGAAGGACCTTTTTTGTTCACCTTATTGCTTGTAAGAAGATGCTGTAAAATAAAATTAAATAATTCTATCAAACAGGTAGGATTTAAAGTTTAAACTATGAATGTGTACGCTTGGAATATATACCAAATATGTTTATATTATAACATAATAAGTACGTATGTAAATTAAAAATCTATTTAGATTAAAAAAATCTGCTCTAAACAATTGAGTTACCGTGCCCATCATGTGAAAAGTATCAAAAGTACGTTCGTATGAACAAGATTTTTAAATAATACACTTTAACGGTTTAAAACGCGTAAAAATGTGTACTACTCGCGTAAACTATAGACAGTATGTACAAGACTTAATAAAAATAAATAAATAATCCGTTTAATATCACACAGCACACAATTTACAACTAAAATAAGTAATATTAAAACAGAAAACTTACAAATAAAAGAATACAGAAGTAGAATTTTAACTTTGTGCTAAAAGGCATCAAGACTCAGCATGTGCTCAGCAAGGCTTGCTAAGCGCTGATTTTCAGTAACAAGGAGATCCAAAAAAAATATTGTGGAAAAGTTGGAACGAATATTAGACGATTAATAAGAATCAAGGAAATAAAACGCTTTTATACATTTAAGAAGGTAAAAATTACTGCTGATAGATCAGTATAGGTATATACCTTCTTTTCCTTCTCTAGGTATTAAGCTTGTTATTATATACTAGCTGTGTCAGCGACTTCGTCCGCATAGAATAGTTACTTTGGGCATCCTAATTTGTTTTTGCAAACCTGCTCTTCATCGTTATAAATTTAAACTGCTATCTGACATCGACATCGGACGCGTCACGTCGTTCGGATCCTTGCAAGTTAATCTTCAAAGACAGACACATAGCGTTGCCGACATTTTTTGAGATCATTTAAAAGGAATTTTTCTTCTATACATATTTTTTTGGTATCTTGAACCATTCTCGCAGCGTACACGTCGGAATTCCACAGAGATGAAAATTTTCCCCCGTTTTGTTTACATTTCCCGACACAGCGCGATCTCTTATAGCCTAGATAAATGCTCTGACGAACACAAAAAAAAATGTAATGCAAGCAATTTTGAGCAAGATGTTTTATAGCCTATAGCCTTCTTCGATAAAGGTTCTAACACAAAAAGATTTTTTCATTTCAAACTCGTACCTGAGATTAGCGCGTTCAAACAAACAAACAAACTCGCCTCCTTTTATAGTAGTATGTGTGTATTAGCTTAAGTGAGTTATTGTTAAATTTCTAGTTTAAATGTTGATTTTATTGCGTGTTTTCATTTTCCTTGTTGAAATTTGCTTCTTTACTGTAATTTTGTTTTTCTTTCTACATGCAAGGATTGCCTTACAGAATTAGACATAGCCGATAAGGCCCCCTTTGCACAAACATTGTTATTTCTATATAACAATTTTAAAGCGTCTATGTCATACTCCGATGTGAACATGTTTGTGCAATAAAGAGTTTTAATATTATTATCATAGTAATAATACCTTTATATCATGAGGATCTTTGATACATATAATGAGTTGTGGTCCCAGCCAAAACTTCGTGTAGTCACCGTATTGTTCTATCAGCTTTCCGATTTTCTTAAATTGTTCTGAAGCATAAGTAAGTTTGCGCCTTATAATTAGCAATTTTATATCATTATTTGAGTATAAGCCTTAAAAAAGAGGAAAGCAAATAATATGGACTAATCAGCCGGCCTTCTACGGGTGAACCCAAAAGGAAACAATAATAATAATTACCTTCTGGTTTCATCATCATGAAAGTTAAAGCATTTCCCAAAATCGGAAGAGGAGGTGGCCCAGCAAGCTGCTTTGCCACCAGCAAAATTCGCCTATTAGTCAAGCGCCAGTACAACCAATACAAAATACTTGATATTAGCACAAAAATGGACACGCTTATCATAGAGTTCATGATTCTGTAATAAATGTAATTTACTATTTTATTGTCCTTTAAAAAAGATACTTATTTTCTGTAGTGTTAGGCATACTTATAATGAAATATGAACTAAAAATATATACATATATTGATTTTAATATCACAACATCATACGATTAAAAATATTATATAAAAGTTTACTTTTATGATAAAAGTTACTGGCTGGCAAAATAAAATTCGCGTGCAATTCGATTAAAAAGTTTTTTAAAGGACGCGGGAAACTAATTCTCATTCTTGCATTTACTCTTAAGTATTGTAAAAAAATAGCTTTATTGTTTTCGTATTTAATACAATTTTAGGCAACATACTTTTATATTTTACTTTTTTAATATGAATGTGTTTGTATAATATTCCGAACTACTAATGTTATATTATTATTGCCGCAAAAAAACATTATATGCATATCATAGGCACACATCACTTATTAATAAAAGAAATTAATTAATGCAATATATTACAATTATAAATATTAATTGGAAATTGTTTTGTTTATCTACTTACATTTGATTCAATTTACAGAAGATGGACAAGACGCTACCACCAGCCAAGAAACACAAGAATATTATAACACATGTTATCGCTTTTTATTATAAAAACTATAATTATAATCTTTTTATATGTTAAGTAATGAGTAGTTTTGGTAACAAGTATTAACTAGCGTATATAATAGAACTTTTCGTACTTACTTCAATGCTTATTTATAATAAATATACATTCGATTAAAACTGTAAAGAACTTACCGAACTCGGGCTAGGTAGTTGTAACTATGTAACGAAACAAAGGAAAATGTAAGAATCACGGCGTTGCAACCGAATACATTTAAGATGCAAAGCTTTCAAGATATTAAATTAAAAAATATTTCGAAATTTACATTTATTATTTAGTTTTTAATACATATAATTAAAATATTATTTATCACATCTGCGCTAGATACGCTTCGACGGTTAATAACGCAAAATACATTCGTTAAATTTATTTAACAATGACATACTAAAGCCCGACGTTCGTGTCTTAAACCGTTAAAAGTGATTTATTTAAATGTGTAATACTCGCGTAAACTACAGACAGTATCTTATATTTTATTCTCTAGTAAGAAATACCGATACTTTTCATTAGTATATTAGGACGTAATTTTTTTTAATATTATTTTTAGACCGGCCTTGTAAAAATCAAACGTATTATAAATTATAATAATAAGTCCGATAACTTTGTCTTTTTTCTAAAGCGATTTTTTATTAAATTAAAGTTGACAAATTGGCCATCAAGTTTTTTCAGTCTTAGCAATTACTTAAAAACTTAAGTTGTTAGCAGCATGCTGAATGCTTGATGTTCACTCTATACTAAAATATTAGTTATTATAATAATAAAGCTGAAGAGTTTGTTTAAACGCGCATACCTCTGTCAATACTAGTTGGAATTCAATTTACTTTTATTTAGGCCATTTATCGAGGAAGGCTTTTGGCTGAGAAACAGTACGCTGCGACTAATAAAAGCGAAGAAACAGTAGGATATTATGATAAATAAATTATCATTTTTATCATAATGTGACTGTTTTACTTTTTTTTTATAGTGATAGAGGAGGAAATGGTAAGGTAAGTGATATACCCTAGCCTATATCATCTAAATAAGATGAGCTATCGGCCTATTTTAGCTTTCGGAAATTATTCGAAAATCGGAATTATTTTCGGTTCGTGACCCGGACGGAATTTATATATTCCTACCACCCATATAATATCCAGATTTCCAGACGAAGTTATGTTTAACAAAAAACATAAATTGAACAATTAAAAACATGTTGGGCCTGGTGGGGATCGAACCCGCGACCCGTTGACCATTAGCCATTCATCACCGTTAGACCAACGAGCCCGTCGAATTACTATTTCTAAACTAACACTTATAACAGTAATTGACACTATACAGCATTGTCAAATACCCCATTGAACGTTGGCAGTACTCTCAGCCAACCTAATGACGCCATAATATAATGTTCTGGCAAGCAAACATTCGGAACCCTTCACTTTATCATTCTTTTAATTAGTTATTAATGACATAACTTTATAACAAAAATAACGTAAATACGTATAATGAATCAAGTTCCCTATTCTCTCGTATGACCTTTTATAATTGCGTTTTGAATATTTTAAGCGTTTTTGTTTGCAGTTTTTGTGAGAGCGCTTTGGTGACTCGCATCTAAGGACTGCGGAAGATAATGAAACTTGCGATGTTCAGAAAACTAAAGTAATAACCGTACTTTTTGCACAAAATATACGATATCTAGACACGCAGGGTGCAGCCAAGTCCAAACTGACTGTCGAGGAGTGACAAGTGTAGTTGTAACGCTCTTCTAAATCGAAAAATATTTCTCATAAATCATGAAATGCGAGGTACAAACGTATTTCAAATTTCACGAATACATTTCAAACGATCGTTTAGGTATTAATGGTGACTGATGTATAGCAAGCGAGTAGGTAATAGAGTAACCAAAGGACATTTTTAACGAAACTGGATTTTTTCATAATTTTCAATTTCATTAAACTAAATTTAAAAAAAAACGACTTTGGTAATTCGGAGGTATGTGTTTATCTTTTTAGCCAGGATTTAGGATTCGATTTCTGAGACGGGCGAAACGGTTATTCGGAATTTTTCCAAGAAAATTTCAGTCATAACTCCCATGCCTAAAAGAGCACGTTATCACCACTGATTTTAGGCTGGTTGTACCATGATAGTACCGCTTAAACTAGAACTAGCTACAGAAGGGATGAATATGATACGGATATTTTGTTTTTCAAAGGACTCTTTTAAATAGTAAATGAAAACGTATTTTAGATTTAAAAAAATACAACACGGGCAGGACATGAATCGGCATCCACAATCTTCCGTACTCCTATATATATATATTTCGCTCTTTGCCATCATGTGCCATATTATTTTAAAATATTAAAGTTTTCAATAGTAAATAGTAATCAATTAGTAGTTCTGATAAGGCCGCTAGATGGCTCTGCTAAATGCATTTCTCATTATTACCTTCGACTTCTGTTATTATTATTTTTTTTATTTGAATTTAAAAGAGGAATGTAAATTTTAATAGAAAATAAACATTTATTAAAAGTGAATTTTCAATACAGATAATGAAACGTTAAAAATTTTAAAATTCATGAACAAGAGATAATTCAAGATAAGATATAGATTTAACACGACACTGGCATAAAAGTTTAAAATTAATTTTTCTTTCAATTGAAAGAGCTGAGTGCTCACCTAATAAAATATTTATTAAGTTACATGAATTTTTATTTTTTTGAACTACGTAAATAAAAATCTATGGTGTCATTGTCTTTTTTGTTTGTGCTTCTATAATATTTTCCTTGATATTCAATTAACTTTCTTACGAAAGACAGTTTTATCAACATATTTTATCATATATTATTTATTATGTTTTTCTCATTAGCTATCGACAATGTTCGAACATATGTTGCAGACTATATTAAATTTATCAACTATCCTAAAACTCACCTAGCTAACATGTACTACCCAATCAACATGCTGGCACAACCCTAGCTGTGAATATTAACGAAAATATTTCAATTCAAATTTTTGGGAGTGTCAAACTGTCGATGCCGAATCAACTGTTAAACTGATTCACAAATATTTACTTGAATTGTTGTTTTGTTTAAGAAACCAAATAGGTGGTGTTACACAGATAACTTAAGTCTCGTAATATATAACCGTTAAATTAGTGACCTCTTGAGGAAATTCGAAAAGTAAAAACATGGTAAGATTGTAAAGCTGATCACACAAATAAACAGTGTTTGAGTTGATTCTATCTTTAGTACTTTATGTTGTTACTTATGCTTGTAGATGCCTGCAGTGTATACATTTCTAAAACGAAGTGATAGTGAGGTACTTCAAGAACTTCTTAGGGTGCTGGGGTCTGGTCGAGGTTCGGTCAAAGAGAAGTGGAGTATTGCTGCTGAATGCCTTGTGGAAACAGGCTGTGACGCGGTGTGGAAGCTTTCCAAGGAGTACTGCAAGAAATTCGGTAGGTGTTAAAGATTATATTGTTCCTATCTATACTTATATGTATAGAATTGGTCAGTTATAAGAACAGTCAGTATATTTTATATTATGATTCTCTGAGGGGTCCAACAAACAAACCTGACCTTTCCTAAAGTCATAAAAGTTGAAACTCAATACTTGAACACTACGACATCCTTACACTTTTCAAATACAAGATGTTCCCATTATTGTATTTAAATTAAATAACAATTTGTTTTTCTGTTCACGATTCAATTCTATTTTATGATTTTTGAACTTTAACCTGAAAGACAGCATTTAGACCTTTAATATTTAAATAAATAAGACTGAAATGGAAGTGACAACCACCAAACTCAATATTGTACAACTCCACTCAAAACTAATGCTAACAATCATTTATATAACAAATTATATAATCCTTTTATATAACAATTATTGTGGTTGAGTTAAAAGTCTAGTTTATATGTTTATGACAAATTCTTTCATATTATGACAAAAATTGTCCAATTTCAGAATTAAGATTTCCGTGTGTCGCATATGTTACTATCACATCAGTTCTATTTGAAGAGCTATATGCCACAGTGGAAGTGTTAAGTGTTCAGCACGAAAGTATGTGCTTACCAGAAATAGTACCTGATGTTCCACTCATGGAACTCTGGCCCACAATCGAACAGAGGGAGGATTATGTCAATGCTGCCACTACAGCGGCCTTTATTGATCTTCTAAGGTTTGTAAAAAACTTTGAATAATGTAGTGTTTTTTTATGCAATTATGTTAGTTTAAAATTTGCTTTCTTTTAACAAGTAAAAGTTAAATGTCTCCCCGTGACCACGGCTGCTGCAAAGCATCCGAAACGTCGGGCCGAAGTTAAAAATCATTTTCAAATAAGTTTAACTAATATATCGCGTTTTAAACCGTTAAAGTGTTTTATTTAAAAGTAAAAGTTAATTGAATTTTATATTTAAGCCCTTTAACTAGGTAAATGCAGTGAAAGAGATTGATGTATCTGTGATTACTAATTTAATCTTAATACTTCCATGTGATACAATTTATTACTTTATTCAGATTCTTTTACAATAACATATGGATGCCGTGGGATGACCAGGATGGTATGATATTAACATCAAAAACAATTGAAGATCGCATGGAGCTCTGGTGTGAGATACACAATGGGATCATAAATAATAGAGTTGCCAGATCTATCAAATTACTACGGACAAGTGCCATAAAGGCTCATGAAGATTTGTTGGAGCTGGAATCTCTATTTAATGAGGACAGTGATGAAAATGGTAAGTATGTACTTTAAAAGAGTATATTCATCTACTTACTGAATGGCCAATGTACACAAAATTGAAACACATGTATATGGGAAGTGACAACATAACTATGGATGATTTAAATAAAACACTGATATGGTAGTGTTTAGAAGTCTGAACTACTTTCTAGATTAAGTAAATAGTAACAGGCTCAAAAATGTTTCTGCCGCATTAATCAGTGTTTAATTTCACATTTATAACAACAAAGTGTGTATGTATTTCAGATTCTATGTTACCAGCTGACAATATGTTATACTTGTGTGCGGAACTAAATGCTAAATTAGAGTCACTGCGGGCACAATGGAGCAATTTGTATGAAAACCCATCTGTACGAGAGCAATATTTGGCAGAGTCTAAAAACAAATGGCAGAAGGACAAGAGTAAAATAAATGTAAGTAAAAAAAAAATGTAATATACTATAAACTATAAAATTAAGAGTTGAGTAAATTAAGGTAGTGTAAAGAACTCTCTGGCTATAATAGGTGTGTTTGTTGTTCTAATGGATGAGAACAACAAACACACCTACCCCAGAGACTCCTAGATGGCAGCTCTGACGGTCGACAGAGATGTGGCAAGCCAAAATTAAGTTAGCTAGATGAAGTCAAACCTTAGCATTTTAAAAGCTAGAAACAGCAGGCACCTTTTCCAAAATATGATGTTTTGGAGGTCTTGACCAGCCTGGGCCCCAACGTTTTAGCACCATGTAGATAGAGTAGAGCCTCTAGAAGTCGAACATCAAGGGAGACGCCAAAAAATTCGAGTTATAGAGTTTATGACTTAGACGGATTTTGATTTGACATAAAGAGATTGAGATTCATAAAATAGATACAGTTAGATAAAGAAAGATAAAAGGTAGTTTTTAGCTTTCAATTTTTTAATAAGCAGAATAGTAATCTTGTTAGTCAGTGTCAATTAAGTGATTTATTAACATACTCTTTTTTTAGTCATAAGTCATTTAATCAAGCTTCATTCCATATCTTAACATTATTTTAAAGTAAAATTAAATTAAAATGACATAATTTTTATTACCATCAACTTTGGCCTGGTTGTTTTAAATGTAATTGTTTACATTACCAATCTAGTATGGCAGCAGTTGTTTTTTTTGCAATGTAGCATTGTAGGTATTATATGGACAAACTTTTAATAATCATCTCACATTACAATTTTGTTTAAAATAGTATTTTAAAGAAACCATTACTATTAAAACACTAACGCAATTAAAATAAACCCAAAATATATTAGTTAAACTTATTTAAATGCTATTTTAACTACTGCCCATTACTATTGAATTAATATTGATAATAATATAACATAGCCTTAAAATATTTTTTCAGTGTATAGCTATATGGCCAGGTGGTCCAAGCTCTGAGTTCCAAAATATGTCAAATGTCTTCCAATCACACCTCACAAATGAGCACCTGCTGACAATAACGCCTACAGCTGAAGACGGCTTCTCCCGAGAACCAGATGAGGTCATAATATGTACAGACGTCTGTGAAATACCTGAAATACAATTATCAAAGGTCTCCATGTGCAGTTGGAAAGGTTAGATTTATTTAATTTTATTTTTATAATCAAAAATAAATGTATATAATAATATACATTTATTTTTACATAAATTATGTTAGTCGCCACCCGTGGTTGTAAAAAAGCTCATTCACTTAATTATTATTTGATATAAAAATACTACATTTAATAAATAATATGTGTCTCTGTGCACGATGCATCAGTTCGACGCTTACGATAATTCTAATTAATTTCGTATACTAAAATGGTTACGGCAACATTAGCGTCACATACCGATCGCGGGTATCGAATACGCGCACTATCAGAGTGCAGCTTAGGGTCGGCACATAACACATATGTATGTATGTATATAAATAATGTAAGTTTTTCCTGCTAACAGAATCTACTGTTATATTACACCGGCTCGAAGCCAGAACGCGGTAATACTTCCAGAACTTTTTTTTATCATTAAAAGTAGGAAAGAATGAACATGAATAACGCCGCTATATCAAACGTCGAGCCGGGTTCGAGTCCTGCACTGTACTGCAATCTATCAATCTTAAAATAGTTGTATTTCAATTTTCTTTAACAAAATATATTTGTAGGGGCAACACTTAAAGCGGACGATATGCGTGCGTACCTTCTTGTCTTGAGCGAGACGTGCAAACTAAAGCAGCTAACGTTAGACTGCGAACATGTATCAACAGTTATCGTCATGCGAGCTGGTACATTGCATATGACTGATTGTTTTCTTATCAACAAACAACGGGTAAGTATCAAAACTCACCTATTTCTATCATAATCATTTATTCTTTTTTTCTATTGGGGACACAGCTAAAAGGCCGGGCCGCTTTATTAACTACTTTTAACTTTGGCCCAACGTTTCGGATGCTTTGCAGCAGCTGTGGTCACAAAGAGACGCAAATAAGTTTAACTAATATATATCGCGTTTTAAACCGTTACACTATTTTATTTAAAAGAGAGAATTTCTTCAATTTCGTTAACAATACACATGTTCTATCTCTGTTTTTCTAACGAAATCATGTCATGTACAGAGAATGAACGTTTTATGATATCTGAAAGAAAAATTGCTTAATACATTATTTAATTTTCAGACGGATTTAACACAAGGGATCGTTGTGAAAAGTGGTACAAAAATTCTTCTAGAAAATTGCGTTTTTGAAAATTTTTTCTCCGGCATCGTTGTTCATCGAGGTGCAGAGGTAAGCTAATCACGTCTGTTGTTTTTACTACATATTGCTTATTAAAACAGGGTACTAATTTGTCTTAAGGTCTAAAAGTCACAGATAAAAAAAAACAGGACAGAAGGTTCCATAAACATAAGTTCGCAAGTGCAACATTTCGCTTGTGTGCTGTTGTATTATTTTGGTTTAAAAAACCCCACAATGAATGTGTAAATAACAAGTGTTGTCGACCTATATTGGCGTTTGATATTTAAACATCCACTGGCTGAAACGGAAACACTTTACAGATTTAAAATAAAACACTTTAACGGTTTAAAACGCGATATATTAGTTAAACTTATTTGAAAATGATTTTTAACTTCGGCCCGACGTTTACTTTACTAATAGATATAAGTCTTATTGGCACATATATATTTTAACTGTTAATTTCTTTTTCATTTTAACTTTGCACGGGGTCTCCCCGTGACCACGGCTGCTGCAAAGCATCCGAAACGTCGGGCCGAAGTTATAAATCATTTTCAAATAAGTTTAACTAATATATCGCGTTTTAAACCGTTAAAGTGTTTTATTTAAATGTGTACTACTCGCGTAAACTATAGAAAGTATTTAACACTTTACAGCTTTTTTGACCAGGACGGAATTTAGATATTCTTACCACCCACTTAGTACTAATATACATCCTTTATTCAGTCTAACAACAAAAAAAGGTCTTTCCTAATATGTTGTATCCAGTGGGAATCGAATCCAAGACATGTAGTTTGTTAGCCACATTATTGAACTTAATTCACAAGCATTGTATTATCTGCATTTTTCATATTACAGGTGGAGTTAAGGAATTGCAAGATTAGAAAATGCGGTGTCGGCATTCAAATGTTTTCGGATTGTATCATCAAGTTGGACAAGACTGTGATAGAAGAATGTTCAGAGCAGAGTATACGCGGTGAATCGGTTGACCTTGCTGATGGGGACAGGTAATGGATTAACAATTCTCCTGCAGTTAACTTAAAGACCTGAAAATGGATGCCTTTGTAGCGTCAGTAAAAAAAATATACCATACACTCATATATCTAACATACAGGATGTATTTGAACAAGTATTGTCTATATTGAGGGCATGTATACGAGTTAAAAAAAAATTGTCTTCATTTAATTCATGCTTTTTTATAATAGTTTAATAGTCTACTTTAAATACCAAATATACAAGAACGTAGAAAGATACTGTTTTATGTTAAATATATATAATTCAAAAAAAATCTATTCAAAAGTCTGGATTAACTTTTGGGATTTGGTTCAAAATTCTAGACGTAACTTTTTGACGTGCTCGTTGGTATAAAGTGTAATGCTAACTGCGGGTTGTGGGTTCGAATTCCACTGGGTTGAACATTTTTCTAATCAATTTATAATTTTTCTATGACATGCTGCACTTGATAAAATTGACTTATATTGTTATACTCATCATGTTATATCTCTTAGTATCAATAGGTTGAAAAAATCGACGATGAATTGTAGGGCGCGGTAGCTCAATTGGTTAGAGCAATAGCACGGAACGCTGAGGATGCCGGTTCAAGTCCTGCCCGTGTCATACATTTTTTTCAATCTTTTATCGATTTATAATGTGTAATATATCTTTCTTTTTTTACAGTATAAAAGGTCTCCACATTGAAAATAACTGTCGGATCGGCTCCGGTGATTTGAAGAAGGAAATTTTTATCGCAAGAGATATAGAGAAGTAAATAAAGAACCATATATTATGTATGCTGATATCGAGAAAGAGAAGAAAATATGCAAAGACTCATAGTAAAAATAATTATTTTCTGCATGTAGTTTTGTAGCGATTTGTATAAAAGCAGCTTTTTTGAAAGAATGTACTTAATATAACGATTTGTCATTGAAACAAAGAAAAGATTTAAACGTTTCGGTAATGCTTAGTCAAAATAGATTTTTAGATTACTTCTTGTTTAACTTTTTCCTTATTATACAGCGAACAATAATTCTCTTAAATACTGTCTATAGTTTACGCGAGTAGTACACATTTAACTAGTACTCTTTAACGGTTTAATCATTTTCAAATAAGTTTAACTTTTTTTTTATTTATTTTATTTATCATATCATCATAACAAATACATTTATTTATATATTGATATCAATAAAAAACCACTAAGGTTTAAACTGATGCCATCGTGAGTTTACTTAACATCTAATTAGCTAAGTTTATTTAATAAATATACAAGATAACTAGCAATCTACTATCTTGTCTAAGCATGCAATAAGAGAAGAAAACAATAACGCTAAAATAACTTAAGGAAATGATCCTTTAGCTTACCTTTAGCTTACCTTTAATATTATTTTGGTAACTAATATATCGCGTTTTAAACCGTTAAAGTGTTTTATTTAAATTTAATTCTCTTATTAATATCAGTAATAGCAGGGTTGCTCTTTTGTTTTTTAATTCGCTCTGCGGTCATAATGAAGTGTATGACATCAGGACTAATCTATAGATTTCAGTCAAAAGAAAAAAAAAGGGCTTATACAATTCATAAGTGTCCCCCGACGCTTAAGAGATGTGTAAGGCATTCTTTTTTTTGATAAGGCTGTTATTCCTCCCAAAAATAAAATGTTTGAGTCCAATGTCCGTTTGTGGCCTAATATGGACATTGATAAGAAAATATAATATGTCAAACGTGAAATGTAGGAATATAGCAAGGTATATATTTGAATTCAGTTATGTTTTCAATTGTTTTACATTTAGTTATAAGTAAATATAATATAGAATATACTTAATATTCTCATCGTTATGTTTTATGGGGAATATACTGATATATATGAGTAATGATGATATATGAGTTTTCCTATTTATACTATTACATAGGAAATAGAACAAACTAACGCTACCTTATTGTATTTTAAGTGTATTTCGTGCAGTTCTGCAGTTGTATCTCTGTTTATTTATATCAAAGAAGGGCTTTAATTTGTTTTCATGTTAAGTTACAGAACGTGTATTTTATTTGTAATAAACAATATAATATTCACTGTGACTTTTATAACATTCATTCATTATTCAATAAGTAGTAAGTATAGCGTAGAAAAATATATTTAATAATAAAGAGTATTTTTACGTAAACCGTTAGTCATATAATACTACTAACTTAACCAGTAATTGTATAGAACGATACAACTTCTAAAAATCACTTCTAGCCTTATTCCCTTTTAGAATTGAGGACAAGTTCCAATAGTTTCTTCCTTGCTATCTTTCCTGTAGATGTTCTCGGCAACTCTTTGAGGAAGACCACACCACCTCTCAGCTCTTTTTGCTTAGACAGTTTGCCTGAAAATAAGATATTGTCGTATTTCAAATAGGATTTATAAATCTTATGAACATGGACGACGACACAGTATCTTCTATGGTACAGCAACAGCACGTTTTGACTAGGTTGTGAGTTTGAGTCCCACCTGTGTAATTTATATTATAAATTATACCATTTTCATGTGTATTTTTCCTAAAATGTAAACTGACCAGAGACAAGCTGTTTAATCTCCTGCCTAGTAACAGTAGCGCCATCTCTTGGCACGATACACGCAACAGGGTGCTGGCCATCTTCAGGATTATCCACACCGATTACACAGACATCGCTTACGTCTTGATTTGCTTTTATTACATCCTCCAATTCACTTGGTTGTATCTAGAAATCAGAGCAAATTTTTCAGTACAATTTAGTCTTCACTCTCTCTTAGTATTAAATGCTGTGTCTACCTCTAGCTGCTTTACACACTTTTGTGTTTTTACAATGGGAGATGAAACAGCTTAGCCATATGACATCACAAAATGCCCTGTCGACCTATTTTGGCTTTGGATATTCGGGAATCGACAGACTGAAACCGAAACGCGATTAAAATTCACGGCTTTTTATAACTGTGGACGTTGGTTCGTCTCCGGATCGGAATTTCGATATTCCTATTCCAGAGTTTTAGACGAAGTTAAACATGTTTCAGAAAAATTAAAAACATTTTGGAGCCGGCGGGGTTCGCACCCACGACCCGTCGATGACCCGTCGAGGACCCGTTGATAACCCACGTGCCATACATTGCTACTATTATACCAATGGATAGTCAAAGCGCCTTAATTTATATTAGTAATTATGATAAAATGTCGACAGTACTAAAATAAATACATAGAAATAAAATAGTGAAAATATCTGTGTGTGTGGATGTCTGTAAGTACACTGTAAGGAAATAAATTTTGGGCGTGAAAAAGTAACAAACGTACAAGCAACACCGCTGACTATTCGCGTGCGATTTATCGTGATGTCAGTTAAAAAATTCAGCATAAATATTTACGTGGAAATTCCTATATTTGATCAGCGTTTTGATCCGATCCACATAAAAGTAGAAGTTGTTCTCATCTCTGTACAGAAGATCTCCGGTCTTGAAGAAACCATCCGGTCTAAACACTTTCGCAGTTTCCTCTGGGTCGTTGTAATATTCCTATAAGAAAATGATTACATTAATCTTTTAAATAAAACACTAACGGTTTAAACGCGATATATTAGTTAAACTAATTTGAAAATGATTTTTAACTTCGGCTCGACGTTTCGTGTCTCCCCGTGACCACAGCTGCTGCAAAGCATCCGAAACGTCGAGCCGAAGTTAAAAATCATTTTTAAATAAGTTTAACTAATATATCGCGTTTTAAACCGTTAAAGTGTTTTATTTAAATGCTACTTGCGTAACCTATTCTCCCCACCGGTGGGGCTGTGCTGACGCACAGGACGCCTCGCCGTCGGCGATCTGGCTCTCTCATCCATGCGAATAGCGACCACTCATCCTCCTTTGCTCCATACTCGTTTTTTCCTCAGTTGTAATTTCTTCCTGTTTTTTTTTGTTTTTAGTTATGTACAGTAAAAGTTTTCCCGGGATTCGAACCAAGGACCACTCGCGCTTCACGCAATACCGTGCAATACGTTTAACCGTTTAGCTATAGAGGCGATATACCTACATCAACATAGCTTAAAGTAGTATTATAATAATTTAAATCGATCGAAGTGCTTTGTTAAATATTTGGTTCGCACTTCTGACGGATATTACATGACACCAATCTTCTTCAAAAGATGGACTATTTTGCGTTTAAGGGGACCACGCTTTCAACGTCTAATTTTTATTAATTTAATACTTTTCCTTTAGAATTGGGGACCATAAAGAAGTATTTAATTCCTATACAATTTGAAATACTAACCGTAAAACCTGGATCCTTCACTATAAGTTCTCCTGGTACATTGGCTTCCGTGATTTCTTCCTCTGTTTCCGGGTCCACTAACTTAACATAAAACATTTGTTATAAACCGAACTTATGAGAAGCAAATACGATCTAAGATAGAGGAGGATTGTTTTTAGAGCAAGCTCGATCAAAGACGACACCCCACATACCACATCATCACCGAACAGACTGGGAAACAACGAATTTGCTGAAGAATGCGGTGTAAAAAATCGCGTCTCGAAATTTTCATTGACAGCCAAGGTATCGCTGCAAGGTCATGGTAAAGAGGAACTTGGACTAACTCGGGTTTACGAGAAGTTATGGAAGAACGAGGAAGATGGCGTTTTCTTATTTCCTGGTCTTACAGTGACAGCGCCAGCGGAGTAAGTTGGAATACTTTTTCAAGACACATAAGCACTCCAAAATTTAAATAAAATGCGCTATCCATCAATTTCAGCATTGGACATTCGAGACGTGATTACACTGTTGGCTTTTTCTGTGGGCGGTGGTACGCTGCTCGGACAGAATTTCGATATTCCTTTAATCGATTTACTATCTTGGTTTTCCAGACGAAAATGATATAATTCCAGACATGATTTAGAAAAAAAAAACCGTTTGAAACTGAAACATATTTAAACTAGTCGAATAGTCATTGATTATTCATAAGTAGGTAGGTACTGGCTTGTAGATCAAATGGATCTTTGACTTCTACTCTATATTATGTTCATACGAACTTTCATAGTACAATGACCCATTACATGTAGTTTTTACCTTCATTACTCTGTTGGCATAAGCAATTCCACAACTACCCAACGGTGTGTCAGGAGTGACGCGGACTATGGATCCCACGGTCTCAGTCGATCCATAACTTTCTGCGGCTAACGCCTCTTTGTTCATACATGACTGAAAAAAAATCAGGGCTTCCAATTTATTAAAATATTTTGATAAAAACCTGTATTTTAGTAGTATGGGCTATAGTGTACGCAAGTAGAACACATTAAAATAAACCACTTTTAACGGTTGAAAACGGAAAATATATTATTCATTTATTTAGAATTTATTTTAACTAAGTCCCAACGATTCACGAGGTCCCTACACACACAACTAATATAATAAAATCCCGTGAACACGGTTGCTGCAAAGCATCTAAAACGTCGGGCCGTAGTTAAATCAAATTAAAAATTAGTTAGCGTGTTGTTTCGTGTTTTAAACTGTTATTTTTTTATTTAAATCTGTAAATGTTTTTAGTACGATTATTGTACCGCTCAAAACAACGAAATTACACAAGTAATATGTGATAGCGACAGTAAAAAACAATAGATATGTAAATTGAAATTTCCAACCATGTTTGAGAAAAAAATATATTTTTTATTATTTATTACAGTCACTTGCTCAAAAATAGGCATCGCTTTGGGCACAGAATACAGAATCCTGGATAGTACCTAAGTTACTGTAACCTAGGTACTATCTCTCTAAACCTTGAGTAGGTTGTATAGAAATTAAAAAAGTTTTTACCCTTAGTTCTATCATAGTCTCGGGACGAGCTTTGGCTCCAGCCACCGCAAGAACTCTGAAGCAAGTGAGGTTCACTTCGTTTTTACGTTTCAATAAAGAAGTCACCAGAGCTGGGCTCATTGCGCTTATCACTGGCTGAAATTATAATTGTTACGTGTTATTTGTAGTTACGTTAGTTAGTTAGTACGTTAACGGTTTAGAACGCAAAATATATAAGTTGACTATTAAGTTAATACTTAATAGTGGCCACGGCTGCGGCAAAGCTTTCGCATGAACGTCGCAACGGGCCGGAATTCCAATAAGTTAACTTTTATATTTCGCGTTAAGTGTTTTATTATAATTATTACTGAAGTCTGCTTTGTTTGTATACTTTATTACAAACTACGAGGTTCCGGATTCGATTCTCGGTTCGGATGTTAGATCAATATATCAGACCAATATGACAGACAATGGTGGAAGTTAGAAGCGAGTTAATGATCCCTTCTTTCACAGGCAAGTAATTGATCAGGACTCTGTGCCCTATTCAACCGAAACTATGTATTGTTTCCATGTTTGTCGAAACTAGGACCTCTCGCGCGAAACTTGCTAGGCAGCACGTTTAACCATTTCACTACAGAGGCTTGAAGTGAAAATTTTGACGAGTGCTCCTGTTAACATTTACCTTGTACTTGTTGATCATGTCAATGATAATATCGATGTTATCAAGAATGGAACTTTGCAGTTGACACTGCCCCGCAATGATCGCGACTGTGCTAATAAAATAACTGGATATCCAATTAACTGGGGACACGTTCAGTACAACTCTGCCGTCCCTGAATAAAATTGCATCCGTAAAATAGATGTATTAAAAAGATAGACTACTATAAATACAAAGAAACAAATTAAAACTAATTAATTTCAATTCCAAATTAAATAAAAATGATTTAATAGATATTATAAGTAGCTGTTACAGCAACTTCGTTCGCGTAGAATACTTATTTTGGGCATATAGCTGTTACAAGACGCGCCCAAAGTCGCGGGTTAGGGCTATATTTTATAGAGGAGGAGGAGTTATTTTATAGAATAGTAGAATCATTAGTAGAATAGTTATTCTATGCGGTCGAAGTCGCTGGCGCAGCTAGTGCCAAATACGATGTCAGCTTTGATAGAGATTCCGTCATTTATTTAAAATATTGGTAAAATATTATAAAGCTATTCCTTGGCAGCGGCCTAAAAATTATATTATAAAAAGTATTTACCAAATCATTTTTTTGCTAAATCAAAATAGGTATAACTTTATGTAATATTATTATTTTTTTAGTTTGATTTTTAAATTATTCTTATTCTGTTATTTTTTGTTAAAAATTATTATACTATCTGTATCTAATCACGGCGAACGGACAGACAAAGATATTATTAAAAAAAATTATAATTTTATAGATAATAAAGTATATTTTAGTTTTAATTTTAATTGTTCGAAAGACAATTCTTTCAACGTACAATTGTAACGCCCTAGATCCGTATGCATGTTGAGTTATCCATGTTGTTGCTGGTTGGTGGTGGAACGCGGCTACCTTCACAGATCCTGTGGTACCGCTTGTGCATATCAGAAATTGATAAATAGCATCTGTGTCAAACTCGGCCACCCTTAAAAAAAAATAATTACTTTATTAAGGTATTTATTTATTGTCGTTGGTATAATGCAATGCGTGGCTAATAATCAACGGGTCGTGGCTTCAAACCCACTTTTTGAAAAATGTTTCAAATAAATTTATATTGTTTCTAAATCCTAAACTGGTGGTACTAAATGGGTGGTAGATATCGAAATTCCCTCTGTGTCATGAAACACCATCCACAGACGAAAAGGCCCTCACGTTTAATCAGGTCTAGGTTTCAGTATGGGGATTTCCGAATATTTAAAATCAAAGTTGGTTGACAGCCTATCTTATTTTGATGGGATTATGGTATCCTTCCACCATGTAAATGTAATGTCTGCCTTCATCTATCATAAAAAAATATATTACTTACATAAATTTTTCCTCCGGTTCATCATCTTTGTTGGCGTCTAAGAACTCTTGTAGTGAATTAACACCTCGTCCAAATATTATCACTTTAGTATCCAATCCTAAATCGTGACAAGCATTGACGTAAGTACTGTAAGATTCTCTCTCACAGAAAGCGATTTTCGGTGATGTTATTTCAAAAAGCTTTCTTATTTCATCTAAAAGATAAGAAATTGAAGATATAAATGTACTGAAACAAGTTGATGGAGATAGAGGAATAAAATTTATGAAACTTGTCTTGAAATAAAGTGAAAACTTAAAAAAATGATACCAGATGATCCAAACAAACAAATATTTGTTTGTTTGGATCTTAACATCTGGATTTTAGAACTTTTTGCTTGCGAATGTTATTAGGTATTTCAGAACATGTATCAGAATTTACACAAAAATTCACACGGCGGCATCGCTTTAACATTTTTTAACTGGAACATAGCTAATGATCAACGGGTCGGGGCTTCGATTTCTACTTGTTTCTATATTCAATTCACAAATTGATTTAACTGAAAAACCTGGATATTAAATCAATATGGAATTAATGGAGTAATTAGATAATGTAATAGGAATATCGATTCCTTTCCGTTTCGGTTTTACTTTGTAGATTTCCGGATTTCCATACCGAAATTGAGTCAACAGCGCATCATGTGTAGATGTTCATGGTTGAGGTATTTCACCTTGAACCAAGTAAATCCGTGCTTGCATGCAGAGGAGAACAGACGTCCTTTGTCATAATAAAGTGGTACAATATTGGAGATTGAGCTCCCGGCCTCACTTACACAATTCAAGTATGTACAATTAGAGCGACAAGAAGCCATAGAATATTTTAACCATCATCCAATATAGTTTTTTATCATTCTTAGTTAGTTCGTTCTAATCTGTATAGTGGCTGGATTCATTTGATATAATTTTCAACGCAGTTGTAATTGGCGAAGAAAAGATTACTCGCGCGCCTCTAAAAAAACTTCGGGCTGCTTTAAAGATAGGCTAAAACGATTTTTTTGTCATAACGAGATATAATTATTATTGTTCCACATTCTAAAAGTCATCAATTGTTTCCTTATAACATCTGTAAAGCTGAAGTGTTTATTTATTTGTTTGAACGCGCTAATCTCAGGAATTACTGCTTCGAATTGAAAAACTATTTATCGATAATTATTTTTATAAAAGCTCACTGCTGCTACCAATAGGAGCGAAAGAAGAGAGATAGAGTTTCTGTTGCGTACGCTGCAAAAACGGTTCAAGATACCAAAAATATATACATATTTAACATAATATATATTTAACATAATTTTAGGAAGAATGATTCTTCCTAAAATTATGTTAAAAATGTCAATGACTAGAGAAAATGTTGTCAATTTTTTAATTATTGTCTCAGCCAGCACAAAAGTGAAGACTTATTTATATTAAAAAAATACGTGCCGAAAATTGACGAATTTTCGTTCTTAGGCAGCTTCACAATCTTGCCACTTGTGGCGCTAGTTACTATCTCTGCATAATCAATGTAGGAACTAGTGTTTCTAATCTACATTTTTATGATACGTTTAAAAATCGATGATTTATCAAATCATAAAATGAGTCACAAAATGGCGTCGATTCGATAATACAACTTAATTTCTAAAGGTCGATGCTAAAAGACAGATTATGTTTTATCAAAAATGTTATTGAACTTTTTGCATTTGTTGTATAATATTAAAAAACAATTTTATTAACTGCGTTTCATTTTATCGAAAATAATGTTCATTCGAATATATTTTTACATTATTCAAAGAGCAGTTAAATAAACCATTATTATTAAAAATATAGTATAATCATAGCAATTCTTCAGTAGGTTTCAAATTAAATACTGTCTATAGTTTACGCGAGTAGTACACCTTTAAATAAAACACTTTAACGGTTTAAAACGCGATATATTAGTTAAACTTATTTGAAAATGATTTTTAACTTCGGCATGTGCCATATTGGATATTGTTACCCACTAAATTGTATTTTAAGTTACTTACCATATTTATAGTAAGGATCTACCCCAACAACAGGATACCCGTTGAAGATAGCAGCGTAAAACGGTATGTGTAGATCGAGGTTATTCTGGCCTCCAAAAGCGAGGATATCCCCAGATTTGAAACCAACTTCCCTGAAAGCCTTCGCCAGGGCAATAGAACGACTTAGTGCCGATTGAAATGTTTCTTGTTCACCAGTCGCTCCGTCAATCTAAGAAAGAATAAACGAAATTAAACTATGAAATTGTTTTTCATAATATTTTTAAACTTGATTCTTGGCAGTTTGGTCAAATTCGGTTCAGCGGTTGCAAACGTACTCCTGCATAAACAGGAAGGTAAGAAATGTTGTTAGTTACAAATCTTGTCTTCTATTTTACATACCGTCTTTAGCTTACGCGAGTAGTACACATTTTAAAGGAACACTAACGGTTTAAAACGCGAGATATATGAGGTAAACTTATTTAAAAATTATTTTAACTACGGCCCGACGTTTCGGAAGCTTTGCAGCAGCCGTGGTCACCGGGCGACCGGGCCGTAGTTAAAATAAATTTCTAATAAGTTTAATTAATATAAATCGCGTTTTAAACCGTTTACGTGTTTTATTTAAATTCTACGTTACATAAATTGTGTTAATTCAGAATTCATTTAGTTAACTGATCTTTTCAAGTAGGTTTGCGAAGGTCATTCAACTTTTATTTATTTACTCGCTTCCAGTGGACTCAAGGTTCAAATCCCGGAAGAACATAATATCCTTTGAGGTAGGACATGAAATACCTACACAAGAAACTACTGATCAATGCAATGTACCTAGAAGCGAATTTACAGCCTCACATAATATAAAGAAATGTTCAATAATACCGATTAAATTTAAAATTATAACCTATTAAAAGTAACCGGTTTCTCTTGTGGGGTTTGGGGCGAGCACATGTGTCGATTTCACTTGATAGATTGATTTTATTCACAAGACATTCATTCATTCACCTCGTTGAAAAGTAGATTAATTTTAAAGATTACATACATATATACATACACTAGAACATAGAAGGCATTTTAAGGAAAAAAGGCCTTTTGATTTTTTCATTTTATAACTTACAATACACTTGTCCTAACTAACGTATTTATTATATAATTACGTGTTTACGACTTACCTGGCACAATTTTTCGGAATGTTCTCTCATATGTTTTAATAAAATATGTCCAAGATGGCAATCTGGTCTCACTTTTGCTTCACTCATTTTGGGTAGTCTGCTGCGATCTCAAGCGTAAACTAATGATTACAAAACATTTTTTAAATATAAATATGATATAAAGCTGTTCGTACGCATTAGTTGGACATATATAGGCAAAAGTATTTATCAGGAATTATCTAGCTATGTTAAAGTCTGAGTGTGTGTCTTGTAAATGGCTTAGTAAATTTTATGTTACGTACATTAGATGTTATTCTATACTAGTACAATAGAGCTGAACAGTTCGTTTGTTTAAACGTGATAATCTCAGGAACTACTGCTTTGAATTGAAAAAAAAAGTTATTGTGTCGGTTGGGGTATTTTTGTAATTATACTATATACTTGTGTATATATTTTGTCTTTCCTCATATATTTTGTTTCTTGACCCGTTTTCGCAGCGCACGCATCGGAAGCCTTTAAATAATTTCCCCCTTTTTCACAATTTCCAATGCTTTTTAATTTAATATTTTTTCAATTCGAACCAATAGTTCCTACGATTGGAAGTTCAAACAAACAAACACTTCAGCTTTATATATACCTACTATAGACCCAGTCTCCCCGTGACCACGGCTGCTGCAAAGGAAAAGTCGGGCCGAAGCTAAAAATCATTTTCAAATAAGTTTAACTAATATATCGCGATTTAAACCGTTAAAGTGTTTTATTTAAATATGTACTACTTGCCTAAACTATAGTCAGTATTTAGGGTACCTTTGCTTGTCTCGCCTCTGTCATAAAGAAATATCTTTATTGTTTAGGCCTATGTAATATATGAAATATTGTCTAAGTGATATCCACTTATAATCATCGAGATATCTACTATGATTGTACTTGGAACATCTTTCATCGTGCGAAGGTCAGATAACAATTGTTCTTTATAATAGAAGCTAATCTTCACAAAGGTATTTTGAACTATTGTTTGAAGGTTATCAAATACTATTACATCGTGTTAAACAGCTTTGATAACAACGAACAAAGCCCAAACTAGGTTCACTTCGAATGAACAATGTACTATCAAGACTGAAGTTATAAAGCTGAAGAGTACAAACTCTTCCTCAACATTGTCGTCGCGTTCCTGAGATACCCGCACAACAACAATGTCGTGCGTGTATCTCTGGAACTACTGGTTCGTATTGAAAAATGTTTTTAGTGTTGATTAGACCATTTGTCGGCGAAGGTTTTAGGCTAAAACGTCAAACTCCAACTAATAAGACCAAAGAAACGGGGAAATGGACAACGGACAACGCTATAGCTTATTCAATGTGGTCAAAGGAGCGACCACAGTTAGTCTATGATAAGTTAACAAGTTTTGTTGTTCTATAGTCCAAATATTGTGTTCTAATCTGTCCTAAATAAAATATATTTATTTACGAGATTGTAAATACGTACTTCAATTAACCTGGACTATTCGTTCCAAAAGGGCTTAAAGAAAATTCTTTAAAAAATAGACTTACACTAAAATACACGAAAAACCAGTTTGGTTACCATCAAAGGTCTTAAAAAAAATAATTTTAATATATATACATTTTCAAAGTCTTACAGAAGATCTAAACAATAGAAAAGGTGGCTGTAAGTTAAGTGTTTTTTGTTTTGTTGTATATCTATTCTTTAAGTATTTATTCATTATCAATGTGTAATGCATTTTGGCTTATTATTATAATTTCCACTGCCATTAGCTTTATTCAAATGCGTGCCTACTACTCGCGTAAACAGCCTGTATTTAAATAAAACTTACGCGCTATGAATTTCAAAACATTTGCATACTGATTAAAGCAAAATTTACGATTTATCTTAAATTCTTTCTTAACGATAAAACGTAAGTTTGTTTTTGCCTGTATAAGATTCAAAACCAGGATTTCTCACATCATTACATATAAGACGTAATTATTAATACATACTTATTTCCTTTAAACAACGCGTACAAGGAAAATAACATATTATTCAACTTTATACCATCTTTGAAGTAAGGTCAAAAGTCAACTACGGTTATGATGGCTTGAGCGATTCTTAAAAGAAACCATTTTGTTAAAATTTAAAATGGCCGTGGTATTTTACCTTCCATCAAGGTTCAATCTTGGACCCCATGATTTTGTGTCCTGTTTGAAACTAAGTATTATGGGCTCGCTCGGTTAACGATAGGTGAGTACGATTTCTATCAGGTCCTCAGGCGTCTAATCAATTATTTTTAACATGTTAGAATTCATCTGGATAATCTCGATAAATGGATGGTTGGCATATCAATGGCAAGGGCTATACTCGAAGTTACCCTGCGTGATCAAGTCAGGAATGAGGAGATCCGTAGAAGAACTAAAGTCACTGACATAGCCCATCGAATTTGCAAGCTGAAGTGGCAATCTGCTGGGCAAATCGCTCGTAGAACTGACGGCCGTTGGGGCAAAAAGGTTCTGGAGTGGAGACCACGTAGCGGACGTCGAAAACCTGGACGACCTCCTACCAGGTGGACCGACGACCTGGTCAAGGTAGCAGGGAAACGCTGGATTCAACTAGCGAACGACCGGTCGTACTGGAAGCCTTTGGTGAAGGCCTATGTCCAGCAGTACCGAACACCGAGCAGACACCGAACGACTGAACTTCTGATGAACATAGATAAAGCCATAAAATGATAAATCTGCATGTCGGTTTCAAAATGTAGATTTCCATAAAGTATTTTTCTTAAGAACACATAAAGACATGGTATTTCACGTTACTACAAGTAGGTAAAGTTCATGCTCTGCCGTGGGAAATTTAATTTTACTCTACCTTATTCTCCTTGCTCTTAATCTAACGATAAACACGTCTATAACTACCATTCTTCATATTAATTAAAGAACTACCGAACGCTCATTTAATCTATTAGCTTAAGTGGCACATGGCGTGATCAATATTGTCCTTTTGATAATACTGCGTTGTACCCGAAGTTTTTAGTAAGATAAGATAAACAGGTATTAAATGATAATATGAAAACTGTAGAAGTGATCTACAGACACTCAGTTACATAAACTTTTTCTAACCGCCTGTCCCTTTTTGCAAATGCGCTAGAGTGATAGATGGTTAGTTGCCTAAGGTAACAGTGATATTGCAGACACAAATAAGTAAAAATTTTTTAAATCTTTTTATATATTGAACATTTTTATGTATTGTCTGTAGTTTACGCTACACTTTTGAATAAAACTCTTTTAACGGTTTAAAACGCGGAACATATTAAGTAACTTACTATCATTATTCATAAGTTACTAACACATTTCGGGTTAAAAGTGTTTTAATAATCTAATCAATATATTTCGCGTTTTAAACCGTTAAAATGTTTTATTTAATTCGAATATTTTTATTTATAACGTATACATAGGTAACACGTGTTTTTAAATTTATAGATATATAAAATATACATATAAGCGAACCGAATGTAGTACTTTCGGCCCATGATAGACCTGAACGATTCACAAACACGATTGAGTATCGATACACGATAGATTTTGGAACATCACTACACCATCATATCAAATCAGATTCTTATGGTTGCGTCATTATTCACGATAAAGCCTAGCCAGACGCCGGACTAAAGACTAAATTCAATTTTATCAATGGAAACCATTTCGTGTATATAAAGACTGTGAATTCTTGAGCATGTGTCCTGACATAGTTTGAAATCACGTCTGAAGTTCGCAAAGCACAGTTGTCTTTCTACTCAGCTAGGTGTTGCACGAGTCGCGAAAATGAACGATACCGTAAAACCGAATAATCATATAGGCCACTATATCTTTAAATCTATGAAGGAACACTCGGATTTGCTTTTCCAGGTCAGTTTAAAAATACATGTGACAATTTTACACACAACGCGCGGGTAAAAATAGTTATTTAAACAAATGAATATTGCTTTGCTCACATATATTTCGGTATTGTGTATCTAATTGGTCTTTTATATAACTAGCGGTTGATACTTGTGAAGTTGTTCTAGCTTGTATGAATAGTTAATTATTTTAAAAAGAGGTTCGAGGTCAGTTCGCGTTATTAAACAATTTATAAAAACAGCAAAACTCGATTTGTTAGTATATGCAGTCCCGTTTCCCCCGTTGGGGCATGAGTAAATACATTTCTGTGTGTCGTTGATAAATTTATTGTTCAGACTTATGTGCCCTGCTTGACGATGAATTGATCGAATCCAAAACCTCGCGTGGATTGCGATGCTAGACAACGTTTTACCATTGAGTTGATTGCTGTTGGTTATTATATTGCAATACATAAAAAACTGTCTTTTTTGTTTTTCAATATATTATGCTGGCAGTACAAATACATTTTATGTTTAATATTGTCTAACTAATGTGGTTCATAAATACACCCTGAAACTATCTGGTCTAGACCTATTTAAATAAAACACTTGAACGGTTTAAAACGCGATATATTTTAGTTAAACTTGTTTTCAATTATTTTTAACTACGGCCCGACGTTTCGATGCTTGCAAAGCATCCGAAAGTTTAACTTGAATATATCGCGTTTTAAACCGTTTAAGTGTTTTATCTAAATGTGTACTACTCGCGTAAACTACAGACAGTATTGGGTCTAGAACTATTGTGTATCCAGCCGATCTAGTTTGAATAAAAAATCCCGCCGAATACCGGACTTACGAAAAGTATTGTTTTATTATAGATGAAGTGTTACTTTAAATTTGATTTGTTATTCATCATCAATCAGTACCTTATCTCTACGAAATGTTAAATAACTCCTCGTGATATTTATCAAGTCCAAATGACCCAATGTTTTTAAAGGTGTAAGAAATGATTAAATACTTTAATAATATACATTGTCTAATAACATTAAATATAATCAACAATGTGTACACGAAATTATATTTTAACATGCGTATTTTAAAAATAAAAATAATAATATCTATAAAGGCTATATATAATAATAGTGGCTAATTCAAGGTACTTGTTAAATTACATTGCGTAACACTTTTTCTTGCGTGCTTTCCTAATTTATCTCTTCCTCAATGACATTTAATTTTTGCAACGGACATATACACCAATGCTTTTTACATATCTCTAGATAAAATTATAGGTCGTGGCAAGTGCAATTTGGCAGATAACAAACAATATTAAGACCTTGAAATTCGTGTTTCTAGGTCGCGGGTCTTTACCAATAATAAAATGTTAAGCACAAATTTTATACTAAGCATATATATATGATATAAGCCTGATAGTAATTTTAATTTAATGGCAAAAGCACAGTGGACTAGGGCTGTCGATGTCCTAGGCCACAAAAAACAGCAGATATTTACAGTCCTCGGGGTGAACTCACAAATACATTAATGTTTATTTTGAGTTATGAAATATAATATATATATGTTTAAGTTGGTGTTAGTTTTTTTGTTCTATTATACCACAAATATTGGTCACAGCGCAATGTTTTATAGCCTTTCTCAAAAAATGCTCTCACCAACACAAAAATAATTTTACAATTCGAACCAGTAATTCCTGATATTTGCGCGTTCAAACAAAACGTATTTGGATTCTATCGGTTATGATAGTGGATATTTGTAAATAAATAAATTTAACCCCACTAAACATTCGGCTTACATAAAAGTTCTAACGTTACTTACTAAACTTAATTACTTTAATTTCAAACAATTACGCGGCACTAGTTATTAATGTTAGTTAAAGTTTAGAATATCTTTATTTAGCAGGTAACGTAGTCACTAACCAAGGCGGGTTCCAGAAGAATAAAGTAGTAATAACTATTTTAAATAAAACACTTTAACGGTTTAAACGCAACATATTAATTAAACTTATTTGAAATTATTTTTAACTTCGTCCCGACGTTTCGGATGCTTGCTTGCTTTGAAACGTCGGGCCGAAGTTAAAAATGATTTTTTAATTAAGTTTAACTAATATTTAAACCGTTAAAGTGTTTTATTTAAATGTGTACTACTCGCGTAAACTATAGAATTCGTAATAACTATACTTAAACTTCTTCCTTGAACCGATTTTCGGTTTTTCCAAAAAACAAGTTTCGACTAGTCCAAGTACTTTGTAAAAATGTACACTACGGTATTATTAAGCGGAAGTGTTTTTGGACTAAACTATAGTTTATTTTGTCGATTAGAGTAGCTACACTTTTTGTTTGTATATTTCTATAATCAATTCAAATGCTACAAGTTTTCCTATGTTACCATGCCATAAAAACGTCGTGTGTAACATACAATACCAACATGGACTTTGATCAGCTCTATGATGTAATATTGTTATTACCAAATACCAGAGATGATACCGAACTCGCTTAGCAACGAACGTAATAAAAAAGAAAATTGATTTGCACAATAGAAGACAAACATTCGCGTCTAGAATATAAAAAAACGATAAATGTTTAAATACTGTCTATAGTTTACGCGAGTAGTACACATTTAAATAAAACACTTTAACGGTTTAAAACGCGATATATTAGTCTCCCCGTGACCACGGCTGCTGCAAAGCATCCGAAACGTCGGGCCGAAGTTAAAAATCGTTTTCAAATAAGTTTAACTAATTGAACTTATTTTTCTATTAAAATCATTGAATTCGTAACTTAGTAGGTTTGAATCCCGGAGGATATAAAAGTAAAAAATAAAGCGATTTAATAGTGCCTGCTGTAATATCGATTGCTTCAACGTACAGAAAAATGTTTGCCCCCATACTCTACATAAATAATAAGACTACCATTACTTATAGTGATTGAAATTCCGTTGCGCATGGGGCGAACGCAAGGCTGAATCCGTTTCACTGATTGGTTTTATTTCCAGACAAGTAGTTGATCAGGTTTCTGTGCCCTGCCCGACCAAAACAAGTGATTGATGCTCTTGCGCAATTTATTTTAGCATTAGCTACAGAGGCGGTTCAAGTTCCTCATTGTTTGTTTTGTTTTATTACAGATAGATGTCGCTACTCATCAAGAGGAAACATACGAGTCGGTTTTAAATCGATCTATTAAATTGGCGAAGAGCTTGCGAAAATTGGGTTTAAAACCTGGAGACACAGTTGCGTTTGGTGGTTTCAAACACCTGGACATAAATATTCCATTTTACAGCGCTCTGTTCAATGGACATCCGGTTATTGGTGTTGACCCATATTTCAAATATGGTGAGTAGAAAATATTACACAAAATAAGTTACTAGACAAAGTAAAAAAAAATTAGAGAGATTTAACTCTCACGTTGCAATTTCTAAGGAAAAAAAATGTCTTAGCAGAGGTCGCAGTTTCGATAGTCGATACCCAGATTAACTCATAAGCTTTGATTTTTTAAGAAAGCCTATTATGTATATATAATTATTGTATTACTTATGTACACAAATCATTCATCAAAGTTCTTAATATGGCACCTAGAATTACTCTTCGTTTCTTAATATCTGCGCAAGCCATGTCATCTGCGTTCTACTGATCACTAAAAATTGTTCAAATAACTTTACTTAAGAGCGTCCTAAAAGTTGAGACCAATATTTTTTTAATGATAAGATTGAATTTAAGATAAGCTGTCGATCTACTTTCGCTATGTAATATTCGGAAATGCACAGACTGAAGCCGAAACGTGATTAAACCTCACGGATTTTTCATCTGTGGCTGATGGTTCTTGGCCCGGCTTTAGATATTCCTATCCCCATTTAATTATATTACGTTTCAGATGAAATCAAGGCGCTATTTAAAATTGTTGTTCCGAAAGTTGCTTTCTGCGACGAAGAAACGTACGACACATACCTCAAAGTCACCAAAGATCTAGAATTGGATACTAAAATTGTGGCGTTTGGAAACGGAGAGAACTCTTTAAAGAAATTTGTGGAGAGCTACGGAGATGATGAAACAGACAATTTTACGTATGTATTCTTATACGAAGTATAGGAGAAAGCATTACTTGTTGACATTGTGATAATAGCATGTTTGACAACTGGAATTCGAACCGGTTATTACAACAATACAGTACGGAAGTTCTGTTACTCCTTACAGAACTTCTTTTTATGATAGAGAAGGACAAACAAAATAGGATAACACCTAAAAAAACAAACATTTGAAAACTGTAATATTTTTTTACATGTTATTGTACATGAAGGCACTATATAATTTAAAAATTGTAAACAAATTGAAAAAGACTCTTTCGAAATTTCTTTTCAATTTATTTTCGATTTTCAAAAAGATGTTAACCTATTTTGGATTTGGATATTCGAGAATCCACAGACTAAGACCGAAAATCAATTAAATTTCAAGGCTTATTCATCTGCGACGATGGTCCGGACGGAATGTTGACTTTCCTCTCACCCATTTAATATCTCAATTTCCAGACGAAGTCAAACGTGTTACAGAAAACTTGTGAATAGATTAGAAGCAATTTGGACCCAGTTGGGATCGAACCCACAATCTGTGACTCTTAGGCATACATTGCTACCATTAACGAGCTCGTCAATTTATGTGTCCGCCTCACGAGTCTCGCAGCCAATGTTCATGTAACATTGGCTGCGAGACTAAAGAGAAAAAATTAAGAATAAAAACTGTATACCTACGGTTTAAAACGCGTTATATATTATTAAATGTTAAAAGTTTATGTTATGTATATATCATATACATAACATAACTTTTAACGTAACATTTTAATATTTCAGAGTCGCAGAATTTGATACGAACAGCGTGTACGTCTTTCTCATCACCACCAGTGGCACAACCGGAAATGTGAAAGTGGCCGCCTTCAAACATGGAGCGGTTTACAGGAAGATGGTGGAATACACAAGTATTAAAGGATTTAATTTGTAAGTTGTATTTTTTAAAGATTTTATGGGAAACTAACATTACTTCGCAATTTGGTTGTATATCTTGACCGCTGTATATAACTACCGTTGCTCAAGCTTATTTCCTAGCATTGCGGGAGGTCCTGGGCAGATCCTGGCGAAACGTAAATATTTTCTTTTGATAATTGTCTCTGCAGCTAAACGTGTCGCCTAGCTTTGCGTAAAATGCGACATATCTTGAGATCGCCGGGAAACAATTTATTGTTTCGGTCGGGCAAGGTATTGTCGGATCAACTACTTGCCTGTAAATAAAACCGATCAGTCAAACGAACACAAAAATGTGTGCCATGCCCTACGTGGGTAATTAGAACTTCACTCTCAAAATCAAAGGTTTTATCATTTATAAACTATTATAAGCAAGTTTTTTCAACGAAATTATTTTTCTATTCTTTCATTTCTTATTTCAGCAAGACTACAACGATACTGAACTTGCCACCTGTCAACTGGGTATCCAGTTCTTTCATCAGCTTGGCTAGCCCACTGTTGGGCCAATGCTTAGTACAAACCTCTGTTCCGGATGATCTAGATATTATTGTTGAAATGATTAATAAGCATAAGGTAGATCGATTTTTCTCAAACATACATAAAAATTTAAATATTAAATACTGTCTGTTTACGTGAGTAGTACACATTGAAATAATACACTGTAACGGGTAAAATGTGAAATATATAAGAAACACCCCGTCACAGGGACCCTCCGTCTCACGTCACTCCGTGATCACTGTAAAAGTGGTAGTTTTAAACCGTTAAAATAGTCGTATGAAAGTCTATATCCGTCGCGTTTATCTGTAAAATAAGTTAGTATATAAAATGGTATTTGTTGTGTATTTTAAAAATAGAACCATCTTCCACTACGCAACATGGCGACCAAGGCGGTGAATTATTAAAGATTTAATTTTAATTTCGAACTGGCTTGCTCATAAAAAGCTGGTAGGTGAAAAAAAAAATTACTTTGGCGCGTAAAAAAACCATTGTTATTAGTTGTTCGTTGACTTCGTTCATTTAAAGTTCTGAATTGTAGTTCTTAGGTTTGATTTTCTCACATTAATGAGAAAAGTATTACTTACGTAACCTTTGGCCGCTGTGGTATTATAACTATACATTCTGAACAATTATGAAATCAAAAACTGTTTTTATACTAAAATATGGATGGGACTCGCAACCCGCTCTCATGTTGCGTTATAAATTCATTAAAAGTGGCAAATAATCAGTCTAAACTAAAGGCTCTTTCAGGCAGTTTAAAAATTGACTGTTGTTTTTTTAAGTAACACGAAACATTTTTTTCCAGCCAGTTTACACTTTGGCAGCTCCATCGTTAGCAGCGGCGTTATTGAAGAGAAGCAACGAAGTTGACTTTACCTGTTTCCTGTATATTATCCTTACTGGATCAAAGGTTTACCCTGAAGTGTTAACGGAATTTCAGGTATTCATTTATATTCTAAGCATCAAAGAATAAATTATACAGGGAGAGAAAAAAACGATAAATATATGCGTCGATATTGTATTGTTGTAATTAAATGTAATTAACTGTTATAGCTAAGATTGAAAGAGATTTCCTGTTATGTGTTATGGTATTGTTATATTAGAATTGATTCTATATCTTATAATATATCGTATTGAGGAATGTTTTGTAAACATTATTATTTTCAACATACCACTGTTTATATACTCGTATTTAATATGTACATATATTTTTCTCTTGCGAATGCCGATAAAGGCCGTTTAAATTAAAAGTCATGTAGCCCCTAGATAATTATAATTACCATACTTTGATTTAAATTACAGTCATTAATGAGAAAGGGCGCATTTGTGTTCGAGAGCTATGGCCAGACTGAAACCCTTGGACCAATACTTCAAAATCTCCCTGACGCACCCCGAGGCAGTTGCGGCAAGTCCTACCCTACACATGATATAAAGGTAATTTATAATGACAATTTGCCTGAGAAAGAATATTGAGTGTGTTTAAAGGCTACATACAAGCTAAATCGGTCAACTTTTTCGTTTATTACAAAAACGCGAAACATATGTGTCCCCGTGACCGCGCCAGCTGCAAAGTATCTGAAACACTATGCTATATTGAGTTTCCCGTATTAATAATATATAGGTAAAACATATGGAATAGGTATCAATGAGGTTTTTTTTAAATATGCGTATAAAAACTAATATAAATAGTATTGGACTGTAAGTTATCATATAAATTTATAAGCTATAGTTTGTGAATATACAGTAGGTACGTTAAACTAGAAGTAGTATGCGCCATACTATTTTGAGAATTATGTAATTGGAAAATATGAATGAAGAATTTTATTTTTTACTTCATGAGTAATATTCAATTTCAGCTTATAGATACGGAAACAGGAAATGAAATAACAGAACCCAACGTACCTGGAGAGCTATGGGTGAAGGGGCCAGCGATGACGGTAAGTTGCTCATGGTTCATTAAAGTTTTATATAGTGTACTTGTGAGAGTTTTAATAATAGAGGCACACTTGACAGAGTCAAGCACGAGGTTCACTTGATGGAACGTGAAATAACCCAGCTACATAACATCTCAACAAGATGCGATGTCGACCTATTTCGGCTTCGGATATACGGAGATCCACAGAGTAAAACCGAAACGCGAATTTACACTTCACGCCTTTTTCATCTGTGGACGGTAGATCCGGACAAAATTCCGACAGATTTACCCATAAAGATTTCCAGACGAAGTCCAAGATGTTTCAGAAAAAAACAAATAGATTATCAAGCGAATATACCAATAGACCAACGAGCTCGTGAGAAGATTAACTCCAATCATCAATAGAACCACCAAATAAATTTCTGTATACCCTTCACTACATGCGCATATTCTAGCTCGAAGTCTTAGCTTTACAACGCTTTGATAATAAATAATAGATAATCAATAAATATGACTATATCCAAATTAACCTTGACTGACCTTAGCCTTTGATTGACCGCCTCTGTAGCCAAACGGTTAAACGTATTGCCTTGCATTGCGTTAAACGCGAGAGGTCCTGGGTTCCAATCCCAGAGAAAACATTAAATTGTTTCGGTCGGGCAGGGTACAGATGTCTGATCGACTACTTGCCTGTTAATGAACGGATCAGTGAAACGGACTCAGAAATGTGCTCGCCCCATGCCCCACGAGGGGGAAACGGGATGTCACTACTACACTACTATATCTAAATTAAAGTACCTGAATCTCTATAATTAGTTTACGTTTTAAATTAATGGTAGAATTTCAGATTTCCTAATTACTTATACTAATTTATATATTACTTGTTTATAGGAATATTATAACGACCCTCAAGAAACAGCTAAAGCTTTTACAGAAGACGGTTATTTCAAAACTGGAGACCTTCTCTATAGAGATGAAAATAACAATTACTATTTTGTTGAACGCATTAAGACACTCATAAAATGTAGGAATTTCCACGTAAGTAATAAAGATATACCGAACAGTTTTCGCAGGCACAAAATGATATGTTGGATTTCACAATTTAATTTATTTAAATAAAACACTTTAACGGTTTAAAACGCGATATATTCGTTAAACTTATTTGAAAATGATTTTTAACTTCGGCCCGACGTTTCGGATGCTTTGCAGCAGCCGTGATCACGGGGAGACCCCTCCCTGTCTCCCCGTGACCACTCACGTGATCATTTTCAAATAAGTTTAACTAATATATCGCGTTTTAAACCGTTAAAGTGTTTTATTTAAATGTGTACTACTCACGTAAACTATAGACAGTATTCAATTTAATTTATTTTATGTAAACAAGTCGTAATTTTTGCGTAATGATTTCGGTATCTTAGACACCAATCGAAAGAAACTCGTTCAAATTCTAGAAAGAATTTAAACGATAGAAGAATAACAACCTCTGTAGCTAAATGGTTAGACACTTCCTGCCATTGTTATTTAGCGAGGGGACCTGGGTTCAGATGCCAGGGAAACAATAGATTGTTTCGGTCGGGCAGGGCACTGTAGTCTGCTAGACTACTTGCCTTTAAATAAATAACCGATCAGTTCTATCTCTGACACAGTACTGTGTTCGCCCCATACCCCACGAGAGGAAACGAGATTTAACACATCACACAACTAGTGCTAGCAAGCTATGTGTTGCGACTTCGATTCATGACGCGGGATTAACAGAATATGTTAAAAAAATTGCAATTCTTAATATCATTAACTTAATGTAACTCTCCTTCAGGTACTACCAACAGAACTAGAAGATGTAATACGCAGTCACCCGGACGTTATTGACGTCTGCGTAATTGGTATCGAAGATCCTGAAGACAGCGAGAGGCCTGTAGCGTGCGTCGTCCTACGAGAGGGCGCTGAAGTCACAGCAAAAGAGATCAAACAGCTCGTTTCCGGTAAGTTGAGTTTCTAATGAGTGTTGCATAAAATAAAAAAAGTGATAATATGTAAGAATACTTATAGCAATTAACACTTAGAGGATAGATAAATGCTACAAAGAAAATGACGTAATCTACATTTTTTTCACTGTTCTTAAGTCCATCGATTTCCTGTTTATTATAAACGAAAATCGTTGTTTGTCGGCTCCGAGATATATACCTAGGTGACCTGGTATTTCAAATAAATGGTATTCCTTTAAAAACGGTTCTTGTCAGTTAATCTCAAAATATATTGTCGCGGGTATTATCTTAGATAATTTAAAGTGTAATCATTCTTTCAAATAATTTTGTTTTTTTAATCCGTATTCGGGAAGCACATGTGTGCTTTCATGTGAAAGCCCACAAAGGTGAATAATTGTCCACCTTTTTTTCCACATTTTCCACTGTTTTTCATACCTATTGATCGCGTGTATAGCACAAATACTGTATATAGCCTTATCTAATACTAGATTTTTTCAATACGAACCAGTAGTTCCTGAGGGCGCGTTTAAACAAATAAAATCATAATTTTTATAATAATAGCATCTATACACTTCTAGGAATAAAAAAGTATAAATAATAAATTAATTTAAGGTCGATTCTAAGTATACGAACATCTTTATTTCAGATAAGTTATCTAAGCAAAAGGAACTTCGCGGCGGCGTCGTCTTCCTACGTGAACTTCCAAGAACGTCAACAGGGAAGATCGCAAGGAAAAAATTATTGCACATAGTACTACAATCTACGAGAGATTAATATTTAAGCATAGGTTAATTAAATTTAAGTACTCACATCTTATATATGTTTTAATTTATAAAGACACAGTGTTCAATACATATTGAGTATTAGTTTAGAATTATTTATTACCTGAAGAGATTGCCATGAAAATGTCAAAAACTTAAGTCAATACAAACTATGAATTGATACTAGCCTTATAAGTGATATCTTGTACGCAACATGAAAAAAAAATATTAATAGTAATAAAATACTTATACTATATCTCGATCTTAAATAACAATATTAATGAATCTAAACGGTGTAAAGGTGTTTCAACTCAAAAAGTTGAAGAAGTTTGAAGGGTTATCAAGCTTCTGTTTCAACCAATGCTCACTCCAAATTCAAAGTTAAAACCATTGCCTTTAGTTTCTGCCTATGCACCTTCGTGGATGCCGTCATTGGTATTTCATCTAGGAAGACAACACCACCTCTAAGCTGTTTTGAATCCGACAGAGTTTCTGAAATATATAAAGACTTGCCAGGTATATCAATAAACCGACTACGATTTCCACCAAGTCTTAAATATTCAAAATTTATTTAGTATGCTGAGACATATTGGACTTTGTTTGGTATGTCTGGATATTAAATAATATACATTAAATATATTAGACAGCCATATTGAAACTTGACCATTTACAAGTGACAAAGCAGTAATCGCGTTAAGTTTTCTATTTATTTCGAAATGTGAAGCCTAAATATGTCGGCATCTCATCTTAAATTATTATATAGTTGGGCAATAATCAAGTAAAACCAAATCCCACTCAGTCAGGAAAAAGATTAAACGTGATTGGCACTTCAAAAAATACCCTAATTCTTTGAACCGGGAAATAAATTCATATAAACGTAAACATACGACACGAGCCTCTACTATAAGTTGGTAAAGCCAACTCAACAAGGCTCACACGTCCTGGTATAATACCAAGATTTAGTGTAGTACAAACTTAAACCATTTACTGATGATATCATCCACTTATTGAAAACAATTTCTCAATTACGATGGCCGAGCTTAAAATTCAAGGTCTTCTATTAGGTACCACCTACTTAACTCAGCATAATCATTACAGTTTCCACACTATTCAAATTCGGTCTCATATGTAACCCTACCTTTAGTTTTTATTTACCTTTAACTAGTTCCTTTATCTCCCTTGACGTCACATTGTACCCATTTCGTCGAACAACACAAGCTACTGGGAGATCTCCACTTTCTGCATCTAGTATTCCTGTTACTGCTACATCTAATACGCCAGGGTGTTTGCGTATCACGTTTTCCACTTCTACTGGAGATATCTGTACATTAATAAGTATTATATCTTATTACAGAATATTCTTTTATCACTTCATAATCTTATTTTCTCTAAAAGAAGTCTTACCAATACCAGAAAATAATAATACTAATTGGAGTGCGGTTTATCTATTATTACTTTAATTAATTTATTGCGATAGGTACGAAAATAAAAGGGACTAAAACTAACTACTTAAAAATTATAACAGGAGCACAGCGACCGAAAATTGTTAACACAATTCTTACACAAATAATAGTACCTACAAATTCATTTTCGCCTAAGTTAATTGCGCAATTTTATTTTCTTCCTTATTGAAAATCATGTTTTTAATATCAGGCCACTCTGTCTCTAGCAGCCTCAAATCTTCAGCCACGGCCAAGAGCATTTTCAACTCGTTTTAAATTAGTTTCATTCTAATGTTTACAACTCGCGTAAACTACTTACTTACCAGTTCGGAATGATTTAATATACTACTTTGTAATAACAACATACCTGATAACTGTTGTACTTCAGCAATAGCTTTATTCTATCACAAAAGAAGAAGTTGAAGTTTTCATCTCTATAGAACATGTCACCAGTTTTGAACCATCCATCCTCGTGAAATGTTTCCTCTGTCGCATCTGGGTTTTTGTAGTATTCCTTTAATCATTTATCAATGTAGATTATAGTATTTATGATAACCCAATTTTAAACCAAGCGTACCTTAAAAATACTCGGACCTTTGATCCAAAGTTCTCCAGGTGTATTCGGTTCGTTAATGTCCAATTGAGTATCAACATCTATAATCTGTAAACATATTATGTTTCAATCTGTTAATGACCCACCGACCTCCCAAATAGTCAAATTATTATAATTATAACGGCCAAATGTATTTGCTTAAAAAATAAGTTGTGTGAGGCTTTCACGACCACTGTTCAGCATATCATTGTTTTTCGGGCGGTTCGGCAGCCGTGAGCAAGAAGAGGTTCTCCACGTTTCGCCATTACGACCGGACGGCATCATGATGCGGCTGTTGTTAGCTCCTTGATTAGTCGCAGAATTAATTCTTCTCGCTCACGTCTGTCGAACAGCACGAAAAACAATGACAAGCTGATATTTGCTTGAAGGATTTTTTTTGTGTTTTACCCGATATCGAAAGCATCCCATCGGTTTCCCTACTGAGCCAGGCGCAGAATAATCGCTGTGAAAGGCCACACAGGTCAGCTCACTCATACCATAGACGTTGACTACGTCAGAGGTCGGTATGACTTTCTGAAACAATCAACAACAACCAGATTCTGCCAAAACGTATGGACAGAAGTTTTTCAGAGTTTTAGAGGATTTAAAAGAACAATAACTGTGTGTGCATTACGCAAATATGACCTACACATTTAAATAAAACACTTTTAATGGACTTAACGGTACATGGGGGAATAAGATTATTATTCTAATCTATATCTACGTGATATACATATCGATAGTTAAAAGAAAATAAGGGATAAGAGAAATTTTAGGCGACTATTACTTTTTAATGCCATCTTATCGCATAATTTTTAATATACACATTATCACGTATATTCTATTGAGTTCTGAAACCATATTCTACCTTGATTTCATCAATAAGTTCGACTGGAACGGCACTACCACCCAAACGGATTAAATCAAAACAAGAGAAGTCACATTGATTCCGATCTTCAGGGCGCATCAAAGTGGTCATGAATGTCGGGCTCATAGCCGTGTAGGATGGCTGCAAGAAAGAATAAAGATATTGATGATTAAGAAGATTGACAAATAAATTACATTTTAGTACAAGCATGAATTCAACAATCGCTGTCGATCTATTTTGGCTTTGGATATTCAAAAATCCTCCTGAAACCGAACGACTTTTCCACACATTATAATATCCAGATTTTCAGACGATGTATAACATGTTTTTCAAAAATTATACATGGAGTATGAACATATTAGATTCGGTGAGGATCTAACCCACGATCAACCGACAAGAAAATGGAACAGTCAGTTATTTTAAACAGACCACAAATAAGTTGAAATCAATAAAAAGCTGACAATATGAAATTGTGTAACTATGATACTGAACTCTTCATGCGAGTGTCCCACTAAACACAATCTTATTTAACCTTGATTGCAGAACTGATCGACTTGAGCTTTGAACACATCTTATTAAGGTAATAAGTAAAAGTAAGAAATTAAGAGTTTACCTTATAAGTATTAATGAGATAGTACGCATGCGCTTGTGTAAGAGGCAAAGACGATTGTAGACGAATAATTTGCAATACTGGAGAAGCCAGGAAGTGAATGATCGCTGACAACCATTGCAGTGGAGATCCTATTAAAGCCATACGAGTTGGGCTCGGAAAATTCGTGTATCTAGACCTGAAAAGAAAAGTTCGATAACAGAGGAAAACAAAAAGGTAAATAAATATTTATGAAAGAATGATTCCTCTATATAAGATGTAAAAAAAATGTCTTAACTTATAAGATTAACCTGCAATAACGACGGGACGCGAACAACGGTAATAGCTAACATTTATAAAGATAAGGAGGTTCTTTGAGACAACAAATTTTGATGCCCAAAATATGCACATATACGAAGTCGGAGGTTCAGCTAGTAATTTAAAAATCGAAAATAAATTTAAAAAAATTTCGACTCAGGCAGGTCTTGAACCGGCATCGTTAGCGTTCCGTGCTGTCGCTCTACCAATTGAGCTACCGAATCCGTTCAGCTAATGTTTAATGAGACGATAATCTTGGTGGTAATTTATGTGTCCAATTTTCAACAACTTTTGTAGAAACGAAATGTTGGAAGTTTAGCTAATTAATGACAGTGATAGAATAAAGAGCTCAAATGGGTACCAGGTATATGGCAGGCTTATGGCGAAATTTTTGTGGGTAGTCAGAGCTGCTTTAGGTGTGCCAGTTGTGCCGCTGGTTGCTATTAGCAACGCACCAGTATTTTCAGCGTCAAAGTTTGTGGCACTGTAAAAATAATTTAAATTAGCACGTTTATAAAAGGAGGGTGTAGGACGTCCCGCCTACTCCCGAAATAGGCAGTAGCAAGGAAAAGACTCGATAGTCTAATGTTAGAAATATATGGCGAATAATCAACGGGTCGTTGGTTCGAACATGTTTCTAAATTATCAGTTTATAAATTTTCTGAATCATGTTTGACTTCGTCTGGAAACCTGGATATTAAATGTGTGGTAGGAATATATAAATTCCGTCCGGGTCACAAACTACCGTCCACAGATAAAAAAGCCGCGATGCTTAACCGCGTTGCGGGTTCAGTCTGTCGATTTCCGAATATCCAAAACCAAAATAGGCCGACAGCGCATCTTGTTTAGATGCTTGATAGGCTGGGGTATATATCATCAAGTCAACCGCATGCTTGTCTGTCCTTCTCTATCATAAAAAAAAGGTAAATTCTAAAATCGACAGTTTACCTAAAGCTCTCGACTGATGTTTCGTCTCCATGTTTAGCTAGAAACTCTTGAAAATTATCTAAATAATCTCCACTATCAAACGTAACAATTTTGGTGTTCTGGTCTATGGAGTTAAGAGCGATCTGCACGTCCGGAGCTTTTTCACTTTGGCAAAATACAATCTTCGGTTCGGAAACTTGGAATGTAGATATCAATTCTTCTGCAATTAAAAAACGAACAACATTTTACTAACCATTTCTTAATTTTATTGGGTGCATTTGATTTTCTTTTTTTGTTAACCAATAAAGAAGCTTCAGAAGTCTTGAGAATACCCAAAAAAAATAATGCATAGATTTTTCCGTAGTTACGTAATAAACACGCTTACTACTAAGCTAAATATAACAATAAAAAAAAATTAAATACCTTCTGTAGTTAAGTGGCTAAAGGAATGGCCTAGAACTTCGTTAAGCGCGAGAGTCCTGGGTTCGAATCCCGAAAAAACAAAAGATTGTTTCGGCCGGGCAGGGCACAGAAGTCTGAATAAATTGTAAATAAAACTGTTCAGGGATACGTACATAAGCATATGTTCGCCCCTTGCCTCACGGAGGTTCTAATTTTTTTTTGTGGAAGGAATATTGTTGGTTCTAGTTCACCATGCTTCCTCCTTCTCCCCAGGGTAGGTGTAGGTCAGATTATAATTGCAATTATAATTCAGCATCAACAGCCCGAAACATCAGCAACAGCCCGAAAGACAATGATATGCTGATCAATGGCCGTGAAAGCCTTACTCAATTTAATTATAATTCAGTTAGTGATTTCGGAACCTTTTTTTCACTGATAGTGAGAACGCCCAATGCCCGCGTCGGGCAATAATGACCTAGGGAGTGTGGTACTACAACCTCCTCGGAGACAATAGCCGACTGAGAACCACTAAACACACCACATCCCTCTACTATGCTTTCGAGGAAGCCCTGGGAACATGTTAGTACGATCCAAAGCTCCCAGAGGAAAACCAGATTAGGAATGATCTCGGAGGTGCGCATAGCATCACCCCCTTGGAAACGTAATACCTAGATTTCTATTACGTATACTTACTGGTTGCCAAAGTTCTGTCAACAGCCGATACGATAACTCCAACGAAGAGCGCCGCGTAAAATGGAATAGCCAAGTCTAGATGGTTTGGAGCCATCAGAACGATCACGTCGCCAACTTGCAAACCATAATTCCTTAGGGCAACTGCGCATCGGACTATCCGTTGTAGTGCAGACCTATTGGTTTCAATTTCACCCGTTGCACCGTCTATCTGTTACCGATATTTAAGGCACAGTTCCGTTAGAAAGCTTATAAATTTTCTAAATTCAGTAGAGTAGTTTTGCCGTTGCCTCCCGCTATACAAGAGCGACGCGAGCGAATAAAACAATGCTCTGTGGGTTTTGACAAGTACTAACAGCCGTATTTTATATATGTACATGTTGAAAATAATAATTTTGTTATTATTTGAAAAATATATTTTTTGTTGTTAAAAGGCCCGAATACTTTCTAAATATACTTATAAATTACTCTTTTTTTTGTCTGTATGTCTTGGTTAATCTTTTAAACGACTTAATGCGTGTAGGTAATTAAGTACACCTATGAATGTTGAAAGAATTTAAATTGAACTAATAAAAAACAATTAAAATAGTTTGGTCCTTCCGAAATTTGAAAGTTACTTTATTTTTAAACAACACAACTAAGGGGTACTTAAACGTCGGGCCGTAGTTAAAGTAATTTGTAAATTATTTTAACCGCTTCTGTCAAAGTGTCCATTGACATTAGCAGAATGTCAGGTGTAATGGCACATCAAGCGTCAAGAAAAAGAAAGAGTTTATGAAATATATATCGCGTTTTAAACAGTTAAAGTTTCTTTCCTCGCGTAAACTACGGACAGTATTTATTAAGCCAGTTACTTCACTCACATGCATTATTGCATCCGGATAATCTTGTAAACTCCTCAAAATCATCTTGCCAAGGTGGAATCTATCACTTGGTATGCCTGACTCAGCCACTAACCTAGATGTCAGATCATTCATGAACCAAAGTACTGTATCGTTTGATACTTTCGGAGCCATGTTTACTGTTCAACGTTCCTAAGGAAATAGCGAGATGTTTCATCAACCGTCGATGCTTAAATAAATTAAAATTACTACTGCTTATTGCTTATTTTAGTATCCTTTTAAGATACTAAAACTTAATGCTACCACAAGAAAGCCTACAGTAACAATAAATCACCTAGTTCTTACTGCGAATTATCTGGTCTTGTTTGATTATGAATTCAAATTAGTCCTAATATCCGTGAATAGTTCAAAGGGAAGTATTATTACGTGTTTACTAGAATCATGTAATTTCTAACAAGGTCAAAGCGATTTAGAATTTCCTTTGTGAAGCACAAATCTGCTATTATTTAGAACTATATACAGTTAAGTTTATCTATTAGGTCGGGTTCAGAATAATTCTTCATTTAAAGCGCTAGTACACTAAACTGTTTGATACTCTTCTTAGTTTAATACCAGTCGAATTTCAACAATACGTCAGATTTGAAAACTTTAATATGTTTCACATGTTATTGCACATGATGGCACTATATAAATAAAAAATCGATTATAAAATGCCGGTTCAAGTCCTGCCCGTGTCGTATTTTTAAAATTTTTAAATAATATGTCAGTTATCTTTAACTAGCTGATCCGGCAAACGCTGTTTTGTTTGTAAGATTTATATTATTATATTGATACAACTCTGATTACCATAAAGACATTTTTTGGATAATTTTCAGATTCAAGAGATTTCATTATTTCATATATTATAAGTATAAATTTTATGTATGTATTTCGGTTTGTCTATAGATTACGGAACGTAAACGGTTTTTTTTTTTAATTTTCCACGTTCCTGCGCTTCTGGTAATCATATTGTTATGTTATATAACCTAAAGCCTCGATTAATTATATATCTAGCACAAAATAAGTATTCTTTAATTCCAAGTTCTGAGATTGGTGCGTTTAAAGAAACCACCTTTATTATATTAGCATAGAGCTCAAAATCGCGAGTTTAAAATAACTACTTACACATGAGGTGCCCGTTGCTAGGAAACGCTAGTAAACGTTTCGACCAAGACAGATCTATACTTAGGTTTAACCTTAAGTAAATACTTTAGTAATGGTCTATGAAAAAAAAACCTGACTGTCAAAAGGCAATTATGTTTTTATATGCCGTAGTATTCTTACATATATAACAACAAAGGTAAAACAACATTTCTTTTATGTATATTAAAATCGTACTGTAAACGTTTCCTTACCACAGTAACTCGCTTACCAAATTACGTAGGCTAGACTGTCCTTCGAATGAACATATATTATTTACACTAAACGGGCTAGACGGGCTTCGTTCAATGAGTCGTTTGTTACGATTTAAGTAGCAATTTTAAATAATTGGAGTAATGGTCGGTGGTCTTCGGTTAACAATGGTAGAGAGAAGCCATTTGTAGCGTTTCCCCTCTATCGAAGTACTTCGTGCAAGAACGAATATACCACCGCAAGTAACAAAACTGCGTTCGGATTTTTTAACTAGACCGGGTCTCATGCAAGAGTTCACGTTACTTTTCACGAAAATGCAAAGCTGTGCTGTTTTTTTGTCGTTAGTTAAAAAAAGTTTACAGAACGATGTAGTTACGTTTCATATATAAGTAAATTTAAATGTCCCATTGTGATAAATATTTATTAAAACACTAAAATTGGATCTCTCTGTTTTGTGGTATTGAAATGTGCCCGATTTGTTTACCAACATCATATCAGCGCTTAGTGCAAATCTCGGATCAGTTGAGCTACACATCCGAATTCCTTTACATAAAAGATGAGAATGTTAATCGTGGTGTGCAGATGTTATTTTATTTTCTGTGTCGTCACGTCAAAAAGTGCCAGAAAAAATTGTACGATAAGCCGGCGGTTCTAAAAAAACGGGCTTTAGCGGGCGCATTGGTGTAAATGTAAGCCATGTTTGTTTAGCCATCAACAAGTCGTGAGTTGGGACCCCATCGGGTCCGACATATTTCTTAATAATGTATATTTTTCTGAAGCATTTTAAAATCTGGATATAAAATTGGTGGTGATTGGTGCTACGAATGTTGAAATTCCAACCGTGTAATGAACCACAGTAGACAAATAACAAATGCGTCACGTTTAATCGCATGTCGGTTTCACTCTGGGAATTTCTCAATATAAAAGCCAAAATTGGTTCACAGTGCATCTTGTTATATAGCACGGGTATTTCATTTATATCCAAATAAACCCTATGTTTGTCTGTCCTTCTCTATCATAAGATGCTGTTTATGCTATTGTCATGCTCTCATTCTTAAGGATCGCGAGCACCCCCACCCTCCTTACCATAGTACGCTCTGTTATACCTTCATCTACAATGAGTCCATCTCCCTCCATTCCAATAACCACCAGTCGGTAATAAACCGACTTACGCAATAAAAGATGAGGTATGTATTTTAATAAGAACGAACATTTGAGCTATCCGTCACGTACATCCCAACTTGTTACAAACTGTTTTGATTTTTGGCCAGGATCGAACCCATACGAAGAACAAAACACAACGTACACAAAATAATAATTCACTATATCAAAAACAACTTATTTATTAGGTAAAGAACGGTACTTACATTTATAAAATACACATGGTACCATTGCTATTTACTTTACAGCCTTAGAGATTTTTTAATATACAAGACTTTGCTTCTTTACTTTTCTACAGGAGTGTATTAGTAAATAAATCTTCTGGTCTTTCGTCTTTGTCTTTTAATCTGCCTTGATTTGCTTTGCCAATTCGGCGAGTTTCTTTCTATCTACCTTCGCAGACGGTGTCAGGGGTAGTTCCTTAACAAACACGACTCCGCCACGCAATTGCTTGGAATCAGTCAAGTTATCTAAAACATACGAAGTCCAAATCAAAATAGTTTTTGGTTGAAAATTAATGTATTTAAATAAATCACTTTAACGGTTTAAAACGCGATATAATATATTAGTTGAACTGGTGACGGCTGGTGCAAACTAAGCAAGCACGATCCGTAGACGTCAAAGTAAAAAAACTGCTACGCTATCGCGATCTGTTCGGTCGAAGTTGGTATTTGGCGAAACTGGCCAGGTCCTCGCAGAATTGACTCACGGTGTCTTCGCGATGACATGAAGTCATTTGTCATACATAATAATTAGTTTATATACTTGTACTTACTTTTTACTAGATCCTTTATTTCTTCAGCACTTAAGTTGTAGCCGTCGTGTTGAATAACGAAGGCAATGGGTAAGTCCCCGTGTTCTGGATGGGGGATCCCCGTAATCGCGACATCGAAGACGCCAGGGTGCTTGCTTATTAAAGCTTCGATTTCCACCGGCGATATCTGGAACGAAATTCATATCTTTAATAATCTTTTATCTTGTTATTTGAAGCTTATGTGAGTGGGACATAATTAAAAAAACACACTTTTGAAGTTTTCAAATGTAAAATAACTGTTGCAAACCATACAAAATGTTATGTATCATTGAAAATGAGTTACTGATACATTTCGTATTTTTAAACCGTTATAATTGTTTTATTTTATAACTTTAATAAACCATTTCAATGCAACGTGAACTCAAGAAAAGAATAACTGTTTAACAAATTTAAAAATAGACACAATAAGTGATAAACATAGATTTTTGGAAAATGTTAATAAAAGCTGCCTTCTATAAGAAGCCTGCACAAAATTAACCTTTAAATAATTTCAACGGTTTAAATTGCGAATTGTATAGACTACAGAAAAGAAGAATTTGTAACATGCCAGTAATTTACTAATTTTTGGTGAACGCTTTAGTATTTCGATATAAATATGGATAAGTTATCTCATTATTTATTTATTAGTTCACGTTAAAAGCGTAAAGCATTGAAATAGTTTAATTGACTTTAATATTAATTAAAGAAATTGTATTTATTAACACTTGTACAAACCAAAGAATATAGACTTTCTATTATAGAGACATCACAGAGTATGTACGTCTAACATAGAACAAATACGAAAAGGTGGGGAAATTTAATGACTAGTTCAACAGACTATGAAAGACGGTGGGTTATATGATGGCAGTATATAAAATAACATTACTTGATTATTCCTATATTTCAATAATAGCTTGAACCTGTCCACGAAATAGAACAACCAGTGCTCGTCCCTGTACATAATATCTCCAGTTCGCAGCCAGCCATCTTCCGTCAGAGTCTGGGCGGTTACTTCAGGATTGTTGTAATAACCCTGTAAAAAGGAATGTTAGGGATAAGAAGAGATATCGACGGTATGTTTTGTCTTGTTCCCTCGTATACCAAACACAGTGTGTATGAAAGAGACTCAAGCATGTAATTGCCATATGTAACAACTGTCGTTCTGGAAGACGAGGACGTTTAAATTTGGTAGTGTTATGTTCTATTCTATAAGTTTTTTTTTATGATAGAGGAGAACAGACAAGCACGGCGTTCAATTTATGGAAAGTGCAGTACCCAGTCATATAACATCTAAGCAAGATGTCGACGGAGCACGATTAAGCTTCACACTTATATCTGTGGACAGTGGTTCGTAATTAGGACCCATTTAATATCGATATCGTCAGATGTCAAGGCAAAGTCCACTGTGTTTCAGAAATATTATAAATTCATTAGAAACTTGTTATAACTGCTTGGGATCGAATCCGCGACCCGATGATGATACATTGCTACCATTAAACCAACGAGGCCGTCGAAGAAAATATTATATTCTATGTCGATACAGCTGCTAGTAGCAGTAGAAGAAGCAATAGTTTAGCCTTAATCAAGCCTTCTTCGATAAATACTCTGGTTAGAGTTTACACGGAAAATATGTTTTCAATTCGAACCAGTAGTTTCTCCGGTTAGCGCGTTCAGACAAACAAACTCTTCAACCTTTTAATATTAGTATAGATAAAGAATACCTTGAAAATACTTGGTCCTTTAACCCATAGTTCGCCATTTACATGTGGCTCCGTTATTTCCTCTGAAGTTTCAAGATTTACTAGCTGAAAAAGAAATCAAAGCATGTAATTTAGAAAATTTAATATTTTTTTAAAGTTATTCCACTTGATGGCATTATATAATAGGATGAAAAAATTCGACGATGGACACACACAGGACACGATAGTTCAATTGGTAAGAGCAAAATCACGGAACGCCGTCGATGCTGGTTCAAGACCTGGCCGTATAGTAAATTTCAAGCTAAAATCGATTTTTAATTTAACGTACGCACGTAAAATATATTAGACAAATTAAAAATTATCCTTTTAAAATTGGAATTCTGTTCTTATTAGTGTTTTGAGGAGCGCTTATGTCTCCCACGAATATCCATTACTAAAAGGAGATAGTACCTTGTATTTCAAGTATGGGATTGGTCTACCAACAGCTTGAGGAATTGTGACATCATGTAGAAGCCCCAAACCGGCTATTTCACTCATTCCATAAACATTCAATACAAACGTATTTGGTGTCGCTTTCTGTAAACAATGACAATAGTAAAGATTTATTTATTCATTAAACAAATAAAGTAACTAGGCGTCTGCGTCCGCGTAGAGTAGTTATTTTGCAAACCCACCATCCACCATCCACTCAGTCGGTCGCATCCCGTCGTTCTTGCAAGTCAATCTTAAAAGATCAATTTTTTAGATCATTCAAAGAGGAATAATTCTATCATACATATTTTTTGGGTGTCTTGAACCGTTCTCGCAGCGAACACATCGGAATCCCAAGGAGAGGATTATTTTGTTCCCGCTGTTTCTTCACTCCTATTCGTCATAGCGAGATGTTTTATAGCCTTTTACTTCCAGGATAAGTGTTCCAACCAACACAAAAAAAATGGTTCCAATCAGTACCAGTAGTTCCTGAGATTGGCGCGAACTAATAAATAAACAAACTCTCCAGCTTTATATTATATTAGTATAGATTTATTTATCTTCGTAAAGTATAAGCTTTGAAATACCCATTGTCTATACCTTACTAGACCACTGATGAACATCAAAAATTAATTATTGTTATTGCAGTATTTGATATTTATGTTATCATCAAATACATGTTATAGAGGCCGTTATTTTAATACTATTATTTCACGGCCACGGCTGCTGCAAAGCATCCGAAACGTCGGGCTGAAGTTTATTTATTTAGGAAAAGGAAACATACGGATACATTACATACGTAGCTAAGGAATAACGATAAAAAAGTAAGGTTAAAATGCATCCTTAACAGTTTCACAAATAGTTAAATGTTATATACAATATGAAAAAACAAAACGTCGATAAAAATTACAGGAAATTAGACAAATTTTATATACGAGTTGACAAACAAATAAAAGTTAAAAATCATTTTTTAAATAAGTTTAACAAATATATCGCGTTTTGAACCATTAAAGTGTTTTATTTAAATGTGTACTAGTCGCGTAAACTATAGACAACATCTTTCTTATCTAAACAAAACACTTCAGGAAGTATGTAACGTAATTTCACTATCGTAAGTATAATAATAGAGAAATCAGTTGTTTTCTTCATAATTAAGTAAGATAAAAGATGATGCATTATTTGTACAGAACTATGTAAGTAAGATGTAAACAAAGGTTTAGATAATATTATATTTAATGGATCAAATATTATCATTATTTAATTTAATTAATTGATAACTGATGTTACCGCAAAACATGATAAAATTATTTGTAGAGATTTAAGCTCAACTCCACTCAAGGTTAAGTTGAAATATACATCTGCAACGTGGTCAAGATAAATTTAAGAAACGATATTCATATATGTACCTTTATTTCGTCCACAAGTGTTGGTGGCATAGCACTACCACCAGCTAATATGATTTCAAACGATGAGAAGTCACACTTATCGCGATCTCCTTGCTTGAATAACGTGGTCCACATGTTTGGGCTGGACATCGCAAATGACGGCTGAAAATCATATATTTATATCAGGCTTTTTATAAAATAACTTTTTAATAAAATTAGCCTATACACCTTAAGGAGGATCCAGAAGAACACAGAAATTGTTTTGATAGTCAAAGGATTCCTTTCTTTTTTACTGATGGTGCATAATGCACGATCAGTACCACTAAACACAGCGCTAGACCTCAACAGTACTTACGAGGGAGCCATGGGAACATACAGTCAAGGATCCCCAGTACAAATTGTTCCCTATGCAATATCAAGCCAAAACTTCGTGTATAGCTTGGCGATGATACGCCCAACAATTCCAAAAGAAAAAAAAATGCCAGCAAACAGAGATGGCAAGAATACAATATAAAGATAACTATTGATTATTTATTTTGTTAAATCACAAGATATCATTGTTTTCTTAAATAACCTTTCATGCATTTATTCAAAAACAAAAACATATTTTCATTTATCATGGTTTTCCAAGAATTTAAATTTAGAACCACGTTTATACAGTAGGCGCTTAATGTCCATTCACTTTTAACAGTCATAGTATAAACTCACTTTATATTTGTTTATGATTTCGTAAGCGTGCTCCTGCGTCATGGGGTGTGATGACTGTACCCTGGTTTGTCTCATCATGGGGCATGTCACGAACAAGAATATAGATGAGTACCATTGGATTGGAGATATTGCTATGGGCAGAGGTGTGGGCGATGGGAAAGTATCGAAATATGACCTGCGTTGCGGAAAAAAGTGTGTTAAATAAAACTTTAACATGTATGGAAGAAAAGTGTAAATAGGAATTTTAGAAGAAAGTACACAACACGTTATCTTATAAGATATGATGCTTTATTTGTTCTGAAAATGTTGGACTGGAAATCTAAATATTGAATTGGTGGAAAATCCAAATTCGGACCGGGTCAACCACCGTCTACAGATGAAATGATCTTAAAAAGTAAAGATTGACCGAATTTCAGATTCAGTTTGTGCATTTTCTATAGATTACATATTTCCCCTACCATCAAGCAAACCCTGGGCTTGTCTGTCCATCTCTATCACTAAAAACATTGTAATTGTTATTTAATATCATTAATTATTATTGTCTTGGGTTAAATAAGCTTACCACATGTAAGGCGCTCCTAACAACATATTCTTGTGCGTAACTTCAGCAGATTTCGGAAAGCCAGTTGTTCCACTTGTCGCTATTAACATGGCTGCAGTCTCTGAAGTGTCGAAGTCGGATGCTCTGTATGAAACAGAAATAATCCTTGAAAACCTTATAATTTTGCCCATTGTATAAATTGGGCAGGTCTTGAGCCGGCATCCACAGCAATCCGTACTTTAACCAATTGAGCTACCGTGTTGAGTATCGTCTGTTGTTTGCGCTAGGTATATACATTGTAATAAAACCACTTTAACGGTTTGAAACATGAAATATATTTTTTACCTTTTTTAATATATGTATATTAACTACCACGACAATGTATTTACATAGAAATAAATGTTTGTACTATCTAATAGGACTTTGTAGACGCTTTTATTGTACTTATTTATAAATTATTTATTATATAAAGTTGAAGAATTTGTTTGTTTGAACGCGCTAATCTCAGGAACTACGGGTTCCAATTGAAAATTCCTTTTCGTGTTGGTTAGAGCATTTATCGAGGAAGGCAGAGGAAGGCATCATCATAAAACATCTTTCTTCGCTTCTATTAGTCTGTGACTAATAGGAGCGAAGAAACAGCGAGAAATGTGACAAAAATTGGGAAAATTATTCATCATTATGGGTTTCCGAAGCGTACGCTGCGAAAAGGGTTCAAGATACCCAAAAAATATGTATGAGAGAATGATTTCTCTTTAAATGATCTAAAAAAAAATTCGCGTCGGTATCCTTTAAAATTAACTTGCAAGAACGACGGGAAGGGACGCGACCGACGTCGTGGGTAACTAACCAAAATAACGCGATAAAAAAAATTCTCGCGGACGAAATCGCTGACGCAGCTAGTGAAAGATAATTTTAGTTCTTGATGCTAATATTAGGAACTAAACATTTTTTAGCATTCAAATAAACTCTTCAGCTTTATAATATGAAGTACAGATTATTCGTTTATTTATCTATTCAACACTTACTTGAAATCTTCTATAGAGACGTCATTTCCAGAATCCAGGAATTCTGAAAGACTTGTTCGGGAAGTGCCCGGATTAAACGTAACTATATCGCAGGAGAAATCGAGTCCTTGTAAAGCCGTTTCTACGTCCTTGACTCTCTCACTTTGGCAAAATATGATTTTAGGCTTGTTGAAACTGAATGTGTCGTGAAGTTCCCCTGAAAGCAATTCCTGGTACTATATACTTGTATAGATTCTGACAATTACGTAATAAAAAATTGGAGGGGACGCTTTCTGGTTAATAAATAAAGTCTATATATTTATGGATATTGTACTATGGTACTATGGTATGGTAATGTACTATCATTGTGCAATTCTAAATTCTTTACGAGAAGAATATTATTTCTAGATACATATATATGGATAGGCACATGTTGGTAATAATTGTCATATAATTCAGGATGTTATTAAAAAGAATATATACGTATTAAGAAAAACCTTTAAATAAAACACTACAAACGGTTTAAAACGATAAACATATTAGTCAACTTATTTTAAGGTCCCGTCGTTTGGATGCTTTGCAGCAGCCGTGGTCATGGGGAGATTGAATATCGAGAGGTGCCCCTTATGTCGGCCTTGCGGCCTTATGACCATTTGTTTCGTTGTAGTTTAAATTTAGCCGTGAATAGTGTTTTATTTAAGTAAGAAAATTTGCTTTTTTATTTTTTGTTAAGAACAATCTATATTCGTAAATCATTTCCTATTTAGGGGGTTAGATTTTTGGCTCAAACAGCTGAATATTAAAAAATCTTATATACCCGTTTTGATTAAATCTACCAATATTATAAAAAAAATATTTAAATTATTGAAACATTATAAAAAAGATCTGAATATCAATTTCAAATATTTTAGTTATATACTGTTATCTATATTTTGCGTCATATCGTACATAATAAAAAAAAAACAAATATCAAGCTTATTCTAAATATGAGCGGTTAAGATTAAATTAGATATCATATTATCATTATTTTTATTACCAAGATTGACTTTGTGTTCTTAACCGAAATAGATGAATGAACTTGAGAAATTGTATAGACCAATCACTGCGTTATACAAAATAATATAAACCATACTTTTTTGCTTTAGCAAATTTTTTTTGTACTATCACTATCTTTTTTTATTATACGCTATGCAGATTGTCCATGTATAATGTGTATACAGGTTTCCGAATAAACCAGATTGTCCAATCTCGATTACATACAATGCATAGTATAGTAAAGAGTACATATAAGGTACCGTTCAAGTATTACGTAAGCACTACAGGGGGGGTGGGGGGGGTCTTTGTTTTGCTTATTTTTGATGACATAAGGGGTAGGGGAGTCCAGATGATGATTACGTCATCGATATTTATTGACTTTCTGAATCAACTTTCTTATTTTTAAAATTATAGTATAAAAAATACATTTTTAATTGAAAAATGTTTACGTAAGCACGTAAGCAGGGGGGAAAAGCTTTGCTTACTTTTGCTGATAAGGGGGATGGGGGGGTAAATCATTGTAATAAATCTGCTTACGTAATACTTGAACGGCCCCTAAAAAGTGAAATCCCGTTTCCCCCTCGGGGGCATGGGGCGAACACATTTCTGTGTCTCTTTCATCGAACAGGAAAGTAGACTTCTGTGCCCTGCCGGACCGAAACAACTTGTTTGTTTCTCTGGGATTCGAACCCAGGACCTCTCGCGCTTACATATACATATAGCAAAATACTAGTATTCCAACGAAAACGTAATAAAAAATTGGAGGGGACGGTTTCTGGTTAATAAATAAAGTCTATAATATATGTACGTGTATTGTAGTAATAAATAAATCATACTTACTAACGGCCAAGGCCATATCAATCCCAGCTACACCAACACCAAGATAGAAGGCAGCGTACATCGGTATGGTTAGGTGGATGTGGTTCGGTCCCATCAGAATTATGACGTCATTATGTTTTAAGCCCAACTTGCGCATTGCGTTGGCGCATTGAACAGACCTCTTCAATGCGGATCCAAATGTTTCGGATTCCCCAGTAGCTCCATCGATCTAATGATTATAGCAAATTTAATTTTCCACGAATCCCTAAATTATTTTCAACTACAAGCCCACGTTTCACATGCTTTAGAGCAGCCGTCATGGGTATTTTTTTTAAACCGTTTTTAACCGTTCAAAGTGATATTTGAATGTGCTCTACTCACGTAAACTAATAGGATGTCTCTGTCGTATCTTAAGTAACTTTTTTTAATAATAAGAATTAAAGGAGGTCAGAGGAAAATTTGTGTAACTGAATTTTCTTTTAAGAGGCATTTTCTAGTGATAGTGTGTATTTTAAAAGGAATTGAAAATGTTGAACCTTTTTAAAATAAGTGTACCTTTACTTTATCCGAACAAATTATTATTATAATAAATCTTGCATAACATTTTTCAATATGCGTCAGAAAGACTGTAATGACTTGCTAATTTTCTTATCACTCATCAGATTTCTATCATATAATTTAAACCGGATAAGACTGGTCAAGTCCGTGAATATGTATGAAGGTACGCGCATGTTACGACGTGATAATTGGGTGACATTTATGTACGCTGACCGGCGGACAAGCCCGTGACGAAACTGTCAGCGCCGCTACGGGTTTTCACAGCAATGCGCGCACTACCGACAAATTTGTCACTCTCTTCGGCGATCGTCCGCCATTTGCATTTTGACTACCGACTTTAGCGCGCGCAAATTGTCGTCACCATCTACGCAAAACCTAATAAATATTCGTGGAGACGATATTGATAATGATGGTCTAATAGAGGAAGTGAAAAAGAGATCAGCTCTTTATGATAAAAAATTGAAAGAGTATTCAGATTTTCACGAGAAAATAAAAGCATTGGAAGAAATTGAAAAAAAAATAATAATAATTAGTAGAACATTATTTTGCAATACTTGGGGTAACTTGTCGCTCTACAAAAACCGTTGTTAACTTAAGACACTATAATCTATAGTATTCTTATTTACTTATTATTATTGATAATAATTATTAAAAATCATTATTATTTATATTGCCTTATTATTATTATTATATTATATTGCCTGTAAATAAAACCGTTCAGTGAAACGGACATAAAAATATATTCCCCCATGCCCCACGGTGGGAAGCTAGATTCCAATCACTAGTACTAAGGGACGTTAGAAAATACATTCTGTAACAATCAATTGACATAATTAAAGTTGCTCATAACAAATCAAAAGTCATTTATTCATGCAGATACTGAATGCACTAATAAACGTCAATAGACCTTGTGTTAAAAATAAATAACACGCGTTAAATGGTTTAAAACGCGAAATATAAAAATAGCAGTCATGGTTAGTGGTAGACTGCTGCCACAAAGTATACAAATCGTAGTGTATTACAATTTTTTATGTATTCAAAACGCATAACTATTTAATTATTTTTTAGCTTCGACCAGACACACCCACTTCGTTTTCAAGGCCGTTATGAAGAAATCGAAGTAGTGTTAGTAACTCAATATTAATTAACTTGTATATTTCGCGTTTCAATCAGTTATAAGTTTTATTTTAACAATATAATATTAATCTAAATACGACGGTTTAAAAGCGATATATTAGACTTACGTGCCGAGTCGTGGCCTCCCCATGACCACGGCTGCCGCAAAGTATCCGAACGGTCAGGCCGTAGTTAATTTAAAATATGTATTCTAACTAATATATATCGCGTTTTAAACCGTTAAAGTATTTTATTTAGATGTGTACTACAGACAGTATTAAGAAATATATTGAGCCAACTGTTGTTGTTATACGACTCCTAACGGCTCACCTGAAGAACTTTGTCAGGGACATCTTTAAGAGCATCTAAAATCAATTTGCCAGCATGGAATCTGTCACCTGGAATCCCAGATTGAGCTACAACCCTGGCTTGGATCTCGCTCATCCACCAATGCACCGCATCGTAGGAGAATTTGCTGACACCCATTGTTTATCTGAAAACAAAAAAAATATTTGTTTAGACCGAGGACAGAGCATGGAACTCACTTGATGGAGGATGAAATACCCCAGCCAAACAACGTCTCAACAAGATGCGCTGCCAATATATTTTGGCATTGGATATCGGAAATCCACAGACAGAAACCCAAGCGAAATCTTCACGGCTATTTCATCTGTGGACGATGGCTCGCGATCCGGACAGAATTATCGATATTCCTACCGCCCATTCAATATCCAGATTTCCAAAGTCCAACAGGTTTTAGAACATTTAAATAAAACACTTTAACGGTTTAAAACGCGATATATTAGTTGAACTTATTTGAAAATGATTTTCTTCTCCCTGTGACCACGGCTGCTGCAAACGCATCCGAAACGTCGGGCCGAAGTTAAAAATCATTTTCAAATAAGTTTAACTAATATATCGCGTTTTAAACCGTTAAAGTGTTTTATTTAAATGTTACACCTGGTAGGGATCGAATTCATGTCATTTATTATTTATAAGCCATAAATTGCTACCATTACGCCAACGAACCCACTTTATTCAATTTCAATTCTGAGCCCAGATTGACCTAAGAATGCCTCTCCGCCCTTCCCTTTAATTCACTCGAAAACATGCGCAGAAAGCATGCATTGCGCATGATGGCTTTTTTAAAAGGGCGCAGCTAATTAAAATACTAATATTAAACTATACTATAAGAACACGGATTTTATATTGAAACCCTGAACTAAAAACCTCATACAAATAATCTAGGTAATTGAATTTTTATTGAACATCTTGTAAATAATCTTCTGTATTATTTCTTGTATCTGCAGATAACGAACTTTCCTAATACATCTAGCGATTTAAAACACCTATTAATTTAATTCTTTATTGCAACACACACAAACACAAAGTATATGTACATATTTCCCTAAAAAATATTCTTAATAATACAACTTTTAAAGATAAATTATTCTTTACAAGTTATGGAGTTCAATGGGCGGCCTTATCGCTATAGAGCGATCTCTTCCAGGCAACCCTTGAGTATAACAAAAAAGACATCACGGAAACGTGCAGGTCATACGAAGCTTAACAGTATAACGTAAAAATTGTTTTCAAAACCTTTTTTTATTGAATTTTTATTTAATCAGATACCTAAAGTTAAAGAAAACAAGACAAATTGTGGCTGTCTTTTACCAATTGGAACAAATCACAATTGATATAGTTAATAGTAATTTTCAATAAACATCTACTCGTAGATAAAAAATAATCAAGAATGTTGTTGAGTTAGTAAATTGCGAGTAATAAATAATTGATAAATGAATGAATGCGCTCGGAAAAATACAATGTTTAATCTAGACTTAAGATATATAGGTACAATTTTTAGGTAGGTAGGTACAGTATGTAATAATTGTCACTTTTTGTTAATTTTTCCTCAATGTTAATAAGTGCTAATATAGATAAACAATATGTCATTCGTGTACCATGTCACAAGTACAGAAGTATTCGTGAGAGAGACCGCTCACTTATTATTTAACGGTCAATGTCTGTAAGTAAATATACTAATATTATAGAGCTGGAGAGTTTGTTTGTTTGAATGCGCATTGAAATCTCAGGATTTACTGGTTCGAATTGATTTCTTTTTGCTGTTTAGGGCATTTATCGATCATTAGGAACGAAACAGTGGAAATTAAGGAAAAAACGGGGGAAATTAGTTTCTTTCTTCTTTTGAGCGCTGCGAAATTGATTCAAGAAAAACTACTATACTTGCAAAAACGACGCGACGGGGCGAGGACGACCGCGTGGTTAACACGTGGTTTATAAAAAATAGGGTTTTTTTGCAAAAATAAATAACACCATGCCCAAAATGCACCAACCCACGCGGACCCAGTCGCGGGCATATCTAGTTCTACATTTTCACTCGCACATAATATGTGACGATATTATCGTGAAATTACCTTAGGCTGTGGTCTCATATAGACACAGATCTGCGAAACGCGATGCTATCTAACTGTTCAATGACCGCGCGAGAATGTGATAATGAGATTTGTTATTGTAAGATTTGTTCTTCGTTCGTGCAAAACGACTGTTCTACTGCGATTTTAGCAGACGATAGCCTATATATATATAGGCTATCGTCTGCTATATTATATATCGGCTATCTATAACATCGACTCTCTGCGTACAATAACATCGCTATTGACTTATTACAAGGGTGATTGTATAAACATCAAACGATTATTGATTCTTAAGTGTATGCAAATATTTTTATAGATATGGAATTTTTACTAACGTGATGATTCAAATAAAACACTATAACGGTTTAAAACGTGATATATATTAGTTAAATTTATTTGAATATTATTTGAAATACGGCCAAAGTTTGACTAATATAATACATCACGTTTGATAACGTTACAGTGATTTATTTAAATGTACTACTCGCGTAAACTACGGGCAGTATTTACGTAATGACGTTACTCGTAATTAAGTAGATATTATAAATAGATTTTTATTTACTCCTTAAACCAAAGGCATACGTAAACCAGATGGATAATAGTTAAACCGTTTATAGATTAAAGAAATAAACATAAGGTGGCAAAGGCTTTTATAAATATTTTGAAGAGGTAAAGTTAAAGGACAATTCAACTCACGCCACTAAACTTCATGCATAATTCTTTGTGATAGAGTGATACAGACCGAGCAATCTATTTTGTGGTAGGTTACATTTATTTTCATTTCATCAATCATAGTCTCCCCGTGACCACGGCTGCTGCAAAGCATCCGAAACGTCGGGCCGAAGTTAAAAATCATTTTCAAAGAAATTTAACTAATATATCGCGTTTTAATACGGTTAACGTGTTTTATTTAAATTCATTAATCATGTCAAAAAAAGGTCAACAGAGACGCATTTTAGGAAATCCAAAGATTGAAACCCAAACAACAAGTAAACTTTGTGGCTTTTTCATGTGTGGGCGGTAGTTCGATAGTTCCTATCACCCGTTTAATATCTAGATTTCCAAACGAACTTCAACATGTTTCAGAAAAATTATAAATTACCTAATTAGAAACATGTGGGATCCCCACATGTGATGAACCATGACCATTAGACCAACGAGTTACCTAAATGGTTCTCAGTAATTAATTACAGATAAGTACAATATACCCGCCAGCCTTTTCTTTTTTTTATTCGGACCGGTAATGTCTGCTATTAGTGCTAACAAACAAAGATAGTAAACAAAGTTTTATCTTCGAAGCAAGCTAATTTATTAATAGGTATGTATCACTTAAGATAATGTAACAATGACTCGATAATTATGTCATTTGATATGTCTTTGACATCCATTATTTTTGTAGGGTTCCGTAAGTAAGGATAAAAAGGAATCCTATAACTTTTAACTCCGCCTTCGCTTAAATATAGCACCAATGTTTTTTTGTGATTTGATTCTACGTATTGAGCCTGGGGCTTCGAACACTACTGGCTAGACCAAGGGTGCCCCAAGGGGGGCATCGGCTTCGGCTTGAACGGCCGCAATGCGGGTGGGAAGGGTGGTCCAGCTTGAAGAGCTGGTCGGAAGCTCACCCGGGTGAACGGTATAGCACCATTTTTAACACTAGAGTGGCTGGGTTTAAATTATGGATAAACAGTAAATTGTATCGTTCGGCAGACATCTGTTTCGCTAGGTACAAAAATATGTTTGTCCAATGTGCCACGGGGGGGACTTTACTTATTACTTTTTTACTCATTTGTCTGTTAATCATCATTAAGCTTGTCGTCACGGACGGTATTCCGAGAAGCTGGTGATTGAAAATTCAACAATTTCTACTTTTCTAATTTATGAATTTCAATTCGTATCTTGGTCTAAGAGTGTCCAGTTTTTGTCCTTCACAGTCTTATGATTCTGATCGATGTTACCTAGCCATAGAAATGGCCTGTCACTATATACCTCCGCGGTACTCCCTCATCTCGAGATATATAAAGCCTCTTAAGCTCTGTAGAGCTTTCACGAGGCGAAGTGGACGTCTACAGATATGTTTTGTTTGATTTATATGTAGATGACGCTCTACTCGAAATCGTCATCGTATCGGACTTATATCACAATCATTACAAAGTTTATGAATATGCTCCCCGTAGTTCCAATATTTGGACATTGTTAATAATAGGCATGACAAGGACGACTTCATGCAATTTGTGATACGTAAACTGTCGGTTAACATTGTCGCTTATAGCTTCATAGTCTATTCCAAGATTAATCTTAGAGAGAATGTATGATCTATTGTAGGTCTGATGACCGCTATTATAACAAATAATAAAATCTATAATTTTGGTGGCTTCCCAAATAAAAAAAATGTTACTTTTTTTAGATACTGTCTATAGTTTACGCGAGTAGTACACATTTAAATAAAACACTTTAACGGTTTAAAACGCGATATATTAGTCTCCCCGTGACCACGGCTGCTGCAAAGCATCCGAAACGTCGGGCCGAACTTAAAAATCATTTTCAAATAAGTTTAACTAATATATCGCGTTTTAAACCGTTAAAGTGTTTTATTTAAATGATACTTTTTTCCCAAAAAAATTACTTCTGTGGTGTTCTCTACGTGTCTTACTCTTACTTGGCTTTTTTTATTTTATGATCAAAATATTGTTCTTTAATTTCCTTTTATTCAGTAATTTTAAATAAGGATGTGAGAGCCATCACGAAAGAACTATTAAAGTATTGTATAAAAATTGTTGACTTGAGACACGAGTGAATTCAGTCCATAATCCAATATTACCTCGTTACGTGTTCCGTGAACACGGACGTATGTCTACAGCATGCCCTATAAGGTTTTCCATGATGTGGTTGTCGTGACTTTTTTTTGTAAATTTAGCATAATAGGATATAGCGTGGAAGATATACAATATACATAGAGACACAACTATCACTTCGACGTCGGGTAAAAGATCGTGTCACTAACAGCATATTTAAATTACTTCTAGAAACTTTAGTCGTTATTTTTTGATTGAGTATTTAAGGGTATTGAAGGGTATTTTTGTTAACTTCAAATTATTTTCATTTATTTTATACTTATGTAGCTATGTGCATACTTAAGTCTATGATTTATTTGGAAAAAAATATATACATCTATCAATCGTGTAACTATTCAATCGTGTACATGTGAAACTTGCTTTTTCCTTATTATACGCCGTATATAAATATTTATTTATTTCCGTACCTTGTGGCATTTACGGTGTATACGATAAAGATTAGAAAACAAATTACCATTAAAAAATATAAAAGTAAAAACACATAGTAACTTAATTAAATATTATTAATAATAATAATAATAATAATAATAAACTCTTTATTGCACAAACATAGACATAAGAACATGGATACATAGAATTACATATACAAAATAAAACATGTTTGTGCAAAGGCGGCCTTATCGCCTATGGCGATTTCTTCCAGGCAACCTTTGCATGTAGAAATAAGAAATAAAAAAAGATAATTTTGGAAAACAATCAAAAGTCAACATAAAAAATTAAATTATACAATAAAAAATTAAATATTATTTTAATAAAATGTTGTCTGTAGTTTATGCGTGGTACACATACATAAAAATCTTTAACGGTTTAAAACGAGATACATATTAGTTACACTTATTTGAAAATTATTTAAACGACGGCCCGACGTTTCGCATGCTTTGGGAGGACACACGGGGTGCCAGTAGGTAAAAGAATTTTTAAATGAGTTTAACTAATATAATCTAACGTTTTAAACCGTTAATGTGTTTTATTTAAATCATTTTAATACTCAATTTACGTAACAACGATAAACCTACCTCACTGGTTATCACAACGAATTATGAAATATATTAAATAACAATGCACTATCTAACAACCTTTATCACGCGAGTGCCGCAACAGAACTGTTCTTATTAATAATGTTTAGATTACAAAAGTAGACCTAGGTTTTATCTCCATTTTTCGCTGGAGCTCTTATAGAAGTATCATACGATGTGATTATATCAGTGCTTCGGGTCTGCTCATTCCTTTAGTAGTAGCAAGGGCTATCCGAAGTTTCTGTTATGATAGAGAGACAAGCATGAGGATTACTTAATGAAAGGTGAAATACTTCAGGCATCTACCTTCTAAACATTATGCGCTGTCGGCTTATGGCTTTTGAATATTCGCAAATCCACAAACTGAAACCGAAATGTGATTAAACTTCACGGCTTATTCATCCGTAGACAGTTCGTGATCCGGAAGGAATTTCGATCTGGATTTTCTGCGGTAATCGTAACGTGTACTCGATACGTTTACTAAAATATCCGTGCTTGGACCACTGTTGGACCCGGTGGGGATCGAACCCACGATCCAACGAACCCTTCGGAAACGGTTTAAATTCCAATGTTACTAACATTTGTACATTATTTTCGGATTCTTGAACAAGTCCAACCCTTAGTAATGTTTGTAGTTTACGCGTAGTACCGATGTAACTTTTAACAGTTTAAAAGGAGAAATATTACCTTTTCTACACATCACGATTATTACACACCGAGAAACGAGAGGACACCGTGAGTCAGTTCTGTAAGGACCCATATAGTTTCTCCACACTAACAACGGGAAAATAGATGGCGCTAGTGTAGTAGATTTTAGCCTTGAGGTTAGCAACGCCCCCATCTTGGAGTGCCAGACGTCGTACAGTGCACACGGGCCTTCAGTACGCAAGTCTCCGTCCGACTTTAATTGTAAAATCGGCGGAGTTTCCAACGAGTAGCTGCCCATCACATAGATTGCCAGCCTGTTTCTGCTAACCTCGCCTGTGGCTTAGCTCCGGCCTCCCACCAGCGGGTCTCACCGGATGCGAAGCCTCTAGGGCTGAGGGGACGCGACTCAGGCTCAGGCCGTGCACGACGCCTACCCGAAGAATTCCAAAAGATGAAGAAGACCTCCGACTCGACGCCGGGCGTCCCCCGCTCCCGCTCCGCAAGCGGTCGAGCGGGCTCGCGACGCGATCCGGCCCGGGCCGTCGAGACTCCGAAACCCGCACCGCGCCCCCCCGCCCTCGGAGCGGGGGAGGCCCTTTACGACACCGGAATACACCGGACTTTGTCGGATCCGGGGTTGAGCCGCCCACGCCCTTGCGTGCGAGCGCCCCCCGCGACTCCGCACATCAGCGCCGCCGCCGCCGCCGCGAGCACCACCACCACCACTACCGCTACCGTCGCCGCCGAGATCGCCGCGACGCCTTTCCCGAATTCTCTCCTGGATTCTGTCGAATCCCACTTCCTTGCCCTATCGCAAGGCTCTCCCGAGACCCTGGACGCAATGTTCCGGTCCCTGTCTGGAGACGTTCCTCCTGCGCCGCGGGGCTCCCCGAGGGCGTTACTTTATTCCGACGCAATTGCTTATGCAATTGTAAGGAAGCAAGTGGCGTTCTCGGACGGCCTACACGCGGCGGTCAGGGCGTACCTCGACAGGGTCGAGACGGAGCTAAGGGCCGAGGGATTGCTGAGCACTCCCTTAACGCAGGACGAGTCGGCCGTTGCCCACGGCAACATAGCACGGTCGACCCCCCTGCGTCGCCCTCGCCCGGAATCCCCTTCCTCTCCTGACCGGGACTCTAAGAGGCCGTGTCAGGACTCCGCCTTTCCGTCCCTCCCGGAACCCCTCTCACAGCGGGATCCTCGGTTGCGACGACGACTCGCGCTCCCCGTACCGGAGCCCGCCGCCGCTGCCGCGCCCGATGCGCGTGCCTCGCGAGACGCGCCTTCCGCACCAGCCGCGCGCACCACTCAAGCCGCGCCTGCCTTGCGCGCTTCGCCTGCAGCGCCTGCCGCGCCCGCCGCAACCGCCGCGACCACCGCGACCGCCGCGACCGCCGCGACCGCCGCGACCGCCGCGCCCGCCGCGCAGGCCACTGACCCAGCCGTCGACTCTGGGGTCAACGCATTGGCCGCGCCCGCCGCCGCGCCGTCATTCGCGCAAATGGCCGCTACACCCACGGTGGGACGCCGACCTACCCCGCCGCAACAACAACAGCAGTCGCAAACGAGCCAGACCACGAAGACCGCGGCGCCTAGATACCCACCGTTGGTCGTGGAAACACTTCCGGATTGGGTGTCGCACTTCCGCGCCCTCAAAGATCGTCTCGGCCGCGCTCCCAGCGCGCGACCCTTCGGGAAGGGAGTAAGGTTCTCTCCCCAGGACGCCGAAGAGTACCGCACCATACAGCGGTACCTCACAGAGCTCGAGAGAACCAAAGGAGTGTCTTGGTTTTCATACTCCCTTCCCTCTGAACGCGACCTCAAAGTGGCGATCAGGGGTATCCCGGTCGACACCAACCCGCAGGAATTGATAGACGAACTCAAAGGCCTGGGGTTCGATCCCCAACACGCACAACCGATCCAGTCGACAAAAGGACGTCCTGGATGCCTGTTTTTGGTGATCCTGAAAAGGACTCCCGACATAACACCGGCGATCTACGATGTCAAGGAGCTGTTGTGCATGCCCGGAATCACCATAGAGGCGTGGCGAGGGAAACGCGGTCCGGCCCAGTGCCACCGCTGCCAGAAGTTCCGCCACTCCTCGCACCATTGCCATCGACCCCAGGCCTGCGTGAGATGCGGCGGGGAGCACCGCGCAGCCGACTGTCCGCGTCCCAAAGAAGTCCCGGCGACGTGCGCTAATTGTAAAGGGGCGCATCCAGCCAACCACTCGTCGTGCCCGGTCTTTCGCGAGGAAGCAAAGAATAAGAGGGCGGGCACGATGGCATCCACGGTCGCCAGAAACAAAAAGGACGCCCCGGGTACCGAACCCCAAGCTACGAAGCAACCGCAGAGAGCGAGAAGGCCGAGAGGGGGACAGAGAAATCCGAGAGTGAGACAGAGCGATGCCGTTGTCCCCCCGCCCCCGAGCGCACCGCGTACGTCGTCGTCGGCCCGCGCACAGTCCGCCAACGATCGCCCTATTACTTTCTCACAAGCCGCGCTTGCCAGGATGGTGGAGGCAGCCGTCCAGACGGCCATCGCGGCTTTGCAGCCTGTAAGAGCGCCAACAGCACCGAAGGCGGCCCCCAGTCGAGGATCAACCGGTCACCATGTGCCTTAAAATCCTTTACTGGAATGCGAACGGCCTCAGGAGGAAGGTGGCGTTCTTAACAACGCAATTAAGGCTACACAACATCGACGTAGCCTTAATTAACGAAACCCACCTACGCACTGGTGACCGGTTATACGTACCGGGATACGTCGCATACAGACAAGAACATGTCTCGCCGCTGGGCGCGGCCTATCGCGGCCTGGCCGTGCTCATCCGAAGGAGCATCGTTCACCGACGTATCCCGGACCAGGAGCTTACGTTCGTGCATGCGACGGGAATCGAACTGGAGTTCGATGGCCAGCCAATCGCAATGTACGCCGTCTACTCACCGCCGGATGGACACTTCAGCCCCAGCGATATCCGCAAACTGATGCCCCCGCAAACGGCGTGCATCGCAGCCGGCGATTGGAACGCCAAGCACGAAACCTGGAACCCCGCATGCGCGAACCGAAGAGGCCGCCTTCTATACGCCGATGCTGGACAGCACGGCTACACGATCGCGGCGCCGGACGTTCCTACCCATTATCCCACTACCGATTCCTATAATCCCTCCACTATTGACCTACTCCTTCATTGTGGCATCCATTGCCATTTGACCCTTGATGTCATCATGGACGAGTACCTGTCGGATCACCTCCCAGTCATCAGTACGTTGACTTCCCCTAACCCCCGCCTCCCCGCTCCCCGAGAGAGACGTTGCATCGATTGGCCTCTCTTTCGCTCCCGCCTTTCCTCTCTCCCTCCGTTCGCGCCGCCAATCAACGCACTGGAAGTCGATCAGCTGGCCGCCGACATCACGGCGCACATACAACGAGCCATGGGGGAAGCTACTTCCGTCCGTGAGATTCCGCCGACGGAACCGGACATCCCGCCGCACTTGTTGAGGCTAATAAGGAGAAAGCGCGCACTTCGCCGTACGTGGCAGCGCAACCGATGCCCGCGCCTCAAAACCGAGATACGTCTGTTAGCAGAAAAGATAGGAACGGAGCTACAGGCGTATCAAGCGCAATCATGGGAGCGCCGCATTGGCGAAGCAACCACAGATTGGAGTAGCCTCAACAAGTTGTGCCGAAGCCTCACGAAGACCGTCGCCCCACCGCGGCCCCTCCTACACCCCGATGGCTCAGTGAAGTACGCCGCCCTGGATAGGGCCGAAATTTTCGCGGAGCATCTCGAACACCAATTCTCACCGAACCCCGCCGCTACACATCTGGAGGATCGCGTGAAGGCGACCGAGGAAGCCGCCTTAAGATTCGCGTCGCCCAGCATCCCTCCAGACGAGGACCCCATCTTTTTCTCGCCGGGTCAGGTGAGAAGAGCTCTCCTCCGCGTGAAACTCAAGAAGGCCCCAGGACCCGACAACATCCCGAACCTAGCGCTGCGCCACCTTCCACCGAACTTCGTCGTCGCCGCCGCACGGCTGTTTACGGCGATCGCGCGGCACACCCAGTTTCCGGCGTGTTGGAAGGAAGGACGAGTCCGGATGTTGCTGAAACCAGGGAAGAGCGTACTGCAGGCGGCCAGCTATCGACCCATCACTCTGTTGCCGTCTCTGTCTAAGGTATTCGAGGTACTATTGCTGTCTCACCTCAATACCTTCTACACCCCGCGCCCCGAGCAATTCGGCTTCCGTGCAGAGCACTCCACAACGCTTCAATTAGCCCGAGTGCTGCACGAGGCCGCCTCCGCACTGAACAAGAAGGGCGCCGCTGCTGCTGTATTCCTCGACATGGAGAAGGCGTTCGATCGCGTCTGGCACGCCGGCCTGATTGCGAAACTCGACGCCATTCCCCTCCCCCGCCGCCTCACCTCGATCCTTTACTCCTTCCTCGATGGTCGCACATTTCACGTCGCCGTTGATGACGCCCGTTCGAGCCCCCGCCGAGTTACAGCGGGCGTTCCGCAAGGAAGTTGCATCTCGCCAACGCTGTACTCGGCCTACACAGACGACGTTCCAGCACCGCCAGACACCAGAGTGGCCCTCTTCGCTGATGACACGGCGTACATCGCGACCTCGTTGACATCACAACATGCGGCCATCAAGCTTCAACGATCTCTAGACCTCCTTCCCGATTGGCTTCAAACGTGGCGTTTAACTGCCAATCCCGCCAAAACTCAAGCCATCTGCTTCGGTCGTGGCATTTTTCCGCCTTCTCTTACCCTAAATGGCATCGATCTCCCCTGGCTAAACCGCGTCACTTACCTCGGCCTTACAATCGACCGAGGCCTCACCATGCGCCATCACATCGCCACTGTGGTCGGTAGGGCCAACGCGGTTCTAGCCAAACTCAACCCCATTCTCTCTTCGAATATCCCTCTCCACACTAAGAAATCCCTTTTCAACGTATATGTCCGTTCCCACCTTACGTACGCCGCACCTGCTTGGTATGCGCTGGCGCCGAAAGCGCAGAAGAACCGGCTCAACGCAGTGCAGAACAAGGCACTCCGGCGCATTACCAAAGCCCCGCGTTACGTAAGAAACGCTACCATCCACCGAGATCTCCGGCAAGACACCCTCAACGATTTCATCGTCCGGATGGCCAAGAAGATGTTCGCAAAAGCCGATTCATCGCGCACGCCTCATCTACAACATCTCGCCCCATGGCACACTAGGCCACCGGACCGAAGATACCCACTACCGCGAGACCTCCTCTCCCCTCCCGACTCCCCGCCTCTCCCTGCAGCAGCAGCAGACGGCAACAGATAGTGAATCACCACCGGATTTGACCTCGAACGCCGATCCCGCGTCTTCGTCCGCTGGTCGCCTCGCTGGGCCTCCCCCGGGGTTACCGGGGGTCTCACCCGGCGGTGCTTGACCGCGAGACGCGGGGGCGTTCACCAACCATCGACGACGACCCCAGGGACCGCCTTGTATCAGCAAGGCGCGCTAGACACCCCTTGCAGAGCCCAAAAGGGCTGAACAAGGAGGTCGCGACTTTGTCGCGACCAGGAGAAACACACGGCCCCCATCTTCAGTCCCCCCCCGTGATCACGGCTGCTGCAAAGCATTTGAAACGTCGAGCCCTAGTTCAAATAAATTAACTGATACATTTCACGTTTTAAATTACGAGTACTATCTTTTAATAGCAAAGAAAGACAGACAAGCGTATAGTGCACTTGATTGAAGGGAAATATTAGTACTTTATCAAACTACCCGTTTTTATCCGTTCAAAGTGTTTTATTCTATTTAAAATTTACCACTCAAGTTCAGTCTACATACAATTTTCAATTAAAATCAAATTTCAACTATATCCGAGTTTTAAATCGGCATTGATCGATTTATAGAATCTACGACCTAGCGATTATAAGACATAGGTATTAATATACCGTTTCGATGCAAACTAAATGAAAATACAGGTATAAATGTTATTTCTTATTTATTGTATTTAATTATTTCATATATGACATAACATTATTTGTTGCTATATAAATCATAAATGTACATTTTATGAAAGTGATTACTTAATAATATACATAATATCTTCAGGTTCAGGTTTCTTTTCATAGAAAAAAGTCATCGATAGTATTTAAATAAAATACTTAAACTGGTTTCATATTCCTCTTTTAAAAATGCAAGATTTTTTTCTTAGTACGCGAAGCAAGAAATACCCAAATTTTAACAGAGAGTAATTGAGTCAATATTAAACACCTAGGATTTTAAAAACACTAGATCAAAAAAACGGCGTAATGTATTTAAGTTTTAAACCGTTATAAATGTTTTATTTTAATGTGTAGGTATTAAGTAAATTACAGAGAATACATCATTAATACTAAATATTTCTGTTTTTCGGTCAAACGTCTGAGAGAACATGTTCTTGAATAATAAATAATAGGAAAAATCTAGAAGTTTTCTAGTAATAGCTTGGGCATAGAAAAAATCTATAATATCTCCTTTGATTCCTGCACTATCGATTTCAACTTGTTTCGGTCCACTTTGCCCGTCCTTGTAGTCGGGAGTTCCTTCAAAAATATGACTCCACCTCGCAGCCGTTTGGTGTCAGTAAGATTATCTGAAACAAAAGAACTTGATTAATACCGGTACGTTACCTTTACGAATTTCTGTTCTCACTCTCATAATATCCTATAACTACACAAGCACTCGGGTACAGTTTAGCCTCATGAAAATCGATAACGCATAGGTCCGCATAGTCAATGTACAGAATTTATTTTACATTAATTGTCACGAGACACGAATGTCTTATCACATATCAACTTAGTTGACAACTATAAATTTAAATGAAATAAGATAACTCAATCTAAAATCCAATAAAAAATGAATAGTATTATCTTTACACTAAACATTATTGTAACTATTTTTATCTTCAATAAAATATAACGATAAAACTACGTTTTCTAATATCTAATTCTGTTATCTTATTATTCCATCTTCTGATTTCTATTAAAAACATAATAATATATGTATTATAACTACTCACTCTTAACTATATCTTTAATTTCTTGAGCACTAACTGTGGAGCCTTCTACCCGAGTGACACAAGCAACAGGTAAGTCCCCACATTCGAGATCAGGTAGACTTGTTACTGCTACATCAAGAACCTCTGGATGCCTTCGGATAACAGTCTCTATCTCTGTCGGTGATATCTATGAAGTGGTAATAGAAGTTTTAAAGCTCACGTTAAAAAAAACTACTTTACTTTTGAAACAAGTTATGTAGAACCATAGAGCTGGAGTCGAACCCACAATGCAGTAACGCGGGGGTTTTAAAGTTCTCTCTACCATGAAAGAGGGAACTCAAAGGGTTTTAAAACAAACCTGATGATTTCTATACTTCAACAACAGCTTATAACGATCGACGAAGTAGAAATACCAATGCTCATCTCTGTAAAATAAATCTCCACTTCGAAGCCATCCGTCCTTGGTCAAAGCGGCTTCAGTTTCTTTTGGCCTCTTCCAGTAACCCTGTAAAAAGATGTATTATTTAAAATTAAGAAGAAAAGTGTTACAAGAAATTCAAATATATAAATATTCCGCAAAATATTTATACACACGCGGTTAACAAATGTTTAGATACCGAAGATTTTTAAATATGTTATCATAAGTAACATTTATTATTTATGTGTACATTTTGATTGTATGAAACATGTTCTAGAAGCAATCTAAGTATTTTAGTTCTTCCGGGATTGTTAATGAAGGCTTTATATATTTTTAAATTAAGACTTAGGTTACAAAAAGTAAAAGATTTTAAGTACCTTGAACACAGGTGGCCCCTTTATCCAAAGTTCACCTTGCACATTTGGCTTTGTAATGTCTTCTTGGGTATCAATATCTACAAGCTGAAGACCATAAAATATAAACAACATAATTTCTCGTTAAATGCTGTTGTCATTATTGCTTTGTGCTTTTAGACTTATGTATGTAGTATGTGTATATAAATAGAATATATTTTTAATAAAAAATAAAAAAAAAAATTGGCACAAATTTTTTTTTTAGACTTTTTAGTTGTAACGCCTCTTTGAAATAAATAAATGAGATTGGCGTTCCTTGACTTAGCGAAGACTGAGTCGAACGTCGAATGTTAAAGAATGCCGTCGACCGTCGAGAAGAATAATTACTCAATTACGACGGTCGAACTGCTTGAAAATCACAGAAAGTCTTGTGTGTGTTGCTTCATGTGTGTGTGTGTCAAATATATAATCGATAATCACAAACATACGCGATACTGCAGATGCTTCAATGGTGTTCCACATGTGTCACGATAAGCAGTAGCCATGATATCGAAACAAAGCCCTGTGCATTCAGTCAAACCATATCCTCTGTAGATGGAAGTTTTGGGATGCACTTTCTGGAATGAAATATAGCCTATCATTCGACCCTTCCATTTTTTATAGTTGACAATTCTTACATTTTTGTAGGTATATCTCTAAGTTAATGTTGTAAACGCAAAAGTATGTTATTTTTAACATCTTTTCTACTTCTTCTTTGTTACGTCCTTAATTAAACCCTTTTTTATATACAGTTTTCTAAACGTTCTTCAAAACCTCACACTATTTTATATATTATCGTATATTTCCAATGGCTAAGCCCCATTTCCAAACATTGCGTTACGTCGAGTAGTCAGGCTTTGTCATCCAGAATCGTTAGGCTCTGGCAGGGCACAGAAGTTTTATTAGTATGCCAATAAAATAGAACAGTAATTCAAACGACGACTGCGCCATACTTAAGGCTGGGGCAGAAGATTTTAACTTAGGTTATATGCCTTTATTAGTTCAAGCATAACTACGTTATCGTGTATACTATTTAACCGGTAGAAAAATCTATGTTAGATAAGAAAATGGACCATCATTCTTCGGATATGGTTAACAACTCAAGCTTGGTAATGGCTGTTACGCTGTAGTCGAGAGTCCATCCCGTGATCGAGTTTTTAATACAAAATTATTTTTTTGGTATATGGGAACAAAGCCGGTTGCAAAAAGAAATATATTTATAGGTAAAAAGTGCAAAGTGTTAGTCTTATAGTCTTGCCATTAATTACGGCTATTTAAAGCTTTACGTACAACCAATAAAAAATATTATAAAGTTCTTACACGTAGTTCTTCAACCACTTCCTGCGCCACTGCACTTCCACCAAGGAAGACCCATTTGAACGAGGAGAAATTACACTTTTCTCTTTCTCCTGGCGCTAAAAGCTTAATCATAAATGTAGGACTGCACACCATGGTCGTTGGCTGAAAGGAATTATGATGATGAGAATAACGAAGGTTTAGGAGCCACGACGCTGCACGAGACCGGCTCAGCGAGTTTTAACGACTACCATTAGATTAATAATGATAGCTGGATAGCCGTCTTATCGAGAACAAACCTTCTGCCACAGGATCGAACCCTGTTCCTCGTCGATGTCAGAATATCGAAATTCCATCCGGGTCACAAACCATCGTCCACAGATGAAAAACTAGTGGGAGCTAATCGCGTTTCGGCTTCATTGTGTGGATTTCCGAATATCCAAAGTCAAAATAGGCTAACAACTTGTTTATATGTAATATGACTGGGGTATTTCATCTTCCATGAAAAGAACAGAATGCTTGTGTTTCCTTCTCTATCGTAATTCTCTTTTCGCTAACATTTCCTGCTATAATACTTTTTAACTTCACGTACAACATCTCACGATTAACTTTATTACTTGATGGTTAACAATTTTATAGATAGTGGCGTCGTGGGAGACGCGACCCATATGTTATCTGTGTTTTTAAATTATTTTTTATTAGGGAGTTATTATAGAAGCCTTCCCATTTTCAGGGGAGGCTATGATACTACATAAACATTACAATTCCTATATGTAGATAGTATGAGGTGGGACTCGGTAACTCAATTGCTAGAGCAACAGCACACGGAACGCTGACGATGCCGGTTCAAGTTGAATTGAAATTTTGTTTAATTTATTTTGATTTTTTTAATTATGTAGTGAATGCATGTGCAATTTGATAAATATTAAAGTTTTAATACCTTATACTTGTTGATTAAATCGTAAACGTGCTCTCGGGTTTCCGTTTGGGAGCTCTGAACTCTTCTGTATTTGAGAATCGGCGAGAAGATGTAATGCACATGTGCTGACAGCCATTGGACTGGTGACAGTATTATGGCGAACATTTCCGGATTAGGAAACTCTCTTATCATTGGCCTGGAACGTACGATAAAAACAATTAATATTCTTGTTTATTACGATATAAAAGGGCCAGAAGGTGGTCGCAATACACCCAGTAGCTGGATCGGAGGAGTCGGAGAATTATTCATATCAGTAATTACATAATCGATTAAATTTTTGTTCCCGACCTAACTGAAACATTTCGAATCCAGGACAACTTAATACATGGAACTACAAAGGCGGTCACTGAGTACACTGTGATATTTAAGATGTAAAACCGAAAATTGATCTTTTGACCAATCAAAAAATTCATAGACAAATACACCGCCTCTGTGGCTCTATGGTTGGACGTGTTGGATTTGGATTCCCGGGAAACAATTAATTGTGTCGGGGCACAGAAGTGTGATCAACTACCTACGTGACAACAACTACTAAATAAAACTTATCAGTAAAATGGACCCAGACATCGCCCCATGTCACAAGGGAAAATTGGATTTTATTTATCAAGATCCTCTACTTACCAAATATACGAAAGTCCAATGATACAATTACTGTGAGTCAGTGCCGCTACTTTGGGCAGTCCAGTGGTTCCACTCGTCGATATCAAGACGGCTATCGTTTCTTTTGGGTCAAAATCTTCAACCCTAAAACACATGGAAAGATTCGCCAAAATTTTATTACCGATAATTATGCTATTGCTTTAGCTAAATGCAAGTAGAGGTGCCTTCAGTCGTAGCAACGCTAACAAGTCGTGGGTTCATATCCGAAAATAAAATATCAACGGTTTTCTAACCGTGATATTCTTATCAGAATTCTGTGCAGACAAAATATCTAACACCTAATAAATTATATTTGTAGGGTTTCTAAAACAAAGGTCGTATGAAATCCGGTTTAATTTATAGCATTGGATAAATGAAAATAAAATTCGAATTCTTAACATCTTTATCATTATTTTTTATCATTAATTATATTTAACAGAATAATGATAGCGAAACTAAAGAGCCTAGCTACAGATATCGGAAAATAGATTTAATTTCTAAATAGAATATATTATTAAAATGTGAAATATAATAGTTAACTTTTTAATTATTAACTGTATGTGTTAACTAATATATTCCGCGTTTTAATCCGTTAAAAGTGTTTTATTTAAATGTGTACACGCAAAACATAAAGACAATACTAGAAACTGTTTAATCGTTAATTGTGTGTGTTAAATAAGTTAAGTAATATATTTAGCGTTTCAATTCACTATACCAGATTTGTCTCTTACCGAAATTCGTCTATTTTGTCATTTTTCGAGTATTCGTCAAGAAATTCTGGAAAAGTGTTGAATTTTTCATCCTTCCCAAACGTCGTTATTTGAGTGTCAATATCGAGAGAATGTACTACTTCAGAAACAATCGCGGCTTTGGAGGCGAGGCAGAATACGAATTTTGGCCTCGTGTCGTTGAATATTTGGACGATTTCATCTGAAATTGTTGATATGTTAAAATCATAACACTACTTTATACATATATTTCTTAGACGTATATTTTACCAAAATAAAAGAGACGTCCAAGAATATAGACTCTTCTCTCTACTCTCTTTGTTCCACTTCTTTTCTTTGGAAAATTTTACAGATTCGATAAAGCTGCAGTGAGTATGGGTGGGTATATAATAATCCCATTTAAAAACTCCTCTAAGATAAGAAGAAGCAAAGTAGACTGAGTTAAAAAAGAATAACTTTTGCGTCTTCAATCCCGTTTCAAAATCATTTTCAAATAAGTTTAACTAACATATCGCGTTTTAAACCGTTAAAGTGTTTATTTAAATGTGTACTACTCGCGTAAACTATAGACAGTATTTATATCTACCACAATTTTAAATAAAAATAAAATACAAACATGTTGGACCCCAGTGTTGATCGAACCGTAAATGTTTATAAGTAGCAAATAATTAATTGGTAGAAGATTAAACATCTGAATATTAACAATTGCTCTTATAAAAAAAAATGAAACGAGCGTGACTAGATCCGGCATCCATTGGGTTCCGTGCTGCTGCTGTGCTCAATTCTTAAATATATATGTGAAAAATATTAAAGATTCGGGTAGTGGGTTCGATTTGTAGCCACGTCAAATACGTTACCTTTAAGCAAATGCATGTCTATACACGCCACGCTTATTCCAAGGTAGAAAGCGGCATATAAAGGAGCGGTCAAATCCAAACAGTTCGGGGCCATAAGAACTATAATGTCGCCCTTTTTGATGCCCAACCTTCGAAATGCCTCAGCACATCTGACGGATTTGACCAACATCGACCCGAAGGTATCTCTCTCGTCAGTTGCGCCATCTATCTGCAAATAAAATACTTAAGTACAAGTTTCTACTAACAAACAATACACTATTATATTTAATTGTCACAGATAAGAAATCCGGTGAAGAATATTCTACATCTATCTGTAACGTCTTTTTTATTCTCTCCAATTCTTTAATTACTAGCGCGAAATATCCTGGGTTCGAATCCGGAAATAACATAGCTAATATTTTTATTTTTATGATAAAGGAGGACAATTATATAAAGCCTTAACAAAATGCGTTGTCGACCTATTTTGGCTTTGGATATTCGGAAATCCATAGACGGAAAAGAAAACGCAATTAAACTTCATGGTTTTTCATCTATTAACGGCGGTTAGTAAGGACGGAATTTTAATATTCCCACCACCCATCTTATATCCAGATATCCGGAGTCCAACATGTTTCAGAAATTTGTAAATAGATTGGAAACAAGCAGATTATTAGTTGAACATCACTACCACACCAAAGAAGCCGTGAAATTGACTCAAAGCCTGTACCTGGAGTAAAAAGTCAGGGTCCTCTTTGAACTGCTTTAAGATAATTTTCCCAAGATGGTATCTGTCATTGGGATTTCCAGTTTCAGCCACCAACTCATAAGTAAAGTCAGCTAAGTAGCGTTGTAAGGCATCACTACCAGTTTCCATTGCTTTCTGAAATCGACCTTTTTATATCCTGAAAATTTTATTATCGACTAGCTTGCGACTTCTCCTCGTAAAATAGTTATTTTGGGGCAACATTTAGTTTTTGTAAGCCCCCTCTTTATAAATACACTAGCTGTGCTAGCGATATCTTAAATTTTAGCATAAGATAACAAGGAAGGAGGTTCTCCTCATATTTATAAAATATAGCTAACCACAACGTCGTCCGCGTCCCGTCGTTCTTGCGTATTTTAAAAAATTGATATTGTCGCGGATCCATAATTTAGACTATTCAAACAGGAATACATTCTTTTATACATATATTTTGGGATATCTTGTATCGTTTTCGCATCGCAATCGGAACAATTTTCCAAGTTTGTTTCACATTTACCACTCACTTCGCTTCTATTGGTTATACATACCCTAAAGCCTACTTCAATGAATGGTCTATGCAATCCAAAAATAATTTTTCAATTCAAAACAGTAGTTCCTAAGATAAGCGCGTTCAAACAAACATTCAATTTTACAATATTAGTATAGATTAAAAAAAATAGTAAGACATATAATTCACTCACTAAAATCACACAACGCAAACTGACCAACGCTGACCGATCCACTTCAAACTGTTTTTATAATAATTATACGATTTCGACAGCAATGAAGTAGCAAACCGGTTTTTGTTTTATGTACTTTAGCCCAAATACTTATACCGATATCATGACAGCAAGAAAACAATTCAAGGTCACAGTAAACACTAAACCTACATTAAATAAAACAGTTTAAAGTGCGAAATTAACTTATTCATAATTCATTTTAACTACGCCCCGGCGTTTCGGATGCTTTGCTGCAACAGTCACGGAAAATCTAAGAATGGAGGGTTAAGTAATTTAGCTACGCAAGAGTTAATCAAACGCGTTATAATCGGTAATTGCTTAAATATTTCACGTCGATAGCCTAGACGCCGTCAAATCTATAACTTTATAATCATTCATAATATTATTCTCAACTATCTTCTATCTAAATACTGTCTATAGTTTACGCGAGTAGTACACATTTAAATAAAACACTTTAACGGTTTAAACCGCGATATATTAGTTAAACTTATTTGGAAATGATTTTTAACTTCGGCCTGACGTTTCGGATGCTTTGCAGCAGCCGTGGTCACGGGGAGACAATACGGTTTACGGGGAATAAGTTTAATTAATATATCGCGTTTTAAACCGTTAAAGTGTTTTATTTAAATATCTTCTATCTAGTTTTCAGTTAGTATTTATTTAATAAATTGATTTCTTATCCTTTTTCATTCATATACTTATTGTAAATTAATGGTAATATCACTTGCATCTGAGATCCATTTTATTAATAAATACTCTCTTTTGTTCACAGATTAAATTTTTTTGTTGAAGACATTTTGTTAAATGTCTCTTCTCAGTAAATGTAAATGTAGAGTCTCCAGTTTTTAACTGGTGTGACGTTCATAACTTTACCTAGTTATGTATATAAATAAAAGAATTATTACTTTTTTGACATTGACAATCTTTCTTGCATTAAGTCTATATTTATATCACCTATTAAGATTATATTACACTAGGGGGAGGGGGGCAACGGTGTAATTCAGATATCCCAGTAATAGTGGGATTGATTCGACAATGGAAAAATGTGGAGCTTAAATTCCGGTAAAATTATGCACTTACAGAATAAGCTGCGTACTTAACTCTTGTCACGAAGCGAATAGAAGTGGTAGTTATCATGCAGATTACTGATCTACTTGTATTTATAATACGCTCTAGCTGGACGACATATTTAATCACAGATCTTATGTTATTATGCAAAACTAATAGAGGACAATTGCTTCCGCGCATATCTTTTACATCTTTGCTTCAAGGCGTGACTCGTTTCTACTATATTGGCTGAAGTTGCCACGAGTTGACCCGTTGATTATTAGCTATACAATTCTAGCAAAGGACCTAGGAGTCCGTCTTTAAATAAATAATAATAAAATTCTTCGCTAATTATTATTATTTGTAGCATTCATGTAAAAATCTAAAATCATTGCCGCCGACTACCTCCGTAGCTCAATGGTTAAATAAGTAGTTGCAGTATAACTGTTATAAGTTCGAATTTCGGGAGAATTTAAATATGTTAATTGGGCAACGCACAATATAGTGATTAACTTACTTGCCTGTACGCGGGTTTTCAATAGCAAAAAAAACCATTTACAAACGAGTAAATATTTATCTGTTCTATGCTTATAGGATTAAAGTTCGAAATGGCTGTTAATAAATATATTATGTTATATAAGAGCGATTTTTGTCGCCTCACGATACATTCAAAATTATGTCGACTATCTATATCTAAAATACAATTGATAGCTAATTAGATTGCTCGGCGGTGATGTTTTAGAAAAACAAATACGCTATTGACAATTTTACACTGCTAAAGCGCTGAACAAATTTGAGTCAAATTCGTCATAGACCGCAGTTGACAATTCTTAGCTAAATACTGTCTGTAGTTTACGTGATAAAATACACATTTAGCTTAATAAAAACTGTAACGGTTTAAAATGCGATACTTAAAGTTATTTGAAAATTATTTTAACTACGGCTCGACGCGGATTTGGCAATTGCCGGCCAGTTTCGCCAAATATCAACTACGACGGAACAGATGGCGCTACTGTAGATAAGATACAATGGTATCTTATGGAAAATTTGTGAAAAAAATCAACGTGACATTCACGTCCCTAATTAGACCAAAGGCTCCGTACATGTTTAACAAACACATTTACATACTTTTGGGAAATTAAAATTTTCCATTTTATTTTAAAGTAATAGTTAATTACGTCGGTGTTTGTCATTTTAACTACGGCCCGACGTTTCGGATGCTTTGCACTAGCCATGGTCACGGGGAGACAATACGGTTTACGGGGAATAAGTTTAATTAATATATCGCGTTTTAAACCGTTAAACTGTTTTATTTAAATATCTTCTATCTAGTTTTCAGTTAATATTTCTTTAATAAATTGGTTTCTTATAGTAGAAGTATGCGCATACTTCAATTACTAAGGTATTTAATCATGATAGAGAAGGCCACAAGCATGGGCTCACTTAATGGACGGTGATCTATCCGAGCCATTAAACATCACAAACAAAACATACAAAACATACAAAACAAAACATGCCCTATCGACTTTGGTTTTGAATATTCGTAAATCTATGAACTAAAACAGAAACGCGATCACACTCTACAGCTTTTCCTCTATGAATGAAATATTTTCAATATTTTTTATCCACCCATATAATATCCAGATTTCGAGATGAAGCTCAAAATATTTCAGAAAAAATATAAATTTAAAACCTAACTTAGTGGGGATCGAACCCGCGGCTGTTAAACTGAAAATTAATAATTAAAAATTTAGACAGTTCAAACTGCGAAAAAAATGTATTTTAAATTATAGAAATAATCTAAATAAACTGTTAAACGTGTTTTACTTTGTATCACCCGCGATTATAAGCCATACTTTACTTATCAAATATTAATAATTAATTAAAAAAACAAACTGATCTACTATTATTTAAAAACCTATTATTATAAAAACGGAAAAAAATAACCAGATGAATTAAAATAAAGTAAAAGAATATTACGTCAGATTTAATAATATGTCTTTCTTGTGATATTCGTTCCTACTTACATTTTACAAAACACGTATCGACTCAATGTAGATTGTAGATAGACACGACTACTCCTATTTAGAGTATAATTTGATATCAGTTGTTTTAATAATTCACTTAAATTTACACAAATGATATGGACAAATAATCTTTGTTATCTTTTAACTAAGAACACTATACAGTAAACATAATTACGAAATGTCCATAAAGTTTATGAGTAAAGTCCATATGAAATAAAAAAGTAACTAATTAAACAACCTTCTGAATATACCTAAAAACCTATTATAACGGATGTTTTAAATATATAATAATAATTTAATATTTATTACCAATAAATAACAATATACTTAAATACCGTCTGTAGTTTAGAGTAGTACACATTTAAATAAAAACACGATATATGAGTCTCCCTGTGACCACGGCTGCTGCAATGCATCCGAAACGTCGGGCTGTAGTTGATATAATTGAAATAAGTTTAACTAATATATATCGCGTTTTAAACAGTAAAAGTGGTTTATTTAAATGAAACAATATATAAAATATCCTTACTTCTTTATCGTTATTAACAAACAATGTATTGTTAAAACAAATTTACCATATTTTTTCTTATGTTAGCTACGAAGGAACACAAAACATGCATACAAATATATTTTGATAAATTCTACTTACTAGTGAACATAAATGGATTAGCTTACTCACACAGAATTTAAAGCTTTAAACAAACCAACATTTGAAAACTAAAGATTCAATCCTTCAAATGTTATCTAAAATTTCACAATCGGTATTTCGCGAAATCGTAGTGTTTTCTCTCTACCCCCGATCTGTTTCAGTAACCACAGATAAAGCAAAATAGTTTCTAAGCAATATTAACAGATGCTTATCTATGTCACAGACTATGTCTATCAAATAACACTTGTCTATTTTATACCAGTGTTGCTTACCACTAAAAGAGCGTGTATTTCTGGTATCAACACACAACGGAACTAACAAGGCAATGACCGCCTCAACAACTGGAACAATATTGTGCCACTTGTTGATTAATATTGTATTATAACATCATTAATAGTCTGGGAGATAAGGTTTCTCTCATGCCCACTGAAGTAGTGCAGTTTACGCGAGTAGTATACATTTTAATATACCACCACAATTTAAAACGCTTTATGAGGCCACTAGAGCTATAGTAGCCTAACTGCAATATTTGACTGATATCCTTATATTTTTATTATCTTAAAATGTTAATCTACAATAGCAGAGTCCAAAAATTGTTAACGTAATTCTTACACAAATATTAGTAGATTTACATTTACGCCTAAGTTAATTGCGCATTTTTATTTTTCCTCCTAAATGGAAATCATGTTTTTTGTTATTAGACCGCTCTCGCTGTAGCTGATTCATGCTGATGCATTTAATCGTGGGGACGAAGTTAAAAAAAAATGCGTCTTTTATTTAATTTATGCTTTTTTTAATCTGCTCAGAAACTACGTTTCCGACCGCTACGTTCCGGCTTTAGGCTATAAAAGATCAAACTGTGATCAATAAAAGTGTAATTACAGTAGAAAATGGAAAAAAAACACGGAAAATATAGTAAACGTTGAGGATTTTCGTTGCGTGAGCTGCGAAAATGATTCAAGGTACCCCAAAAACTATGTATGCAATAATCCTACCGCCTTAAACGATCTAAAAAGAAGTGTCCGCGAAAGCATATATTGTCTACCCTTTGAGATTTACTTGCAATAACGACGGGACGCGGACGACATCGTGGGTAACAGCAATAATTATAAAGATGAGGAGAAGAATGGAATAGTTAATTTTGATGCCAAAAATAGCTATTCTATTCAGACGAAGTCGCGGGTACAGCTACTTTTTTTTCATAAAAGTTAGTATTCCTTGTTAAAACCTCGTATTATTTTAACGCCTTATTAAAAAAAGGCAAATACGTATAAATTGAAAATGCTACAAGTAAATCGTAAGGACGCTGTTTATTTTAAAACTTTCCACTCAGAAAGAGGCTACGGAAAAATTTTATAATATTAATAAGTTTTCTTATTATGAGGATGTTTTTATCGTTTTATAATTTACATTCATAATAATTTAATTATTTATTTAAACGAATCTGTTTTAATGTTATGTAAAAGTATTCAATTAAATTAATTTTAGATAGAAAAAATATTACGACGCGGGCAAGACTTGAAACGGCATTCACAGCGTCCGCGCTAATGCTCTAATTCGTCTAATTTAGTTTGGCGTTTCGTTCTCTTATAAGCAATAAGAAACACAATCATATTTAAATAAAACACTTTAGCAGTTTAAAACACGATATATTAGTTAAACTTATTTGAAAATGATTTTTAACTTCGGCCCGGATGCTTTGCAGCAGCCGTGGTTACGGCTAATATATCGCGTTTTAAACTGTTAAAGAGTTTTATTTAAATGTGTACTACTCGCGTAAACTATAGACAGTATTTAACACATTTATATTTAATAAAACTTTCTTAACAATTTTTTTTTGTTTAAAAATCGAAAATAAATTTAAAAAAAATTCGACTCGGGCAGGACTTGAACCGGCATCGTCAGCTTTCCGTGCTGTTGCTCTATCAATTGTGCTACCGAGGACTCGGTATTCGAAAGTCGAAAATTTTTTCAATTTATTTTCGATTTTTAAATTATATAGTGCCTTCATGTGCAATAACATGTGAAAAATATTAATGTTTTCAATTTTTTTTGTGTTTGTCGTTATAATTTGGTTTTTCGAATGCATCAGTCAACAGGCGTTTAATTCTTTATTAAGAAGAAGGAAAAGAGTAATTGATATAATTCTTTTTGTTCTTAATCAATTATCTATGTTCAGTTATAAGCATATCTATAACTAAATAGTGAAACAAATTGCATTAAATTATACACAAGGTGATTGGTTCGAATCCCGGTGAAACATTGAATTGCGTCCGTCTAGCAGGTCACACAAGTCTGGTCAACTTGTCAGGGGCCACAGAATATCAGAGTTGGGGCACCAGTCCCAACGTAGCTGAGTGGCTTGATTTTCAGCTGCAACTATATTGTAGCACTAGCCGTGCACGCGTGGAATAGTGAGTTGGGGTAGAATTTTTTATTAATTTATGTAAGGGCGCATTTAAGGCAGCCAATCTAACATAGATAGCCAATCTATGTTAGATTGGCTGCCTAAATGCTACTTTGCCGCAACACTCTCACCACACATCACCCCTACTCTAACTCCCACACCCACTCTCACTCCCACTCAAAGAAGAAAGTTTCATTGTTCTAGCTTCAAAAACCACGAATTTCCATACAAACTTTCATCCCTCGTTTCAACTCCTATCAAGCCTTATTTGGCATTAAAAAGCCTTTCTCAGGCACTAAAATATCTGTGTACCAAATTTTACTTAAATCATTTCAGTACTTTCGGAGTTAAAGCCGGACAGACAGACAAAGTTACTTTCGCATTTATAATACATATTAGTATAGATTTAGATAGTGAAACGGCCGCAGAAATATGTTTACCCCATGCCCCACAGATACTAAGATATAATCAAGGGAACAGTCAAACAAAAGTATAAACAACTTATTTATTCTACAAAAGTGACGTGAAAATGTGAATGAGCGCGTATAATATTCATTCCCACGTCTAGCTGCGGACGTGTTACATCGGTAGAAATTACGAAAATGGATACGTTTCTAGGCAAAAAATATAAACTAAAATCGTCGGATAACTTTGAGGAATATTTGAAGTTTATCGGTGAGTTTTAGTGATAAATATTGGTATGATTTGGTAATCACGCTGATAATTGTGTTTCAACATCGATCAGTAATTATTTCGCTTGACTTAGCTAATGTTCGATTTATAGATGATATATAGTTTAACGGTTTCTATCTATTGGACAAATGAAAATTATTTTCTTTTATCTTAATTAATTGTTATATCTTTTATCATCGGGTCCCCATTTAATTGTTATTTTAACATAAAGTTGTGTCTCGTTAGTAAAAAATATAATAAGACTTTTATATTTATTCATTATATATTATTGGACTCAAAACATACGATCAAAGGAGCGGAATTCGAATTATGAACTGCAAGGTTACTTGTAATATTGGTATCAATAAATAATTTTAGTATTGTCTTTAGTTTACGCGAGTAGGACACATTTAAATAAATCACTTTTTACGTTATATTTTTAACCCCCGTGACCACTATTGTTTTAAAGACGAATCATCGGGTCGTAGTTAAAATAAAATAGATTTAAATTTAGCGTTTACAATGTTAATAAGTTAGATAGTATATTTCGCGTTTTGAACCGTTAATTTTTTTTATAAATGTAAAATAAAGATTAAAAAATGAGACAACAAGATCATGTTCTCGCTATTTTATAATATAGAAAACTTCGTAAAGTTTAGGGAAATATTTAGTTGCAAATAACGTTTATACGTCCGTGTAAATACTTTGTTCGTATGAAGAACAACTGAGTTTAATGTCAACCGGCTCAGGTTTTAAAAAACAAAGGTGTTTACGAAGACAATTTTTATGGCGCAAAGTATGTTCCTAGATCAAATTTGGTGGTTATACTACGTTAGCTCCCCCTGACCACGACCGCAAATCAGATGAAATGTGTCGTTAATAGATAACAATAAATTAAACAATATAAACCGCGATTCAAATAATTAAAATTTTAATAATACATTATAAAAAAGAAAGTCTAATAATTTTTCTTTTTATAGCCACAAGTAGGTATATCCAGTTTTTTAAGAGTGCAAAGTTATTTAAACTTTAAAATGTCATTTTAAATATATTTTTGAGCACATTAAACTTTTTTTTATTAAACAAAAGGTTCTAAATTTAAATAAAAATTGCCAATATGTAAATCAAGTTACATTCAACGCGACAAAATCCTTTTTTTCGTTCCGCGAGATCCCAATATTATAAAATATATTTTAACTATGTTCACCAACTTACTTAATTAAAAATAGTTTACAAACTTCAGGAAAATAACGCTTATTTACATACTTTAAAACAGGTATAAAGTTAGCCGGGTCAGCGCCAGGTTACACCAATTTTACATAATCATAAGAAGGCGCTAATTGTTTAGACGTATGTGCTATGTCACTGTATATGATAAAAAATATGGAGTATATAAGACATTACAATTTTATATAAGACAAGGTGACCGGCAAACGTTTCGTTGTTTGCAAGTTTAATATTATTATGTTGATAAATATTAACTCTTACAAATAAGTGGTATTCAAATTTGAGTGAGACATTTTTTTAGATAATTTGAAGAGAAATCTTCTTTATAAATGCTTTATGGTTTCTTGTACCGTTTCCGCAGTGCACGCAACGGAAACGGCCAAAGGTTTATGTTGTTTAATTTGTTAGGAAAAGCGTCCTAGACAAGAGCAATAGAGGTAGTAAACTTATTTCATAGGCAAAAAGACATTTTCTGTGATGCATGGAGTGAGCTCGTGAAGTGTTTACAGTTTATGATTTCATATGGATTATAAAATAATAAACTGAAAATTAGTAATAGTAAACTAATTATATGTAATATTAGTTAATAGTTATAAGTCATAGTTTAATTGTATTGTATATTTCTATGTTAGTTTTTAAGTTCAGTGTCGAATTGGGCTCCCACCTGTCATGACATGAATTTTAATTATTAAATAAATAAATATTTTTTTATTCTAACCACTAGTTCTTATTAGCACGTTAGAAGGAAAATGATAGATGGAACTTTATAATATGATAGATGGAAAATAAGTGAACGAGAACCCACAGCACAGTGGTGTTGGGTTCGTGTCTCGCCCGCGACATCGATAATGTATACTATTTTTCTAATTAAGATAGTATTCACTAGAGCTCCTCTGTGTCTTATAAATTACTAGCATGCTTTGTTTGCGTCATGCATCTCGTTTTTTTATTTATTTTACCTACTATATATTACAGCAGTACAAATTGTGAGTAACAAATAACCGTAAAATTACTGTTTTTTGCCATAGATTAGCGTTTTGTGTAGTATTCTGATATATGCTATCTCTTCATTGTTCGAGAGTACCGTTTTGTTTGTGCTGTCATTATTTATGGTTAATCATAAATAATGCTAAAACTAGCTTTGCCAGCGACTTTGTCCGCGTAGAATAGTAATTTTGGGCGTCGAAATTTGTTGTTGGAGGCTGCTTAGTTACGCGCGACGTCGGTCTCATCCTGTCATTCTTGCAAGGTAATCCTAAATGATAGGCGTCTGTGACTGTCGTATACATTTTTTTAGATCGTTTGAAGAGGAATCATTTCTTCTTACATATTTTTTGAGTATTTTGAATAGTTTTCGCAGCACAACCAACGGAATCTCTCAACGATGACTAATTTTCCGTTAGTTCGACATTTCCCACTATTTCTTAGCTCCTATTAGTCTAGTATGATGACTTTATAGACCAAAAAAGTTCTTCGGTAAATGTTCTAACCAACGCAAAAATAATTGTTTAATTCGAATCAGCACTTTCTGAGATTAGCGCGTTTAAACAAACATACAAATTCTTGAGCTTTATATATTAGTAAAGTTAGGTTTTTTCTTAATTTCAAGGTAATTTTTTTAAATCTCTTGCCCATTAAGACTGACGTACGTTAATAGCCAATAAGTGATGAGTAAATATACTTGTATAAGTGACGAACAGCTTTGGATTGGAACGTACCTTGGTTACGTACCTACCTTCAAATAGATTAATTATAATCCAAGTAAATCTATTGAAGGTTAAAGACATTTATTTCTTAGCTTTTAAAAGCCTTATAGGGAAGATTTCGTGGCTTGAACCTATCTCAAAGTGTAAGGAATACAAAAAATAACGCTATACACACTTGTATTGATTAACTTTTATAGGATACTAGCTGTGCTTGCGACTTTGTCCGTGTTGAACAGTTATTTAGAACACCGCGTCCTCCTTATAAATTATTTTGTTACCCACGATGTCATCCATGTCTCATCGTTCTGGCAAATTAATCTTTAAATATATATTGTCGCGCACATTTTGTTAGATCAATTAAAGAAAAATCATTCTTTCGTAACTTTTTTTTTATCAGGACTTTGAAATTCGGAAATCTACTTTATCATGAATGTAAACGGTAGACCGAAGAGTCCGTCATAAAATAATTTCATTAGTAGAAATGTACGTATTGATTGATTGAATAAGGGATTTATTGGTAAGCCTTGTACCTTTCTTTTGTTTAAAGATTTTTATTTACTTTCATAAACCACAATAACCTAATTTTGTCTATAAATTAATGATATGAAACAATATCAACCTACTAAGTTAAGATTTGTTTGCAGTTTACGCGAGTATAAAACATTTAGGAAAACACTTTTAACTGTTTAAAATACGAAATATTTTAGTTAACTTATTTACAATATATTTTAACTACAGCCAGAAGTTATGTATAGTTTGCAGCAGCCGTGATCGTTGGGACCATCCTAAGACCTGGTGGTTCAGTGGAGCCCCTGTTGTGGCATTTTAAACCGTATATATTTTGTGAAGTTCTTTGTTACAATTGTCTAATAAAATACTGACGCAATCTTATATAACGAACATGATAACTTGTTTAACTAGATCAAGTTATAATGTTCACTGGTCTGTAACCTACCTATTTAGATGTACTTTACCTACACAATCTTGTTTATTACTAGCTGACAAACATTTTGCCATAATATGAAGTATTTCGACGAAATTTAAGTTTAATAAAAAACGTTTCTTGTGTGTTCTATAGTCTTAAGAGATAGACATATATTGACGGAACATTTAGATTATTGAAAGAAAGATAATTCTTTTATACATATTTTTAAGCCTGAAGCCTTCCTCTATGGACTAGCTAAAACAAAAATATTTTTTTTATTCGAACCAGTAGTTCCTAAGAATAGCGCTTTCAAACATACTAACTCTTCAACTTTATAATATTAGTATAGACAAGTATTATTATATAAATTATAAAATTAGGAATATTTTAACCAGTATAATAGTGATTATCGTTTTTCATTACTTATTTAATTGTAAAGGAGCTTATAACCATAATTATTTGAGCTTTAAGTAATATTAGTTTTATTATGTCTACTTAAAGAAATTACTTACTTACTTAAAGAATTATCTAAAAATATTAATTACTATTTCTTTTAACTCTAACTTTTAACATTTAACGTTCTAGAAGTATTTTATAAAACCTAAGAGAATTAACATTTGTTTTTTTAATTAAGTAGAAATATTAATGGTGCGTAAATAATTTGTAGGATAAGTCTACTCTAGATAATTGTCACAATTGGAACTAAATAACACAAAAAGGGAATAAATGACATATGATTTGATTATATTACAATTAATATGCGTAGAACGGAACGCTGTAGTTGCCGGTTCCAGTACTCACCGTGTCGTAAAGTTGTTTCTGTCTAAAATCGATTTTTAATTATAATACACAAATATAAAATAATACACACAACTTTTCAGCGAAAGGATAGCAACGTATACAGACAAAACTGTATGTATAAATAAATTGAGAAGATTACTACCACTACTTTGATTAGGTGCGGGATATTGTTCACAAAATGAGCAAAACTACGGAACGCTGTGGTCGTCGGTTCGATTCTTGGTCGAGTCATATTTTTTTATTATTTAAAATATTCAACCATTACTAGCTCTGCCAGTGACTTCTTCGTGGAATGGTTATTTCGGGCATCAAAATATGTTTGGGAACCTCCTTCTCTTTATCAAATGTGGCCTACGATGACTACCGCGCGGTCGTTCTTGTAAGTCATTCTTAAAAGAGAGACACACAATGTCGCAGGCATTTTTTAATAATTTAAATTCTTTCAGACATATTTTTTGAGTATCTGAAGCAGTTTTCGCAGCGTACGCAACACAACTCTTAAAGAAGCATATTATATCCGCTTGTTACACATTTCCCACTGTTTCTTCGCTCCTGTTGACCACTAAGTAATATTGCATAGCTTTTATAGCCTCGATAAATGCTCTAACCAACCCAAAAAATATTTTTCAATTCGAACCAATAGCTCCTGTGATTAGCGAGTTCATTTACTAGTATAGATTTTAATAGTCTGGTGTACCTGTTAAGCAATATTATATCGATTACAATAAAACCAGTTACGGCAAAGGTCACTAACAATGTACAATGCGGTCAATTAAGTGGTATGCGTAAACGTACTTTAAAGCAAGGAAAATTATTCCATACTATATAGTAAAAAAATAACCTCATGCGCACGCGCATATATTAAATGCTTCAAGAACACATTAGGTAGGAATGTATGATTTTATCTTTAAAATATAGTTAGTTTAGAATATTCTTAGTATTCGATAAGCGCGGGTGAAACAATGGTGCGTAGCTAGTAAATAGGTGAAATCCCTTTTTCCCTATATGGGGCATGGAGCAGGTACATATTTGGGCCTACTTCATTGTTACAGAGATTCCCCGCGATTTTAACCTAGGTTTTCTCGCCATTAATGTAAGCTACAATCACGTTTATTTATTGAGCCACGGCTTGGAATGGTTAAATGCTTGTTTATATATTTTATAGCTGGAGTAATTCACCCTCTATCATGTGAATCCCTTGCCTGCCTATCTTCAGCAATAAAATAAGTTACAGTAGTTAACTTCTAAGACCTTAATTACATTAATAAAATGTTTATTGCAGGTGTAGGCCTATTATCGCGGAAATTAGTTATATCCTTATCACCGATCAGTGAATTGTCAAAAAATGAAGATGGTTCGTATTCTTTGACGATGACAACTCCTGTTAGAAAGGTGGTGACGACGTTCCGATTAGGAGAAGAGTTTGATGAAGAAAGACCGGATGGTGTCAAAGTGAGTTCTTAAGGCATTCTTTCTTGCCCGAAAAGTAAATTATTTATAATTAAACTGATTGGGCTCACGAGCAAAAAAAATATTTTTTACAACTACCCGCAAATTAGAATAAATTAAGTTTTGAATACTGTTAATATAGCTTTGTAAATAATGCTTTTGAAACATATGCATTTTTAAGTGATCATTTTTAAGCCATAAAAATATATTTAAAGAAAAAAAAATAGCTTTTGTTTTTATAAAAAAGAAGATAATTTCAACTTAAAATGGTTTTAAACCCTTTAAAATCACAATACATAAAAAACGTGACTCAGGACTAGTTATCGCAATTCGTGCTGTGTAATAAATAAGGATATGTAGGTAGTATAATGCATTTACGTCACCTTACAAAGGTAGATATAATAGATACTTTTATCTTATATATATCATATAGTACCCCTATGCAGAACCGGATTTAGATGTGTTGTGGGGCATAAAATTTAAAATAAAGTAAACATTTCTTCTCAATAAACTTTTTTAATACTTAAATAATTTATTGTACTATATATTATTGTTTTAACATATATAATTGAAAAATAATAATTTCTTTGTTGTTTTTGTAATAAAAAAAAACCCTATACTGGCCCCGAGATGGATGTTAACCGGACCGGCGAGCAAGTGTCTCTTTTGTGAATCACTCTCATATTGATATTTTTTCTAAGCTAAAAACTACGTACGAATCAGATGTTGAACCAGATTTTAGTTATCAATGCAATTGGAAATAGGAATTCCTGTTATTAGACCTCAACAAGAATTAATTTTTTTTTTAATTATTATTATTTATTTATTTACACACAAGTTTAACATATTTAATACATATTGATCTGTTAACACTAAATTCTATTCAAACTAATACTTAGTAATTACACATTAAAAAATAAAAAAAGGTCTTCCCTATGTTACACAATAAACTTAAGGTATATTTTATATTGTATAGATTCACTATAAAAAGAAGAATTACATAGTAGTGTTCAGACTCTAGGAATGAACCATTGGTTAACTACATACTTAGTAAATTACGTCTTAATTCACTTTCAGGTTAAGTCACTTATGACAATAGAAGGCAATAAGCTAGTTCAAGTACAAAGGGATCCGAGTGGAAAAACGTCGAAACACGTCAGGGAATTCAAGGACAATACTTTGACAGTGGTAAGGAAGATTTTATATACAATTGCGTCTTCAAGCTTTATAGTGTGAAGACTTATTAGAAATTAGGCACAAACCTTACTTAATTGAATAAATAATTGAAAGTCAAAATTTGCAAATATTACAGCAGAAACAGTAATTCGCAACATTGCTCATGTATAACAAAACTATATGAAAGAACTTAACTACAAAAATCGTTGAGATACGTACTGTCAAACTATTACTATGGTACCACCATGGTACTATAGTAATAGTTTGACATTCTATAGAAAGGAATTGGCAAGACTGTTTCGTGTTGTCCATGTTATTTTTACCTTAAGTATTATCTGTAGTTTACGTAACACTTTTAACGGTTTAAAACGCGAAATATATTTGTAAACTTATTTTCAATGTAATATACAATATATTACCCCAAAAATTGTGTATGAAAGAATGATTCCTCTATCTTTTAAGATTAACTTGCAACGACAAGAAGGGACGCGCGCTTAATTTTTTAAAGATGACGGGATTTGCAAAAACTAATTAGGATGCCCAAAATAACGATTCTAGCGCACGAGGTCGCTGGCACAGCTAGTATATGATACGTGGCGAGACCTTTCTCTCGTACTTTAGCCTCTTGAACCTTGAAAGCAAACATTTTTTTCGTCCGTTTAATTTTAGTTTTATTTATTTTCAGATATCCACCGCTGAAGGCTGGGACGGCACGTGTATAAGAGTTTATGAGTCAATGGATTAAGTTTTTATTTATAAGTACTTATAATACTATGTAGATATTGTATAAAATATTTGAAAATAAAACTTTTGAAAACTGTTTAAAAATTCAAGTGTATTTTTATAGATATATTTGAATAAATAAAATTACGTAGATCGGTTGTATAGATCGTAGATTCGAATAAAGGCGAAGTTTATTAAAATTTACGCTTAACAACAGTAGAAATTAAAATGACCGAAAAAATAGCTAATCATATGAGTATATTCTTCCTGTTGTTTTTTGGTATAAGCTAGCGCATGTTTAAATTGAAAAATTCCTGTTAGAAATAGACAATATATATAGACATCATAGAGAATATATCTATCGAGGAAGGTTTTAAGCTACAGAATATCACGCTGTGACAGGAGCGTAGAAACACAGGGAAATGTGGTAAACGACAGGGCTTCCGTTGCGTCCCCTGCGAAATCAGTCTTAACCAAAAAAATCTCTTTAAATGATCTAAAAAATGTTCCAGTCTTTTAAGATCGCAAAAACCGTTTCTATGGTAATAAAAATCGGTCGAAACTAATGCATCATTACAAATTATTTGTTCAAGTTGTATCCACATAATAATATTAATCTTGCAAACAATAAAACTTGTGCCGGATCAGCTAGTTCATAATAAGGTCACTAAATGTTAAAAATGTATTTAGGAGCTGTACAGCTTTGTTATCGGACACACCTTTGGAGCATCTTATCTATATACGCACTCTTATGTTATCATGAGCTATGTTTGCTAAAATTTACAGTGGTCAATCTATCTACAGGTACTTATGCACAAAAATATATTTTCGAAATTAAAATTCGATTTTCGATTGAAAAAAAATTACGGCACGGGCAGGGCTTGAACCAGCATCAACAGCGTTCCGTGCTAACTTCGATTTGTAATGCCTTTAAATAAAACACTTTAACGGTTTAAAACGCGATATATATTAGTTAAACTTATTTGAAAATTCTTCCCTAACTTCTTTGGGTCGAAGTTCGAAAAAATGTTGTTTTTTCAAATTAGTTTAACTAATATATATCGCGTGTTAAACTGTTAAAACGTTTTATTTAAATGGGTACTACTCGCGTAAACTACAGACAGTATTTCATATAACGCCATAAGGCGCAACATGTGAAAAATATTAAAGTTTTCAAATAATATAGGTATTTTCTTTTAGTTAGTAATTAGTATGGTGTGATTTGTATTTATAGCTTCAGTCATTGTTATTATGTTTTTAAGCTGTCTGATTCTGTTCTGATTTAAATTGTCTGCAGCTTGTCTCTGAAATCGCTGAAGAACAGTAAAAAACAAATAAAAAAAAATTACCTGATACTTGGTAATGAAAATAACTTAGTTTTTTTTATCAAAGCCATATTTCTATACTAATATATAAAGCTGAAGAGTTTGTTTGTTTGTTTGAACGCGCTAATCTCAGGAACTACTTGTTCGAGGTGTTGGTTAGAGCATTTATCGAGGAAGGCTATAAGCTATAAAATATTGTGCTATGACTAATAGAAGTGAAGACAGCGAGAACTGTAAACGGGGGAAATGTTTCATCTTTGTGGGTTTCAGATGCGTACGCTGCGAAACCCACCCAAAAAATATGTATGAAGGAATGATTTTTCTTTAAATGATCTAGAAAAATGTCCGCGACACTATATGTCTATCTTTTAAAATTTACTTGCAAGAACGACGGGACCCGGAACGATATCGTGGGCAGCTTAAATTTATAAAGATTGTAGAGGTTTGCGAATTTCGAACCCCGAAATTAATATTTTACGCGGACGAAGTCGCTAACACAGCTAGTATCTTTATACATTTATAGACCAAAGTCAGTCTCAGTGCTTATAATATATTGACAGGTTGAAAAGAATTTAGAAAATGAGTGTATTATACACTTTTATGGCCTCTCTTGCAAAATGGGCGCCGATTATAGCTGGGCGGTTATTACAGAAAAGAAAGAAAGGCTAGTGACATTATATCCGAAACGACCTCAACTTTGAAGAAGAAGAGTCAAAAGTACAGTCAGGTTTTCTTATCATCGGAATAATAAATAGATTTCGATAATCACATCACAGAGGTGCCTTGCATTGTGAATGAGTCCAAATTGCACAAATGAAGTGACTAATCTATGCTTATACCAATAAAGCTTTAAAATGATTATTGGATTTGTCAGATGACTTGAAAAAAATTCTTATCAAGAACACTAAAGGTCGTGTTTTGGAAAGGAGAGATGTTCTTTGTATCTAAATTTTGTTTGCTTATCGTTAAGATTGTAAAGTTGTACTTGTTACAAGAACACATTTTCAACGGTTTAAAACGTCTTTAAAAATTCTTGCCCCGTCTCACTGTGACCACGTCTGTTGTGTTAAAATTATTAAAAAAACGCGTTTTAAACCGTTACAAGTCCTTCATTTATTTGTATATCGCGTACCTCCAGACAGTAATTAAATCATTTTTGATGAATTAGTTAAAACTTTAAAAATAATATTAATTTTTAGTTATTTGTCATATGATTAGTCCGCGACGGCAGATCATATGGTCAAGGATTCGACTCCTTTGAAGGGCAAATTATGTTAATTCGGTTTATGAAAATTATGTTAATAAATTTAATATTATAAATCCTTTATATTATTGATCGATGGCAGTGAATGAATGTGTACAGTTAAAAATATTTTAAAACGCGAATCCTTTGTAGTTTGTCTCGTTGAGGCGAGTTAAAAAATTTACAACTTAATTCACATTTTCAACTGTTAAATAGCGTTTTACATAAAGTGCAACTTTCGTTTGAAGAATATGACACAATGACTAATTTATTATATTTTCGCTTTGCGCTTAATTTAGAAGCAATCACATTAAAATATATTCTGGTAAATGTCGTCACCCAAAATTACTCAAAGGTACTTAAAATGACTCAACAACTATAAAACAAAGGTCTGGGATAAATTACTTAATACTTCTTATGCTAAATAAGAAATTACTGATTATACTATTTCTTGCGTCACGAAGTGTAAGAAGTGATAGCAAAAAGAAATTAACGAACCGTACAGGGAAGGCCAAATGTATTGATAATTATATATTTTCCGACCTCATTCTAGATGAACTGACTGACTTAGGTTTTCGGGAAAAACAGCCGCAGACAGAAACTTTCAAGGCAATTGAATAATATAGAATGTACAACAGGACATCGACAAATTATAGTAATGAGTAATTATTTTAGGGACTGTTAAACTAATTTACATTTATATATAGTTTTAATTTAAAAGGTTTTATTTTTGTGCACTGAAAACTACTAAAAAAATAAATTTTGACATAATCATCGTCTTTTATTAGTGTAGCCCTTTCATTTGATACCCTTATTAAGGTTAAGGAAAAACATGTAATCCGCCATTTTGTATCGGCGGCCATCTTAGATTTATAATGTTGTTGATTTTATTATATTCTATTGTCATCTAAATTAAATGTATGTATCAGATTTCAGATCAATCTGACAACGGGAAGGTGCTTAAAATTCAATTTCTAATTTTGCCCCAAATAAATAAAATCCGTACGGGTCGAGCTAAATAAAACCGTTTAGAAATAGCTAATTATTATTTTATGATAGAGCAAGACAGCCACCACTCAATATGCAGATGTCATATGGCTGGAGTATTTCACTTACAATCAAGTGAATTAGAAGCATGCAAAAAATAGACACAGCATTCAATTATGTGGCCTAGATAAAATAGAGAACATAATCTCCTAATCTGGGGCTTTTTAGGAGATGAAAATATGACACTTCGTTAAGTCTATACAATATATAAAGTTAAGACAAGATGACCCAAAGCAAACATGAATTTTTAATAAAAGTAAGAGTTTTTTTGTTACGAGTTCAAGTCACTTAGTACACACGCTTCGGTTGTGTAATTTTATTAAGAAAAAATGACTTATTTTGGCAAAGTGTTTACTCTTGAAAGAAACGAAAATTTTGAAGAGTTTATCAATAGTGTGGGTAAGTAAATAAAGCGATATTCAAAAATAGAATCTATACATTATTAAATGGAACTTCCACGTAACTTTGTTAGTGTGCTTCTCTTGGTCCGTTTTTGGCTATTCTCTTAAACACAGATTTTAATGGGGCTTTATTATAATATGCCTTTATAATTAGTAAACATTTTTTTTTAAACACTTGGATGGGTACAAAGTGTGTATAGTATTTATTTATTTTTATTAAATAATATAACTCATCTCTTACTTAAATTAGTAACTATACAAAACTGTAATTATGAGACTCGTATCCTGGTTTTTGTATCTGTATATAACAGGACGTTCTACCAAATTATTTTACAAAATCAAACTTCATTATTAACATAAAGATTAGATTTATATTACTTTTAGCTGTCTATTTTATGAAATACATTTAACATGGAATCTCGAGCACTTATATTTATCATGATTTAGATGCAGCAACCATTTTGTAAACATTTTACGTATGACATACATTTATTTATTAAAAAAAAAATCTAAGTAGATCAATGGTAAAAAAAATAGGCATTCTCTATGCTAAAGATGTTATTTTCATGTCTTAAAGTACAAATACAATTATGTATTAAATTATTCCCTTTCTTAGTCATATTTTGGCTTCAGGTCTGCCATCAGAAAAGGCTGAACTATCTACGAAGACTAAACCTTCCTTGAAGTTAGAAAAGGATGGCGATACTTACACTCTAACTGCTTTCTCTGAAAACTTTAAGCGAGAGATCAAGTTTAAAAGCGGCGTTGAATTCGACGAAGAGATAGTACCGGGGACAAAGGTACGATTTGCATTAAAGGTTAAAAGTATGATATCCAGAAAAACTAAGAAAATATCTTTAAACTAAAATGCACTGTTTCGTAACAACAAGATGCACTGCTTCGTAGCTCGATTGTCTAAGCAGAAGAACATTAAGCACGTCACGACAAACGTCTGATCAAGTGTCAAATCTGAGCCTGTAAATAAAAATTGGTTATTGAAACGGACATAGAAATGTGGTCGCTCCATGTCCCAGAGTGTAAAACGAAAGCGATAAAAACTAATTCCTCTAACCTATTTATCTAAATATGAAATCTAATATATAGTGTAGTTACTTTAAACAGAAGATTTTATTTGTTCGAATCTTGCACTAACATACATATACAAACGCAATAAATACAGTTTCGAAAGATACAGTAGTCTAATCCACTTTAAACATCAATTGAAGAAAGAGACAAAATACTGTCTGTCTGTCCCAGGAAGACAGAGTATAATTTGCATTATTCTAGGTGAAGTCTACCATAACTGCGGAAGGTGATAAGCTAACTCATGTGCAGGAGACAGCTGACGGAACTGCTACGTATGTGAGGGAATTCTCAGACAAGCAAGTAGTTGTTGTAAGTAATCTATCAAAACCTAATGTATGAAATGAGAGCCTTAAATATGTTAATTGATAAATATGCCTTTGTGGTCGATTTGAAAGAAATGAATACTAAATGGTTGCGTCTAAACTTCTATAGTCAGTCTTGAAATTTATTTATAACCAAAACATAGTTATTTTTTTTTTATATATTGGGATAATAAATAGCTAAGATAAAGGATGACTTAGCGTCTACCCAAATACAAACAAATGTTGGATAGGTGGTTTGTACCAGCAAGAAAAATTATTGGGTATAAAAATATACCAAGTATTTTGTGTAATATAAATGCAATGCAGAACCGTATTTTAAAAAAAGGACTATACAGTGTAAAGAGCAAAAAGATCAAGTGATTAAATTTAAAAAATCCAACTGACCAAAAAGCTACCTCCACATTCTATACGAGTTAAGAGTTAAAACGGTATCAAGAATACTCCCAAGGAACTAGTACAAACCATATACTACTACTATTATTATATATATACTATTATTATTATTATATATATACTAGTATAACCATAACTTTTGATTGTTTTAAATAAAACCTAGAAATAATTATTTAAATAACAGTTAAGGTATGTTGCCTAAAAATTAATGACACATAAAATTTTAAGGCTTTATAAGGATCCGTTTTGATTCTATTATTTTAATTTTTAAACGTAACTTTTTAATGTAAATATCTTTTATTTCCAGACTCTAACGAACACTAAATGGAACGGTGTAGCGCGGAGATACTACAAAGCAATTTAAGAACGGTTGAAGGTTCGATTTACATTATGTGAAGAATAAATCTTGTTTTATAACAAATTGTATTAACGATGGATTAAATAGCTAAGCAAAAATTGTGATTGTTTTTATATTTACATGTCATATTGGCAATTTTTCTCAATCTTTGCAGGTAAAACAATTTTAACGGTTCAAAAGACAAAATTATGTATTTATAAGTTAATTGCAAATTGTAAACAATTAAATTATATTGTATATTGTTTTAGTGCATTATCAAAGCGGTTCAATTGTTCTTCTGTGGTTGAGTTAGAAAAGAAAATTGTCTGTTTTAAGCAGTATCTTCGTGTCACCTATGTAATTCCGGCTAAACTCAGTGATAAATTATAAAATCGAGTTTGATAAGTATGATTAGTGAACGCACCTCAAGATAGTGAAAATGACCGGTGGTAGGGCTGCGATGCATTGTTTAATGAAGTTATACAGGAAAACTTTAGCAATTCGCATTCGGAGAAAATAGAAAGAAAGACCCAGTTTAATAATTAAAATATAGTATGTTAATTTAAGGTTTCTTATGGATTCAAAATTTAAAGGTTACGCTTACACTTGGGCGTGTACTTTAAATATTCATCGTAAAACTCAAACTTTTTGACATATTATACTGATGGGTACGACTGTTTAAAGCATTCATTATTATTGCTTGCATTTTAAACCGTTAAAGTGTTGGATTATTTTTTAATGGCAGGTCAGAGATGCAGGAGGAATCAAAGAAAATAATTCTAACAGGACACTTCAGAGGGTGCTTTGCTTGCAAAAAACAGTATTTTTGTGTATTCTTTGTATTTTTTATGGGCGGATTAAATGGTTTAATTTGATTTGAGAATTGCGACATTCTATTGAGTATGGGGGCTTCCAAAGTCCCGGGCTAAAACTGAGTTGAAATGAGACTTTTATAACAATATTATATTAGATAATGCATATTAGATAACATTTAATATTCATAAAATCGTTTTGGAGTGGAACTCTGGACGTCAACTGTGCGCAGATGACTAAATTTAAGTAGTGAGCAAGCGATCCTTCCGAAAATCTTTGGGCGAGGCCCATGTCCAGCAGTGAACACTGAACGACTAAAATAATATTTATTTTATATATGTATTAATATGACGACAAAAACATTTACCCGGGATTTTCATCTCTGTTTTAAATATTTTTTTATAAAATATAATATTTTTTGCTTATCTATGAATTTTTGACAGCCCTAGATAATTATCAGGTATTTATATAAGCTGAGGTATTAAGTGTTAGCGTTTAATTGTGTTTCGCAATCCAAAACTGTTAATTCACAATGGCTTTCTACGGAGTCCTTTACAAGCACGACAGCAATGAAAACTTCGAGCCATTCGTCAAGAGTTTAAGTAAGTTTCTTAATAATTATTTTGTGATAGTAACTCTTTGTTAATTTTTCATAAATGTACAATAATTCAGTTATTCAGTCAGTTGGCTCCATGATTTTAATAAATTTCAGTAAATTATAAATTATCTTTTGTTAACGCACTTGCATTTGCAGTGTTTAGTCCCGGTAGTACATAGTCCAGACAGTATTGGTCCACATAGTAACTAGTTGCAAAAAAAATCCACAACTGTATCTTACTCCATAATAAGTGAACTGGAATTAAATACTTCTATAGTTTACGCGGCTAGACCACGGCTGCTGCGGCTTTCAAAGTTTAGTCACGGACCAAAATATTTAAATAAAACACTTTAATGGTTTAAAACGCGATATATTAGTTAAACAGCTTTGCAGCAGCCGTGGTCGGGAGACCACGCTGCTGCAAATCATCCGAAACGTCGGGCCGAAGTTAAAATTCATTTTCAAATAAGTTTAACTAATATATCGCGTTTTAAACCGTTAAAGTGTTTTATTTAAATGAAGTGGAATTGCTAATCATGCGGAGATAAACAGTAGATGTACTCTAAAATTCTCAAAAAGTTCACAATAAATACGAAATAATTTGTATAAAAGACTTGACGAAATTACGTTTTCATTGCACTCGAAAATTCTGTCTATATTGATAAAAATCTTATCACTGTAATTAACTTTAATCTTCGTACCTACCAAAGGTGATCGAAATTGATTTACGATTAAAAAGTTAACTCATTGATATCTGGTTAAATGAAACTCGGTAGATATCTACTAATATTCGTTATCAAATTTAAAGTAGGTATATTTAGTTTTAGAAAATTTTTATTGAAGCTGAAGTTGTGCGTAACTTAGTAATATTTATACATTTCGTTTAGAATAAGTACCTAATTCAAACGCTTTCAACGGTTCAATACCCCAACAACACAACACCTTTACTCATTTTAAATATAAACAAGATGTTTTGCAGCAAACGTGAGCTTTTAAACTGTTAAAAGTGGATTATTTACACTTGTACTACTAGCGTACCTTCTCGTACTACGTAACTTCAGATAATGCTTAAAAGTAACTTTTATTTTATAAGTTAACTAAATTTTCTAAAATTAAAAACTAGTTCAAGTTATAGGTATATTTAATTATTATTTTCTTACATAGGCTTACTTCTATGAACAGACGGCAGCGCACTTAAGCCTTAGGTATCCATAAATTCAATATCGTCATGTAGATTTTCAACGTAACTTTTTCTAGACCTCCCCGACGACAAGGCTGCCGCGTACGCCAGTTACAAACCCTCCCAGAAAATCGAACAAAACGGTGATGAATATGTCATCACCACCATTGCGCCCCAAGGCCCCATTTTGATGAAATTCAAGAGCGGAGTGGAATTCGAAGAGCAAATCTCACCCGATATCTCGGTACGTATCGACTAAAAAGCAAAGTCAGCAACTACCTACTTATTAATAAAGCAATTGACTCCGTTCGTTAAACTATGCCGTGGTGATAGTATAAACTGTGATAGCTAATTTGAAATATCTGTATTTCAGGGCAAAAACACCATCACAGTTGATGGCAACAAAGTAACCCAAGTACAAAAGTTCGCTGACGGCAAAACGATTACATACGTCAGAGAGTACACCCCAGAGAAACTTGTTGTGGTGAGTAGATGATATTTAGTCTTTGTTGTTATTTGCCTCAACTAAGTTATTAAAAATTTCAACGAGTTACCACTTACCAACGTTATAAGACAACAGGTCGCATTGACCAAATCTTGGGGAAAACACTTTTTCAGTCAAACAGCGCATTTTAGAAGACCAGTTCTTAAAGTCTCTAGAGCTCTAGACTTATCTTATTTATTTAGCTAAATTACATATAAATTGTGCTTCTTCCTGATACTGTATTAAAATAGTTTTAATTATTTTCAGACCATCACAGCAAGCTTCTGGGACGGCACCGCTAAAAGAATTTACCTCGCTTAAGTTTCCACCAAAGAATATGCTGTTAAAAATTTATTAAGTTATTGTTTATAAAAAAAATTGTCCTCACAGATTTCGTTTTCATTTAACCAAAAATATTAAACCTAATATATAATTATATGAGTTGGAAATTTAAGGTAAATAATAATCATGATTCAGTTTTTATTTCACGCAATTGAAGGAATACTACCTTGCAACCTTCAACTTTATTACTTGATATTGCATTTATACCTATTAAAATATTATAAGTAATTTAAGGAAAAAAAAATAAGTTCATTAAATTTAACAGAAATGAATCTGTTTTCTGGCATTTTCTGAGATGGGAGAAAGAAAGAAATATATAGTAATATTGATTTCTTAATAGTCCCCCTAGCTGAGAACATAAATCAATAACAAATATTAAGTAGCAAATATACATTTATTACTATAAATTATTATGAAACTCAAGGTTTGTATCACAAAAGACACAAACAGGTTTTAACTCATACAATTCCTCTCTCGCTAATGAACCACAACTCTTGCACTCTAAGTATTCCAAGCTGTTTATTTGAGTAAATGTGACCATACAAAATGTATTTGCATGGCCAGTTTCACATGTAAATCCATCAATTTTCTCATCACAGAACTGACAAGTGTATCTGCTCAATTTGGATTTACAAAACTTAGATACATCATTCCAAAGACTGTTCAAAATTAGTTTCTCTACTGGCTTGTCATACTTTTTGCTATAATACTTGAGGTAGTTGCAGCAACCAAATAACCACTCATTTTCTAAGGGACTTAGATCATTGCTTCTCTGCTTTTTATATAATGTTTTTAAAACAGACGATGCATGCAAAACCAGTAATTCATCTTGGACAATGTCAATTGAGGTCTCCGGTAACATGCCCTTGGACAAGTTTTTTAAAATACCATCCAAACTGCGGTTAAGTTTAACAAATGCTAAATAAATTTTCATTTTGTAGATATCGCTCTTGGCACTCTCATAGAACTCTTTATAGTCTAAATTTGGTAGTTTCTTCAATTTCATAGTTCTGTATCGTAGTAGTTCAAGACAATCCCACATATTTGTCAATCTGGCAGATGAGTTGTTGTTTATTAGGATGTTTTCTTCACATGTATCTTCAAAACTGAAAGTTGCAATAAGCATTTGGAGCTGTTCTTTCCTATAATTAACTTTTCTATCTAAGAGAATCATGTGACAGAGTACACTTTGTGGAGAAAAGGCAAGACCATAAAGCTCATGATTTGCATAGGTCTCCTTAAGTGGTATTTGTTTAAATTCTATTTTCAATTCATTATTGCTTATACTAGAATTTACCTTATATATTTTTACGCTAACAGTACCTATAAAGAAATCATTCTTGACTTTTGTTACTACTGTAATTTTATCATCATTAATTATTTTGACAGCTTCATATAATAATTTCAAATTTTGGTCAAACACTTGAACAACTAAATGTCTGTGTTTGGAATATATAACTGTTAGTTGCTCCTTAACCATAATGTAATTAATGTCTCTTGGCACCATCCTATCTTTGTACTTCCACAAGACAGTTGTACTTATTTCATCTAATTTATTTTTTTCTATTTTACAAGTTTTCCCAACTACCTCACCTAATATGTTTGCATAAATAAAAAAGAATGTATCATCTGTTATTGGTATCCAAACTAATGATGTTATTTCCTCTGTATCTGCCAGAATAATTCCAATTTTGTCAACTACAAAATTATTGTTTAGCCATTTCACATTCCAAATAATTATAGTACTATTTCTTTGAGCTGTAACAAAATAACATGAGCCATCTTCGTTTATATTTGGAGCCCAACAAATGGCGCTAGTTGTTAGACTATAGACAATATCCCTCAATCTCTCCATTGCCATGGAACTTTTAGGTTGAACAAATTCTTCTTTTATCATTTGGCTTTGTTTTACAACACTTGAGAAGTCTATAAGGCTTATCCATAGTTTCCTATGTAGTCCAAAGAACTCCACATTCCCAACTGAATTTAGGATTGCTAGAACACTCTGCTTATTGTGGATTAAATTACTTGGGGACCATTCAAACGCCATAATATTAGTCATCTGATCTTTTAATTGGTCACTGTATGGCCATAAGTACCGATCTGTGATTAAATCAACAAGTTCAATATTTTTTAGTGCCTTAGAAGTAAACTTTATTAGAAATTTAGATGCATTACTATTTTTTGGACACGGTATAGCATACTCAATGAAATCCATTTTTTTATCCAAACAACACATATTATAAGCGTACTCATAGATGTGCAATTGTCTATCTCCACGTAATGCGATACAGAAATCATTATTGCTGAATGTACTTTCCTCATGTTTGTTTATATTCACGTATCTCCTAGATATTTCATGTAACATTTTACCTTATAAAATTATCAACTTAATTTCATGTCTTCATAACCCTCTGCAGATATATTATTGGTATCTCTATAAAGAATTTGTTATTATAGTATCTGATACTGTCTGTAGAAATAAATATTAAGTCTCACAAAAGAGCAAGATACTTAATGTGATAAAATAAAGATTTGGATTACTCGATAAAATAAATATTCCAAATTTATTGTTATTTAAATACAAAATATTACAATATAATAAATATATTACTCAATATATCAAATCAAATAGTGTCAATTTTGACAATTGACAATAAAAATAGTGCTATTGTCTGTACTACATAACATTTTTTTTATTTGATGGCTGTATAATATTTTATTTGCACAGAATATATCCATCAGATTCATCAATCCATCTATTTGTGACGGCATGTCAATTGTCATAACAAACGCACATGTTTTGATAAATTGTAAATGAACCTCTCGTTAATGTATATTCCTATGTGTTTAAAGAAAGAAAAATAAGATTCTGAAAAAGAATGTAAATAACCATTATCCTATATCCAAAAGACTAAGTAGCTCTTTGCTAGTATCAATAGAAAAACAATATTATGTATTCAGCTCATGAGAACTGTTTTATATTTTTATTCCCTCTTTAAAAGCTTGTTAAAAGAAATATGGGTAAGAATAGGTACAACGCGAAAGCTCGACAGGTTGTAAAAACAAATGTTGATAATACCAAAACAAATGAGGTATGTTGTTAAAGATTTTTTTGTTTTTTTAGGGGTTTTTTTTTTTTTTTTTTTTTTTACTTGTGTATTGTTTGTGCTAAGTGATGTGTAAAATGTACTGTTTCTATATATATATATATAAAATGCAACAAAATTCAGATAATAGTGTGGGATCTCATGGAACATTGGGCAGAAAATCTTGTTTCTGTTTTCCTATTCAGGTTTCATTTAGAGAAAGAACATTGAATGATCCTGTGCTCTAATAAATATTTTTTCCCTAGAAAACCCTAATACTAATCTGACCTAGTACATAATCGACCCAATGAATTTATTAATAAACCACAGAGAAACAAACTTGACCAAAGTTGCAAAGGTAACATGTAGATTTCTTTACTTTTAGATTAAATTAGAATTTGTCTCTAACGAATATGGCTCAGAAGATCCTAGTAACTTATTGGCATTGCCGTCAAAAAAGAGGCAAACAAAAGTTGTCTCAGAGAAGAAAGAAAGAACTAGGTTCCTATCTAAGGCGCAGAGAAAAAGATTAGAGAAAATTCTTGATAAGAAAAAGAAAAAGGAAAATGTAAGTACATATTATTTAATATTAATAAAGACAAATTAATATTTTATTCTTGCTGTAACTTTATCTATCTCTATTAAAAATACATTAGCTAAAAAATTTAAAAAGGGCAAAGAATAGAATTAACTACAATATTCTTTAGAAATAAAATAATCAAATAAACCTTTTTCCTTTTTTTTTCTTCTAGAGAGCATCTTTGTTAGCATCATTATCTGAAGTACAAGCATCAAAAGATGAAGTGAGCCAATTAACAACAATATCAACTATCCAAACACTTGGTCTTCGAAAGTTAACAGAATTGGATTTGGAGACTTCTAATTACAAGAAACAAAATAATGAACTTTCTGAAACTAAAAAATACAGCAGTATAGCAGGTATTTGCCTATTTTCAATATAACAATGTCAGTTTCTTTAATTTCTTAAAATATATACCCTAGACTACAAAAGCTAAGTGTAGCATATATTCACCTTACGGACTTAAGTAAACAACAAGTACATATTAATATATACCAAAATAATAATGCATTAATGACATTAACAGAGAATATATGTTCTTTTTCAGGAGCTAAAAAACGACTGCGTCTCCTCAGGCTAGAGAATTGTGAAAATGTCAAAAAGAGAAAATATGATCCAAATACAGTTGGATTGGAAGAATCTTCTGATTCAAGTTCAGATTTTGAGGAAGATAAAGGTGAAGAAGATGGACCAGTCATAGAACTTACCAGGCCTGAAGAAGTAGATGGGTCAAAAGAGGAAAATGGAGAGCAAAGTGAAATGGTAGTAACAAAGGTTGACTTAACAAACAATGAAAAAGAAAGTAAAATAAATATAACAGATAAAGAAGATGTTAAAGATAAAAAGCCTCTGTTAACGCATGAAACCATCCACATAGCTGTCAAAAGAGATCCAAAAATTCAAGTAGCAAGGTTGAAATTGCCGATTTTAGGTGAGGAACAGAGAATTATGGAGTTGATCAACGAAAATGAGTTTCTAATTGTTGCTGGAGAGACAGGTAATTTTTGATTTCACAGCTTATCCAGTTTAAATGTCACGACTTGAACTGCACTGATTTGAAAATTCATTATCTTAAATTGAGAACTTGTATATAGACCATGCCCTGCGGCACTACTATACTCGTATACAATTTATTCTATTTATTAAATAATCCAATAGTTAAACTTAAATTGAATATTTAGAAGTAAAAAAAACATTATTTCTTAAATGTAAACATATCACACTATATTGAAGGTGCGCATGCCTTTATTTTTTTTATTAATTACTTGAAAAAAATGTTTTTTACTACTTCATATTTTTTTACTATCTTTTGAATAGGTAGCGGAAAAACAACCCAGATACCACAATTCCTCTATGAAGCTGGATATGCGGAGAAGCAAATGATAGCGGTGACTGAACCGCGAAGAGTCGCGACGGTTGCCATGTCAGCTCGTGTGGGCCACGAGCTAGGACTTACCAGCAAGGAGGTCTCGTATCTCATGAGGTTTGAAGGAAACGTCACTAAGGAAACGAAAATTAAGTTTATGACAGATGGTAAATATATCCTTTTTTATGATAGAGGAGGATGGAGAAACATTCTTCAGGCTTCACTTGCTAATAAGTGAAATATGCCATGTATATAACATCTAAAAAAAATGTGCTGTCATCCTATTTAGGTTTTGGATATTCGGAAGCCTGGAAAAATGTTTCTCTTCCTCATTCTTATTTTATCACTATTCCTAGGGTAGTATTATACGACAAAGTAATTTATCAAACGTCTGCTATAAAATATTAATTATTTGCTTTTTAAAATATTGTTGCAAAGCTTTTTTAATTGTGAATAGGTTGTGTGTCTATTTAGATATTTATAAAGTTTGTATATGTAATGCCTTCTAAGTGATGCGATAAAAAATTATGTTTCAGGTGTACTTTTGAAGGAAATTCAAACTGATTTCCTGCTAAGCAAATATTCTGTGGTTATTATTGACGAAGCGCACGAAAGGAGTGTCTATACGGACATTTTATTGGGTCTGTTATCGAGAATAGTGCCATTACGAAGAAAACGAGGCACTCCACTCAGACTTATTATCATGTCTGCTACACTTCGCGTCGAAGATTTTACTGAAAACACTAGATTATTTAAGGACCCACCTCCGATGATAAAAGTAAGTTGTGTCTATTTGTAAGCTTAATCAAAATATATAAGCGATTAATATATAAATATTATGAGTGTATTAAACTATATACGCAAAACAAAAGATCTACTAAACACTATTTATAAAAAAAACGCTTATAAAAGGTTGATGATGGATCATGGTGGATGATGATAATAACGCCATCTATTTAAATAAAACACTTTAACGGTTTAAAACGCGATATATTAGTTAAACTTATTTGAAAATGATTCTGTCTCCCCGTGACCACGGCTGCTGCAAAGCATCCGAAACGAGGGGCCGAAGTTAAAAATCATTTTCAAATAAGTTTAACTAATATATGGCGTTTTAAACCGTTAAAGTGTTTTATTTAAATGTGTACTACTCGCGTAAACTATAGACAGTATTTAACACCATCTATATTTACTTACTTAAATAAGCTCGAAGTTCTATAAACATACATCTCATTGCATTTACATGTATTAATTATATTATGAGAGATATTTATATAATTTTTTGTTTATGTTGCTGGTTGACTTTATTTATGTATTGTGCAGATTGATTCAAGACAGTTCCCTGTAACGGTACATTTCAACAAAAACACGTACGACGATTACTTGAAGGAAGCTTATAAGAAGGCAGTTAAAATACACACGCGGCTACCAGAGGGCGGTATTTTGATATTCGTGACTGGACAACAAGAGGTTCGTATATATTCGCTTAAGTACACGTACCTGCACGCAAAATATTCAAATAAAAACGAAATATACAATAGGTACTACGAAAATCTTACTATTTTTCGATGAAAACCAAATTATTATTGGTTAGATCAATAGCCTTTTTAATGATGCATTCGTAGGAAGGTTAGTTCACGATATTTTCTTACATTATACACTCATTCCTATTAAAAAATGTGTAAAACCTCTACCCCCCTTTATATAAGGAGAAAATGATGATTGGAAGTGTCACTGCTTGCAGGTAAACTATCTGGTGCGAAAATTGAAAGCGTCGTTCCCATACCGTAAAGATGTAGATTACTCCAAGTTGATTACAAAGAAAGCAGTCGACGGAGTTGACGCGGCTCTTGATTCAGAGCCAGATGATATCGAGTCTGATGATGACGAGGTAAGAATGACCTTCTTTGTTGAGCTTCGCACAAGAACTGATTATGTCATTTACGAGTGATCGAGAAATGAGAGCAATTTCGACGGACACACAAAAAGACTTTTACAGCCTACCTGTATTAGTATGATTCTTAAGTACGTCTTACATTTAATAAATAAATGTTAGGATATTATATATTAATTAATTTTCTTAAGCTGATGATGATTTTTATATTCAAGGTGGAAAAAGAAATGAAGCGTGCAAGAAAGGCAAGAAAGAAGGCAAAGAAGAAAGCAAAAGAATTGCCGAAGATAAATTTAGATGACTATGACATGCCAGAAGATGATGGTCAAGCTGACTTGGTGGGACGTGATGATGACAGCGAAGGACACCTAAGTGATTCAGGTACAAAATTAAGTTACTTGTACTTTCAAATTGTTTGGGAAGATTTAAAACAAAACGGGACTCAGATGACACTAGCGTAGCAGTATATTTTAACAAGAGAGACACTCCATCTTTTTATTTACCCGTGACCTAGGATGCTACAAAGCCTCTTTGATAGATACCCGAAATATATTCGTTAAACCTTTTATATAAGGAATATATTTCGGGTCTTAAACCGTTAGTGTTTTATTTAAATATGTACTACTATACACTAGTATTTACATCCTACTATATTAATCTCCGAGTATTTTAATATTTCAGATATAGAGGAGAACGTGCTTGCGCCAGAGATAAAATCTTGCCGTCAACCTCTTTGGGTGTTGCCTCTATTCTCTATGCTCAGCTCGTCTAAGCAGGCACGCGTTTTCGCGGCACCCCCAGTGGGCGCCAGGCTGTGCGTTGTCAGCACCGATGTCGCTGAAACGTCCCTCACAATACCAGCCATCAAATATGTCGTGGATTCCGGGAAGAAAAAGATGAAGTAAGTTTCAAAAATAAAAAATAATACCCGAATTTGTTTAAAGGACAAGAGATTAAAGAGCATTTGCGATTTTTAACTGAATTTTTGAATTATAAAGAGACTTGAGTACACTCATACTGAGTAGTGGCGCGTTTTATGTAGGTGCTTTGTTGATCCAAGATCAATCATCACCATTGAATACAACACTTAACGGTTTAAAACGCAAAATACTTTAACTAATTTACAATTTATTTTAATCCACGTGGAAACGAATATATTTCGAGTTTTAAACTGTTAAAGTATTTAAATGTGTACTACTCGCGTGAAGGACAGGCAGTGTCAATAAGTGTTAATTAATTCTAATATTACCATTCAGATTGCGAACTTCTTTCACTATAATTACTAATGACTTAAAAAAAATCTAAAATTGTCCATAATGCACAATCACGTTATAGAGTTTACGACCACACCACTGGCGCAAGCGCATGGCGTGTAGTATGGACATCCCAAGCGAGTGCGGAACAAAGGGCGGGGCGAGCTGGGCGTACAGGGCCTGGCCATGCCTACCGCCTGTACAGCACTGCTGTGTTTCAGCACGACTGTCCATCACATCACCCCCCGGACTTATGCCGAAGACCAGTTGATGATCTATTGCTGCAGATGAAGTGTATGGGCATAGATAAGGTTAATACGATATTTTTATTTGATCGAAAGTTGTAAATAATTTGTTTTAATAAATGAAACATACTAGTTATTGAAGGATAAAAAATGTCCCTTGCTACTAGAGTTTACTAACAAGAATGTGAACTGGCAAGTGTTATGAAGAATATCGAAATAGAGGGAGAGAAAGAGACAAATATAATGTTATACTAGTAAAGTAATGTAAAAATTATTTTAGGTAGTGAATTTCCCATTTCCTACGGCACCAGATCGAATGCAGCTGCGCCTTGCTGAGAAACGTCTCGAAGTTCTAGGAATTTTGGAAAAGGCTAGAAACAGTACTAGGAGGAAGGATGATGAAGAGGTAACATAACATTTTTAAAAGTTGTTTAAAAAGTTACTGGTGGTAGTTTGGCATTAAGTAGGAGAGGCCAGGCTTCGAATCTAGGTTAAACCAAAAAAAATGTTTAGGTTGGATGGGGCACTAAAATCTGTTTTGATCAGTGAAGACTGTAAAATGAAGCGTGACGGTAAAAGGAGTCCCGGCGAGTTTCTTGCCAGTTCTCGTTCGTTCTATGCCCTTGTTTTGAGAACTGGTGGGAAATTTAAATTAAGAATCTTAAGGTTTTAACTGGTGTGACGTTACTAAGTGTAGTAGTAACCTACATGATAAAAATATTTTTGATTCTGACAAATGACTTCGGGCCTACAATTAAATGTTATTAAATGAACTGACTATAAGCTACTTGGATTTTTAAGCTGCGCTGTCATAATTATAAATAAGTAGTAGCTAAGCTAGGGCCGAAAGCTATAACTGACAATTGTTCATTTTAATTTTTAGGTATTAAAAGTGACCCCACTGGGCAAAGCTGTGTCAGCATTTCCTCTTTTACCGCGGTACGGTAAAATGTTGGCGCTCAGTCATCAGCAGAACCTGCTGCCTTACTCGATTGCTCTAGTAGCCGCACTCACTGTACCAGAGGTGAGTATCTCCTACACACAATTGGGAACTAAAAATTATATGCATCGATTATAAATTAACAAAAATTATAACACGAACCGGACTTGAACCGGCGTTCCGTGCTGTTGCTCAGTAATTGAGCTACCGTGTTTATAACTAAAATATTTGTTAAAGCGTTCAATATAGTAATTTATTATCAAACTTTATTTGTAATAGGTTCTTTTATAATGCTTTTATTTGCGTTTCAACCTATATTTTTTTTAATATATACTGTACGTGCGTATTATTTTCCTTTGTCAAATATAGGGCGCTAGAATCGACATCCACAGCAAAAATAATAAATACTAATAAAAAAAAGTTAAGATAGAGGAAATTACACAGGGCTTACTTGATGGTAGGGGAAATACCGCAGCTATAACATGGAAAATACGCTGTCGACCTATTTTGACATTCGATATTCGAAAATCGAAAATCATAAAACTGATAACCGAAACGCGATTAAACTTCACCGCCTTTTCAAATAGGGACGGTAGTTCGTTACCTAGAAGGAATTTCGATATTCTTAACACCCAATTAATATCCAGATTTCTCGAAGAAGTCCAACATGTTTATTAAACAGGTAATGAGCGGTAAGCCAGAATGTTGGCCGGCGACTGGCAACACGTTGCTTCTAGGAGACCCTGGAGTATTGTTAAGAGCTGTGGGCGCAGCGGAATTTGCACATGTCAAAGGTGAAGAGGAGTTGTTCTGTGCTAAATATGGACTTAGGGAGAAGGTAAGATCGTTAAGTCACATCCGTTACTCTTCGTTTACAGGCAATCTACTGTTACTTGTACTAGCTTTCAGTTGATTCTTGTCTGTAGATATAAAGTACTCTTATAGGCTAACAAAAATAAAAAACGAACTGTTCAATAAACAATCAGAAATAATTTAAAACAACTAACTGTTTTTGCATATATTGCATTATAATTTTAAATAGAATATAACACATATTACAATAAACTACTTTTAAATAAAACACTTTAACGGTTTAAAACGCGATATATTAGTTAAACTTATTTGAAAATGATTTTTAACTTCGGCCCGACGTTTCGGATGCTTTGCAGCAGCCGTGGTCACGGGGAGACGGCTGCTGCAAAGCATCCGAAACGTCGGGCCGAAGTTAAAAATCATTTTCAAATAAGTTTAACTAATATATCGCGTTTTAAACCGTTAAAGTGTTTTATTTAAATGTGTACTACTCGCGTAAACTATAGACAGTATTTAATAAACTACTTGATATTTACCGTATCGTTTTAAGAATCACTTACTAATCAATTTTAAAAATCATTGTTCAAAGTGATTTGTTTGTTTATTAACATATTCATAATGTGTATTCTTGTATAATTTAGTATAATTAAAACTGTTTTAAGTATTGCATAGTATGTAGTACTTAGTAAAAATTGTTTTAGGATACATTTTTGTATTGTGCTACACGATGAGGGCGTACAGAAAGCTCTTAACGAGTTTTTGTTCACGCTTTTTATGTATAAATATTATATGTTTGTAAAAATATGAGCAAATAATAATGAAACAATTATATTAGGTACGTGTATGTGAATTTTGGTTTTTCAACGATCCTGATAACTATTTTCGTCAATTGTAGGGGGTAAAGGAAATCCGAAAGATCCGAAAACAACTGACGAACGAAATCAATTTAAGCGTGTCCGGTGCAAATGTGTCCGTTGATCCCGAAATGAAACCACCAGATGAAAATCAAGCCAGGCTGCTTCGTCAGCTGCTCTTGAGTGGTCTGGGAGACCAGGTGGCCAGGAAAATTGGATTGAATGAAGTTAAGGAAGGTGTGCATTTAATAACAAACTAAAGTTACGTTTATTAACACTTGCAACTCACTTATCTGTAAAATTTATGAAACATTTTTTTGTAATCTAACTAACTATGAATGACAAACAGTTTAACAACCCAATTAGCTTTGTATATTATTCAGGGAAGACTTTAAAATTCACTATTTATTTATATACTTTCATAATCTGTATAGTAATGTAAAATATCTCAATGTGTTTTTACGAGTAATAAAATACTAAGATAATCAAAGTTGTGATAAGCTGGCCTTACCGCTTATAGAGGTCTTTCAGGCAATCTTTAAGAATAGATGAAAAATACAATTAAAAGTCTATAGAAGCAGAAAATTAGCAGACGAAGTCCAGCATGTTTCAGTAAGATCATAAAATTTATTAGAAACATGTTGGGGATCGAACCCACATCCATTGATTAGAAAGAAAATAAACTTAAATCATAAATATAATGAATACGTGTAGAGCCAAATCTTCAAGTATATTATAGAATAAATGTTTTACAGGTGAAGACAAGCGGAAATTCAAATACGCGTACCATTGCGGCGAGCTAGACGAACCGGTGCACTTGCATTCCGATTCGATTCTCCGCAAGACGATCCCCGAATGGGTGGTCTACCAGGAGTTGTATGAGACTGGAGCGGAGGGCAGACGCAAAATGGTGATGAGGAATGTGGCGGCTATAGAAGCTGAATGGCTGCCCGTGTATGTCCCACATTTGTGTAACCTTGGTGAGTATTGGTAGAACTGATTTCAAATACAATAGTGGAACTTAATTCATAACTTAGTTACAGATACTGTCTGCAGTTTACGCGAGTAATTTTCAATATAAACATTTTGAACGGTATAAAACGCGATATATATAGTAGTTAAACTTACTACGCGTTAAACTAACTTATATTTTAATTGCGACCCGACGTTTCGAATGCTTTGCAGCAGCCGTCTTTTCCGTAATCACGACTGCTGAAGTATCAGAAACGTCAGGCCGCAATTAAAATATTTTCCAAATGAGTCTAACTATAATATACATCGCGTTTTAAACTGTGTTTTATTTAGATGTGTACTACTCGCGTAATATATCGCGCATATTTCTACAAAGTTAATTATTATACTAATACTTTACTAACCTTTTTCGTCAATTAAAATGAAATAGATTTTAATTTATATAATTTTTTCATAAAAGTATTTTTATTCTGTGACTAAGATTTATTTTTGACAGACCCTAAATATTGATTTACAATTTTTCAAGAGCCGTTATCGGATCCGGAACCTCGATACGACGATAAGACAGGTCGTGTAAAGGGTCACTATAGAGGAACGTTTGGGAAGGCCGGCTGGGAACTACCCTCAGTTGAAATCGATTATCCAGATAAAATTGAACGTTACAGGTACATGACTTTTTTTGCTGTAAGAAAAAGCATGAATTATTTATTTTTCTTTTCGATATAATACTTTTTATTTATTATTTACAATTGCTATTTTTCAAACGAAAGCAGTATGTTAGATAGCTAATGAAAAAATATTTTGTCCATAAATTAAAAAAAAAAATTATAAACGTCCGCGAGAGGTATCAATGGATTGAATGATTGTTAGACACGGCAGCTTCAATAGATCAGACCAGCGGCATGGATCGCTCTGGAGCCGGTTCAAATCGCGCCCGTGTCGTAAATTTTTCTGCAATGTAACTATTTTATTACCATTCGAAATATTAAAATAATATTGCTAATGTCTATTTTTGGCCTGGGACGCAAGAGAGACTGGGTTTGTCATGCATGAGATTAAATATTTATAAATGCTTTTTCATTGCGCAGATGGTTTGCAAGATTTCTCTTAGAAGGTTCCGTGTTTCCGAAGTTAAAGAAGTACACAAGTTCACTTCTATCGCCACCCTCTACTATGATCAAGAGTTGGTCTGGACTGCAACCGCGGACCGAAGTGTTGTTGAAGGCATTGGCTGCAAAACATTGTGGTACGAGGGAAGAACTAAGAAATACATGGCAACACAATTCTAAATGTAAGTCACTATACAGTAATGTACTGTATAGTTTTCGACAGGCAGACGACAACATTTTTGTGTTGGTTTTTAAGGATAGACTTTAGGAACCAATTATTTATTTATTTTATTTATTATTATTTATAAAATACACCACAGAAAATACATAATAATGCAGAAAAAACTTACGTACTAAGTTATATTATTAATATAACTTAGTACGTAATATAATATATTACACTATAATATAGGCCTTGATCAACGCTAGAAATAATTGTAACGTTTATTTTTTAAATACCATTATTTATTTCAGATCTGCTGCCGGAATACATGAAATGGCTCCCAGAATCAGCTCACAATGAACTTACGTTGTTCTGGCCTCCACTATGATTAAGCTTGTAAATATGTAAATATACAGATTTGCACTGACAACAAAATCAATTATGTGTCTTTATTTTCATTTGTTTTTATGAAGAGGCTTCCTGTTTGTAGTAGTTATATTTACGTTTGGTTATTTACGTTTCATTAATTGAGATTATGAAGAATAAAGAAGATTAAAGATAAGAGAAAAAAGTTTAGTATACCATAGCGTAAAATATTACGGAGCAATGGACTGACTTAGTATTGGCTGTCTCTTTCTATGCTCTAAAAGAAAAAATTAAATATATATAAGAATCGTAACTTTATAGTATTATAAGCTTAAATTATATTCTGTTAGCAAAGTAACAAAAAAAATTACATTCTCAAGAGAAATAAATATTCGTACATTTGAAAAATTACGATTTTAATGATGAATATTCTAGCAATGTCCAAAGCAAAAATACAATATTAGGTGTTATGTGACTAACATATTTTACTTTTACCGCCATCGAATAACTCCATGGTTTGTGTCTTCTGTCATAACAATGTAGCTATAAATTTTCTAACAAACTTTTGTAAATAAAGACTAGCATAGCTAGGCTTTAGTAGTAGTAGTATGTAAGAGCCCTAATCCACCCATGTATGTAGGTACACTGACCTTTCGTAAGGTTTTACCATTTGGCGCTCTACTAAGAAAGTTAATTACTCGCTATTCTCTCACACTTCTAGGCCATAGAATTTGGTAGTATACCGTTTATTGATTTTCAATGATATTGGGGGGGGGGGGGGGCATGGGGTTCCCTTGATGGTATGTGAAATACCCCAGCCATATAAAATAGATGCGCTGTCGGCTTATTGTTGCTTTGGGTATTCGGAACATTGTGGAATCCGAATATCCAATCCACATACTGATAGTGAAACAAAAAAAAGCGATTAAATTTCACTTCTTCGTCTGGCCAGTGGTACGTGACCCAGACGAAAATATTCCTACCGCCTATTCAATATCGAGATTTTCAGACTAATGTTAACGTGTTTAAAAAAAATATTAATTGTTGGGATCCAACCCACGACGCGTTGATTATTTATTATACATTACACCAAACGTCAAATGATATATATATGTCATCGATGGCTACTACCCGAATTAGATATGACTCCCGATCGTCCTATATTTGTCTTGTTAGCCTAAATGAGTCTAACCTTTATCTGTCTTATCTGTTTCGCACAATAGAAATTACGATAATGACATCGAAAATTGTCAGTGTCGTTCGGACTGTCGTGGAGCGGACACGCTCATAGAGCTGCGATTAAAATGATTTTGTTAAATACATTAGTATTGTTCTTAGCCGCTAAATATTGTAACGGCTTTGCGTTACCCTTCGAAGGATTGTATGAGTTACAGATTATACACTATAATGACTTTCACGCGAGGTGAGTAATTAAGTTTAATATTGCAAACAATCAGTTAATAAAACCTTCATTTCTTTATACGTTTCGAAGTGTTTGTGACCTTATTTAAAGTAATTTGTCACTGAAGTTGCTACAGATTAATGGCACATAAAAAAGAATACTTAAGTCGGTTGAAACAAAACACTTTAACCGTTTAAAACGTGATATATTAGGTAAACATATTTGAACATTATTTTTACGGCCCGACGTTTCGGATGCTTTGCAGCAGCCGTGGTCACGGGGTGACTAGAAAATATTTTTTTTCTATTTTTGCAAGTTTAAGCAAACCGTTTAAATTTGTACTACTCGCGTAAATGACAGACAATGTTTACTAATTTCGTTTCTAAAATTAACCTTTAGGTATACATACAATCAGTTAAGTAGTTACGGAGATAAGTTAATTAAAACACATTGTTTACACTGATTTATTTCAACAAATCACTTTTTCTTTTATAGGCTAATTAAGTCAACAGTATAAATTAAAAATCGATTACAGATTGAAAAAAGAAGAATACGCCACGGCCAGGATTTTACCGGCATCCACAGAGTTGCGTGCTGTTGATATAACCAATTGAGCTACCGCGTCCGCACGTCATCGTCGATTTTTTATATGATAGTATGTTTATGTTTTAAGATTAACTTGCACGCGGACAACGTCGTGGGTAAAAGCTCAAATTTATAGAGTTGGACATGGGGCTTGCAAAAACCAAAATTGATATCCAAATTAATTTCTACGCGTACAAAGTCGCGTGAATCAGCTTGTCTTAGTATTTAGAGATAATAAGTTAAAATTATACTAATTTAAAAATTATGTTAATGTTTAATATTACGTACCACATATTATGAATTGTAATGAAATCTTATCTCTTTTGTTTAATAATATAACATGCATGAGTAATGCGTTCGACTATTCGTCAAATTTAATGCTGACGAATGCTTTGAGGAAGCCGAACGCACATAAACAATAAGTAGTTATGTACCTAAACTATATAATACTAGCTGTGCCAGCGACTTCGTTCGCATACAATAGTTATTTTGGGCGTCCAAATTCGTTTTTACCCACGACGTCGATCGCGTCCCTTCCCGTCGTTCTGGCAAGATAATCTTAAAAGATATAGATATACTGTCCCGGACTTTTGTTTAGACCATTTAAAGAGGAATCATTCTCTCATACATATTTTTTGGGTATCTTGACCCGTTTTTGCAGCGTACGACTCGGAAACCCATAATGATGAATAAACCTCTTTTTAAAATAATCTTAAATTTATAACTTTTTTGAATTTATTTATCGATAGATTTAAAAACCTCAACTGGCAAATCGGATTGGTTTGACAAAAAGTGAGATGTATTCTTATTGTCTTTTGTTTATAATAAAAAGGTCGAAGCCGTCGTAATTCCTAGTGTAGCTTTATAGTTGTTTCAAAAAAAAATAAGTATCTAGGGGGTAAGGGTATTCCTAGTGTAAATAATTAATACTTAACGTTCTTCATAAAAATCGGTTTAAAGATATATTAGTTAAACTGATTTGAACATGATTTTAACTTCGGCCCGACGTTTCGGATGCTTTGCAGCAACTGTGGTCACGGGAAGACTAAAGATGGAGGATATCTCTGACGTCTAAGTAAAAGATTGCTACGCTAGCGCCATCTGTTCCGTCGAAGTTGGTATTTGGCGAAACTGGCCGGGTCCTTACAGTATAATATAAAAAATATAATACGGGATCCAGATTTTTTTTTCTCTCTGTACTACTGGCGTAAACTATGGACAGTATTTAGTTACACGTTTTGTGAAAATCGCCCATTCTTTACCGATAAGTGCGAAGGAGAACGACCTTCGTCAATCTTGCGTTACATTTCATTTGTAAAACTTTCAATGTTATGTTTATTAAATCAAAACAGAACGAGATAAGGGGCGATGCTCTTTCTTATTAACCAACAAGGTTATGCGAGAGCGGGTTCAAGTCCCGAGAAAATAGTCTCTACGTTTACGCGCGTATACATTTAAATAAAACATGTTAACGTTTTAAAACGCGAAATTTGTAAGTCAACTTATATATTTCGGGTTTTAAACCGTTAATCTTAGTTAACTTAATAGCCTTCGTCCACTCCTTGCAAAGCAACAGAAACGTCGGGTGGTGCTTAAAATAATTTGTAAATAATTTTAACAAGTATATTTCATATGTTTTATGTTTATGTATTTATTTTCTAGTTATGTGTGCATCTATATGCTATAGGGCGCATCTTATCAATTTTTTATCTAAAACTAGCTGTTTCAGCGACTTCGTCCGCGTATAATAGTTATTTTACGAATGCCCACGATCCATGATGTCGCTCGCGTCCAGTCGTTCTTGCAAGTCAACCTCAAAAGGTAGTAATATACAAATAAAACATTCTTTTGTACATCTTTTTTGGGTATCTTGAACGGTTGTCGCTGTGTAGGCTACGGATACCCACAAAGGTTATCCCCGTTTTTTTTCAAAATTTTCCGACCACACATTTTCACAATGACATTAAATCCTCGATAAATGATCTAACCAACGCACTATGAATTTTGCAATTCGAACCAGTAGTACCTGAGATTAGCCCTTTTAAACATACAAAAAACAAACAAACTCTTCACCTCTATATTATATTAGTTAAAGAACGTGTAAGGAAATATGTCATTCGTAATTGTTGGACGTAAACTAAGAACCTAGAGCATATATATAATATAATAAGAATCAAGTAATATTCAAATGGGAACACAACAATAAGTACATTTACAACGAACGTCTTAAATTCATAATGAGATATGTTATTAGTAAATATTTAGACCATTATCATTTAGATATTTGATTTGATAAAAGATTATATATAAATTCAGGCACATATTTAGCATCAGTACATCGATTGTTATTGCCGGATTTTAAGAAAAACATATCTTTAGCGGTTAAACCGTAAAACGCTATAACGCGAAATATTTATGTTCTGTATATATAAATCTTAACTTCTTTACAATTCATTTTAACTACGGTAAATCCCCCCGTAACTTCTTCCGCCGGCATCCACACAAGGACTCGGTCGCTCAATTGGTTAGACTTTAGAGTAACAGCACGGAGCGCTGTGGGTGCCTGTTCGAGTCCTGCTTGAGTCGTATTTTTTTCCATTTATAATCTTTTTTTAACATGAGAAAAATATTAAAGTTTTCAAATACCTACATTAAGCTTTCTCAAAATGTGGCAAGCTCTTTGACAATGATCATTCAGACGGGTTCTTTTTAGAATACGCTATTAAATATTTCCAGGTTCGAAGAGACAACAGTAGAAACACCAACATGTAGATTCAACAACGCATCGTGTTTGGGAGGCTTCCCACGTCTCTACAGCAAGATAAAGTCCTTAAAACGTGAACTTCCGGACTCCATTCTATTAAATGCTGGCGATAGTTATCAAGGGACATATTGGTACACTTTGCTCAAGTGGAAAGTGATCTTGGAGTTTATGAACATGCTTCCGAATGATGCTCATGTGAGTAAGAGTATTCTATATAATTATTGCTTGAATCATCTATACTATATAATATTATAGAGCTTAAGAGTTTGTTTGTTTGAACGCGCTAATTTCAGGAACTACTTCATTGAAATGATTTTTTTTATTGGTTGACCCATTTATCGACGAAGGCTCTTTAAGGTCACGCAGTGATCAACAAGAGCTAAGAAACAGTAAAGGAAGAGGGAAGTTTTGAAAAAAACGGGGAATTTTTTTTATCATGAGCGTTGCGTGCGCTGCGAAAATGCTTCGCCCATTCAAAAAATATGCACGGAAGAATAATTCTTCTTCAAATTATCTAAAAAAATTCCCCGTATCTTATAAAATTAACTTGCAAAAACTACGACAGACGACGTCGTGGGTAACAGCAATAATTTCTACCTTAAGCTTAGGAGGTTGTTTGCAAAAATAATATGACTCCCAAAAAACTATTCTTTGAAGCCGCGGGCATTGCTTGTAATACTTTAATTTATGTGGTAAAATACATTACTTATTTATTGCGCTATCGTGTACAAGTAATTTACACTGTACCTCCATTGAGCGAATTTTTGATTTGAAGCAAGTTTTCACCAAAGAAAAATAAACACAAAGCTGATAAAAAAGTATTCACGCCAAAAACATACTTAAAATGCTCTAGTCGCACTGTCCTGCTTTGTAGTCTGGTCAAAACAAAAAATAATAATAATAGTAATGTAAACTTTCCTACTCTCCAATCCTAGGCCATCGGTAACCACGAGTTTGATGATGGGCCTGCCGGTCTGGCACCGTATCTATCTGGCCTGAACGCACCTGTGTTAGCTGCTAATATGGACAGCAGCAAGGAACCTATCCTGCAAGGTCTCTACAAGCCGTACATTGTGGTGGAAAGAAGGGGGAGGAAGATTGGCATCATTGGATTAATTACTCCAGATACTAAGGTATTTCTTTATGCTCGATGTATACATTATTACTTTTCTCCTCTCTCAAAGGAAAGAGGGTTTAAGAGCATTGACTACGTAGCTCTAGAGCAGGTTGGTTGGTTTTAACAACTTCTGCTAAATTATGAATGGTGATAACCACCGTCCCCGGGGTAAAAGCTACTTTTAAACTCTGTGGTGGTAGCATATATTTTTGTCTATTCCAAAAAATCGATGTACATTTTTGCCTAACTCGGGATTCGAACCCTGAAGTGCACTCTGCACATTTACATTCGTGTCAGTACTAGAACAAGAAACAGTAGAGAAATATAATATTTTTTATCACTACTGGATGTTTGGGCAACGTTTTTTAAGTTATTTATTAAGTTTAATAAGAAATATTAATTATTTAGATACTATGACGTATCCCATCATCCATCTATATAATTCTAGTTATTATTTAAAGTTTACTAAACTAGACTTCTCATCTCCTTTTATCTGCAAAATCAACTGAGTTTTTCTTTAAAACCTATTGTAATATGATCAAATGATAATGCCCGCTTAAAGCATAGAGTGATGAGATAAGATGATGTCAAAAGCGTGATGTAAGAGTGAATATTATGTAGCTAGATCAAATATTTATGATCAAATACGATAAAACCAAAATACAACTAACCAACCACCAGTTCCTTATATTCAAGGCGTAAAAGAATAAAAAAAAGTGGCAGGAAACTCGCCGTTACTCGTTTTAACAAGTTTTTTACAAATCAATTTTTGACATATTTCTAACAAAATTACTATACAACAATAGTTGTTTTTCGCGGATTTATGTGAAAATTTTGTCTTAACTTATTTATATTATTTTGTTAATATTTGTTACTATTTCCAAGTCAAATGCAATTGCAGTACTTAGTTTTTTTTACTCGACGACGAATAATATAGCTAATATTATGTTAAATACTGTCCACAGTTTACGCGAGTAGTACACATTTAAATAAAACACTTTAACGGTTTAAAACGCGATATATTAGTTAAACTTATTTGAAAATGATTTTTAACCTCGGCCCGACGTTTCGGATGCTTTGCAGCAGCCGTGGTCACGGGAAGAATATTAATATTATGTTACTACATAACATTGCGTTTTACATGTATCTACTCATAAGATAAAGAAACATAAAGCTGTATTCATACAAGATAAAACATACTATATGTCTGAAAACTTTAATATTATTCACATGTTTTTTGCTATGGCGATATATAAATTTAAAATCGTTTATAAATTTAAAAAATACAACTTGGGCAGGACTCATTTGGTTAAAGGAATAGCACGAAACGCTGTGGACGACTTTTATACTACATGTATTTACATAACAGTAGTCTTAAGTTAGGATCTAGTTAGGCCATAAAAACCCTAATACTGATTTTTAGTGTCAGTTAATACTGATAATTAATTCCATTTCAGATATTATCAGCTGCTGGTGACGTAGAATTTACAGACCCTCGTGAAGTGACCTTACAGCTATCTTCGGAGCTGAATGAAAAAGGTGTGGACATTATAATATTGCTGTCACACTGCGGCTTAGATGTTGACAAGTAAGTTTATGATTTTTAACTATAGTGTACCTATTTATGCATTTATCAAAGAATTTCATAAGTAACCTATAAAAAAACGTATTTGGGGCATGGGACGAACACATTTCTTTACTGACTAGTAGTTGCACGAAGAGCGTTTCCGTTATTATTATCAGGCGCAAATCTTATTTAATAAAAATATGTTTTTAATCGAAATTTACACTTGTCATTCAAGGTAAAAAAAAAAAAATTAGTTAGACACTATATCATTGTTAAATACTGTCTACAATTTACGCGAGTGAGTATTACACATTTAAATAAAAAAAAGTTATGTATTTAACTATATCATTGTTTTTGGAAGAATTATAATTCTTCGACCAATTGAGGAGCTTACATCTCCTGAAGATGACGAAACATCGAAAATCCCTACTCGCTCACTTCGGCCGAATAGCCCGAAAAACAATGATATGCTGAAAGATGACCGTGGAAGCCTTAAACAATTTAATTAGAGACTACTTGTCAGTAATTAAATAATAAAATAACTATATTGGAAAATAATACTAGCGATGTTATTTTACAATCTGTAATATTTTATTTTAATTGTTTTTCTTTCCCACCACGCCCCACACACGGAATACGTGCCCCATGTGGGCCAAAAATTTTGCGACAACTGCAAAAATTTTCATAATTCAGAATCTTTTTCCACAATGGTTAACCGGATGCTGTTAATCAAGCCATAATTACTCAATCTTGCAATGAAATCATCTTCCTCCTTTGATTGTAATTGAATCTTACAATCTTCCAGAACACTTTAGTTATGCTATATTTTTCTATATTATATATGTCGGTGGTGGGTTGATTTATATTGAATAATTGCGTTCATAATTCTTTTTTTTTGTTTATTAGTTATATGGTTTCTAATGCCTTTTTTATTTATCACACATTTTTTTTTATCTTACTTTTTGTGTAATATACTAGCTGATTAATTCTCTAAACGAAATAATATAAAATAATTTTAAAAAACGGGCAAAAGCTTTTTTAAAACCGTGTTGGGTTTTGGAAAGGGATACTGGGGCTTTTTCGCTGTACTTAAGTAAAAAATTTTTATATAGCCTATGTATGGATGTTTAAAGTGTTGTAAAATAGGATTGTTTACACAGAACTTTATGTTTTAGTTAGAAGGTGGCGCCACAGGCAACTTGTTAAATTTTCTTTTATTTTTTTCAGGGAAATTGCGCAGGGCTACGGCCAGTACATAGATGTAATAGTAGGTGGGCACACACACTCTTTGCTGTGGAATGGCCCGGCTCCGAGTGGAGAACCTGTAGCTGGGCCGTATCCTGTCTTCATTGAATCCACAGCTGATAAAAAACATAAGGTAATGAACTCGAGACTCTAAGGAGTCAAGCAACACTACGGAAAGTTCCTTCGTAAGGTTCGGAGATCGATTCCCGGTCCTGTATTTTTTAATTTATTGTAATGTGATACACATAACAATTTTAATCCGAATAATTAAATATTTAAATAAAATAATTTGAACTGTTTAACTACGAAAGGTATGTGTAACTTATTTTTACGTTTTTTAACGTACTTACACATACATATATAAGTTTAATTCACTTATTTCTTATGTATCGCGATATTTCACCCTCAAAAGCGTTTTTTTCATTTTTATATTGTGACGAAGATTTCAGGTGATGTTCTAGAAGAAAGTCGACATGTGTCATCTTGAATTCATATTTCGATATTTTAGTAAATGATTTTTTTTTTTTTTTTTTTTTTTTTGTTAGCAATCGTAAATATTTGCTCGTTTGTGAAAGATACTTTCTGGGGCATGGGAAAGAATCCGTGTTCGTTTCGCGGCCATTTACAGGCAAGTAGGTGATCAGGCTTCTGAGCCCTGCACATCCGAAACATCTATTGTTTCTCCGGGACTCGAACGCAAAACTGCGCTTAACATAACTTAAGCAACACGTTTGAATAAAACAATTATTAGTTTTTTAACTAACATAAATAATAAAAGACATTTAGCTACAGAGGCGGTCACTATTTTCATCTTACTAGGTTATTTATTTACTTTTCAGGTGCTAATCGTCCAAGCATCCGCCTTCACAAAGTATATGGGCAGTTTGTCTGTATATTTCGACTTTCGTGGTGATTACGTGAAGTTTAACGGTGGACCGATATTTTTAAATCGATCTATACTGGAAGGTGTGTAGTTTAATTAATTTTTAAAATATAATATGGTTTTAACTTGGTTTGAGTACAAATTTTTTTTGATGGGCTATTTGGTGTAATGTTCGTCTAATAATCAACGGTTAGTGGGTTAGATCCCCACCAGGTCCAATATGTTTCTTATCAATTTATAATTTTTATGAACATCGTCTGGAAATATGGATATAAAATGAGTGGTAAGAATATTTAAATTCCGTCCGTGTCACGAAACAGAATATCTTGTTGAGGCTGAGGTATTTCAGTTTTCATCGAGTGAGAAAAAAAAAAACAAATTGAACCGGGAGGGAATCGAACGTACGATCATTCTTTGCTGTTGTTACTAATGTAGCTACTGTGTCATACATACCTTGTACTGTATAACTTAATTTGCACTTGCACTGTATTCAATTACACTGACTGCTAAGAATGTATGAAAACATTCTTAGCAGTCAGACCTCTCTCACTTAAGGCAATACTACGCAATACTTAACCTACATAGACGGTCCGGTCGATGGAACGCTTAAAATAATCATGTTATTTTGGACATCCAAATTCGTTTATGCAAAGCCCTTCATCTTTATAAACTTAAGCTGTTACCCACGACGTCGGTCGCGTCCCTTCCCGTCGTTCTTGCTAGTTAATCTTAAAAGATAGATATATAGCGTCGAGGATTTTTTTTTGATCATTTAAAGAGGAATCATTCTTTCATACATATTTTTTTGATATCTTGAACCGTTATTGCAGCGTATGCCTCGGTAACCCATATTGTGAATAATTTCCCCCGTTTTGTTCACATTTCCAACTGTATCTTCTCTTCTATTCGTTATAGCACGATGTTTTATAGCCGATAACCTTCGTCGAACTGCTCTAACCAATGGAAAAAGAATTTCCCCGAACCCGTAGTTTCTGAGATTAGTGCGTTCGAACAAACAAACAAACTCTTTAGCTTTATATATTAGTATAGATTAAAACATTATAAGATAACATTATTCGATATTTAAACTGATTAGACATGTGTAAATAACACACTTTTAACTGTTCAAAACACGAAATATATTACTTAACTATTATCGAAACGTCGGGTTGGAGATGAAAATAAGTACTATTTAGCGTTTAAACCGTTTTTTGTTGCTTTGTAATAAGTAAATAGTTAATATCTCTCTTTCTTACGTACATAAGACGAGGACATAAAAACGAAACTGCAGCCGTACGCTGAGATGGTGCACAAAGCTGAGAAGGAAGTCATAGGCAACAATATGAATACTCTGCACCTAGATGACTGTGTCTTTGGCGAATGTGCTGTCGGCGATTTGATTGTTGATTCGTTTAATGTATTTGTAAGTACCTCTTCAATCGATGCTTTTTAATTCCGCATAAATTCCTTGTTATGACAGAAGGGGGGGGGGGGAGGGGCGATATTTCAAAAGTCAAATACCCTAGCAATTTTGTTGTCTAAAAATTGTGGCTTTGAATTTTTGGACTTCACAGTTTGAAGCCGAAACACTACTAAACTTCACGACTTTTATCACGTTCTTATTTGATTTAATAGAGTTTTTTGTCATCAGAAGTATAAGGTGCAAATAGAAAAAAGGTGAATTAAAAAATAATAGTTATTTGTATATGTAAATACATGAATTCCTATAGATTGTTCTTTCTTTACAGTGTATACTTTTACTAAGTTTCGCTTATATTATTCTTCTATTACAGGCCAAACAAACATACAAATCAACCTACGATTACATAGCGTTTATTCAAAGGGGGAACATCAAATCGTCAATACCTAGTGGAGGTAAAAATTGCATAATAATTTATTATAAAAGGTCTGAAATTTAATTAGTTCCTCCTAAAAATCTTAATCTTTTTTTCATGTCATGTGCACATAATGTCATTATATTAGATAATATACAATTTTTAGATCAAAACAAATTACGGCGGAGTTTGAATAATTATTTAAGTCTCTCTACTTTGTTTTAAAGTAAAATCGATTTTTAATTAATTTTCTGCTGATGCCGAGACACATTCTTATGTCCATAAACGACCGCCTCGCACCTCAACAGTGAAATGTATTATCACATCCACACCGTTTATTATGAGAGGTCCCCAGTTCAAATCCTGGTGTAACGTACAGAAGTCTGGTCTATCTGCATGTAAATAAAAAGGCGATTTAAGTTCAAGTACTGATTATGCATCACGCAGTCCAGTTAAAATAAGAAAAGTCCTCCCGAGTCGTAATTTTTTTCAATTTTTAATTTACTATTACTAAATTCTTCGTTATTTTATTTTTCACATAGATATAACAAAGGGTGTTATCTTCGAAGTGCTCCCTTACAACGACCGCATAAAAACATTCGAGTTGCAGGGGAAATTTATCCTGAAGGCTCTCGAGAGAAGTGTCATTGATGCGTGGGGTATGGACCCGTTTAAGGGGCCATATGTTTTACAGGTTTCAGGTAAAATCAAAGATATTAATTCTGACCGTTTTTGGTTAATAATAGCTGTTCATGGTTAAAAACGAGTTGTCTGCTCGTAACACTAGGTATGAGATAATTCTAAAGTCCATTTACTATCTGAAACCTGACTGAACCTGACTTCGGAGAATTTGGCTATTAAATGTGTGGTAGGAATGACTAAGCTCCGTCCGGGTCACAAACCACCATTATATATACGCCGTATGAAAAATCCATATAGCAGTCTTTGGATTTTTTAATATCCGAAGTCAACATAGGTCGACAATGCATTGAAGTTACATGTTGTGTGGTTGAGTTATATCACCTTTCTATTAATTGTCCTCTGTATCCTCCTCGGTCAAAAATCTTCAAATAAGTATCTTAGAGTTTTCCTCACTATGCTGCTGCTCTTCACTATGCTGTATTGGTTTGTTTTTATCCTTTGACCAACGCAGTCCTGACTGCAAAGCATCCTCGTTTTCTCCTTCATATTCATATCTTTGGATTCATAGCTAAACTCACCAATTCCATATTTACTTACCTCGTAGTGTAAATAAAAAAACGCCTTGAAAAAATTTAAAGGCAAAAATTGTAATTGACAAATGTGCCAAATTTTTTTTAAAGTTATGTTGACAGATTGGTCTCTATTTTGGGTAATAGTAACTGAAGTCGTTTGCAGATCGTTAGGTCCCGACTTTAAACCCTAGATTCTCTGTAAATTTTATTTTGGTATTAGGATTTTTTCTTAGAAATTTCTAGTCAGCCCCGAGAGAAGTAGGATATGATATCACATTACATTAATTCCACCAACAAATGTTGATGTTTGTGGGGTTGTGAGTTTGGTTGCAATAATGATTTTTTTTATGATATTCAAGTTTAAGATATTAAGTTTAGTTCACTGAATAAAAGGTGAAATACCCGTGCTATATATCACCTAAACAAGACGCGTTATCAACCTCTTTTTAGTTTTGGATATTCGGAAATCCACAAACCGAAACAGAAACGCTATTATGCTAAAAAGCCATGAAGTTTGACTTTATCGTCCGTGGACGGTCGCGGTGGTTCGTAACCCGGACGGAATTTTCGATATTCTCACCGCCCATATAAAATCCAAATTCCCAACATGTCTCAGAAAAATAAATTAATAATCATATTGGACCCGGCGGGGATAGCCCCCTCCCCCCAACCAGAGAAACCATCTTCTATGCCAGAAACGAAATGAATTTGAACTGTGATTGTTCACATATAAATTCTCTTTAAACCTTAATCTTTGCTAACCAGGTCTTCAAGTAACATACGACTTGAAGCAACCAGAGGGCGGTAGGGTCACATCTGTTCTGGTGGGCGACAGCAAAGAACCAATGGATCCCGAAAAAACTTACCAAGTTACAGAGCCTGGATATTTGTCTGATGGAGGAGATGGTTTTTCGGTAAATATAAGACTTATTTACAACTACAGGAGTATTTCTTGATCTGATATAGATAGTAGTGATTGAGATAGTAGTGTCTTATATTATTTAAATATCCTATTTGGTATAAAAGTATAATAAGAGAGAAAAAAAATCTAGTATTTTACGCCCTCGTTTCCCAAGATTCCTCTTTTTTTAAATACATTTTGGTTGGTTTTCAATACTAGTAAATCGGTACAAAATGTTTGTCTGTCTCACCCGCTCCACGACCGGCCTGAGCTACATGGTTAATCTATCATTGCCCTAAGCACGAGAGCTCCTGGATTCGAATCTCGGAAAAACAATGAATTGGTTAGGTCGGGCAGGACACGGAAGTCAACGACTTGCCTGTGGCTACTGATCTCGCAAACGGACACAGAAATGTGTTCGTTTCACGCCCAACGTGGGGTCGTTACGGGATTTCATTACAACCCGCTTCACGATAAACGGGTCTTCAAATTATATTATCGTCTATATTTCAGATGTTCAAGGAAGGAAGAAAAAACGTGCAAGTCATAGGAAGGGATGCGAAAATTCTAGAGCAATTTATTAAGAAACATTCGCCCCTTAATATAACTCGAACGGGGCGGATAGTAATAAATCAATGAATACTTTGTATATAGTATTTTTTTATGTTGTATTAAATTTTTAAGGTTAATATTTGTTTTTTTTATGATAGAGGAAAAGAGACATGCATAGGGGTCACTTGATGGTAGGTGAAACATCCTAGATGACATCTAATCAAGATGCCTATTGACCTATTTTTTGCTTGATATTCGGAAACCCACAGACTAAAACCGAAACGCGATTAAACTTCACGACTTTTTCATCTGTGGACGGTGCTTCATGACCCGAACGAGAAAAACATGTTTCAGAAAATGTATATATATTGATTAGAAAAATGTTGGACCTTCTGGGAGTCGAATCCACGACCTGTTAATTGTTAGCCATTATTGCTACAGTTACACTAACGCGTCTGTCAAAAAACGTGTTATCGCTGTATCTTACTAGCTTTCAACGCAACTTCATTCATTTGAAAAATGATTCCAGCAACCATATGACTTCGATTTAATTTGTTAGTTGAGTTATTAAGTTACCTACTTTGATACATTTTTTATTTTTTTTTGGGTTAATTTTTTTTTTTTTTTTTTTTTTTTTTTCTTTATAAATCCATTTTGTTTTTTTTAAAGAATTTATTTTTTAAAGTGGTCACATTATAAGGAATCCAGGGTGAGATGATCACAAACCAGGAAAATAGAGGGGAACTTTAAAATTGCAAAGTCCAGTAGTGGGTTTATATGTTTTTTCAATCTTTAAAACCCTTAGATTAAGCCGCGAGATAGTCGAAGGAACTCCTTAACGATTCACAGAAACTATTTTGAGCTTAACTAATTGATTTATGATTGGTTTATCTTTGACAGGCCTTGATCTAAGCAGGGCAGTCTTCCAAAATCTTTGTCTTATTTATGATACAAAGGCACCTTATATTTGAATCCCATTTCACCTGATCTTAAGACCCTCTAGAAGCATCCAATATTAATTCTTGTAAAGCCCGAAACGTCTCTGCCTAAAAAATAGGGAAAGTAGGATGTCAGACATATATTATTTGCTTGTTTGTTTAGCCTGAAATTATTAAGTAATAATTCTGATAAAGTGTTTCTAGATACGAGTAGTTCAATTGAAATTAAATGCTGATTGAAAACGCGATAATTCTTAGTCAAAAACATATTAGATTTATTTATACCTTGACCAAACGTTTCGGATGTTCTCGTGACCACAACTGCTGCAAAACATCAATAACAAAATAAAACTAAATAATGTATTTCGCGTTTTAATCATTTAAAAGTGTTTTATTTAATGGTACCATCTGTAATGTAGTATGTTTATATGTACTGTTCTACTTCAAATGCCAAGCGTGGGGCATCACTGAAAATGGGGGTTGTGCCTACTTCCAGGTACAAAAGTTGAGTTGTGTTCCTCCACATTTATTTAATTTTTAAGCATTGTATTTTTGAAAACTAATATTTTTTTCACTAGTTATTGCACGTGATGGCACTCTAGAAATTTAAAAAAAAAATTAATAAGTTGAAAAAATTCGACGATGACGTGTAAAATTCGGTAGCTCAATTCGTTAGAGCAACAGCACGGAACGCGGTGCATACCGGTTAAGGCCTGCCCGAGTCGTATTTTTCTTGCAATTTTTAATCGATTTTTAATTTATATACTGTGCGTGTGTAATATATGACAGTATTTATATTTTAAAAGGTTTTATACTGTTTTAAATGATGAATAAAGCAGAAATATTTCTTTCCACGTAGCGTTTTGTTTTGTAACTGTCACCATAGAAGTATTAAAAGGTTTATTGCCCGTTCGTGTCCACGATTACGTATAGAATACACTAAAATAATAATTGTTCTATTACTTTGCGAATTCGTCGAACAGTCTCTAATTGTATTACGAATGATAACCGCAGTTTTGTAGGCGAAACAAGTTTTTAATTGCAAATTAATCGTTACGCAAATGTATTAATATATGTAGCGAAGAAAGCCCGTCCTTTGTTTATGGTGTTACTCTTGGTGTCGTCAGACGCGTCTCCGCAATGAGGAGTTTATTTTTCTTAATTTTCGGCCTGACCGTTTCCAATGTCGTGTTGTATTGTGAAGGACATTACCCCATGCATATCATACACTACAACGATTTTCACGCAAGGTAAGTCCATTTGACCAGTGATTTTGATAAAAAAAAATGTTTTAAACACAAATTTTAACGGTTAATTCTACAGGGGTGATTATTAATATTTTCAATTAGAACTTCGTACTTTTAGACATTATTTTGAATAGCAAATATCTTATTAATTGGCTAATTTGTTAATTGTTAATGTACATAATAATTATATTAGTAACTAAGGTAGGTAGGTGCTTAAGAGAGAGGTAAATTCCATTGGTTTAAGTGATACAAGAGCTGGGTTAAAAATGGAGCATTTTTTCATCTCGAAGTATTTCTTTTTTATATTATTGTTTTGTTTTGTGGTGTTAAATAATAAAGCTGTAATAAATAAAATATATCTAGTGTCACAAATCTTAGCATTATTAAAAAAAATATAACAATAAACTCTTCCACAATCTATATAAAAATATAAAGTATAATTAAACTAGAACATTCTACTATACTAAATAAAACATTTTTGATAGTTTAAAACGTGAAATCTAATCGGTCGCAGATGTGTAATAGCGGCCTTAAAGCATTCGAAACGTCGAGTTAATAATGTAAAAACGAAAACGCGTTTTAAATCCGTTAAAACTGTTTTATATAATACAGTATTCTTTAGTCATTTATTTCAGTTAAATATCGTTATAGATTCAGGATTGCTCTAGTTCCGTTTTACGTTGTGTTTTTTTTTATCGTAGATTGTTTTAATTTACATTTATTAAAAAATATGTATATGTACATGATAAATTATTAACAAGTAAAAAAATACCAAAATTCTGGGTGATATTTAAATGAAAAAAAAAATTACAATTAATATTTTTGTAAACGAAGTTTTGATGGGATCGTGGGTTTACGGCTAATAATAATTAATGGTTAATGATTTAAATAAAACACTTTAACGGTTTAAAACGCTATATATTAGTTAAACTTATTTGAAAATGATTTTTAACTTCGGCCCGACGTTTCGGATGCAGACGTGGTCTTCAAATAAGTTTAACTAATATATCGCGTTTTAAACCGTTAAAGTGTTTTATTTAAATGTGTACTACTCGCGTAAACTATAGACAGTATTTAATGGTTAATGAGTTCAATCCCCACCGGGTCCAACATAATTTTAATTTTATGGAAATCTGGCTATAAAATGGCGGGTAGAAATATTGTAATTCTGTGCGGACCAAGAATCCTAGATGAAAAAGTCTTTGGATTTCCGAATCCATAGCAAAAACAGGAAGACAGCACATCTCTTTAGATGTTATACGGCTGAGGGGGGCTCACCTTCCACCAACTGAACCATATGCTTGGCTGTCGTTCTCTATCATGAAAAGCAGTGGAAAATTAACGACAGTAATGGACATTACATAATTTAATATATTTTAATAAGCTTGTGCAAAGAAACACTATTTAAAATTAGAAAATAAGTAAACCATAAATAATTAATGTAACACGAAACTATATATACGATTGTATAAAATAAATAAATGGGCTGCAATCAATTGTAGTATTTATGTGTGTACATAAATACTTTTCTCTGTAAGGACATCTCTCAGTTGTTGCTGTAACAACAGAAATATGTTTGGAGGTAACGCGGAAGTGCAAAATTAATTAATGTCCTTTATTTTAAAACAATATAATCTTCAAAACGTTATTTTTCACATGCTATTTTTATGTTAGACGAGGACAGCTAAGCTATCTTTATCACTTGATGAAATGTTAAATACCCCTGCTCAACATCTCACAAGATGCGCTGCCGAGCTATTGGCTTTGGATATTCGGAAAAGCGCAGACTGAAATGTAAACGCAATTTAGTTTCACGGCTCTTTCATCTTTGGAGGGTAGTTCGTGACTTGGACGGAATTTTGATATTACTACCCCCTTAATATGAAAATTTCCAAAGTCCATCATGTTTTAGAAAATGTGGGGGTCGAACTCCATACCCGTTGATTATTAGCCATACATTGGTACTATTACTAGGAGCCCGTCAAGCACAGAGTCCAATTCTGTCTATATTTTATAGAGCCACCTAGAATAAGTTTTTATTACTAAACAAAAACATCACCAACAATTTTTCATTGCCTTTAAAGTTCGTTAAAGTTAATTTATTGTGATGCGCTTATCAAAAAGCAATTTGGCTCATTTTAATTTATGACAGTTATTTTTCCTACCGCGACACTTTCTACTATGATGATGGGCGAAACTATATGATAGGTTTTCAGTCGTTGAGGCCACATTTACAAGACCTACAAAATAAGTATGGCCATGTAGACTGATGTAATTTACACTCGCTTATTAATAACATCTGCGACGTTATTTTCGGCGGCATATATATTTTCAGGATACACATCAAATAAAACACTTAACAGTTTAAAACGGGAAATTAAATTATGAAAAAGCCTAAACAAACTCAAATCGCGCTTCGGTTTCAGTCTGTGGATTTCATATTTTAATATCGAAGGCCATAGTCGAGAGCGCCTCTTGAAATAAAATGTATATTGCTGGGCTGAAACTTTTACTTTCCATCAGATGGACCTCATGCTTGCCCTTCTCTAACTTAAAAAAAATGTTAGTTTAAAGCAAGGAAACAGATAGATAAACAAGATTTTTTTTGTGGTTTTTAATATTTTTTAAAGGTACCCACACAGGCTAAATATACCCAATTATAGCTTAGTTATAGTAGACATTGTGTAGTAAGTTATGTAATTACCCTTCACGCAACAGTACGATAACTGTAGTCCTGGATTCGATTTTCCTAATAAAAGACTTCAAATTCAAGCACAATAACATTTGATTTATTTAATCGGCAATACATTAATCTGTAACAAAGGTTTGAAGAAACATCAGATGACTTTCTCATCTGCGACCACGAGAAGGAATCGTGTTACGGCGGCTTACCTCGTCTAGTGTACGAGATAGAAGCGATAAGGCACCAGCACCCTGACTCCATACTCCTGGATGCTGGTGACAGCTTCCAAGGAACCTACTGGTACACCTTGCTTAAATGGAACGCTACACAATACTTCCTCAACATGCTTAACAACGATGCTCATGTAAGTAAATGATTTAAATTAAGAACAGTAAAACAGGAACCTTGTTTTCTCTCTGTGGGCCATAGGGCAGACGCATATGCGAATATCCAAAGTCAAAATAGGTCGACCGCGCATCATGTGTAAATGTTAAATAACTGGGGTATTTCACCTCCTGTCTGATTGTCTGTCCTTTATCATAAAAAGTAGTTTTTTCATTGATCGATTGTATTTACCACGAAGTACATATTGTCTGTAGTAACGCAAGTATTACATTAAGATAAAACAAAATTTAACGGCTCAAAACGGGAAAGCTATTATATAGCTTTTTTTATTACGACCCAACGTTTCGGATGCTTTGCAACGGCCGTGACGGGTTGAACAGATTTTTGTGCCACCGATTTTGACTCCCCAAGATTCGAACCGAAGACTTGAAGACTCTTGCTCTTCACGGAATGCTGGGCAACGCGATAAATTGAGTAACAGAGGTAGACCGAATCAAATGGTGCGTCCTGCCCGATCGAGATAATCTATTGCTTCCCCGTGACTCGAATCCAGGACCTCTACACAATATATTGGGAAAATGAAATAATTTATCTAAAAACACTTCATGATTGATTTCAACTATATAATATAAGATAAGACAATGATAAACTCGATTCATGACTTAGGTTCAAAGACCCAAATAAATAACGATGCGCTGATAAAATTAAAATAAACATTAATAATAATCTATGGTAATATGTAACACTGCGCATACCTTAAATTAAAATTTGTATTAAGAGTGTTTACCTTTATTTATTCAACTAGCTGTGCCCACGACTTCGTCCGCGTGGAATAGTGGCTTGAATTAGAATTTTTAATTATTTAAGCTGTTTATTAATTTATAGGCTACATATTCAACGCACTTAAGGCAGCCGATCTATGTATCCTCACATCACTCCCACTCCCACTCCTATTCCCAAAAAGCCAAAGAAGAAAGTTTCATTGTTCTAGCTTCAAAAACCACGACTTCAACCCCTATCAACCCTTATTTGGCGTTATAAAGTGTCCTTTCTCAGGCTCTCAAATATCTATTTACCAAATTTCATTTAAATCAGTCTCAGAGTTAAAGCCGGACAGACAGACAGACAGATTTACTTTCGTATTTATAATATTAGTATAGATATCATCACCAGCCCTGTGTGTCATCAATCAATCATCACGATTTTATATGACAGTAGGACAAGTAAGTGTGGTTCACTAGATGAAAAGTGAAATATCTTGACTATGTAACTAATTAATCGTTGTGCTAACGACCTATGTTGACTTCGGGCATTAAAAAGTTACAGACTGAAACCAGTATTTTTATCTGTCGAGCTAGGCTCGTGGCCTGGACACTTTCGATAAATATTTCAGAAAAAACACCTACCTACGACCCAATTAACACCTACCGTATTTCTATCTAAAGGATAGAAATAGGTAAATACCCCAGCCTTTTTACATACTAGCTGTGTTAACGACTTCGTCCGCGTAGAATAGTTATTTTGGGTATCCAAATTTGTCTTTGCAAACCTTTACGTTTTTACAAATTTAAGCTGTTCAGAAAATCGGTCAGGTCCCGTCGTTCTTGCTAGTTAATCTTATAAGATAGACATAAAATAGTGTCGCGGACATTTTTTTTAGATAATTTAAAGAGGAATCATTCTTTCATACATATTTTTTGGGTGTCTTGAACCGTTTTCGCAGCATCTGAAACTCACAGAGATGAATTTTCCCAGTTTTGTTGAAACAAACAAACAAACTCTTCAGCTCTATATACTTGTTACTTAACACCTAACCTGTTTCTCTTCTTATAGGCTATTGGTAACCACGAATTTGATGATGATATAGAAGGTTTAGTTCCCTATCTCGCTAATTTGAAAGCGCCTGTTCTTGCTGCAAATCTGGATAGCTCTGAAGAACCAAGACTTCATGGATTGTATAGATCCTATACAATTATACAGAGGAATGGCAAAAAAATTGGTATCATCGGAGTCACTACGACCGTCACGCCGGTAAAATGTTTAATATAAAAAAATATATTAAGGTACGGTAATGAGAAGAGCAACAACAAGGAACACTATGGTCGCGGGTTCGAGTCCCGCTCGATTTTTTGTAATAGATAAATTAAAAACCGATTTTAGATTGAAAGACGATGACGTGTTGGACACAGTAGTTCAATAGGTTATAACGAGACGCTGAGGATGCCGGTTCGATTCCCGCTTTCTTAAATATAAAATCGATTTTCAATTTATATAATGCTAGTTCCCAATTTATTTAATTAATGTTAATTTAATATGTTTTCAATTGTAATGTATGTAAACAACCTTTTTGATAAGTGGCAAATAAAAAAAACTGTGGCGATCCAGCATTTTTGTTTCTTAAATTTAACGTACTTTTTTATACAGTCCTTAGCTCCAGTAGGAAAAGTGAAGTTCACTGACCCCAGGGAAGCAGCGTTGAGAGAATCGAAGAAGCTTCACAAAATGGGTATTAACATGATACTCTTATTGTCGCATTGTGGATATCCAATTGACGTGTAAGTTAACATTGAAATACCTAAAGGATAGATTATTGCTTTTAAAAAAATAACAAAGTGTTTAAGAAGACAACAAAAAGTGACGTCACGGAACGGTGTGTCTTGGAATCGAATTTCACCTATGTCATAAATCCTTTTCAATCTATTTAAATATTTAATCAAATTGACCACGACTGCTGCCAAGCATCCGAAACGTCGGGCCGTAGTTAAAATAATTTTCGAATAAGTTTAACTGATATATATCGCGTTTTAAACCATTAAAGTGTTTTATTTAAATGTATACTACTCGCGTTAACTGCAGACAATAAGAATTCTGCTATTATATTGTACTTTCATAATTAACTTTTCAGAGAAATAGCTCAAGACTACGGTAAATACATCGATGTGATAATTGGGGGTCATTCCCACAGAGACAAGACCGTCATTTTCCCCTACCTGACCACCGTAGAGAGTAATGATGATAGTAATCACAAGGTAAAATAACGATTATCTTAATTGATACCTGCATTAATAATTACCTTATAAAACATACTATGTTTTCGTTTTAACTACAGAAATCGCTATTTGTAAAAGGGCGATAACCTACGGGTAAACATCATGGTACCAGAATGGTGTTAAGAATTGTATTCACCCCTTGCCTCATACGTGGGGCATGGGGTTATTATAATTCTGTGCCCGTTTCACTGATAAATTTTATATCCTAGTAATGAGTTGAGTAAAGTTCTGTGTATAGCAGAATCGGGTTTATTTTATAGGGACTCAAACCAAGGACCTCTAACGGAGAAAAACTCTGTTAGAGGTCTTTGGTTTGACTCCAGGTGGCAGTAGTACTAGATTCTGGCTTTACCATTGAGCTATGGAGGCAGTTACAAAAACTACTACTCCATTAAAACAGGCCTTGTGCTTTTTTATTTCCACCAGGTTGAACTAGTTTGATTCTGTTGAAAATATCTGGGTGAAATTGACATTAGTACCAAATCTTAACATAGTTCGGTAGCGTAACTTAATCATAACTTAATCCATCTTTAGACCCCCTATGACCATAGCTGCATCATCCGACATAAGAAGCCATAGTTAAAATAGATTGAAAGTAGTAAACTAATATATTTACTACTACTTATTCCGATGTTTTAGTGCTGGGGCTGTTCCTTTGTTAACTATTCTTCCCCATGTATACTCTGTCATTAGACGTTGCACGAGCTTCTTTGCAACGAAGTATAACAACGTAAATATTTTTTAATTTGTTTTCTCTTAGGTTATAGTACTACAAACAGATGCGTTTACAAAATTCCTTGGAAATATATCTCTTTATTTCGACTGTGATGGTAACATCGTGGATTGGTCTGGTGAGCCGATAGCCTTGGATAACTCTATACCTGAAGGTAAGTTACTCTTATTATCTCTTTCTAGGGCACTGTAGTATTTCTAGACTACAGTCTACAACTCTATGTTTTCGTACTAATAGTAGAACTTACAAAAATCTCATAGTCTCTTAGTGGTGTTAAATAGATTAATTTGAAAGCGCAAGTATTAACTCTTCTGCTTCTTCCTAGTATAGGAGTAAATGGTTGGCAGAAATATTTTTAAATATAGAACACAGAAATCTGTATTTACTAATGCATACTATTTAAAAAATATAAAAGTTAATATTAAAAAAAAATGTTAAATAAATAACAAAAATATAACGATAGAAAAACAAAGAATACAATAACACTAAAAAAAATTACGTCTTGTTGAAATCATATTACCTATGGTTCAGGAAAATCGTTTTGGAATTTTTATGTTAAAATACTTTTAGCTCTTCATAAGTTCGAATTAAAGAACCTCTGAAATTTTATTGACAATCGATCAAACTCCTATGATTACATCAACCCGCTTCTATCCCAATACTGTGCACATTTTCTGTCTTTAGGAGCTATAGGAGAAACGTTTTAGGAGCTTAGACGTATCACACCCTATTAAATAAATGACCGAAAGCTTAACATGGTCTAATGGATACAAAGCTGGTAATAGCGTTTTAAAATACGAAATAAATATTTCGCCCAAGCCGATTCAAACGCTGGACTTTGTCATCTGCAACCATTTTACCAAGAACACAGTCGAGTTCAAACGTAAATACGATAAAAAGAAAATAGAATTGTTTATCGGGAAAAGTAATTACTTACATGTTAATTAAAATATAATTTACATATGTAAATCTGGTAACCAATTATTATAAAAATAAATGATTACAATCGGTTTCAATAATTGTTCTAGAATTTATTTGTGTAAAAAGTTTGATAATTAAAAATACATTGTTTTTTGATGAGAATTTAGCTAGGTAACTTAATTTTACACAAGTTCCTATTGTTTAAAAAAAATTTCTTTTAATAGTAGTTGTCATGTTTTATGAATGACATTTATATCTATGCTAACATTATAAACGTTGAAGAGTTTCTTTGAACGCGTTAAACTCGGGAACTACTGAATTGAAAAAATATATTTGTGTCGGTTAGATGTTAGACATTAATCGAGAAAAGCTAAAGGCTATAAAAGATCAGAATGCAATCAATAAGAGCGAAGAAGCAGTGGGAAATGTGTAAAAAATCGAAGAAAATCTCTAATGCCTACGATGCAAAAACAATTCGAGACCCCTAAAAGTATATTTGAAGGAATGATTCCTCTTTTAATGATATAAAAAATTATCCATGTCACTATATATCTATTTTTCAAAATTAACTTCCAAGAACGACAGAACGCGACCGACGTCTTGGGTAATAGCTTAAATTTATAAGGAAAAGGAAGTTTCCAAAAACAAATTTGGATATAGGTTCGTATCGTTTGTTATAAACGTCCCTATGGCAACCTTGCCTTGTCCTAAAAGCGAGAGGTCTTTGAATCGAATCCAATTCGTGAATAAGGTATCAGACACACTTCAATATCTAAGATTCTTATAACAGATTTTTTTTTAAATAATTTTTAACAAAAAAGGAGCGAAAAACAGTGACAAAATATTTCACAAGGAAATACATACATATTTTGATGTCGTTAAATATATTTAAATAAATATTTTGATGTCGATGTCGAGTAGAATACGACGCCATTTTTAGTAAGAATGATATATCATATACACAGTTATTTGAACAAGGGATCCGTGAAAATAACTACTATCCAACAAAAAAAAAATCTAATTGAGCTTTTTATTTTGAAGTTACTGAATATTATACAATTTGTATTATATATTTTGTTTTAGATGAAAATACGAAGAATGCGTTAGAACCGTACGCCGATATGGTCCACGCAGCAGCTGCCAAGAAAATCGGATACATTGACCGGTCCATGGACCATAGAGACTGCGTACACGGCGAATGTTTGTTGGGGAATTTCCTAACAGACGCTATTAAAGATATTGTAAGTACAGTGACAGAGGAGGACAGACCAAGATGGTTCTTCATCTGGTGAAAGGTCACCAGCCACATCTAAATAAGATATACTGTCGACCTTATTTGGTTCTGGATACACAAACCGAAACGCGATTACACTCTGTCTATAGTTTACGCGAGTAGTACACATTTAAATAAAACATTTTAACGGTTTAAAACGCGATATATTAGTTATTCGAACTTTGTTTGCATTTTCCAGCCCGTACTGCGTGATTAAATACTGTCTATAGTTAACGCGAGTAGTACACATTTAAATAAAACACTTTAACGGTTAAAAACGCGATATATTGGTTACTAATATATCGCGTTTTAAACCGTTAAAGTGTTTTATTTAAATGTGATTACACTCGTCGGTTTTTTGATACATAGATGGTGGTTGGTGACCCGGATGGAATTTCGAGATTCTTACCACTATTTTATATCCATATTTTCCAGACGAAGTTAAACATGCTTTATCATAAATTAGTAATCATTCTTATCATCATTTTTATGATAGAGGAGGACAGACATGTCATGGGGGGTAGGTGATATACCCCGGCCTATAGCATCTAAACACGATGCACTGTAGACCTATTTTGACAGTTAAGCAATAACTTTAAATTTACCCAAAATCGATTTAATTAATGAATAAATTAAAAATTAATAATCAAATGCAATCGGTTCGATTTTCAACGAGTTCAACACAAACATATTCGGCATCCACCGTATGTATTCTCGAAAGCTTAAAACCAAAATATATGAAAATAGGTATATAATACAAGAGGTGTTACTATATGCGGCTGCTAGAGCCAGAGTGGCCTAATAACAAAAAACATGATTTTCAATACGGAGGAAAACAAAACTGTCCTATTATTTGTCTAAGAATTATGTAAACATTTTCGGTCACAGTGCTCTTGTATATTCTATAAATAAGTAGTAAAATTGCAGTTAGGCTACTCTGCCTTGTTCACCTTCCATCAATTAAACCCGATGCGTGTCTTTACTATTCTGTCGCGCAAAAAAGCGCTTGACTTAACGTGTATATTAGTGCACTGTAAAATTATAATAGCAAAATTTGTACTAACTCTTAATGTTTAATTTTTTCTTCAGGCGAAAACAAAAGTAAAAAGTCGACATCCATTTATAGCGCTGATACAGCGAAGCAATATGAGGGCTGTGATCCCAGAAGGAGGTAAGTCGACATAAAAGGGGGTGTTACCCCAGTTTCTTTACTTGTGGGTATGGGACCTACGTATTCCTGGGGCCGGCTAAGTTACAGTGGTATTCTATGCTTGGACCATTTAGAAGTAAATGTAAAAAAATACACATTCCGTTCTCTTCAACCAATAGTAGGTTGTAGAGAATATTGCGTGTTTAAACAATCACGATTTAAAATACAAAATATATCACGTAGCTTAATTTTAATTTATTTTAACTACACAACATCATGCTACACTAGCGACATCTGTTATTGCCAGTGTAATCTGTTTAGCAGATTTGACTTTTTCACCCTCCATGTTGAATCCGCCACTGACCATGGCCGCTACAAAATATCTCTAACGTAAGGCCGTAGTTAAATTGAATTAAAAATAAGTTTCATATTCAATCCGGTTTTAAGCCGTTGAAAAGGTTCTATTTAAATCTGTACTACTCGAGTAGTACAGGCAGTATTTTGGCCGTTTCTTTTTTTACTACACTCATTAGAATTTTTATGAAGATATTGACTTAGACATGAGCCCGTTCTACTAATCCTAATATCTACTTGTCGACATATTGCATAACGTTTCACGCATAGAACGCGTATTCAAAGAATGAAAAAGAAATGATAATTTATCGTTCACGCAATGACAACAATCCAATGAAACAATTGATGTTATCTCGACAACTTCGAGAGGAGATAATATTATTGCCTCCGAATGCATGAATAGCTGATTTTTATTCACTAGAGTCCGCCCGCGGCTTGGCGTGTTCATAGGAACGTCTTTTCACCCAAAAGAAACGTAAACAATAATTAGATGATTGGAACAAGAGAAAACATTTATATTTTATACACTTTATTGCACAAAAAAATAACAAAAATACAAACGAGACTTTCATACTAGAAATATGGAGTGCGTCCTTATCGCTAAAACCGATCTCTTTCAGGCAACTCAATTTTTTACTAATTTTTCCTTCGAAAACCTTTGGCCTAGTGTTATTGGAGCTTTATATAGATCAGACATTACATACGATCAGCCCTCTTAAAATTGTCTTTCCGAAAAACACTAAAACTTCAAACCAATGTAGTGTATGTAGTATTATAGATTGATAATGATAATAAATCGTTATTAAAAATTAATTACATTTTCATTAGAGCAGACAACATGAGAGAGAAAAGAGGCAAAATATTGTCTGTTTCATTAATCAAATTTTATTATAGCAAGAAACCTTTTCTGCCAACCAACCAAAACATTATATTCCCTCAACTATGCTAATATTTCACGCGTATTATTTCAGACTTAACGGAAGGCTCCGTAGTGGAAATGTTCCCTTATTTCGATTATTTGAAAAGCTTCGAGTTACAGGGAAAATACATTATGGAGGCTTTAGAAAGGTCGGCGAGTGATTTGATGAGCAGCAGAACATTTACGGGGCCCTGGCTTCTGCAGGTTTCAGGTAAATTCGTTTAATTAATTATTTATTTAACTACAGACACCAAAAATAATGATTGAATGTCCATATATAAACGTAAATAGAGTTAATAATAAAAGACTCTAAATTTAAATTTACTTCTTCTCAAAAAAAGAACGTAAATCGAACATAAAGAAATAGATATGATATTATTTAAATAAAACACTTTAACGGTTTCAAACGCGGTTTAGATAGTTAAACTTATTTGAAATTATTTTAACTACAGCCCGACGTTTCGGATGCTTTGCAGCAGCCGTGGTCATGGGGAGACTTCGGCTGTTAAAGTGTTTTATTTAAAGGTGTACTGTACAGTATTTTATTAATTACCATCAAATAATTTGATTTACTTGAAAATAAAAATGGAATAAGCCACAATCTTGTGGCTATTTATTTTTTTAGGTCTTTTTTATACTTAAATTATCCCAATATATAGCATAACGAGGTTGTAATACTATATCTTAAATTTGTAGGAACCAACGTGGAATTAGACATGAAATCCTATATATATCATGGGGCTTTGTTTTTATTTATTAACCATCCGTACCCTTGCCCACTAAGTCTATCATTATTTTCCTCAAATCGACCCAAAGAAGGCACGTAAACAATGCTAAGAAACGCGATCACAACTAAGCCACTGATTTGATTTTTATACTCGTTTCAGGACTCCAAGTGACATATAACATTTCAAGACCAGAAGGGCACCGAGTTAAATCCGTTTTTCTCACTAACAAGCTGATAAAAATACCATTAAACAGCCAAAGGACGTACCAAGTGGTTGCTCCCATTTATATAGCGAATGGTGGAGACGGTTATACGGTAAATATGACTATTTCTAAAAAAACAAATGACGCATTTATGATAATTTTTAGATTAGTTATGTAAATATTATTATTAAGAATTAGTTTACAAGTATCAAGCCGTCAAGGGATAGAGCCGTCAAGGGCATTATCGCATTTCGGTTTCAGTCTATGGATTTCCGACTATCCAAAGCTAAAATAGATCGCCAGCACATCTTCATTATATGGCTAGAGGGTGGTTCACCTACCATTAAGTGGATAATATGCTTGTCTGTTTTCCTCTATTATAAAAATTATAACAATCTTCTGGGATGTAATTCTCAAGATAACACTAGAATAACATCGAAACCAGTCGATAATTATGTCAGGACCCAAGTTGACAATTCTAAAACAATGAAAATGTTTGAAAACAAACGGAAAGCATTCCAAGACATTGATATATCCCCATATAATTTGTGTTTTAGAAAAAATATTTTTGTGGTAGACAAGGTTTATTGAGGTTATAAGATTTAAGACATCGCGCTGTGCCTAAAAGGAGGGAAACAGCGGGAACTGTGAAAAAAAACTGAGAAAATTATTCCCCTCAGTAGGTTTCTGGTGCACACGATGCGAAAATGATTTAAGATACCCAAAAAATATGTATGAAAAGAAAGATCTCTTTAAAAGATATAAAACAGGTCCGGGACAGTATATGTATGTCTTGTCAGACAGGACGCGACTTTCGTCGTGGATAAAGGTTTTAATTTATAAAAATGAGAAGGTTTGCAAAAACAAAATAACTTTTCTATGCGAACAAAGTCGCTGGCACAGCTTTTCGTTTTTTCATTGTCGTTGTAAATTGCTAAAATATGTCTTTTTCCAGATGCTTGGCGACAACAAGAGAAATACTCAAGACTTAGGATTTGATCAACTCGGTCTTAGAGAATACATAAAAAGATACAAGAAGTTCCACCCGAGACTCGAAAATAGAATAAATATTGAGAGTTGATTGTTTAATACAATATATGATTTTTTAGATGTAGATAGTAAAATTTTTAGTACTATTAACTATATATGTAAATAAACTAATATTTTATCGATATTTTATAAATAAATGTGGGTAGATTACATTATTATTTGGATCTTTACGTTAATCAAAGGTAGAATATTTTTATATTATACCAGTAAATTATTACACGCTGGGCAAATAAGATAAATCTTTTTAGTAAAAATATTTTTTTAAATTATGTTACTTAATTCAATCTCCGAGGTAAACAAGCAATATATTCAATAATGGTATTTATTGTAAATATTTAGTAAAATAAATAGAATTTTACACTAAAAATGTGTTTGCATATATCTATACTAATATATAAAGTTGAAGAGTTTGTTTTGTTTGTTTGAACGCGGTAATCTCAGGAACTATTGGTTCGAATTGAAAAAATATTTTTGTGTTGGTTAGAGCATTTATCGAAAAAGGTTATATCGCAATCGCGCTGTGACTAACAGTGAGAAATATGAAAAAACAACGGGGAGAATTATTCATGCTTGTGGGTTTCCGTCGCGGACGTTGCGAAAACGAATTAAGATACCAAAAAAATATGTATAAAAGAACGATTCCTCTTTAAATGATTTCAAAAACGCGCGTCCGCGACGCTAAATGTCTATCTTTTAAGATTAACTTACACGAACGACGGGACGCAAATGAAGTCGTGGGTAAAAGCTTAAATATATAGAGTGGAACAGGAAGTTTGCAAAAACAAACTCGATGCCCGAAAGAACTATTCTACGCGGACGATATCGCTGACTTAGCTATCTATACACAGAAGCAAATGAAGCGGAACTCGAACCAACGACCACTGAATTTAAGTATGTATAATAGTCGCCAGCTTTTATCCAATTTGCAAAGCATGCCTAAGAATAGTCAACGGGGCGTGGATTCAATTCCCATGGTTTTTTTAATCACATTAGACCTCGTCTGTAATTTAGATATTAATGGGAAACCTTATCAACCGGGTCACGAAACAATAACCGCAAGTGAAAAAGCCCTGAATCGCCTTACGCTTTCAGTCTGTGGATTTCCGATTTTCAAAGGCCCAAATAGGAAGCCATCTAATTTAGATGTTATATGACTAGGGTATTACCTTCTGTTAAGTGAAGCTTGTTGATTGTCTACAATTAAAAAATGTGAAAAAGTTACCGATACATCTTGACCCTGAATCACAGCTGGTGAAAAGCATAATAACCAGACTTCAGTAGGTTCTACTTAAGCTGAAATGTAAGGTTGAAAGGTAAATGGGACGAGCGAAAGAAATGTCGCCTAATGAGAGTGACTTCACATTTCAGATAGTGAGATATTTGCAAATGTGTCTCTCTGTGGTAAAAGGGCTTTACAATAGATGTCTGTATCTGAAGTAAAGGAGCGACGAGGCAGAAACCACAGAGAGTCAAATTCTATTTTTATTATAAAACTAATTAAACATTTTGTTATCGAATCTGTGCAATTTTTAAATTGATTCAACATTATCTGTATATTACGGACTCAATGGCGGGAAAATAATATTAGGGAGCGACGAGACAGAAACCACAGTCAATGTGCTTTTTTTATTAAAGTAATTATAATATCTATTCCGAATCCGTACGATTACATAATGTATTCAACATTATCTGTGCTTTACGGACGGTTGTGGCGGGAAAATATTATCTGGTATAATCTGTTTCTAGAATACGGAGCGATTATACAGAAATCACAGAGTGAAAGTTAGGTATTTAAGTTTTCAAATAGTTATTATATATTGTTTGTACGTTGGACGACAAAGAACGCAAAAAAGAAATAAAATTTCAAATTTTTAACATCAAATTAAGACAATTAAATTGTATGACAAAAAGGCAAATAATTAATTAAGGAAAGACATTTCGAGTTAATTATATTTATAACACACATTGTATGGTTTAAAATACTTAAAACTAAAGACCGATATTGTATTACGACAAATGAAACAAAATAATGCCAAATGAAGTCAAAGTCAAAATCATTTATTCATGTATGTAACTAGATTAATTATGAACGTCACAAAACTAAAGAGTCTAACTTTACATTTACTACCAGTTCTCAAAAAATTAAAAGGAGTGTCTACGCCCTTGTAGACTCCTTTTATCTCCAAGTTTTATTTTACATTCTTTATGTACTTCCTTGTAAGAGCGGGATCGTCCACACCCTAAGCATTTTTATCATTAAAATATTGATTAACGTCAAAACCATTTCCAAGCATTTTGTTAAATACATATACATACATACAATACAAAGACTATATTTAAACAACAGAAAGGCATCGTTTAATTGGGTTGCAACAGAAATAGACTAAGGAATAGTTAAATTGATAGAGAATTCTTTTTTTTATTTTCAACCAAGTATTTTTAGTCCAAAAATTAATTTAAAAATTCCATGTCATGGTCACACGCACAATGACTAATGCTTTATTAATAACACAAAAGAACGCTATAATTTCTTTAGTACGTGACAAATTTATTTTTTTGATATTATACATTGATAAGTATGTATTTTATACTGTTACTGTTTAAAAAGGAATTGAATTGATAAAGAGGTTTTTTAAGTTACATAGAAGGTATAATTATATAAAATACATTTCTTAGTTAATCTCATTTACAAATACTTTTTAAATAACTTTAAGTAGTAAATTTCGCGGGGTCACTTCCTTTAAACATGAATAAGTTCGCATTTTAAACCGTTAAAAGCGTTTTATTTAAATGTGAACTACTAAATTACAGACAGTACTTAGGTTTATTTATATTATAAAGAGTGATGTTTCTTCTGAAAATAAGAGTAACAACCATGCATCTCACGCTCAAAAAGCTCCACCAATTTTGATAAAACTGGTACTAGACGTTAAACGGTGTTACCACCGCATTTATTTAAGAAATAATATTTCGAAAAGGTCTGTGAAACTATAATTACGTATGTAAAATGCTGAGTTTAAACAAACAATAATTACGTTTTAATTATGTATTTATTACACGTTTTTTTTAAATTTTAATTAGCTTTTTTGTTACTGATTCAAATTTTAATTATTACTTTCTATCTATTTAGTCAGTAATGATGATTAGTTAAAAAGTTGGAATTTGTGGTTTCTTAAGACTTTTATAGACCTTTAGACCAATTTGTATTGGTAAATAACATACAAATGTCCAGAAACGAGGGGTATTGGACCTAAAAACTGAAATCTCGTTACAACCCATTGGGCATAGGGCGGAAACGTTTCTGCGTTGGTTTCAGTGATTGGTTCGGCAAGCAGTTGATCAGACTTCTGTGCCCTACCCAATCGAAACAATGTTTTGTTTTCCTAGGATTCAAATTAGAGATGCGCCGAGTACTCGGTTGATACTCGGTACTCGGTACTCTGCGTACTCGGCGGGTTTTTTGATGCTCGTAGTCAGTCGAACAACTCGGTTATACTTTGTTATCTGATAACGAGTATACGTTGTTTAAGAAAAACTATATATTTAGTTTGACATAATTAAAATAACAGTGTTGATCCAAAAGTATTTATTAGTAATTTGGGAAATCTTTGGAAATCTCAATTAATAAAATCAAAACTATGCTAAAGGATGTCGTGTCAGTCATGAGACAAAATTACGAAGATAAGAGCGAGTCGACGTCTTGACCGGCGCGAAACTGTCTGTACACACATACTTGCTTACGCGCGCGAAACGGGAATTTGATTGAACCGAGTTACTCGGCCGAGTACTCGGTTGACAAAAAATTAAGCCGAGTAAAACTCGGTACTCGTTACTCGTACTCGTACTAAGTGTCACTCGCCGCATCTCTAATAATAATTAATAGTGCAGGACATTGAAGTTCCGTTCTAGCAAACGTAACGTCACCTGCCAAGATTATTTTATACTATTTGAAAAACTTAACAGGTTTTGTTAAGTTTTTTAAATAGTAATAAAAACGCACCTAAGGAAATTTTTATATAGATTATTAAAAGTGTAATCGGTGTTTTTCTTCACAAACCATTACCTTAAAATGCAATATCGATGTCTTTCGTGACAAAGGAAGCCAGAAAAAATGATGAAAGTTGAAATACTCCAGTTCTGAAACAAGAAATTATGGTTTCGACATCGACTTTCTTTCGATATACAAAAAATAAATTCTTATAAAATATACATCAATAAATACCTATATCAAGGTATTTTGTTTACAGCAAATTTGTATTTTTCCTAAATCTTAAACATAGCTTAATTAACTTCAGATAACAACTAAGATATCCTTTAAATAAAACACATGTACGGTTTAAAACGCGATATATTAGTTAAACTTATTTGAAAATGATCTTTAACTTCGGCCCGACGTTTCGGATGCTTTTCAGCAGCCGTGGTCACGGGGAGACTAACTTTAACTAATATATCTCGTTTTAAACCGTTCAAGTGTTTTATTTAAAGGGGTACGACTCACGTTAACTATAGACTGTCTATAGTTTAACTAAGAAATTCTCCAAATGTATTTACTTATACTATTTAACGTGAGTTATATTAGGTAACGTTATTTTAACAGATTGAAAAAGGAAAGTTGTATTAATTACGGTCACACTAAATCCTTGAATTTATGTGCATTGAACACGGCGTTATTATAGATTTTAGGACCTTATTCTCTAGAGATTGAGTTCAAATCTCTTTGTGATAAAGTTGACCTGCTGTCTATGCATTCTTCGTTACACAGATGAATGAGCAATGATAATATTTAGTGTTATACAAACCCGCGTTTTGTATCGACGCGGGCGCATATATTTGTTTCACATGAGTTGGATTTGGCGTGTGACAGCTTTAGATATGTTTTTTATTTTGACATTCGTGTTTAGTGTAGCGAGCGCCGGTGTTTTAAATAGCGGTGTATTTAGATTAGATATAGTGCATTATAATGATTTTCATGCTAGGTGAGTGTGCTTGTTTATTATGGTTTTACACGTGATAAATCATTTTTAACGGTTTAAAGGCGACATACATGAGTTTACTGTGATTTATTGTTTCAAATGCTTTTCCGATAAAATCCTAAAATAATTAAAGGTATTAATTTATTACTCGCGCATACTACAGATTAAGAAAAAATAATTTGAATTCAGTTTGACTAATAAAAACTTATTAACATATCTTTTTAAACGAGGATAGATTTTGTTTTTAATAACGATCGATCGTCTTCCATATTAAGCATTTGGAAAAACGCATGCATTGTTAATTATAACTAAAGAAAGAATATATTATTTCATTTTGTGAAAATATTTTCCTACAACAAACCCTTTACCCATTTAGACAATTAAACGAAACTAACGTATGTCTCTGTATATTACATGAAAGACCAAGTCACATTTTACTGCAAAGTAAATTTATTATGATTCAATAGTGGTAAAATGTCGAAAATTGTCTAAATTGGCATATTCGAACTTTTCGACTAATTATTAAAATGTGTAATCCAATTTGCCCCTGTGGAGCAAAACGCCTGTGGGGCGTCCGTGGTGTGTACTGTGACCGTTTCGTTGATCGATTACATGAAGCCGCAAGCTTATATTTCAGGTTTTATTGCATTTTTTTCTTATTTGCAAATTAAAAAAAAAATTACCAAAATTAGTATTATACCTAATATATAGCTTAAAAATACTTACATACGCAGTCTCCCCGTGACCACGACTGCTGCAAAGCATCCGAAACGTCGGGACGAAGATAAAATCATTTTCAAATAAGTTTAACTAATATATCGCGTTTTAAACCGTTAAAATGTTTTATTTAAATGTGTCCTACTCGCGTAAACTATAGACAGTATTTAAGATAATAATAATTAAAGATTCACATATGTTGAAAATTATTCTAAATATGTGAAATAATATGTATGTTGTGTGTAAATGTATCTTGTAATAATATAATTAATGATAACTGTACACTAGAACGTGATGTAATATCATAGATAAATATCTTCCTAATTACAATATGTATGCTACAGTATGTTTCCTAAACCGTTACATTTAAAACTAACTAGCAGTAAACACATTAATCAGAAATAAGAAGAAGAAGAAAGAGACTATACTAAAATGTTGATATATTAATTTGCAATTAATTTTATAAATGTTTTGCCATTTTAGCTTCGTGGTTAAATTCAAAGCGTTAAGACAAAAATTTGAAACAATAAACGTGTCAGTCGGGCACGGCACAGGTTGCCTAATGGCCCACGTCGGGGTAACGGGAATCCTTCTTTATTATGTTGTACAATGTAAATTTTGAACTATAAAAACCGTTTTAGTCGTTTTAAAAATCAGTCGAGATAGACGTAATTATAGAAATTTATTTTGATCATTGAGTAACAAAAAAATATTTATTGTTAAAATAAATTGAATTTAAGCACGGTCTTTACGAGAGTATCGTCGACCTTGGTATTGTAAGATAATAAATATGATTATGTAAAATACAAGATTGTATATAATCTGTGTATTGTAGATCTGTGTTTGTGGAAGGCCATTTATCGATACAGCTCTTCCTTGTAAATTACAAAATGTAAATATTCGCAACGCGTTTGTTGGGACGGATTTTCCTCTTGTTGTATTGACAAATGGCATATAAAGGCATGGGGAGGATAAAAGGACGTTCAGTTAGGCAGAAGTCACGATATCAACGTTCTTATGGAAATTTAAAAAGTTATAATTATTTTATGATAGAGGATGATATGCAAGTATTGAGTTTTGATGGATGGTGAAATATCATAGTGAGAGAATTTAAATAAAACACTTTAACGGTTTAAAACGCGATACATTAGTTAAACTTATTTGAAAATGATTTTTAACTTCGGCCCGACGTTTCGGGTTAAAAATCATTTTCAAATAAGTTTAACTAATATCTCGCGTTTTAAACCGTTAAAGTGTTTTATTTAAATGTGTACTACTCGCGTAAACTATAGACAGTATAGTGAGAGAATATAAATAAAATCAACTTATTCTGGCTTCGGACGTTAGAAAAGTCTTTTTGAATATACATTTTTTTAATAACACAGTGCAGTGTTTTTTTTTTAATTTGGCTAAGTGGTTATTGGACCTGTTTAAATTAATTCGGGGCTGTCAACTTAAAAAAAAATTGCCAGTTTTATAATAGTTAAATAAAACCATTTTTTGTCTTGGATTCGAGTCTTGTCAAAAATATTTTCATCTTTATGCACATTGGCGTTCTACAGTATACAGAGGTGAAATATGCCAACCCGTACTTGGCGTGCAATTTAATTAAAAGCTTTATTCGGACATGTAATAATTACAAAGAGACAACATAAAATCCTGTATTTATTAATGAACGGTTATTCAAAGCAAATATCGTAAATTGAGAACAGTATAGAATATATTTAATTTTCATTATATAAAACATTGTTTCTTTCAAATTACTGTACGACTTTTAACATATACCCATTATACACAATTGTAATTAAGCTGCTACGTACGTCTTTATAATATTTATGCAAATTAAAAATGTTATCTATGTAATTATGTTTCATATACCTAATGTTACAGTAAATTTAAAAAATCTGTTGTTTTAAAAAAGTTCTGGATCTGAATGCCAATAATTTAAATTTCACTTAATTTTTAAGCCAAGCATTATTTTTTTGTATTTATCCTCTAAATATATAACTGTATGTCTTATCCTAACGACATTAGTTTAATCCAAGGCTCTAAAGAAGAAAGATTCAGCGTAACCTTTCTTAAGTATTAATTATATTTAAGTTTACGCTAGTAGTACAGTTAAATACATTTAACGGTTTTAAACGCGAAATTTATTAGTCCTTTATTTTAACTACGGTACAGCCGGCTATTTTGTCCTCCGAGACCACAGCTGGTACAAGCGTCCCAAACGCTCATTTCATATAACAATAATTTCTCCTTTTGAACCATCAAAAGTGTTTTATTTAAAAAATATCTTCTATTTTCTTAATACAACATTTTTTTAGGGCTTACATCGTGTAATATATTAGTTGATTTGTTTTTCTTTTTTATCAAAATATCATTTAGCTACGATGCTAGTTTAAAATGTCAAACGTATTGCAGATTCGAAGAAACCACAGTAGATTATCCAATATGTACGACGAATGACACCAACTGTCTTGGTGGTTACGCACGACTCTACCATGAGATTAAGACCCTGCTGAAGGAAAAACCAGGAGCTCTACTCCTCAACGCCGGAGACACATTTCAGGGGACATACTGGTACACTCTTCTAAAATGGAACATTACCCAGAAATTCATAAATTTGCTGCCCAACGATGTTCACGTAAGCCGCCTTTATTATCTATATTAATATATAAAACTGGGCATTTGTGAAAATGCAAAACGAGATACCCAAAACAAATTTATGAAAGAATGATTTCTCTTAAAATGATCTAAAAAAGGTCCGTGTCACTATATGTGTATCTTTTAAGATTAATTTGCAAGACGGGAAAACGAAGTCGTGGGTAACAGCTTAAAATTATAGAGTTGAACAGGTCTGCAAGAACAAGTTTGATGCCCAAAATAAGTGTTCTACGCGGACGAAGTCGTTGACATAGCTAGTTAAATAAATAAATGATAATTTATTGCATAATTTTATTTTTCATGTTACTTAATGTAATTTTTTTTCAACATACAAAGGTTGCTTGGAAAGGCGCCTGCAAAAACATGTTTTATTTTGTATATATAATTTTAAGTGTCTATGTTCCTATGTCTATGTTTGTGCAATAAAAAGTTTTATTATTATTACTATTACTCATTATTTATTAATAAACTACAATTAGCAATTATCAGGAAAAATATATGTAAAAACGCTATTATATATAATTATATTAATATGTTTATTAGTTTCTGACGTGAAGAATTCGATTCGTTCCGCTTTTTATAGTTTTCGGTTGATTGATCTTGTTCTACGATCTACAGCCTTCTAAGTTATTTTTAAAGGTTGTTACCTAAACTATTTTGGTTCAGTAATTTTAGACTTTTAACATTAATAATAACACAAAACCTTTATAAAAGGTTTCATTAAGCAAAATTCGACATAGTTTGATATTATTGAGGTCGTCTTTGCACAAACATGTTTCACTTTGTATATATAATTTCAAGTGTCTATGTTCTTATGTCTACGTTTGTGCAATAAAGAATTGTATTATTAGTTTTCCCATCACTACAATACAAATTTACTTTGTATTAATACAGTAAAGATATAAAAAGGTGAAGAATTTGTTTGTTAGAATGCGCTTATTTCAAGAACTACTGGTTCGAATTGGTTTGGTTGAAAACATCACAATGCTGACCGCATTAGGATCGCAATAGGAGCCAGGATATAGTGGGAAAAGTGAAAGAATCGGGCAAAATTATTCATGTTTAAATGTTTCCGTTGCTGTGAAAACAGTTCAAGATACACAAACCCATATGTAAGAAAGATTAGTCTTTAAATGGTAAAAAGATATGACCTCGACATTATAGGTCTATCGTTTAACGACGGGACGCGGACGACGCCGTCGGTAACAGCTATAACTTATAGAGGTGATGATGTATGCAAAAATAAATTTTGATCCCCAAAATAAATATTCTATGCGGACGAAGTCGCTGGCACAGCTAGCTTTATATAACTATGTGTACGGTGAAATACACAAGAATCATACTACAAGATATCGCGTTTTAATCCGTTCAATTATCTTTTAAACTATTCAATTTTACAGACAGTAGGTAATCACGAATTCGATGATGGGATAGCTGGCATAGCACCTTACTTGAAGGAACTGCGAGCACCCGTCGTTGTCGCCAACATAGACACAAGCCAGGAACCAGCATTGAAAGATCTTTATCAACCCCACACGGTACTAGAAAGGGGGGGAAGGAAAATAGGGATCATTGGATTAATCACCACTGAGACTCAAGTAAGTATTAACTATGAAGGTACTAGGCCTTCAACGGCTGAATTGATTTTGATAGAATTTACGATTGCGATGTGAATTTAGTTGTTTAAACTTTTGATCCACTCTCGACACGTTCTCTCACTCGAAGCACCCTCACCATATGCTTCTACGAGCAATTGATGCGCCTCAGCAGCAGATTTTTTTAAATTAAAAAGTAAACTAATATTTCCCGCAAATGACGCTTACTTGGCTCTAAATTTTGACATTTTCAACTTACAAAAATTGTATTTTACCAATATAAAATCAATGAGGTTAATAGGTTATGCTGTTCTTGAATGTCCGAGCTATTTTTAAGCCTGTTGTCATCTGCGAAAGCTAACCAAAACTTCGTGCCGCGCCATCTACAATAAAACGGCGGAAACTTATTTGTACTCCTGTATATCACATATTTCTTACTAAGGATTGATAAAAATATGATTTTATTTATAATTTACCACCCCCGTGACTCAGTTGCATTGACTTTGGAGTTTAAACTCCTGGAGTTCTAGATTTGATTCCCAGAATGGTAAAAAATCATAATGCTGAGTCGGTTTAAGATATCCTTAAATTATTTGAGAATATCGTTCCAAATACTAAATGTAGTTTACGCGAGTAGTACACACACACACACTGTTATAACGGTTTAAAAGGCGAAATGTCGAGCCAGAGTCACAAGTATTTGTAAGCAAGTTTAAAGTTATAAATTTCCCGTTTAAAACAGTTAAAAGTGTTTAATTTAAATATTACTTTAGTTTGATATTTTTTTATCCAGACGTCATCAAATCCGGGGAGGGTGAAATTTTTAGACCCAGTAGAAGCAGCGAAGCGCGAAGCGGAGATATTAACGAATAAAAGAGTCGATATAATCATTCTTTTGTCTCATTGCGGCCTTGATGTTGACAAGTAAGTGTCGTATCCGTCATGCTAAAAAGCCATGACTAATTCAGTGTACATAAGTACGGTTTAAAGAAAAACAACTTAAAAAACTTCCTACGAAAACAAAGAAGACTTGTCTACAAATATTAGTAAAAATGTATATCCAATTTTAACAATAAGCAGTGTTCAATTTTTAAAGTGAGTATTGTATTACACAGGCATAACCGCGATGTACCTACTTTTGAAGCCATTGAAGACGCTGTTAAAATGAAATTGAATAATATAATAAAAAAATAATTTTGAAAATTAAAATATAAGTTCCTGATAGTCTGTCTGTTGATTATTATTCTAGAATAAAAACTCAATTATCGTCTATAGTTTAGTATACATATACTATTCGCGTCAATAAAAACCTTTTATGAATTTAAAATTCTGAATGAATTTGTTGTGGTCGCAGGGCACGGGTCCCTGACCACTGCTGATAAAACACTTTAAGGGTTTAAATGAAAATTAATTTTAACTACGGCCCGACGTTTCCGATGCTTTGCCGTGGTCACGGGGAGCGACGGTCTCGGTAACACGTTTACACGACACAACACAAGTTTTTACACGACACAAGTTTCACTAAAATATATCGCGTTTTGAACGGATTTATTTAAATATTTCGCTTTTCTAACTGTTAAAAAAGTGATTTATTTAATGTATAATATCATTATTATTTTTTTAATTGATTACTATTTGGCTATAAAATATATCTTATGAATATAGATCGCGTTTTAATCCCATGAAATTGATTGATACTACTACATTATATTTTTCTCTGGTTAAACATTCTGATACCATAGTATACATAATATATTAAAAAATTGTAAATTTCCAATATTCTAACTTGGGATTCAAGTCTCGTGCTACCCTTAGTGTACGTCACGACACATAAGTAGTAATACCTTAAACACAAAACTATCCCAAGCGAGGTAAAATATTTTCCGGATAGAATATGCGTAAGGAATTACAATAAATTCTATTTAAGTTCATACGTTTGACTTATCGACGATTTAAATGCAAGGAAAGCGGGACTTTCCGATATTTTCCAATAAACCTGTCAAATTACTGACTCCACGGGCGCCGGCCGGGACTCCGTAAGGATGCTTTAAGGGGGCCATATGAAGGAGTTTTCTGCTATTTAGAGTGTTTTATTTAACGGTGTAAACAAATCGTATTAAGTTTAGTCTGTGGTTTACGAGAGTACCACACATTTAAATGAAACATTTTTAACGGTTTAAAACGCTAAATGTATAAGTCAGTACTAGTTTTAATAATATATTTAATTTATTCGAGTGAGTTAACTTATATATTTCGTGTTTTAAACTGTTAAAAGTGTGTTTTGTAAACAAATCTTATTCAAATCGGCTTAATCTACTAGCTTAAACTTAAGTGGGTTAGTGGATTCTAATTCCAAGAAATTTGATTCTGCATGGATGGGTTTTTGCTTCCGAAAAAACATCTAATGTGAAACAAAACGAGTCGTTCGAGTCCTGTCCTGAGTTATAAAATAATTTTAAACTTTTAAATAAAACGAAAAACAGTTTGAAACGCGAAATATGACGCCCGAGGCCGTGCTACAACTGTAAAGCATCCGAAATAAAACTTTACATAATTTAAATCTTAAAAATCATATGTCGCGTTTGCATCCGTTTAAAGTGGTAATTTATGACTTTTTCACGTAAGATACGAATATAACTAGATACATATGAAATCTTGAAGTGATTGCGTGTATTTTCTGATAACAATAAAAAAATAACTTTCATACAGTATTTCTTTTTAGGTTAATTGCAAAAGAGGTCGGCGAGAATATAGACATAATTGTCGGTGGCCACTCGCACAGTCTACTTTGGAATGGGGAATCCCCCAGTCACGAAGAGATATCTGGCCCTTATCCAGTAATAGTAGAATCGGAAAAACGACCAGGTCATAAGGTCGGTTATATGTTAACCAAGAGATAATATTGTATTATAAATAATATAACATAATATAATATACAGGTTGCCATTAAAAAAACTTATCACAATTTATTATTATACCGATATAGAATTATAATAGGTTGGGGCTTGATATGTTCCAAACAAAATTTCATTAAAATCGGCTGAGCAGTTTAGTCGTAACTATTAATTTTCTTATTAAAAAAAGCACTAGAATGAATGATAGCCATTAATAACTGCGAACTTTGTGTTTTCATTTTAAAAAACTAAATATGTGGTAAAAATAGAAACTAATTTTGTGTGAAGATTTTACTTTACTTTATTTTTTTCAAAATTACTTTTACTTATGGAAATTTGTTTAATGCACACATTTTAAAATCAATGCAATAAGTCTAACGGCCTACAAAAAGGCTTCTTAAATTGAAAATTATATTACTGCTAGATCGTTGGAACAATCAATAGTTTCTCTAACACTATGTTAATTTTATATTTTTTTAGATACCTATTGTGACAGCATCAGCGTTTACAAAATACGTTGGTAATCTAACAACTTACTTCAACAGAAATGGAGATTTGATTCATTTCGATGGAGAACCTGTTTTTCTAAATAGATCTATTCCTGAAGGTAAGTCATCTAAGTCTGCCAAAACGTAATCCTGTTTCACCCGACGGTATGCGCAGACATATTTTAAAGTCCGTTTCGAGTATCAACTGTGTTTACAGGCGAAAAAAAAACCGGGTATTGACTTCAGCTAATCAGACATTATAATTATCTAGGATTCGAACAACGAATTAGTGATTTAATAAGGGTTGAGCAACGCCCGGTGACGAAATGTTGAACATCAAAGACTATTTTTTAGAGGTACACAAAAGGAACACAGAATTTAATTCTTAAAAATGCAAACTACCTACTACTAATTCGCTATCAAAATATTACCGTAAAATAAAATAAATATATTATAAGACTATTTATCTATAAAATATATTGAATACCAAAAAACAAAAGTTTAATATTTGTTATGGCCCTTTTATCAAAAAGTTTGCTTACCCTTGCATTGAAACATTCACCAAAGAACTCGGTTCAACTTTATTGGACGGCAATTATGTTGTTTTTTAATATACATTATTTGCAAACATATTTGTAGACCCAGAGATTAAGGCTTTACTGAAACCGTACCAAGACGAGCTCCATGCTATAGTCAAAGAAGTGATAGGAGAAGCGAAAGATGATCTTATAATGACAGAATGCGGATCCGGTGAATGTGCTATCGGGGATATTTTTGCTGATGCTGTTTTGGATGCTGTAAGTAGTCAAGGTCCATCTGGACTTGGTACATACCCAAATCGTGGGCCACTAACTGCTGCTAGTGCTTATCCTACTAATATTATAAACGTGAAAGTTTGTATGTGTTGATGATGGATGTTTGTTACTCTTTCACGCAAAAACTACTGAATGGATTACAATTAAACTTTCCAATAATATATCTTATACATCAGAATAACTCATAGGCTACAATTTATAAAAATATGGTGTGAGCTGTCGAAAATATGACATAAAGTGTCAAGTAACTAGCAATAAACGTTAGTTACATATATTTATTTCATAATGTTAGTTCTTTTGAAGTCGAAGAGACGAAGTCTCGGGCGCCAGCTAGTGTACGTACATGCAGTGTAGCACGAACTATTTACATTAAATTATAAAAATAGTCCGGATAGTTAGAAAAATGCTTTTCAAAATTTGTAGATTGGATTTTCAGTTGAGAATTTAAAATGTTTCATTTTCAGGCGAAGGAGATGAAATTTAGCAATTTGACTAACATCGCTTTTCTACTTAGAAACACTATAAGGGGATCTATTTCAAAAGGCGGTAAGATGAAGTTTATAATATAATAAGTACTACGACAAGAAAAAAATCGTGTTTAAAATTTAATTCGAGGTTGCCTGCACGCCATTTATGTTTACGCAAGTGGTTTCGGATATGTAATGAAGAAATACATTTATTTACTATAAGCCACACAAAAACATAAGTTTTATTACTAAAGCTAAACATAATTTAATCTTAACTGTATAAAAAATGTTGTTGTACTGCTAGTTGGTAGAATAGGATCTTACTCAGCCTATATCAGGTCCTTTGTTGATCTGAAACTGATTTTCAGTAAGTCCTTAGTGTGTGGATGGCGGTGCCACACGCAAAAATGAATAAAAAACACCACGACCCGACATCTTCAGTTCTGCGTTTTAGCAGCCGTACTTACAACTTAATTGACACATTTCGTGTTTTACATCGTTAGTGTTTCATTTAAAATTAATTTAATCAACTTTAATTTTACGGGCAGTCGCTTCAAGTACTTGGTATGACGAAGTGTAAACGCCCACTTTTCAACGTATTAAAGTAAATTAGAAAGAAAAGTTTAAATGAGAAAGGGTTACAGTTAGAAGTGTATTTTATTTTACGAAACCGAATATCCACAGCCAAAATAGGTCGACCGCGCATCTTGGTTAGATGCAATAGGCTGAGGTATTTCACGTATTTTTTTTAGTACGCCTGTCTGTCCTCTATCAATAAAAAAATCACTTTGAAGTTATTGAATAGCGGTTCCATATACAAATCCGACTTACTACTGTTAACTATGTTACAGACATTTCAAGAGGTGGACTTATCAACACCTTACCATTTACAAATGACATGGTATCTTTTATCGTTCGAGGAGAACATCTCATAGAAGCATTTAAGATCACCACCTCTAATGCATGGGTGCGGAAGCCGTTTCAAGGTCCTTGGTTGCCACAAGTCGCTGGTATGTTGTTGGCTATTATTATCGGTATATAGACATTAAAACAATATAAGCACACTTATATTGTTTCTGTATGTATGTATGTATCTAGAGATACTTATTTAAATCGGCAAGAAAAAGGGATATACCTACTTCAATCTATACAACAACCTATATGGAAAAAAATACTCACTATGTCATACCCAAATTAGTTATTTTTATATATAATACCAAATAGCAAAAATGTCACTTACCACGAAAAAATTTAAAACAAATTAAAAAATTCTACTCCCTCCAAATATATTCTAATTAATGTTGGACTTGATTGTTTACTGCTTATGCGTAAACTGTTTGTAATTCTTAAACAGTTTTATTTTGAGACGAGGGCGTCACGGAAAAAAATGAGTTTTGTTGACGCTTCTTAAAAATAAAATGTAAAAATTTTGATAAAAAAAATAAAACAATTTAACAGCCTAAAACGCAATATATATTAATTATCATCCGAAACGTCGGACCGTAGTTAAAATCATTTCCAAATATGTAAGTTTAACTAATACATGTATATCGCGTTTATTCTGTTAAAGGGTTGTATTTAAAAAAATAAAGTGTTGTTTTCGAACTGGTAATTTTATAACAATTTCAGAATAAAGTAAGATACAAGTTGTGACCGAAACTTTTTAATGGGGGTTGACTGTTTAATGGGGGCTATTCTTTCCAGGACAATATTTCATTTCATAATTATATTAATATATTCATAGTCATCAATGCCTTTGAAAATTTTAATATTTTTCACATGTTATTGCACATGAAGGCACTATATAAATTGAAAACCGAATAAACATTGAAAAAAAAAATACGACACAGGCAGGACTTGAATCGACACCCACACGGTTCCGTGTTGTTGATCTAACCAATTGAGCTACCGTGTCGGATTTTTTCAACCTATCGATACATGCATGTACCGGTTCGAATCCTGCCCATGTCGTATTTTTTTTCAACCTATGTTTTATTTTCTTTTTAGATTAAATGCAATTTATGTTTCAGGTGTAAAGCTAAAAATAAATTTAACAAATGAAACTCCAATTGTCGAAGTGTATGTAAAAGACGATGACTTCAAACCCTTAGATCCTCAAGGGGAATATCAGGTTTCCACCATCAGTTTCGTTCTGAAAGAGGGGGGAACATTTGATGTGAGTATTGTACTAACTTATATTAACTTATAATTGGTGACTCAGAAATTTCTAGAATCCTGTTTTACCCATTTTGGTAAACATCAACTTGGAAAGGCTGTTTCTACATTAGTTATTTATAATCTTATATGAGCAAGCTCTGAGAACAAGCTATAATTTTAATATCTTAGAGAGAGAATAGTCATTTATTTTTACACTTGTGGTTGTAGTTGGTTGTATGTATACATATTGGACATTTTGGACCCGTTGGGAATCGAACTCATGGCCGTTGTATATTTATTATCTTTAAATTCCCTTACCAATGAGCCTGTTCAAATTATTTTGTCATTTCAGGTATTAAGAAGAAATGGTCGAGACTTCAAAGTAATAGGCAAAGATGTAGATGTTGTTGAAAAGTATATTAAAAAAATATCTCCCATTAGACCGCTTCTAGACAACAGACTCACTGTTATAAATTAATTTTATGTAATATATATTTAGAAGTATATATATATATATATTAAATTATTGTCCATAAAATGTTATTTTATTTAATAAATTCGCACCTTGAATCGTTCTTGCCATCTTGTTTGTTTGAGCGCGGTAATCTCAGGAACTACTTTTTAAAATTGAAGAATTCTTCTTCTGTTAATTGGGCCATTTATCGAGGAAGGCTTCAGGTTATAAAACAATAGGCTGCGACCAATAGGAGCGAAAAGGAATATGTGTGACAAACGGGGAAAAATATTTATCTTTGAAGGCGTTCGTTGCGTGCGTTGCGAGAACAATTCAAGAAACCGAAAAATGTATAAAATAATAATTCTTATATAAATGATCGAAAACAATGATTAACTAGCAACGACGGGCCGCCGACAAGCGTCGTAGGTAATAGCTATAATTTATGAAGATGGATGTAACCATTTTATCTCGTATCAACTAGTCTACGCGGACAAAGTAGTAATTGACAAAGCTGAGATTTAAAAAAAATAACATGATGCCCAAAATAATGATTCCATGCGCCTGAAGAAGAGGGCACAGCTACCTGTCAAACGTGCAAAGCCACATGCCATAATTAGTTTCAAAGCCAAATCGAGGTTTCTGACCGCTTTATCATCTCGCGGCGAGAGGCGGAACTAGGTTGAGGCTAGTCCAGAAGAAAGCCCCTCACTCTAGTGGCTCTAGTTAATAAGCGAGTTGTCTAGCTATTTATTACGGCGACAATAGGCCGTGGAGCACCGAGCGAGTGTTCTTTATTTATGAGAATTTTTATGAGTTTATAAAGACGTTTTTAAACCAGAGCACTTTTATCAAGTGTGGTACAGCCGTGAAGTTTAATCACGTTTCGGAATCAGTCTGTGGATTTCTTGACAGACAAGACCTACCAAAATAGGTCTTGCGCAAATGCGCTGTCGACCTATTTTAGCTTCGGATATTCAGAAATGTACAGGCTGCAACCGAAACGCGATTAAACTTCACGGCTTTTTTAATTAATTATTTATGTTTCGCTCGATTAACTTAATTAGGTACCTTAGTACCTATTACTTATTTATTTACCAATGAAAGTAAGTTGGTGTAATACAGCTAAGGTCGAAACCGATTGTGTTTGATTGAATTCCTATATCATAAAAAACAAACATACTAAAACTACGACGATTTGTGTATCTTCATTTTTAAATAAAACACTTTACCGGTTTGAAAGGCGATATATTAGTTAAACTTATTTGAAAATGACTTTTAACTTCGGCCCGACGTTTCGGATGCTTTGCAGCAGCCGTGGTCACGGGGAGACCACGGCTTTAAACCGTTAAAGTGTTTTATTTAAATGTGTACTACCCGCGTAAACTATAGACAGTATTTATCTTCATTTTTATTCTCATCATTTTTAGTGTTGCTTAATATTCAAATATTAAAATATTTGAATATTTTTATGTGCTGCACAATTAAGCACGCTGACACAATTTTGAGATTGGATTAAGTTCATCACTTACCGTTGTTTGTGATGTAAAGCGAAAGAATAAACATTTTTATTTTAATATTACATCAAACTAGATTAAAATTTTAATACATTGAGGGACCGAGAATTTCGTCTAGTTGTTGTTTAAAGTTCGTGTGGTAAGTGGGTTTCTCTATATCTAACTTAAACAACCGAATTCGTTGTGGTCCCGCATGTCGCTGACCTATGGAAGCTTCTAAAAAGATATCTACTCTTTTAAATAGTCATAACTTATTCATCTGGGATAACCTTTACAAAAAGCTTTTAAAAACGTATATACAGGTATCTTATTGTCTATGTGTGAAATATGATAAACTATAATTTTGAAGGTCAAAAAATTAAACTATTAACTAATCTTCATTTTAAATCTAGAAATTATGGCAAACACAATTAAACAAATCTCTAAGTCTTAAAGATAAATATACCTCTATTTGGTACATAAGTCGTTGTAGTAATCAAGTCAAGGTAAAACTGTTGAGAATCAGATCGGTCACTTTTTTATATTTTTAATCATTTAATAGATAAAATCACTGTACAATGTAAAAATTAAAGTATTTGTTAAATAAGTCGTGATAAAAGGCCGGAAGCCCAATCCCCAAAGCTTGTGTAACAGTAAACATTTGGAGAACCTGATTCGAGTTAAATCAACGCTTGTATGTGATAATGTTTTTTGTACGGTGCCTTTGAGGCGAGTAATTTTGAAGGATTTTTATTTTTTTTAAAACCAGAAGGCATAAAATGAATGCGATAGAAATATTAAAGATGCAAAAGAACTTTACATTTATTAAAAAAAGGAAATCGCAAAAACCGTTCCTTTTGTCAGTCCAAGCTGTGAAGATCTATCCCCTTCTTGTTAATAACACGCATAGAAGCAACGAGAGAAGATTTCATGATCAAAGTTTGATATATCTATTGTAGGGAATCATAGATTTCAATTTTTAATTATATAACTTAAAAATTATTCTCAAAAGTATTTCTTTTTTATTATAGAGGATTACAGGCAAGCATAGCGGTAACTTGATGGTAGTCGTATCATCCTAGCCATATAACACATGAACAAGATGCTCTCTCGACCTATTTCGGCTTTGGATAGTCGGAAATTGTTTCAAAACTGCCAAAAACTCATATACGATCGCGATTTTTATATAAATAGTTTATAAAAATTGTAATCTAATAAAATATTGTTTCATAAACACAACTACGTACTATGATGTACATCTTGTCATAATGTTGTATGTACGCCATAAAAATTACAGCGCATGTGTCAATCCGGATCGAATACGCATGCGCGAAAAAACATGGCGGCTAGTGCCGATTACATTCTTACTAGCGACTTATTTGGCCTAAAATTTAAATATCTAGAATAAACAAAACGTAGTAACGCTGTGCGTGGAAGACAAAACTAAGTAATTACAATGTAAACTGTGTAATAAAAAGCAGTAAACTAAACGGAGTGTCGATTTTTACGTGGTTATCGCGTGAGAATTTGGGGAGGTAACAACAATTGTCTATGGATGCTTTTCAAGTGATTAATGATTGATAATCAAATCCGATTATAGCTAAATATGAAGTTCACCACATGCATCGTTAAGGTATGTACTCTTATTTACATTGTAAGTTTTTATTAGAGACACATAAATTGCCTTTAATTGTATGTAGGTTACTATCATGTTAAAATAATAAGAAATAATTTAACGTCATTAGTAAAACAATACAATAACATTGTAACTAGCTACATATGACGTAGCTAAATTAACACATATTATTGTTACAACATTTTGAGCAATTTTAACTACAACTCCATTATTATATACATAATATACTTTAAACATTTTAATCCAACTCGTAAAGTTATTTTTTTTTTATTAAACCAAACATATTATTTACCCGAATGTAACTAATTATATATTTTTTTGAAAGTATGTCTAAGATATCGCTATCCAGCCAGTGCAACCTAAAATACGATAAAGGCTGCTAAACTTATATTTATATGATCATTTTAAATTCTATGTTGACTTAAAACATAAGCCTCCGTTTCATTGTAGTGACTGGGCCTTTTAATGCCTTATAAACGCTATATGTAGTTTACGCGTGTAGTTAAAAGTTTTTTAAAAAGTTACAAGTGTTTTATCTGAAAACTAGCTACAGTCAGTGTCAGTCGTCGGCGTACCGTCGTTCCTGCAATTTAATCTTAAATGATAAATATATACTGTCGCAGACATTTTTCAGATCATTCAAAGAAAAATAATACTTCCTGTATTATTTTATACATATTTTTGAGTATATTAAATCGTTTTCACAACGCACACATCGGAAACCCTTAACGATGGGAAATGTGGAAAATTATTCATCTTTAAGAACTATATATATAGAAGGAACTATATCTTCGCTTCTCGATAATTTTTTAATTCAAATCCATGAAATTAGCGCGTTGAACCAAACGACCTCTTCAGCTTTATATATTAGCATAGATAAACGAAAGAGATATAATATAAAACGAAAAAAAGTATAAAACATATATTTATTATAATATACACGGTAGGATGAAATTCCTCTAATTGCTAATCTCGTCACGCTGGTACAATTTAGTTAGGTATTAAGTACAATTCCACTTAATTACGCTATAAACTGCGATTTACATGTTTTATTGTCTATTCACAATAATTTACGACGTCGTGGGATCTATGGGAATAAAACCAAATAAGGTAACGATGGGCCAATAAAAGTGGCCAGTCAAATTTCCGATTAACTATATGAGTTTGTCGTAAAACGAATCGTAAAAACGGTTTAGTTTCTTTGTTAATGGTTACAAAGTGGAGTTAAGGTTTTAAATTTAATTGATGTTAAATATTGGTTGACTTGTATCCTGTTGAATTCCTATTATTTCAAGGATTGATAATTAATTTACGGATAACCAAAAAGATGATTTTTTACGAAAATCACAGGTAGTTAGCAATGCTATTTTTAATTGATTTAGCTTAGCTTAGCACGTTTTGTTATTTTTTTATGATGGAGGAGGACAGACAGACAGACAGGTGAAATACCCTAGCTGTATAACATCTTAACAACATGCGATATAGACCCATTTTTGGCTTTGGAAATCCACAGGCTGAAACCGTCAGGTGATTAAACTACACGGCTTTCTTATCTGTGAAAGTGGTTCGTGACCCGGAAGAAATTTCGATATTCCTACCAGCCATTTAATATGCAGATATTCAGACGAAGTTCAACATATTAAATGATTATAAACATGTTGAACATGGTGGGAATAGAAAACGCGACCCTTTGATCATGATTGCTTCTTTTAAACTAAGCTCATGAATTAAAAATAGTAACAAAATTACAGTCCATAAAATTTTATACAATTTCGCGCGTCTATTGACAAAAAACTTTCGAACTGACAAGATGTAAAAGTCAACAATAAATTTGTGCTACATTGCTATTCAATATATGATCAAATACTATAGTTAAAGAATTTAGTAAATGA